GCCGCTGCGGGCGCCGTGCCGTTGTCCGTGGCCGAGTTGATGAACGTGACCCACGCCAGAATGTCTCTGAGCGAGATGACGCCGTTTGTGGCGGAGCCGTTGCCCAGCCGCAGGCCGTACCATTCCGCAAAGCGCACCACGGCGTCTGCCAGGTGGCGGTTCCGCGGCACGAGCTGCGACTCGACGATCTGGCGCACGTCGTCGAAACTCTCCATCGACGGCACCCAGATCTCGGTGAATCTGTTCCGCAGCGCCGGCGACAGCTCTTTCTTGCCGTAGTCGCCGCCCGGGTTCATGGTCGCGAAGAACTGGAAGTTTTTGTGGGCCACCACGGCGGCGTCCTCGCTGCCCTTTTCGGCAAGCAGCAGGCTGCGTTCTGGCTCCAGCACAGAGTTCAGTCTTTCGAGCACAGAGTCGTCCGCGAGCGAGATCTCGTCCAGCAGGAAGAAACACCCGTTTTTCATGGCCGTCACCAGCGGGCCGTCGAACCACTCAAAGAGCACGCGCGACGCGGCCAGCAGCTGCTCCACGGTGTCTATTTCTGCGTCCGACAGCGCGCCCTGACGCCGCAGGTTGTTGTAGACGTCCACAGCGGGGTCCAGGCCGTCGTAGGCGGCGCCGTGGGCGGCCAGCACGCTGCGCAGAGCTGTCTCGAGGTTATCTTTGAGTTTCTGTCTGTTTCGGACGGGTCTTTGCGACCCCAGCAAGTCGCCCGTCTCGGTATTCTGGTGGGCGTTCACAACCACCAGCTCCTTGCCGTAGAACTCGGCAACCAACTGGCAGACCGTCGTTTTCCCGCACCCGGTCTCGCCCACGAGCAGCAACGGCTCCTTGTACTTGATGGACGTGGCCACAAGCACGGCGAGGCGGCGCATCGCCTTGGTCCAGACCACCGGTCCTGGCCGCTGCAGCAGCGGCGCGAGGTCCTGCTGCTCCAGCTGGGCGTAGTAGCCGTCCACGTCGAGCTTGACGCGCATCACCTTCTCGATCGCGGTCTTGACCACCTCTTTTTCCTCTGCCCGTCGCACACGTTCCGCCAGCAACATGTACCCGTTGGCGGCGAGCTGCTCGTAGCCGACGGCGTCGCGCAAGGCCCAGCGGAACAGGTCGCGCAACGTGGCAAACGAGTTCTTCTTTTCGAACAGCCGCGTGCTCTGACGCTGCACAGACAGCTCCTTGTACACCTCGACGATCTTGCGCGCGTACGACGGCGCGATCTGGCACCGCTCGCGCAAGATGATCTCCAGCTCGTCCTGCGGGATGTCGTCGAAGTGCAGCTCCAAAAACCGGTTGCGGAACGCCTTCGACAGCACCTTACGGCCCGCGTACAGCCCTGGCGGGTTCTGCGTGGCAAACAGCATAAAGTCCGGGTGCGGCCGCACCACCTCCTGGGTCTCCGGGATGAACAGCTCTCTGTTGTCGTCGAGCAGTCTGTTGAGCGCCTCGAGCACGTCGGTCGGCGCGAGGTTGAGCTCGTCCAGCACGATCCAATGGCCCTTGCGCAACGCGTCCACCAGCACGCCCTCGCGGAAAACAAGCTTGCCCGTGTCGTCCGACACGTACGTGCCCAGATACTCCTGCAAGTCGGTGTGCTCGTGGTTGTTGATGCGCACAAACGTGTGGCCCGTGATCTTTGCGAGATAGCTGATCATCGAGGTCTTGCCCGCCGAGGTCGGGCCCTGGATCAGCACAGGGAACCGGCCGCTGGACGCGCGCACAAGGTTCATCAGGTTCTTCTCCACGAACGGCGTCATGATGTAGTGCGGCTGCTGCTCCGGCTCGTGCGGCCCCCGGCGCATCCAGTAGTGTTTGAACTGCACGTACCGCTGCGTGTCGCTGGACGGGTCGGCAGGCACCTGCGCCAGCACGGAGCGGGCGTTTTTCAGCCGCTGGACCGTGTGTTTCTCGATCAGCGGCCGCAGCTTGGCCTCCGACTCGGCGTCCAGCAGCGTCAGAAACGCCATACAGAAGCCCTCGTACAGCGAGCGGCGCAGCCCGTAGATCGCCACGATGTCCCGCACGTACTGCAGCGTGCGCGTGAGCGTGCGCACGCTGAAGTGCGGCTTCTGGTTGCTGCCGTCGACGATCTCGTTCGTGTCGGCGAGCCGCTTCGCCGCAAGGTACAGCTCTGCCACGTCGTTGCCGACCCACTCGTCCGCGAGCGCGTAGCGGCCGATGTAGCTGTCGATGATCATGAGCAGGTCCGCGATGTCCTGGTCGGGCGAGTGCACGTAGATCTCCGTGAACCGCGACCGGATGCCTTCGGGCAAGTCCTTCTTGCCCACGTCGGTGGCAGGGTTCATGCAGCCAAAGATCCGGAAGTCGGGGTGCGCCTTGACGCTCTCCACGTCGCCCTTCTCCGACAGCAGCAGGTTGCGCTGCGCGGTCTCCTCGTTCAGCAGCTCTGCCACGCTGTCGAGCGTCTCGGGCGCCGCCAGGTTCATCTCGTCCAGCAGCACCCAGTCGCCGCTGCGCACGGCGTGCACGAGCGAGCCCTCGACAAACTTGAACACGAGCGACTTGTCCGCGGAGCTCGCCTGTTTCTCGAACTCCCGCACGCGCTCGTACAGCGCGCGCCACTCGGCCATCAGCGCCGCCTTGTCGGTGTCGTTGAGCTTGCGTTTTTTCGCGAGCTCGTCGTCCTGCTTCGCAAACAGCGTTTCGGCCATTTTGAACGCCTCGCGCCACAGCCGCACCACGCCCTTCCACTGCGCCTTGTTGAACAGCTTGGCCAGCAGTTTCAGGAACTGCTCGTTCTTCTTGACGGAAAACGACCGCCGGAACAGCTCCTCGAAGTCCTCCTCCAGCGGGATCGCCAGACTCTTCGTCGTCACCGGCTTGAACCCGCCGAGCAGGTCGCCCACCTCGGTCTGCTGCGACACGTTGATCACGGTGAGCTTCTTGTTGAGCAGCCGCGCCATCTCCTGGACGATCGTCGTCTTGCCCGTTCCCGTTTCGCCAACAAGCAGCAGCGGCTCGCACAGCGCGACACCCACGCCGATCTTCTCCATCAGCCGCAGACAGTGGTTGGTCCGGGCAAACGCGGCGCTCTTGCGCGCCGGTTTCAGCCCCAGAGCCGTCTTTTTGCGCAGGTGCGCCCGTCCCACAGACACAGAGTCCGGATATTCCTCGAACAACGGCACGTGCTTGTTCAGGTGCACCGTTGCCCGCGACGTCGGCACCTCCAGACACACGGCAACGGCCTGGACAACCGCCTCAATCGGGCCGCGCTCGACGATCGAGCTCGTGAAACAGTCCACGGTTTCCTGGAAAATAAGGTCAAACACCTCCTCCGGTAGCAGGCTGGCGCTGTCGACGTGCCGGTCCGCCAGAATCCGCGTGCACCGTCTGCACAGCTTCATGAGGTCTCTGATGGTGAGAGCTCTGGGCTGCGCGCCCCTGTTCATGCTCAAAAACTTGCGCGAGTCGTACAGCTCCCTCACGTCCTGGAAGCACCTGATAAACATGGCGGTGAAGTTGGCCAGCAGCGGGAACCTGGTGTCCAGAATCGTGCGCAGCTCCTTTGTGTCGAGCTCCTCAAGCTCCACCACGTTCCACAGCCGCAGGCCGATCATGTCGGGCAACGTCACCTTGCGCAGGTCGCCCGCAACACGCAGCGACGAGATCAGCTGGAACCCGTTCGCAGCCTTGATCACCTCGCCTCTGGACGGAATAGTGAGCTCTCTTTTTTCCAGCAGGCTCAGCAGAATCGACAGAACCTCGTTCGGAGCCTTGTCGATGTCCTCCACCAGCACCCAGCGGCCTTCCTTGACGGCAGTGGTCAGAACACCGTTTTTCCACTCAAAAGTGCCCGGCTTGGCTCCCGAAGAGTACGTTCCCAGAAGCAGCTTCGAGTCGGTCTGCTGGTTCAGGTGGATTTTCACCATCGTGTCCAGCTGCAGCTGCTTGGCCACCTCGTTGATCAGAAACGTCTTGCCCGTTCCCGACCGGCCTACAAGCAGCACCGGCTCGGACCTCTGTATGCTTTGCGCCAGCTGGTTCATGGAGGCAAGCGACTTTGGAAGCGGCACAAATTCGGAGTTAGGGACCGGCTCCGTACTTCCACGCACCAGGCCGCCAATGTTGGGGATCACCACGTCGGCCACGATCGTCGCGCCCACAGAAAAGTCCTGCTGCACAAATTTGACGGTATACTTATTTTCCGCACGGGCAGGCTGCAAAAACGGGTATTTCAGCAGATCGGCAAGCCGCTGTGCTTCGTATAGAGCAACAAAGTCGTAGTCCATCTGGTCGACGCCCTCATAGACGCCCAAATACGGGCCAGCGCCAATATGGTTGCGGATCATTTCAACGGCCACCTTTTCGGATAGAAACAGGTGGATGGTGAGGGTTTTGACTGCAAGCAGCTTGTTGACCGCGGACGTTTTCCCAGAATTAATGGCAGAGTGCAAAAGGGCAGAGTCCACGTACCGGTGGAACTTTTCCCTATCCGCAGTCAGAAGCCTATAAAACGCCAGAAGAATGGACTGTAGTTCGTGCTGGTCGATGGTTTCGGGGTTGATCATGCTAAAAAAGTGTTTCTTCTGCAAGTAGTACTCGACAATCGTCAAGGTCTCCGGACAGCTCGCGCCGATCTTGGCCAGACTGCTCAGGGCCACGGATCCTGCAACAGACACCACCTTGTTGCTGTGTCTCAAATACGCGCTTTCGATCTCGTCGTTGCTGGCAATACGCGACGCCGCCTCCACCACAAGCGGCCTCAGGGCACAAATGTACGCGGCAATGGCATTATTGTCGAGAAAATGCAGTGCTATGTTTGATAAGTTTGCAGAGTTGGAAATGTTCTTGTCGTAGAGGTACGGATCGTGAACAAGACGGCCCGGAAACTGGGCCTGTATCTCCCGGTAAATTCTAAAGTACTGCTGGAAGTCTATAACTAGCGAATATGACATGCTGGCTGACGTCCGGGGGTACTCTATAATGTATATGAAATATTTTCCTCAATTTTTTTTTTTTTACCTTTACACCGCCCTAATCTCCTAATCCCGCTTACGTGATCCGTCCTCGCCGCGCGATCGAGTCCATTCGGGAGCACCGCTCTGGCGCGGCACGAGGGGCCCAGTGGGCGCTGGAAGCGGGCTTCGACGCCTGCTCTTGTAGTCGCCGAGAAAGTCTGCCAGCGTCGCGAGCAGGTCGTCGTCGTCCATGCCGATCCATTTGCACAGATTGATGTATGCTAGCGTGTCTGCGAGCTCGTGCTCGCCGAGCCTGTTTCTGGGCAGCTGGCCCTTTTTGATGTATTTCGGCGACACGTCGGCAATGTACGCGGCGCTGACGGCAAACACGTACGACATCTTCTTGCCCCAGCCGTCGCAGTAGAGCGTCGGGTTGTCGAACTGGTTTTCGCAGCTGTCGAGATGGACCCACCGTTTGAGGTGTTGTGAGTAGTATTCGCACCACACGTGGTCCTCGGCGTTCCAGATGTACCGCACCTTGAATCCGAGCGCGCACAGGAGCAGAATAAAGCAGTTGTTCCACTCTCCGCAGCGTCCTTTGCGGAACGAGAGCAGCGTTTTGGGGTTGTTGTACCGGGGGAACTCGACTGTCTGGGAGCACTCGAGGCACCGGTACTGCTCGACTATGTCTGCGCGGCCGTCGAAATGCTCTTTTTTGTACGGCCCGACCGGCTGGAGCGGCTGTATCTTGGTCTGGTCCGCGTTGCCGCAGGGACAAGGGGGCCTGTTTATCCACGTGAAGAAGTCCTTTTTGTACCACTCCAGCAGCTCCCGGACCAGCCGGTCCGTGTAGTCTGGCGCGGCGGCGTGGTTCTCGAGCCGCTCGTACACGCCCGACCGCAGCACCACGTCGAGCGCGGCGGACTGTGCCTCTTCGTCGGCGTACTTGTCCATCAGACGGCTGATCACGGCGAGCTGCTGGCCGAACGGCCGGGTGCTCGGCCTGCGCTCTCTGAGCAGCTCGCGGATCGTTCTGCGCTGCTGTTCGGCGTACTTCTGTCTGAACAACCCTGCCAGCTGAGATATTTCCATTATTATTTTTTTATTTTTTATTCATGCCCCGATCCAAGCACAGAAACACACACTCGGTCCACTACAACCAGGGCGTGCCGCAGAAAGAGCTGCTGGGAGAAAACCTGCGGCTGTACGGCTACCTCATTCTGGGGCTCAGCTGGGCGGTTTTCGTGGTGAGCATAGGCACCGTGGTCGGGGACTGGAACTGGGTGTTCTCCGGCACAAGGGCGGCTGTCTGGCTCTCGCAGTGGAAAGTGCTGGACGGCGAGGGCCACGAGATCATCGACAGCTACTATCTTTACGCGTTTGCGCTGAACTTTGTCATTTTATGGATCTGGTGCGTGGTTTCGTGGCTCAGCATGAAACTGTTCAGACACAGCAAGGGCAGTGGATGATGACTTATTTACAGCTCTATTTCACCTCAAACACGTGGACCTGCTTGCCCGTGCGGAGGAGCAGCAGCCGGCCGTCGAGAACGAGGTTTGTGTCGACCGGGTCGTCCCACCGGCTCACCTTGACGCGCTGCTTGCCGACAGAAACGGCGCCGCCGGCCAGCAGGCGTTTGATTTCCTTTTTCGAGACGCCGGCCAGTTTTCTGTGCAGAATGTCCCCCACGCTCGCCAGCTCCGCCGCGCGCACCTCCGTGATCATGTTCTGTCGACGGAACGCGGCCAGAACCTCGTCAACGTTCAGCTCTGTGTCCTCGTACAAGGCGTCGCTAATGACCAGGTTTGCGCGGCCCTCTCCGGCGCCGTGGAGGAAATCGCACATCTCCACGGCGAGCACGCGCTGGCCCAGCCGCAGCGGGCGGTTCTGCCGGTGGAACTCGCAGATCCGCCCGATCAGCGCCGTTGGCAGCAGCGAAAATTTATACAGCAGCTTCGGAACGTCCTCGTCCAGCGTGTTGTACAGGAATTGGTACAGCTGGAACGACGGCGTGAGGCTCTTGTCGATGAAGACGGCGTTGCCGGCGCTCTTGCCGAATTTCACGCCGTTCGCGGTCGTCAGCAGCGGCACAGTGACACCATACGCTTTCTTCTTCTCGCCAGAATGCATCCTGTCTATCAGGTCCAGTCCGGCCACAATGTTGCCGTACTGGTCGTTTCCGCCCACCTGAACGTCAATGCCGTGGTTTTTGTTCAAATAGTAAAAATCGTAGGCCTGCAGCAGCTGGTACGAAAACTCGTTGAAACCTATGCCCTGCTCAGACTCCAACCTGCTTTTGATTGAGTCCCGCGAAAGCATCTGGTTGACTCTGATAAACCGGCCGTATTTGGCCAGAAACTCCAGAAACCCCATGTCTTTCCACCAGTCGAAATTGTTGCGCACGGCAACCTGGCCGTGGGAGCTGTCGAGGACGTGGTTGCGGCTGGCAGCGTAGCGACGGCCGTTGCGGAAAAAGTGCTCGAACTGCGCCTGGATGCGCGCCACGTTTTCCAGCCGCTCCTGCTGCTCCATCTGCGCGCGCTCCGTTGTTTTCCCCGACGGATCGCCAACCGTTCCCGTGGCTCCTCCAACCAGAGCCGTAATATTGTGTCCCCGGAGATTGAAGTGCAAGAGAACCATCAGCGGCAGCAAATTGCCCAGATGCAGCGACTTGGCCGTCGGGTCTGCGCCGCAGTACAGGCCGAGCGCTTTTTCGCGAGCCAGCCGCGCCAGCTCGTCTTCGTTGACCACCGTCTCAATCAACGACCGACGACGCAAATGAGCGAGAATCGGCTCGTCCGCGTCGGCCTCAAAATCCCCGGGACGCGTGTCAATCGAGTGCCGCGCCAGCAAGTTCCTCACCGCCAACGGAAACGTCCGCGCCTGCCGCGTGGTAGAAAACAGCCGTGTCAAGGACATGAATAATTAAATTCAATATTTAATTTTTCAGGAGCCAGGTGTGGTTGCAATATAAACGTGCTCTATCTACTCTCATTCAGCTTCTGCCTCTTGGCCCGCTCCCCGCTCTCCATCACGCGTTTCATGCTGTCCTGGATCACCTCCCTGCCGTCTTTGCCGTCCACGCGCCGGAAATACGGCTGCAGCCGCCAGTACGGCACCTCTCTGTACCGGCCGCCCCAGTCCTCGGTCTCGCCAACGCGCACCTGATCGAGCTCGCCGATGTTGTCCTGCTCGTAGATCTTCGCCACCACGTCCTCTATCATTTTCACCACCGCCTCAAACTCCTCCAGCGACGAGTTCCGGCTCAGCTTCGCAATCTCGGCACGAACGTCCGTGTGGATGCTCAAAAAGTTGCGCAACGATTTGAACAAATGCGACTTGAAGCACCGGCGGCTCTCTGAGCCCTCGCACTGAGCAACCACGCCAAAATACTCGCGCACAAACCGGTCTATTCGCGGGAACTGTTTCTCGATGTCCTCGGTCTCCGTCCAGAAAATGCCCGGGTTGTACAGATTTCCCTCTGCAGACATCACTGCGTCGCAGCCAACCTCCTTGATGCAGCGCTCAATGTCCTCTGGATACAAAATGTTGCCGTTGCTCAGAAAAACGGTCTCTGGAGGCAGGTTGTCTCTGATGTACTTGACGAGCTTCCAGTTCGCAAACCCGGTCTTCTGTCCCTTCATCTCGCGCGTGCGCCCATGGACAGTGAGAAACTGTGCTCCAGCGTCCAAACACATCCGCGCGTACGCTAAACTCTTGTCCCAGTCGTCGTAGACCCTAATTTTGGCTGTCACGGGGACTTTGAGGTTTCTGTGCAGGGTGTTGATCAGTTTCGCGATGAGATCCCAGTCCTCCATCAGAAAGGACCCGTAATGGCCCTTGCGCGCAATTCCCTGAGGACACCCCAGGTTCAGGTCCACGGCATCGCATCTGTCCTCGACGTGCTTGGCGGCCTGAAGAAGGAAGTCCGGGTCGTTTGCACAGAACTGCACAATCAGCGGTCTGTCCACTTCAGAGCCGTCCATTGGGCCAAACATCTTTTCACGGTACTTTTCGTCCGTTGCAAAAAGCCGAGAATGGAGCATGGGGGAATAACATAGGTCGGCGCCGTATTTTCTTGATATCATCCGCCAAGCGAGTTCAGAACCGTCCACCATTGGTGCCACCACCTTTTTGGGACGTCCGAGCTTGTCGTAGAGCTGTCTGCCGGTCGGTTTGGAGTTTGTCATGAATAAAGACCGAAGGCTTGATAGCATATATTTACTAAATTTTTTTTTTTTTTTTTTTTTTTATTTTTTTTTTATTTTTCTTATTTTTCCAATTCTCATGCAAACATTATATAACATTACTTTTAACGGGACGATCCTGGACTAAAACGAGACTGCGTGTGGTGGATAGCTGTTGCTCGAGCTTTCAGCGCCTCCGCAAAAACGAGAGCAATAGGCCACACCGGCGCATCAGCCAAAATACGGACCCCCAAAGACAGGCATCTCGAGCTCAGTCTAGCACTCATCATGATCTGGGCTATTGGACGTAGGTCTCCCGGCTCCAAAGCCAGTCTGGCTATTTCGTCGTCCAGAATTTCGACGTCCAACGCGCCGTTAGCTTGGATGCGCAGGAATTCAGAGTACGACGAGTTGTTGGACCCTTTTGGTAGCAAGTTCTCTTCCACCTTTTTGAAAATGGTTTCTGTGCGGAGCCACAGCACTCTGTCGGCTGTAGTCAAGTCGTTGAATTTTTCTGGCGCCGTCAGATAGTTGATGGCCCATTCCTCGGTGGTGTAGAGGTATTCCGAGATGAGGAGCGCGGACGTGAACAGACACGTTAAAAAGAAAATTGGGGTTCTGACAGACGTCTTTTCGGCATCGTTGGTGATGGAAATTATCTCGACCCACAGGTTGATGATGTCGAGTGAGTAGTTGATAGAGTCCCGCAGCGCCTCCAGGTCGCTGGTCAGGTTTTTGATTTCCGTGTTCATCCCGTCCCAGTCTCTGTGCCAGACCTTTTTCAGAATTGGAGAAATGTAGACACATTTGCATATTTTTGCAAACGACAGGAGCGGCAGAATCAACTTCAGGACAGGGCTCTGGCTGATGGTGTGCAGGTTCTGCCCGCGCGGCACGATCGGCCCCCCGTTGCGGATGAAACAGCTTTCCCACGACTTGATGATGCTCTCCAGCTGCGGTCTGATTTCCAGTCTCCACTCGGCCATGTTTGCTCCGACGCTTTTGTTGGAGTTGGCCAGTTCCTGGCGCTGGCGATGGATGTCGCCGTTCAGAGACATCAGCAGCGACAACAGACACCTGAACCCGATTTCCTTGTCGAGTGTATGGTTGTTCAGGTCGCGCCACAGGTCTTTGTAGGAGTTGAACCCGTTGCTGAGCTGGATGAGCGAGAATTTCGAGTCCACCCGCACGTTGTTCTCCTTGAGCACCGTCAGCCACTCGAACTCCGTCTTGCTTTTCCACAGGGTCTCCAGTGAGCACGGCGACCCGCACCTGATGTCGTCTGCGGTGAGCTGGATGGGTGACCCGATCAGCGACCCGAACAGCACGCAAAGATAGTGCAGACAGTGGACGGTCCGGATCCTGCTCTGTGCCCGGATGAAGTACTCGTAGCAGGACCTCACGAGGGCCGAGTTGCCGGATATCTCTGTCGTGATGGTTGGCGGAAGCTGGAACGTTTCCACCGGCATGTCCAGCTTGGTGGTCTTGACCAGCGACACCAGCGACGCGAGCTGGCGCGAGGTCAGCTTGGTCACCTCGACGTCGTTGTGGAACATGCCCAGAAACATGTGCAGCAGCAGCGCCTGTGTGATGTGCAGCGGCACCTCGTTGAACTTGTTCTGTGCCAGCTGGCTCTCCATGAAGTTGTGGATCAGGAACCTCGAGAAGTTGAAGAGCGTGGACGAGTTGCGCGCGTGGAACGAGTACAGCGCGCCGATGGCCGCCATCGACAGCAGCAGCGGGATCTGCTCGAGGTCGCGCTCGACGTTGAGCGACGGAATGTGAACGAACGGGAAGTACTTGTCGAACTCGATTTCGTAGAGGGCCAGGTAGTGGTTGAGGTCGTCGGACTGCGGGAACTGCGACGCTTTTAGGTGGTACTTGTTCATGATATGTGTGCGCACCATTTCGGGAAATCGGCCGGGGTTGGCTGGGTGCTGCTGGTTCTGCGAGAACGAGATGTGTTTGAACAAATCCAGCTGTCTGGAACGGAAAAACTGCGAGAGATCGTTCGTCGGCGAGTCGTTGGACAAAGGAGAGTGGTTGGAGTTGTTGGTGGCCGGCGAGTCTGTGAACCCGATGTGGTTGGACACGGCGGGGAACTCCATTTCGATCGGCGCGTTGATGAACTCGAACAGCCAGTCCTCGTTCGGGTGCTGGTCGTCGTCGGTCGACGGCTTGCTGTCTCTTTTTTCCGGGCTCGTGAGCGAGTTGTTGCTGAAAACGCTGCTTTCCGGGGTGAAGTCAAACTCCTGGCTCGTGAGCTTGCCCTGGAACAGCGACGTGATGGCCGGCGGCGCTGCCTGCGGGACGTTGGCGGTGTGCTCGTGCAGGCTGTGCAGGTCCAGGTTGTCCAGGTCCATATAGAGAATGTCGCCCTGGTGGTACCGGAGCTGCGGCGAGCTGAACTGGACCTGCTGCGGCGTGTCGTTGCTGTAGCCCGTGTACGAGTTGGACGTGGCCGCCGAGAACGACGCGTGGCGGTGGGCTGTGCGGTTGTTTTTGTCTGCGTCCGTGCTCTCGTCCACGGAGGCACCCCTGGACGGGGTGTCGTCGTGAGCGAAGCCGGCGCCGGACATTTTTCGCGGCGAACAAAACTGGCCGCCCGCGTCCTCCTCCTCCACCGGAGGGCTCACGCTGTTGGGCAGCGGCAGCTGCGCATTGGTGTTGTTGCGGACGATGTTGATGTTGTCGTTCAGATAGTCACTCACAACCTCGCCGTCGCGGGGCGACAACTTGGCGCCGCGGCCCTTGCGCGGCGCCTTGGCCCTGTTGTTTGTCGGCAGCGACGAGTGCAGTTTTTGCTGGTGTCTCAAAACAAGGTCTCGCCGTGCAAAACAGCGTCCGCACGCTGCACACTGGAACGGCTTCTCGTTGGTATGGCTGCGCTCGTGCCGTTTGAGGTGCTCGAGCCGCGCGAACGCGCGCGTGCACGTGGCACAAACATGGGGACGGGGTTTATCTGTCTTGATGGTCGCACTCTTCTTGGGAATCGGCATCGGCTCCTGGCACAGGTCCGAATCGGCTGTGTGTGCGGCCGTGTCGAGGCCGGACAGCGTGGCGTTCGCCAGCCCGGGAGCCGGATCCAAAGAGTACTGCGTAATCGATACTACTTTGTCCGTCATGATGACCAATAAATATTATCCATCAAATATGTAAAACTAGGGGGTTGCCGTTTTTTTCTATTCTACCAGCAAATTTTTAAATGCATTTCCACCATCCCCAGACCATGCGGCCCTACAAAGCCACCGCGTCACCCCGTAATTATTTTACCTACCTCGCCCGGCTCGCGGCAGGCCTCGGACTCCTACAACACTTGCATCTTTTCACAAAGATGACGCAAATCCGGGGTTGCCGCCACCCATTACCAGAAAAAGCAGTGCATGCATATTTTCTATCTATATGTGGCATAATTTTTCGACTGGGGGTTCGGATTTTCGTTGGAAACCCCGTTTTGTTGAGCGTCGTGGCCAAACTCCGAATCGACCGTCACGCCGTACGCGTCCGTGAACGACTGCACCACGCAGTCCGGAACCCCCACGCCATCGCCAAACGTCGTTCCACCCAGCGTCACCTTGTCTCCGAAAACTTGCCGCGTCGCTTCGGCCACTTTCTTCTTCAGCTCCTCGTGGCCCACACGGTACTGTGGAATCGCGTCTGTCCAATACTCAATCTCGATCACCTCCGTCCCGTTGCACTTGTCCAGGTCGATGTGCAGCTTGCTCAGCAGCACGTCGCGCACAATCTTGTGCACTCTCGACCGCGTCGGCAGGTCCTCGCCCTTCTTGAGCTGGTGGCCGCCCAACATCAGCGTCAGCTTCGTGTACGAGTTTGTAATCACCGCGCCCCTGTTGGCCACCGCCTTTGCCAGCTTCGCCAGCTTCTCGTCCGAGATCGGAGACTCGCTCGTCAGCTCGGTGCTCACGTCGTTGTAGAAAAATAGCCGTCTCGAGCTCTGTTCAATGTCGCTGTCGAATATTACTCCCAGCAGCTGGGTCTCGTCCTGCATCGTCTTGGGCACCAGAAAGCCGAACCCGGGGTGCGACAGCAGCTTCAAAGCGGGCAAATACACGTTTGCCAGCACCACCGTTGTGTACTCCAGGGGGGCCACCAGCGCGCCGATCTCGGCGTTCTGCAGCACGGCGGCTGTCGCTGGACCGTTCACAGTCAGCCGCAGATGGTCCACACGCACTGTCTCGCCCGTCGAAAGCGTCAGCTCCAGCCCGTCCTCCTTCTTGGCCACACCTCGCACCGCCGTGTTTGTGTGCACCGCCACGTTTGCGGGCAGGTTTTTCTGGAGCACGGTCACGAGCGACTCGAGGCCGTCTCGCATCGTGAGCACGGGGAATTTGCGCAGAAACCGGGCCGTTTTGGGCACGTTGAACGCCGGCTTGAACACCTTCGAGTACAGTTCGACCTCTGGCGCGAGCTGCTCGGGTGTCTTTTTTTTCAGACTCTGGAGCAGCTGCGACGCTCCGTAGCGGACGATCGACCCGTGCTGGCGCTCAATGTCCACCAGCCGCGACAGCACGCTCGCAGCACTCAGCTTGGCCACGTCTCCGGCGTAGATTCCGTGCATAATCGCGCTCACAACGTTGTCAGACACAGATTTGTTGAACCTTCTCGAGACAAACTGCTCTACCGTCTCGTCCGGTGTCGATTTGGACCTCACAAACGGCTCCTTTAGCAGGCCGAACAGAACACCCTTGCCGAGCGGGTCGAACAGAAACCGCAAAAACGAAGCGAACGAGTACGGCACAGGGCTCAGTTTTCCCGAATGGCCCTCTGTGTCAGAGTATGGACTCAATAAATATTTTCTATTACCCAGAGAGTTTTTTGAAATGCCAAGGAGCTCGTTCTGGGCATTGCATTTGAAGAGCAGGTCCAGAATCAGCAGGACACCCGGGCTTTCTCCGCGGAGGGTACGCGGACCTTTTTCCAGAATGGTGTAGTCCTGGTTGGCGCGGGAATCGTATTCGGTGGTGCCAAGCCGTTTCGATCTGATGTAGCCACCGCATCTGGCGGATTTCTCGTACAGATCGATCTTGACATCGGGCCGCAGTTTGCCTAGGAAGTAGGCATATGTCAGCCCCGAGATCCCGCCGCCAACAATCCCCACTCTGCCCTGTTGCGGAATAATTGGCATGGAAAATGATTAAAATTAGGTGATTTTTTATTGGAAAACACCCGGGGGTGTGAAAATTATATTATTTTTTTACATCATCTATTACGTCGTCAGCGACTGGTACTCCTTCTCTAAGTCCGAAGAGTACACTAGCTCGCTTTTCTTTTCTTGTGGCGGCTGCGAGCCTGCCGTTTGCACCAGCTGGACAGGCCTCTTGATAATCCACCGGTCGTCCTCCTCGAGAGTGTACAGCAGATTGAGGATTGTGAGATAGTTGTCGCTGATGAGCTTGATATCGTTGAACTTGTTCTGTTTCATCAGTTCCAAGCCGATGCTGTTGAAACGGTAGAGCGCCTCCACGGCAGCTCTGTAGTCGCCCTGTTTGAGGCGCAAGGTGTAGCATATACGGTAGTATTTGAGAGACGTTTTGAGATCGCTGTTCAACGCGCTTGACTCGCCCAGACTGTAAATCAAATCGTCCACCTTGTCCGCGTCCTCGTTGAACGGATAATCCAGGATTTTCGGGATCTGGTTCATCTGGAACAACTTGTACACAAACTGCTTGACTGGGTGTTTTCTGTATTTTCTCTGCATTTTCAGGATCGTGTCATGGGCCAGTTCAAATTCCTGCAATTTGAGAGCCAGCTGGAACACTTTTAGCAGAATAGCCTGGTCGTCCGAAATATCTTTTAGCTCTGTTTTCGTCGCAAGCGCTTTCAGAGCCAGTTTGAGAGCCAGCTGGTCAAACTGTTTCGATTGGAACAGAGTGCTGAGATCGTAGAAGTAGTCCGTTTTGGAGTCCACCAATATCAGGTTGGTGTAGTCAGACACCGGTTGCAATGCTCTTTTTTCTGCCGCAGACGCTGTCTTTGCGGCCTGTGTGATTTGGTCTGCATTGGCGGTGAACAGCTCAAACGCCTCTTTTCCGTGCTTGGTGTTGAGCAAAATCAGTCCTTTCAAAATGCTAGAAATTCCAGTTTCTGGAAGATACTTTGCCAAGTGTGCGTCCTGGAACCTTTCGTCCTTAACAAGCTTTGCCACGATCGAGTAAACAAACGTGTTTTGCAACAAAAGACCGAAAACGTGTGTTAGCAAATGGTTAAGGTTGTTGACTCTCACCATGACTCCGCCCTGGAAAATGTCCTCTAAGTGCCCCAGCAGCAAAGACGATGGTACCTGCAACGACAGCTCCACGCCTCTATACAGTTTTGCCAGCTCGGTGTAGTAGCTGACCATTTGCGGATTGATATCCACCGTGAGAACGATCAGAAGTAGACCGAGGATCAGCTTTTTCTGCTGCAGCAGATTATTTTTCAGCGACGACACCAACAACGTGCCACCCAAGTTGCCAAACCTGACTTTCTCAATAGGAACGTAGCCAACGTTGTCCAGAGTCGAAAGGCTGATTAGGAACTCAAAAAGCTGCATCGTGTCCTTGGATGCGTTCAAAGCGGTGAGCAGTTCGGTGACCATAGCTTCGTCGACGAAAGGCGACAGTTCTTCCTGAAAAATGGTGCTCATTTGCGGCTCTGCAGCTTCTGGACGATCACAAACGCGCTGCACCACTTTGAAAACAACTTCCTGGGGAAACTTGGCAACAAAAGATAGCACGTATTTGGCTAGCGGGCGCAATTCTCTGGCGTTGACATTGGAATATTGCAGGTCCTCGTCCGAAAGTGAGTCATTGTAGCAGATCAGATCAAACGGCGACGAAGGCACAATCACAGACAGGCCGTGTGTCTTTTGGATCACAAGCATGCCGTCCACTAGATTCATTGCAACTGAGGGCTCCAATTGTCTGGAAAGCTCTTTGCAAGCGTTGTCGAATTTCACCCATTGTTTCTTGAGGCTGTTGAGGTAATCCTGTGGGTCCAAATCGTGTGTAATCACATGTTGCAATTTTTCCGGCAGCGGTAGAACAGAAGTTTCCAAATTATACTTTTTTTCCAGTATGGAGAGCACCTTTTCCACAACGTGCTCGTCGTATACCTGTAGCAACTGCATGCAGTGAGAGTTCAACAAATCGACGTCGTCGAAAAATGTAATGGACTGCGCTAAGTTGTTTGCAAGCGGCGGAGCACAATGGGCCCAGCTCATCTCGAGCTTGTCGTCAATCTGGCCCAAAAGCACACGTCTAGCTCCGTGGAGAGACCATAAAAGACTGACCTGGAGATTCACCTCCACTTTGGACAAAACCATGCTGTGGAACGCCCATCTATCAACTTCAGGAGGGACGTATTCGTTCAGCAAAATAAGCGATTCGTCTGGCTCGACAGAAAACAGTTTCAGAGACGTCTCGCCAACAGGAACGAGAACAGCGAGGTATCTTCCCACCAGACCCAGCAGTCGCGTTGGCGGGTTATTGAAGTGCACTGGGTGTAATTCCTTAGGCAGAAACTCATTTAGACTCAATTCTCTCTCCATAGCACCCGTCTCGAGCGACCAGAACCTGATGGTTTTATCAATACTCAGAGTGACGAGCTTGTTCTCCAGCACAACGAAATCCAGTGCTGTTGCAACCGCCACCCGCCGGTTATCTATGACCACCGTCTCCGTCTGGTCCTTGCGCTTGGATCCAAAAAACGGAAGTCTGAACTGGTTGAAGTACGACGTGTCGCTGAACGGAACCACCAGAAACTTGTCTTCCATGGTTTCCTTGAACATTCTGAGCAGGCCGCCGTCCTCAAGAGCCACGATGATTGTGTTCGGGTCGATCGACCGCATAAACAAAGGAGCTCGCACGTCGAACGAGTAGGGCATGCTGTATTGGCACCAGTTGTAAAAAGTCACAGGGGACAGTGTTTCCTGGGACAAGAATGAGTCCAGCGGCAAATTCAACGAAATAAGCAGATTATCTGTCGTGAGTATGTTGATTGAGACCGCCGCCCCGGCATCTGTGACAGACACGCACTCAGGCCTGGCTTTTTGAGGAAGAACAAAACAAAGAGACTTGAACGTCAGGTCCAACGGATTGTTCAAAACAAGCGGCGTGAGCGTGAGTCTGTAGCCATCGGCAACTAGTTTATACGAGACGGTGTTGAAAATGGCAGATTGGGCCTTGAGATCCACCACGTCGCCGCCGATCGCGAGATGTTGTTCAAACTGAAGAGGCTGAAGTTGCGGGAAGTCGGCGCTTGAAAGCGAGTGCTGTTTGAGAGCTTTGCTGATTGAGTGGGGGAGAACCACTGTAGACGTTTTGAGGTCCGGATGGACCGCAATTTCCACAAAAGAGGTGGAGGACATGGACAGGTAGGTAAAACAATAAATTATAAAATAATATTTTTAGGGAGGGGGGTGAATTTTGAGCGTGGCACCGTTGGTGACCTGCATGCAGCATAGGCCATTCCAGACACATGCCAGCGAGGATGGGCTGTTTTCGTCGCCTACTCTGCGCTTTACAGACAGTGTTCACAACAAGCTTCACGACGGCTTCCGCTTACGTAACGCCGGCCACGGGTATAAATAGCTGTGAGGAAGCTGAAAAATTTTACACTTCGATGAGGATCCAAACAATCAAACTAGAGTTTATGATTGCCATGATTTTAAGTCTCTGACTGAGAAGTGGTAAGTCTTGATGATGACGAAACAAAAACAAAGCTGGAATTACTGGCTGAATATCCGTGTTGATAAGTTTTTGCACCATTACTGAGAGATGAACGCTAACAAGTAGAACTAATAGGTTTTTGCGAAAAGGGTTTTTCAAACGCCTATTGGCCGCTCGATGAGGACATACGCACTGGGCACCGAACATAAATGAGTGACAATGCTAAAGGCGGGCCTCAGAAACCCGCCGTGACTGACGAGCTGGCTGTACAAGTTTGATGCGTCGCCAAAGCGTTGTCGACGTAGAAAGTGAGTACGGTGATGAAGTCTTGATGACGAGTCAGATTCGTGGTTCACGATGACGAGACTTCTATTATTTCCATTCATGCTTTTCTGAGGTACTAACCATAGACATGTAAAGACATGCAAACCATATAAGGACTACCTGATGATACCAAACCAAAATGACAAGCATATGTCTGACTTCTGAAGACACCCTTGGGTCTGATAGTCTGCTCGATCTGGTTCAGAGCGTCAGTGGACGCTCTTGGCCAGAGGCCAGCGTATATGATGATTGCACTTTCTCACGACGGTCAACTGTTGCTCCGGCACTTGATGATAATTCGGCTTTGACAAGCCGTGCACCTGAAACGCGGCACGAGTAGTAAGTATGGTGATGAGTCAGTTTTTGCTTGATTCGTGATAGCAAAAAAATATGATTTGCATGTCAGTCTGATGTACTAACGTAGAACATAGTTATGTATAGAAAACAATGTAAACCCAAAAAACCGTTTTATTTAGCTGTAGCAGCGTGGTAGCAATCGTCACAGGCTGCTCTAGACTCCGTCCATGGGTTTCCCTTCTGTGTCAGCGAACAGGAGCTTACCGTCATGTCTCGTGCACCTGCCTTTCTGGGCTAAATGCCCCACTGGCATTTAGCAACGCTACCTATATGTCATTCTTGCTGAGCGAGCAAAAAAAAAAAACTTTAAATATCCTACCCGAGGCTCGCCGCGGCTGCACAAATATAAATATTTCACCTAAATATTTCACCTTCCCCGGATCTCAAGCATGATGCCTCCTAAACGCACAAAAGAGCGGTACACCAGGACCTCCAAGGCGTGCGACCTGTGCCACAAGAAGAAAACACGCTGTCTGAAGTCGGGCTCCTCCATCAGCTGTCTCCGGTGTCTTGCTCTGAACGAGCCGTGCTCGCTGGCCCCCGATACCCCAGAATCCTCCACGCCGACCTTCACCCAGCCCCAGACCCAGGAATTCGCCGAGATGTCTCTGCGCACGAGCCTCGCGTCCATTTCCTCGGACGTGAGAGAGGTTCTGCGAGTACTGAGAGAATCGACGCTTCCCGAGCCGGCTGCCTCGATCTCCGACTCGTACGAGCTCAACATGTCCTCGCGGCCGATCACCACCATCAGCACGTCGCCGCTCGCGTTCGTGGCCCACGTGCAGCCGGACACCTCGCTTTTCCCGCCCGCAGTGCTGAACCAGCTCAACTTGCTGCCCTCGCTCGAAAACACGCAAACGGACATCGTGTCCATCCAGCTGCTGAGCTACGACCAGGCCGCCAAGCTGCTCGACATTTTCCGCGACAGGTACGGCCGCTGGATCTCGTTCCCGGACACGTTCAGCACGCCGCAGCTGCTCACGCATATCCGCAAAACGTGTCCGCTGCTGCTCACCGTCGCGTGCGCGCTCTCGCTGAAATACGGCGACCCGAACTTGAAAGAGCTGGTCTACCACGAGATGCTGCTCATCATCAAGAGAGACCTCGAGCAGAGCCTGATCAACATGCCGAAACGACTCGAGTTCCTCCAGTGTCTGATCATCCTCTCCATCTACAGCGTGAGTCTGAGCGACGAGTCTGCAGAGCTGCGTCTGGACGGATGGTACCTGTCGCACATGGGCATCCATCTGTTTCTGAGACTCAACAGCTACGGGCTCTTTGAGTACCTGTACGACCCGGCGCTCGTGCAATTCGAGTTCAACGAGCTCACCTCGTACAGAATCATAAACACCCTCGTGCTCATCCATCTGGCGTACTCGCTGCTCTCTGGCAAACAGTCTTCCTATTCGCTGGGCACGCTGACCCCGAAAAAGTTCTACGACCACAGTCTGTCCACCAACTTCGACTACCGGATCATCGCAGAGGTCGAGGTCTACCTGTTTGCGTACCGGTACCTTCATCTGGGCGAGAGCCTGGACATTGTGCGCAGCCAGATGAAAGGGTGGCTTTCCGAGTGGGAGGAGCTGTTCACGAGCTCTGCCAACGAGTTTGTCGAGATCGACTACCATCTGGCAGAGCTGCTGCTGATTTTCGGCGAGAACAACGCCGACCTCGACAAGGTGCGCGAGAACGCAGAGGCGTACGAGGCGGCCTACTTCCACTCGGCCGAGATACTCAAGCTGGCCGTTTCCATCACCGACGACTCGTATTTTGCGTTTCTGTCGGACCAGATGCACATGATCATCGTGTACAACGCAATGGTGGTGGGCACGCTCCAGCGGCCGTCCGACCCCGACGTGGACGGTCTGCTACAGCACCTGAAAAACAGGTACACGAGAATCGCGACGAGCGACAACGACATGGCCTCCAAATACAGCATGATGCTGGAGGCCAGACACAGGTGAAGAACGGTATGTTTGGTGAATTTAATGTATTCAGGTCTCTGTAAACAGTGTATTTAGCATGAGTAATTGGCGCGAGGACACTTCTAGCCCGTTCACTGGCCAGCCTTGAGTCCGAAACAGGCTCTTCCGGTGTAGTACAGCGAGGCACCGACAGAAAGAGTCAGGCCGAGCGCGTACGGGATCAAGTAGTACTTGGATCTTGGGTGGGCCATGTAGATAGGCTTGTTGGTGCTCTGGTAGAACTTTTGCAGCTCAATCACTCTGTTAGGCATGGTTGTATTTTTAGGTTTATTCAGCCAATGATACTTTACAAAATTAAGAAAAAAATCGTCAGATGGACAGGTCTGTCGACGCTTGGAAATTTTGGAGTCGGCGCGTCGATCTCAGATGGGGCTGTACATATTCGTGTACATCTTCGCTGGCTTGGCAAGCAGGCCGAACCGAGAGACCAAAATGCAGGCAACACATGATACCAAGAGATCCAGCCTGGTGCATTGCGGCTGCTTGTCAGACTGGCCGTGTGCTACACCAGCCAGCCCAAAGCCGGTCTAGAGTAATGTAATGTCTGCTGCCGGGGACGTCTTGCAGAGTCCGCAGTCTCGCTCTTGGACCGAACACGGTCCCTTTCCACCTTTGAGCAGGCCCGCAAACGCCCAGAACCTTTCCCTCCGCTGCGAACTCCGGATCATTTCTAAGTATCCTGTACCGTTATCGTCTCGGCATTCTTTCGGGAGAGCGAGCTATCACCGAGATTTTTCGGGCTCGAAAAATACTGTGTATATATATTTATGTCCTGCCCCAACATCCAAACATCAACCAGCCATGTCAGATTCGATCTCAGTGAAGTCGGGAGACTCCCAGTACTTGGGGTTTGACTCCAACGTCGAAACCCAGGTCAGGGGGCTTGCCCGCGAGCTCTCGCACGTCTCTGCGTACGAGACAGACAAGAACGACACCGACGCTCGCTCGCTGATCAGGACGCTCACAAATTACTCCCAGGTGCCTGGCGTGAACCCGTTTGTCGAGAACGGCGTCGACGCGCGTCTGAACCCGGACTCGGACGATTTCGACTCCAAGCTCTGGATTCAGAACATGCGCAAACTGACAGACTCGGACCCAGAATACTACAAGCCTGCCACTCTCTCTGTTGCGTTTCGAAACCTCCGTGCCAGCGGTGTTGTCTCCTCAGAGGACTACCAAACGACCGTTCTGACTGCGCCCATCAAGTTCGTGATGGAGAATTTCAACAACACCTTCCGCAAACATGTGGAGTCTCGGTACTTCGATATTCTCAAGCCCATGGACGGCCTGATTTTGCCCGGAACGTTCACGCTTGTTCTGGGCCGTCCGGGCGCCGGGTGCTCGACTTTTCTCAAGACAGTTGCGTCGCAGACTTACGGGTTCAAAGTGGCTCCCGAGAGCGTGATTTCGTACGACGGTTTCAGCCCCAAGGACATCAAGTCCAACTACAGGGGAGAGGTCACGTTTTCGGCCGAAAAGGACGAGCACTACCCGCAGCTGACGGTGCGCCAGACGCTGGGATTCGCAGCCAAGCTCAAGGCCCCACGAAACAGGCCGCAGGGCGTGTCCGCGCAGGCATATGCCGATCACATGACCAAGGTGTACATGGCGATGTACGGGCTGTCGCACACGGCCGACACGAAAGTGGGCAACGACTTCGTCAAGGGCGTTTCTGGCGGCGAGCGCAAGCGTGTTTCCACGGCGGAGTTGTCGCTGTGCGGCTCGAAAATCCAGTGCTGGGACAACTCCACCAGAGGTTTGGATTCTGCTACCGCGCTGGAGTTTTTGCGCGCGCTGAAGACGTCTGCCACCGTGCTGCGAACCACGCCTATCACGTCGGTCTACCAGTGCTCTGAGGACTCGTACAACCTCTTTGACAACGTGCTGCTGCTCTACGAGGGCTACCAGATCTACTTCGGCCCGGCCTCGCAGGCAAAGCAGTTTTTCCAGAAAATGGGCTATGTGTGTCCTCCGAGACAGACGACGGCAGACTTTCTCACGTCGCTGACCTCGCCGAAGGAGAGACTCGTGCGCGAGGGCATGGAAAACAGAGTTCCGCGCACGCCAAAGGAGTTCAACGAGTACTGGCGCGAGTCGCGCGAGTACGCAGAGATGGTGGCACAGACCGACGCGTACATCAAAAAGAGCGCCGAGGGCGATCTGCGCGAGCAGTTTCACCAGTCCCACATCGCCAAACAGGAGAAAGGCTCGCGCTCGCGGTCTCCGTACACATCCACGTACTGGACGCAGGTGAGAGAAAACATGCGCAGATACTGGTGGAAAATCAAGGGCGACCCGTCGATGCTATACTTCCACATCTTTTTCCGCGTGTCCATCTCGCTCGTGATCTCGTCGCTCTACTACAACCTGAAAGACACCACCTCGGACCTCTACTACCGCGGAGCGTGTATGTTTTTCGCAACCATGTTTAATGCCATGTCTGCGATGATGGAGGTGATTGCCTGTTTCGAGGCGCGTCAGATCGCCGAGAAACACAAGAAGTACGCCCTGTACCACCCGTCGACCGACGCGCTCGCGTCTGTCATCACCGAGATTCCCAACAAGCTCGTCATCAACACCGGGTTCAATCTCGTGTTCTACTTTATGGTGAATTTCCGCAGAAACCCGGGCAATTTCTTCTTCTACCTGCTCATCAACCTCACCAGCACGTTCACCATGTCGCACATAATGCGGTCGCTCGCGTCGCTGTTCCGCACGCTGTCCGAGGCCATGACTCCGTCGATGTTTATGGTCAGTCTGCTCGTGCTCTATACCGGATTTGCTGTTCCGGTCAAGGACATGCACGGCTGGTCGAGATGGATCAACTACCTGGACCCGATCGCGTACGCGTTCGAGGCGCTGATCGCAAACGAGTTCCACGGCAGACAGTTCGAGTGCAACGATTTTATTCCTGGCTATCCCGGCGTGCCCCAGGAAAACACTATCTGCAACACGCTGGGCGCCGAGGCCGGCGAAACAAGCATTTCCGGATCCAAGTACATCGCCCTGGCGTACGAGTACTACGCCAAGCACAAATGGAGAAACTGGGGCATCAATCTCTCGTTTGCGATTTTCTTCCTTGGAGTGTACCTGTTGCTGGTGGAGAACTCGAAATCTGCCATGCAAAAAGGAGACGTGCTGCTTTTCCTGTCGAGCTGGTTCAAGACCCCGACTCACACCAGAGCGAAAAGCGACATCGAGACGGCCAACAACATCGAGAGCCTCAACTACGCCAAGGACGAGGCCGGGTCGTCCTCCGACTCCGGCCGGCTTGCTACCGGCAACGGCATTTTCCACTGGAGAGACGTGTGTTTCGACATCAAGGTCGGCAAGAAGCCAAAGAGAATCCTGGACCACGTGGACGGCTGGGTCAAGCCCGGCACGCTGACCGCGCTGATGGGCGCGTCCGGCGCCGGAAAGACCACGCTGCTGGACGTGCTGGCCAACAGAGTCACCATCGGCGTGGTGACCGGCTCCATCTTCGTCAACGGCCAGGAGAGAAACCAGTCGTTCCAGAGGTTTACTGGGTACGCGCAGCAGCAGGATCTCCATATCCAGACGGCCACGGTGCGCGAGTCTCTGCGGTTCAGCGCGTATCTGCGCCAGGACGCTTCTGTGTCCAAGCAGGAGAAAGACGACTACGTTGAGGAGATTATCCGTGTTCTGGAGATGGAGAGCTATGCTGACGCCGTCGTTGGCGAGGCGGGGCAGGGCCTCAACATCGAGCAGCGCAAAAGACTCACCATCGGCGTCGAGCTCGTTGCCAAGCCGCAGCTGCTGCTGTTCCTGGACGAGCCCACGTCGGGCCTGGACTCGCAGACGGCCTGGTCGATCTGCCAGCTCATGCGCAAACTCTCCAACAGCGGCCAGGCCATTCTGTGCACGATCCACCAGCCGTCGGCCCGGCTTCTGCAGGAGTTTGACAGGCTGCTTTTTCTGGCCGCCGGCGGAAAAACCGTGTATTTCGGTGAGCTGGGGCCTAACTGCCAGACGCTAATTGACTACTTTGAGAAGAACGGCGCCAAGCCGTGTCCTCCGCACGCCAATCCGGCCGAGTGGATGCTGGAAGTCATCGGCGCGGCGCCCGGGTCGCACGCAAAAAGAGACTACCACGAGGTGTGGACTAGCTCTCCAGAAAGAGCTGGTGTTCTCGAAGAGCTGCACAGACTGGAACAAATTGCCGACGAGAAACCGCAGCAGGAAGACGCCAAACAGCGCCAGTTCGCCACGTCGTTTGCGACCCAGTACCATCTCGTCACCAAACGCATGGTCCAGCAGTACATCCGTACACCGTCCTACATCTACTCGAAGCTGCTGATGGCCATTGGTGTGTCCATGTTCAACGGGTTCACGTTTTTCCACGCCAACCACACCAAACAGGGCCTCCAGGACCAGATGCTCTCCATATATCTCATGTGCATGTCCGGCATGGTGTATTTCCAGCAGCTGCTCCCGCTGATCGAAGAGGAGAGAAACGTCTACGAGGTGAGAGAACGGCCGTCGAAACTGTACAGCTGGTACGCGTTTGTGTCTGCAACGTTCACGGCCGAGCTGCCGTGGAGCTTCATCACCGGCACGCTGTCCTTTGTCACGTGGTACCTGCCCCTGGGCCTGTACAGGGACGCGGAGCAGACGAACTCCGTTTCTGAGCGCGCCGGCCTGGTGTGGTTGTACCTGACGTTCTTCTACATGTACGCCACGACTCTCGGGTATTTCTGCTCGTTCGGGCTGCAGGTGATGGCCAACGGAATGAACAACTCGTTCATGGTGTTTATGCTGTCGATGAACTTCTCCGGCGTGCTGATCTATCCTACCGGTTTCTGGACCTGGTTGTACCACGTTTCTCCGCTGACGTGGTGGATCGGCGGCATTGTTCCTGCGGGAATCCGCGACACGAGAATCCGCTGTGCCAGCGACGAGTACGTCAAGTTCCCGCCTGTCTCCGGCCAAACGTGCGGCCAGTACCTGGAGGAGTTTATCACCAAGAACGGCGGCGGGTATGTGGTGAACGCGGACGCCACAGACATGTGCGAATTCTGCTCGATGTCCAACTCCAACCAGTTCCTTTTGCAAAGACACATGAACCCCGAGCACATGTGGAGAAACTTTGGGCTGATCATTGCGTACACGGCAATCAACATTCTCTGTACATATGCCTTCTACTACATCTTCCGTGTGCCGAAGAAGCGCAGTCGCGTCGAAAAAGAGACCTTCTTTATTGAGGAGGAGGACGACGAGAAAGCGCCGCCAAAGAAATGGTGGCAGAAGCTCGGCAAGAAAAACTAATTCTAATTACCATCTATTCAATACGCAGGAAATTAATTAAATTGTAATATTATTTAATATCACTAATTATTATCTATCAGTACCACTCAAAGTCGTCTGCCCAGTCGCCTGTAGAGGACCCCAGCTTGAACTGCTCGAGCTTCTTCTCGAACTCCATAGCGTTCTTCTTCTGGATGAGCGACGGGTCTGGCGAAGCGGCTTCCGTAGCAGGTTTTTTGCTTCGCGGGGCCTTGGCCGTGAGGTTGTCCTTTTCGCGCGCGCGCAACCGTTGAGGTTTCGATCTATCCTGGCGGGAACGCTCTCCCGGTCCAGGGTCGGCATATCGGCTCTGCAACGGCGGCGCCTTCCATTGGGGATCTATCCGCGAGAGCAGCGAGTTGCGCGGCTTTTGGGGCTCCCTGCGGCTCTCCTTAGGTTTAGTTGGTTTGTCCTTTGATCGTTCTTTAGGACTGTGTCCCGACTCTTGAGATTCTCGAGATTCTCGCCCTTCTGGCTTCGCCGTGGTCTTATGACTCTCGGCAGAAGTTGTCACCGGCAAAAGTCTCTGAGCGCTCTTTGACAGCGCCCCCTTCGACACAGGCACAATCTCCCAATCCGAGTCGTCGCTCACTTCCTCCACAGAGTCCGAAAACTGAGTGTTGTCGCTCTCTCGACTGTGGCTCTCGCGAGACGCTGGCTCTCCTGAAAATCGCTTGCCCGTCAGCTTTTTATCCTGTTTCACGGCCGTCGCCACTGCTTCGGTGTCGTCTGCCCATCGCGAAGCGAGAGGCGCTCCGGCTGGCATAATCAAGAGTTCTGTATCAAGTCAAAAAATTGTTCGGATTAGTTAATCAATTAATGCGGTAGCCTGGGGAAATTATCTTTTCTACAATATGTTTAGAAGAGTCTTTTCGACAACGCCAATTAGAGTCGCCGATCCGCTGCTGGACTCGGTGCAGCAGGCCGTCAAGGCCAAGTACTCGCAGACCAAGTCGTCGTTCGGCATGCGACTCGTCAAGGTCTTCCTCCCCACATTGCTCGGCGTGACAGCGTACGTGGGCTACAACTCCTACAATTCCAGGCCGGCGTTCATTCCGCTGCTCTACGCCCGGTCGCTGCCTCTGGGCCGCTCCAAAGAGGCCAAAGGCATTGATATCGACAAACTAAAGGCAAACACCAAGGAGATTCTCCTCTCTAAACTATCCATGAACCACACAATAAAAAACACATTAGGGCTTCCCCTGCAATTGGGCGAGTTTCTGAGCTTCAACGTCAAAATCGAGTACAAGAACGTGTTTTTCGAAGGCCTCGAAATCGACTGCACAAAAAGATGGTTCCCTCCGGAGTTCAGATGGAGCCATCGCGAGTTTGCGCCGAAGCTGAAGGACGACCTGAACGGCCTGCTAGAGCCCATGACCTCGGACGGGTCGTTCACGCTGGACTCTGTGGAAAACCGCTACGGCAACAAGAGAGACTACAACCTCATAGTGGGCGGATCTATAGAGGCGTCCTCAACGTTCGATCTGGTGTCGGACGAGGTCGATCCCGGAACCGCGAAAATCACATTCACGGGGACGATCCAGTACGACCACATCAAGTCTCTGAAGACTGACTCCATCGTCCTCTCCTACAGATCAAACGGCCAGACAGTGGTGCACCAGCTGCTCTGAGATCATCAGGCTGTGCAGGAATATTTTTTTTCTTCACAGAATGCCTCCCAATGTGTATGTCAAGAACGGTCTGCGGCATGTTGAGCCGTACATGAGACGCATCACCGCCGTTGCGAGGCCGCGCTGGGTCGGGAAACCGTTTCTGGAGGTGCTGGCGACCGATTTCCGCGGCAGAGACATCGGCAGGTTCAGCGAGCTGATCGATTCTGGAGACATGTATGTCTGGCGACGCACGCCAGCAGGCGTGGAGACCGTGCGTGGCGCACAGCTGCGAACAGAAAAACTGCGGCGCGGAGACAGAATCAGCAACAGTATACACCAGCACGAGAAGCCCGTCATCGCGGCCCCGATAGACGTCCTTCACGAGGACAGCGAGATGCTGGTGGTGAACAAGCCGGCAGGGGTTCCGGTGCATTCGACGTCAGGATACCTTCAGAACACTGTGCTGGAGATTCTGAAGCGCGAACACGGGCAGAGCCAGCTCCATCTGCTGTATCGTTTAGACAAGGCTGTTTCTGGGGTGCTCATTATGGCTAAAAATCTCGCGAAATTCAAGCAGCTGCGGGAGGAAATCGACGACAAAAAAAGGGTGCACAAAGAGTACGTAGCACGCGTCCGTGGCCGGTTCCCGGGCTCTGCGGCGTGCCACGACAACGTGGTGGTCGTCGACCCTCTGAAGAAGTATCAATACGGCGGCGTGGGCGCGCCGAAGAGGGCCACCACGAACTTTTCGCTGCTTGAATACAATTCTGAGCTGGACGAAAGCACGGTCAAATGCGTGCTCCAGACAGGCCGAAAACACCAGATCCGAATACATCTGCGAAATTTGGGACACCCGATTGTGAACGACCCTCTTTATGGCCCTTCTGGGGTCCTGGGCGCACCCATGACGTCGCGGCCGTCCAGTAAAGAATTTTCTCTGATCCAAGAAAAAGCAGAACAGCTACTGAGTGCCATATCGCTTCCCGGGAAGTGCGAGGTGTGCGGGTTCCCGAACCACGTCGACCCGACTCCCGAGGAGCTCGTGATATACCTGCATGCCCGCAAATACATGGTGCAAGGGTCCTGGAGCTACTGTGCTCCAGACCCTGGCTGGGCCAAATTTCCATAGTGTACATAAATCGACGCGTCGCGCAACCGAAAAATATTTGTAAAGATAACCGATGGCGACATTCACCGATCCGCTCGACTCCATCACCGACCCGAGCGACTGGGCCGACACCAGTTTCCCGAACCTGTCCAAGCTGGACTCGCTTCTGCGCTGCCACATTTGCAAGGATTTTCTCAGGGCCCCCGTGCTGACGTCCTGCGACCATATATTCTGCTCTGTGTGTATCAGACGCAGTTTGGAGAGCGACAAGAAGTGTCCTCTGTGCCACGAGGAGACGTACGAAAGCAAGCTGCGCAAGGTGCTTCTTCTGGACGAGATTTCCACGTGGTTCACGCGAAACCGGCCAGAACTGCTCGACAAACACAGGCCGACCGCGAATAACACTCCAGAGCCTGTAGCGGTGCCAGAGCCGGAAAAGCCCGCAGTGCCGCTCAGATACGAGTCGCGCAAGAAACGCGCGGCGGAGGACCCGCTCGTGGAGTGTCCGGTATGCTCCACGTTCATGTCTGCGGACGAGCTGCAGACATCCCACATAGACAGTTGTCTGGCCAACAAGCGGGCCAGGCCGAGCCCGAGCCGGCCGGTGATTTCCAGTTTTTTCAAGAAAGAGCGCACGCCCCAGACACAGCCAGAGTTCGTGAGAAAGAAGTCCAAAATCACCAACTTGGACCCGACCATATCCACCAACAAGCTCAAGGAAAAGCTCAATCACTGGAACCTTCCGACAAGCGGGACGCGGCACCAGATGGAGACCCGCATGAAGGAGTTCATCAGCATGTACAACGCGAACCTGGACTCGGTAAACCCCGTCGACGACCGCGTGTTGATCAACCGGCTCATGAAATGGGAAGGAACGTACTCGCTGAGCAAAACGGCGGGCGACGTCGAGGAGGACGGCGCGCAGTGGCGCAGGAAGTACAAGACGGAGTACGACGAGCTGATCAAACAGGCCAGGGCCAACATGAACCGCATGAATACCAAATTAGATAGTACCGATTAATCTATTCTATTATGTCCATGCTTTCCACCAGCTTGAGCGACGGGATGTACAGCGTGCTGCCGATGCTCATTTTTGCGTCGGTGAGCTCCAAGGTGCGCTTCAGAACCCGCTGGACCACGTCGACCGTGTGTTTGAGCGACGTTTCCAGGTCTTTGGTCCGGTGGAACACGTCTGTCAGCAGACCGAGAAACAGGTCTCCAGACCCGGAGAACACCGCGGGAACCTGGTCGACCGCGACGGCAAACGTCGTGTCTCTGTCCAGACACCCTATGCAGTACATTGTGCCGCCCAGGTCGACCGAGGTGATCACCACGTACCGCACGTTGTAGAGATCGTAGAACCGGGTAACACTCGCGGTAAGCGAGCTCCAGTCCGAGATCTTGGTGTCTGTGAGCGTTTCTATCTCGAACTGGTTGGGCGATGTCAGCGTGACCAGGCCGGCTGGGTCCTGCAGAATGCGTTTATAGACAGGAATGAGGTTTTCGTCGACGTACAGCTTGTCGTTGTCGCCGAGGATGGGGTCGAGCACCACCAGCGGTTTGTAGCTCAGTCTGGCCAGAATGTCTGCGATGCACTCGAGATTCGGCACGCTCGCGACATACCCAACAATGACGGCGTCGTACTCCAGCCCAATCTCCACTAGCCCCTCGTAAATGTCTGCGATTGTAGCCGCGTCGGTCTTGGAGCCCTTGAACGTTCTGAAGCCGGGATGGTTCGACAGGTTCGTCGTGTTGACGCAGTCGACGTTCCATCCACGCAGATTCAACGGTAGTTGGATCGCCCTGTTACCTACCGTGCCATGGACAACATGGGACGAGAAAGACAGAACGTTCATTAAAGATAAGAAAAAAAAAATATATGCACTCAAGACTTCTTTATAGTTTATATACACTTGCCGTAACTTTATCCGAAACTCATTTTTTCAATCCCAAAGACAATCCCTTCTCTCTTCTGGCGTGCGAGAGCGCAGCAATGACTGCTGCACCAACACCAGAGCCGTCCTCGGCCTGTTTGATCTGGATAGGGTGGTCCTTCATGTCGATGCCTTCCCAGCCAAACACGTCGCTCAGACCCTGTGCTGCTCTCTCTGGGAAGTATGGGTACTTGAGGAAGACAGATCCGTCGGCGGCAATGTGGCACTTCTTGTGGTTCATCTTCTTGCAGACGGCAGAGATACCGCAGATCGAGAGTCTGGCTGCTCTGGTACCAATGAATTGCGACAGCTTTCTCACATACAGTCTCTCCTCAAACGTGGTGTCGATGAAAAGCTTGTTGGAGAACTCGTTCGAGACGACGCTCAAGGAAGGAGTGTCGTCTGCCTCGGCGATCGACAGGAAGGAGGTGTCCAGGAAGTATGGGGTTTCGAGATACTTGATCTGTTCGGAGGATTCAGTGTAGCTCTTAAAGATGAGGCCCTTTTTGTAGGTGTCGAGCATGATCAATCTGAGAAGCTCGCCCAGGTAGTAGCCGGAGGTCATTTTCTCGAACGCCTGTTGGCCTGGTCTAGGAGACTCGTCGTCAATTCTGATGTCGAACTTGGTTCTAGGAAGAACCTTGTGTGCGTTATCGAAAGAACCGTACTCGCAGTTGATCAGCATAGGAGACTCTGGGTCGATATCGTCGTACAGCTTTCCTTGGAGCTTAGGGATGTTCTTGACACGGTCGTAGTATGCACCGTTGACACCAGTACCGAAAATACAGCCCATCTCGGTGAGCTCGTCAGTGTATCTAGAGGCAACAAGAGTTCCGCTGGTGTCGTTGATCAGGGCACCGATCTTGATAGGCAGGCCTCTCTTCTCGACCTGCTCCATCAGAAGAGGCACCACGTCGTGGCCCTCGACATTAGGAATATCGAAACCTTTGGTCCATCTCTGGAGAATACCCTCAAAAATGCTGTTTTGCGTGGCCGGGTAGGAAAAAGTGAATCCCAGGGGGAAAACCGCGTCGGACGGAATTCCGTCTGGGTGCTTCGAGCGTAGGAAATCCTCCAGACATTGGGCAATGAACTCGAACAGCTCGTCTCTGTTCTTGGTGGTTCTCATGTGGCTTGGGATGTGGTACTTTGTTTGCTCGGTGGTGAACTTGTGGTCTCCCAGCAAGTGAACAAGGACTACACGAAGGTTGGTTCCTCCCAGATCGATGGCGAGGTAGTCGCCGGTCTCCGAACCGTTCGGATATTCCAACACCCACGCAGGGTTCATAGGGATACCGGTAGGATCTGTTCCGTCCGCGTTTCCTCTCTCGAGTTCTTCGATGAAGTACTCGATGACCTTGTGAAGAGTCTCGGTTGGCACCCAGAACAGCTTTCTGTAGGTCTCGATCTCCTTGGCCAGGTCTGCTGGCAGCGAATTATCGTCGACGGTCATTATAGGCTAGTAAAATAATAAAATGTTTTAACTTTTCTAAACTGAAAATAAACCTCTTTTTATATTCCGCTCAGGTGGTTCGGAAAAATTCTTCAGGACAACGCACCACCCCTCGGCGTACATTTCTCCAGCAAACTCCACCTGACTCCACTTGCATCCACTATAAGCATATACTGGGGTTTTCCCGGGGGTCATATTACTGCATTATTCAACAATAGAAAAGTCTCCAGATTTATTAGGGTGCGCACCAGCCTCTGCTGAAAAAGTAACTCGACATTTTGTAGCAAACAATAGCGACTGGCTTTTTTCGTAAAAACCGCACACGTTTTTCCGTGGCCATGCAGGTGCGACGAAAACAGCCGGATAAAGTCACCCGTGTGATGTCATCTCATCCCCTCTTCACATACCCGCCGTCAACGCAGAGCCGGTAGAAGTACGAGTCCGGGTTTTCCAGCAACGTTTGCGGATTGTCGAACTCCTGCACCTCTCCGTTTTCCAGCACCAGCACCCGGTCGTTGTCCATAACCGAGTCCAGCCGATGCGCAATCGTCAGGATCGTAAGTTTCTTAAATTCGGACCGGATCGTTTCCTGAATAATTTTATCGGTTTGCGCGTCCACGCTCGAAGTGGCCTCGTCCAAAACGAGAATTTTGGCGCGGTTCACGCTCTCGTCACGAGACTCCTGCGAACGCAATAGCACGCGGGCCAAGCACATCAGCTGCCGCTGCCCCACGCTCAGGTTCATCCCGCTCTCGCTCAGCATGCACTCCAGCCCAGACTCCACTTGCTGCTCTCTCGCCATCTTGGTCACGTGATCGGATAATCCGGCTAGCGCGAGGCATCTCCACAGCTCGGCGTCTGTGTATTGCGCAAGCGGGTCCAGGTTGTAGCGGACCGTGCCGTTGATGCACTGGGCGTCCTGCGGGATTATTGCAAGGTTGCTGCGCACGTCGTGCAGGTTCAGCGTGCTGGTATTAACGCCGTCCACCTCGATGTGGCCCTCGATCGGCTCGATGATCCGGAACAGCGACAGCATCAGCGATGACTTTCCCGACCCCGTGCGGCCCACGATCCCGATCTTCTCGCCTGCACGGATGCTTAAATTAATATTTTTCAGCACCGGGTCCAGGTTCTCTCTGTAGCGGGTCGAGTAGTTTTTGTACTCGATGGTGCCCGTTGACGGCCAGCTTGGCGGCGGACTTGCAGGGTTTTGCAGTTTTTCTTCGGGCTCCAGCTTGCAGTACTCAAATACCCGCTCGCAGCAGACAATGTCCGACTCGATTTCGACCGACCGTTTGACGATAAAGTTCAGCGAACTGGTGACTCTGAGCGCATAGCTCATCACCAGACCGACCAGACCCGCGCTGAGCGGGCGGTTCGTCCGCAGAGACAGCAGGGCCAGTGTCGAGGTCGAAAAAATCACCACAGACCCGATGAACTGCAGTCTGGTGGACAGCCATCTGTTGACGGACTTCATGCAGTACGCAGAGACCTGGTTCAGGTCGATGTTGGAGCAGTGCTTGTACACGAACTTCGACTCCTGGTCGTACGCCCGGATAGTCTCTGCGCCCGAGAGCGACTCCTGGATATGAGCAAAAATCGGGCTTTTGGTGATGGAGACGATTCTTTTCAGGTCGCGCGAAACAATGATGTAGAATTTCTGGTAGTACAGGTAAACCACCGAGAGCGCGGCGATGATGAGCAGGAACGGCGGCATGGTAGACCCGATGATCACGAGCGTGAAGATCGTCTTGACGACAGAATTGAACACCGCAGCAAACACCCGTGGCAGCGCAGAGTCGATCTTGGACATGTCCTGACTGAAACGGTTGATGACTCTTCCCAGCGGCGTGGTTTCGAAGAACGACATCGGCGACGCCAGCACCGCAGTCGCCATGTCGTTGTGCAGTTTCTTCGACGCCCGGATCGAGCACCAGCTCCACATGATCATGGCTCTGAAAAGCGTGAACAGACCCGAGCCAATTCCAAACAGAGCGTACACGCCAACGTACATGCCGACGTGGTCATTGGAGCCCGTCTTGTCGTTCTGCTCTCCCCAGTGCTTCAGCCAGTAGTTGCCGCAGACACTCAGCCCGACAGTGATCACGATCAGGCCACAGACACTGAAGATCCCCGTGTAGCTGCACGCACGAGCATAGTTGCTGTACACAGACAAGCTCACGTGACCCTTCTCTTTCTTCTCTTCTTTCTGGGCGGTTCTGCGCTCGATCTTGGCCAAAGATTGCTTGCGGCCCAGAGACAGCATGCTGGCCGCTCCGACCGATTTTCGAGACGGCACCTTGACCAGGTCTGCGGGCTCGACTCCCGCGTACTCGAACCCGCCCTCCTCAATGTCTCTGTCGATTTCCGCAACCGTCGATGCGGACGAGCTCTGTATGTACGTAGAGTCCTCCTCTTCAGCGTTCTGGCCAAAGTCGGACACCAACGCAAACAGCTGGCCCTTAGCGGCCATCACCTCGTCGAACGAGCCGGACTCGGAGATCTCGTTGTTGGAAATCAGGTATATTTTTTCCGCGTGACTCAGAACTTTAATATTGTTGGTAGCCAAAATTTTGGCCTTGGTGGAGAGAATTCCGTCTGGGCCCAGAACGTCGCGGATCAGCTTCTGTCCAACGTGGACGTCGACGGCACTCAGAATGTCGTCCAGCAGATAAACGTCGGCTCGCATGTAGACTGCCCTGGCAAGAGCCAGCCGGGCCTTCTGTCCACCAGAGAGACTGATACCTTTCTCACCAACAAGCGTCTCATCACCGTCTGGCAAAATCTCGAGGTCGGGCTTCAGCTGGCACGCCTCTATGGTCTTCTCGTAGAAGTCGGGCTCATATTTGTGGCCAAACAGGATATTTTCTTTCACCGAAGCGTTCAAGATCCACGGAACCTGCGAGCAGTATGCCACCGAGCCGTGGACTGCTATTATCTGTTTCTTTTGGGGGTCCACAGGCAGCGAGCTGAGCTCTCCGAGAATGCACTGGAGGAATGTCGATTTTCCGGCTCCCACGCGTCCCACAATACACGTCAGATGGCCTTTTTTCGCGGTGAAGCTGACATTTTTCAATGCCACTTTGGATTCGTCAATATTTTGCTCCTCGTCATAGTTGTCCTTGTATTTTTGGGGGATCTTGGACCACAGGAAGTTGCAGTTGTCTATCTCCACAGAAACTCCTCCAATATTGGTTTGCTTTGGCAGTCTGGTGAACAGCTCGTTGTCTATCTCGTCGGCAAGCAAAAAATCCGTCAATCTTTTAAGAGACACTCCGGACTCGATCATTGCGGTCATGAGCGCCGGAATGGCGAAGATCGGGTCGGAGAGAAGATCAAAGAGCGACAAGGCCGGAAACACGATTTCCGGCGTCAGTGGCGTTTTCGAGGTGTACGCGAAAATCGCAAACGTGGAGCACGACACAAAAAATGGAACACAGGTCCAGGCGAAATTCACCACGGCAGAAAGTATACCGATTTTGTTCAAGTTGCGCAGTTCTTTCTCGTTCCTAGCCTCCGACAGTCTCTCCAGCATAGGCTTTTCCCAAGCGTACAGTTTGATGGATTTGACGTTCTGCAGAAGCTCGGCCACCAGCGAGGTCCGCTGGTCCTTGAGAGTCATCTGCTCGCGGTGGAATTTCCGCAGACTCCGCACCAGATACGCGTTGATCGGCATCATGATGGCCATGGTGCCGATTCCCGCCCATGTGGCGTTGCCAAGCAGCGAGTGGAGCGACAGCAAACAGAGCACAAGCCTAGTTGGAGCGCTAAATAGCGTCTGAACGTAGGAAGTCAGCTCTTGCAACCGCGTCACGTCCACCGACATCAGGTTGACGATATCACCGGTCGAGCGCTGCAGTCTGCTTTCTGGTGACAGTTTGATCGATTTCGAGTAGACCAGGTTCATCAGGCCGGCCTTGGTGCCCAAAGAGGCCTCGACTGTTTTGATGAAATACTGGTTGTACATCAGAGCCTCAAAGAGCGACAGAAGAAACATCGCAATGGCAAGCGAAAACCCAATGATGATCGGCGGGTCGTCGGTCCTACCAAAGAACCGAATCAGCTGTTTGAGCAGCTGTGGCTGAATAAAAGAGGTGATGCTGTCTGACATGTCGTAAAACAGCGAGATCATCACAGGGAAGCCAAACGAGCGGATCAGTGCCATCAGCAGTGACGGCCTGCTTTTCGAGAGCTCCTTGCGCCACTGGTGCTCAAGCTTGGGAGCTGCATATGCTGTTGTGACCAAAACGGGCGGCGGTGGCAGGTCGCTGTGCTCCAGGCTCTTTTTCCGATATCCAGTCATGATGAGGTCGTTCATCCAAGTGAACGTCATGAGGGAAACGAGGTTCACCTGTGTTGTCTCGATGTTGTGGTCGACGCAATAGTTGATCAGCTCGTAGGAAACGGGATACTTCCAGTACTCGGCCACTGTGATAGCCAGACCCAGAGCCACCATCAAGTCCAGCAAAATACCGTTGTCGACGAGCTTGTAAGAACTGAAATTTTGCTGGAATGCCATCATGGCCACGAGCAGGGTCTGTAATGGCCAAAAGAAGAGCAACGACCCTGGCTGGACAATGAAACGGGCCGTCTCTATGCTATGGAGCGAAAAAACTAAGCACAGCGTAATCAAATGCAGAGTGTACACAGTGGACTCCAAACTCGAGAAACTGAATTCATGGAACTCAAGCACGTAGACCACCACAAACGCAGCAACCAGACCCAGCTTGATCCGCTGGTATCTGGTCCATGCGCCTCTGCAGGTAGCTTCCCGAACGCCTCCAAGCAGAAGCTGGTAGAGACAACAAAAAGCGAAAATCAACGAGAGCACACACCACAGAAGCGCAACAAAGCAGCCGTTCAGCGCGCTCGACGATGGACTCGCCAGCGGAGTGCGGAAACACTGGTCTAGCGAACGGTCCATAAAATAATTTTCGTGAAAAAAATGAATCCTTGCACCATATTTTTATAAAAGTCTCTAAATGAACGTCCTAAATAAGAAGTGTCACCATGAAAATGGCAATCAGGGTGGAAAAGCTGGACCGCAGGTGGCTCGCGCCGCTCTCGCAGTCGTCTCCGGTCAGCTCGTAGTACTCGTTGGAGTTCTCGTCCAGGAAAATATTGCCCTCTCTGTACTCGAACTCGGCAGCACTGATAGGAACGTCCTTTCCGTCCTCGATGTCCTGGAGAACCTGCTGGATCAGCTTGGACCTTCTGCGCGCCTGTCTCTTGTACTCTATGCTGAGCGTCGAGTTCTCCACGGACTGCTGCTGGAACGTGAGCTCCTCGTTGCACTCCTCCTCGTTATCAACGCAGTACTGGTCGAGTTTCTCCAGCTGTTTGAAGGTTTCAACGTCCTTGCTGCCCTTGAAGGCGTTTCTAAACATCTCTGCAGCAGTGTTGTGCTTGAGGTATTCTTCAGTGGCGTCCAAAAACTTGTTCAGACGGCCCAAATTGCCGCCCTCCTTATTGGAAGCCATGTCGGCGCTCAGCATCTTCATGGCCTCCATGAAGTGTCCGTTCGAGCATGTAGCAAGGAACCCAGCGAACTTCTCTTTGCCCATCGCCAAATAAAGATCGATCATGTTCTTCACCTGGTCAACGTCCACCTCGTACACCAGCTGTCTGCCGTCCTTATCGTAGCTCTGGTCCTCCTCGGCAACGGGCCCTTTGACAGGAACGTCCACGGAAAAGCTGGCACTAGAGGCCTCAAGATCGTCGTCCTCCGCCTCCTCTTCTTGGTACTCCTCGGCAGCGTACTCCTCGTCGTCTTCGTCGTAATTCTCGGCTTCCAAATCTTCATCTTCGTAGTCTCTTTTCTCATAGTATGGAGCCGGCGCAAGCACCTGCTGAGTGTCGGAAAGACGGGCTTGCAGAGCGTCGGTTTTGGCCCGATGCTGAACGGATGCGGCGTCTACAGCGGCCATCTGGAGCAACTGTGCTCCCAAAACGTAAAGGGTCCAGAACTTGCTGGAACTGAGCGAGCTGATTCTAACCATGGTTGAGTCTAGTGATATCGTATGCAACCATGTCCAGCGGGACGTCCGCGCTATTTATCCTCTTTCTAACCGCCGGTATGCCTCGTGCTACCACCCAGCCGCCAGAATCTGTGTCCGGGCTGTGCAAATCCAAATTCGTATACAGCCCAGCCTGGCTGTGTTTATTTTCCAAATATCGTCTCGGCATGGCTAGCTCCAACGATTTGCGGCAGCTCATACGGAACTCGTACGAGTGCATGCGGAAAATTCTGGAGCTGGACACGCAGTCGACGCTGACCAACTTCAATGTGATGGAAACGCTCAACAACTCGACGATCCTCCGGTATAGAGAGCTGGAGCCTTATCTGGACAGTCTTGAGTCCGAGACGTCCCAAATCCAGGCGCTGGATCAGGAACTGGCCAAAACCAAACCGCAACTAGAACAGTTGGAAGAGCGCACCAGAAAGCTCGCCTTGCTGGTGGAGCAAATGGACGAATGGTCTGCGGAGTTGGAGGTCAAAAGCCGACGGTACACGCGAAAGTGAGGTGTTCCAGGAAATTGCTCACACCGTCGCCATGTGAAAACCACATGCATTTTCTCACATGTGCGCGGGGAGCCTCTATACCAGGATGTATTATCTCATGCTCAAGAATTTCCTAATTCATGCTACGATAAGTTTTCATATGCTTCTCCACAGGCTATCGCCATATCGACGCGTCGCTCAACAAAAAAAAGAAAACTTTTTCGATACTGTAAATATATTAGCATCTGATTACCAGCTACCCCAGTTTTTACGAACAAGTGCTATCAGCCGTTTAAAGGACTATCGAATCTTCGGGTTCCTGCAATCCAAGCTATTTATTCATGTCGGACAATGGTCAGAACTTGCGGGTCAGACCGCTAAAAATTGGCGAGCTGATAGACAAGGGAGACGATTCGGAGGATGCAAACGCTGCAGAGCTCCTGATGGCGGCACAGGCGCTGGGTGAGCTGAAAAACCGCACTGAGCCATCCAAACCAACGATCCTCGACAAAGTCACCTCTCACCCCCTTATATCCAGCTCTATCAACTACATGCTGGAAAAAACGATCAACACTTCAAGCAACATTGTTCTGTTCAGCGACGAAAAATCCAAACGTGCTCGCAATGACCAACAGACAGAGTCTGTGGGGGCCGACAGGGAGGACGTATCTGAGCAGATCTCGCTCAAACGCCCGAAATTGGAAAAGACAAGCTCTGGATCTCAGCTCAACAGCCGTCTTCCGCCTCCATCACAGCCTCGATTCGCCCGCCTCAATTCGTCTCTGCGTCAGCAGGTTACCATATCGTCAGCCATTTCCACCCAAAAGAGCCTTCAGGATCTCACAGAGCTCAGCGTTCTGAATCTCAATATCGAGAGTCGTCGCAGACTCACCATGTTGATCAATTTTTTGAAGATTGGAAACACGCAGCTGAGCGAGCGCATTGAAAACCTCATCAACGTTCTGGCGAATGAACACGTCGTGAGCAAATCTCGCTCTTCTAGTCCTGATAATATTCACGGTGGTGCTTCGACGCTTTCTCTGCCGTCACTAGCCTCCGTGAGCAGTGCCGCGTCTCTGGCTAGTCTCCCGAATTCCGACGAAACGCCAAAGTTGAGCCCAGAGGCAGAAATCCCTGTTCAGCAGCTTAAAAACGAAATAGTGGGCACTGTGAAGAAGATAGTGAATGTCGTCTCGAAAGTTTCTGCAAACTCGCTTCCAGAGCCCGCCCGCTCGAACGTCCGCGAAATGCTGTTAAAACTACCAACCAATTGGGCCATGTCGTTGGAGCAGAACATGTCGGAGCCGGAAGAGGAGGACTCGGACGACGAAACAAAGACGATATACGAAGATTCGGTGGAGTACCCGGACCAGAGTGCTGAATCGCAGAAACGCAAGTCCAGGTCGCTGGCGCAGCAACTGCTGGCCAACTTGTTCAAGTACAGAAATAAAACACAGAAGAACATTGCGCAGCCAAACACCTGGTTCAAGAAATCTATCCGCGACCAGATTCTGAGCGATCGAAATGGCAAGGTGCTAGTTCTGGCTCAGGAATCGCTTGACATGATCAACAAAATTATCAAATTCTGCAACGAAAACCTCGACAGGGCAGAAACGTGGAACATCTCAAAACAGACCCAGCAGGCTGCCCATTTAATGAACAAACTACAAAACATCACATACGTGACGCCTGTGTCGAGCTGCGACGCGGCCTCGAACTCCTCGGAAGCGCAAAAGGACTCGCAGGACGCCGACACTATCGTGGTTCGCGATGAATCTCCATCCAATTTATGATTTTGTACACCTGTACACCACTAATAACATTTGTAAGAAAAATACCCCAAACAAAAAATCCTAGCTGTAAAATAATGAAGAGCAACGACTCGGTTGAAAAAGACTTGCTGCGGTTCAAGCTTGCCGTTCTGAATTCGCCTGGGTTCACAGCCAAGGACCTTGTGGCTGGCGGGCCGGATGGCGACGCCAGCGTGTTTTCCAACAGGGGCAATAAGCTGCTGTACAACTCCGATGGAGTCGACTATACCAATCTGAACTCCTACAGGGACGACCTCCAGCTGGTCAAAATAGAGGAACTTGACCCTGGAACTGGTGAGAGACGGCCACGATACGTTATACGACGCAAAGACCAGACCGTGGAGGAGATAATACAACGTGAATTGGACGACGAGTTTGGCATAGTGGACGATGACGACGAGTACAAGCAAGACTACGACTCTGTACAAGGACTATTCGACTCCGTGGACGTCGCAGACATACTGGCGCCGATCACGCATCCCACGAACATTGTTGAGCGCAAAACTTTAGAGAGGATATACAAGAGCACGCATTTGGAAGATCTCGCCGAGCAGACGATAGAGCTGATAGAAAAGGAGCAGGACAACGTGATCCAGCTGAGCAAGCTGATGAGTGTGTTTCTGGGAGACTGTCCGGACGATATATTGGCAGACAATTTGAAGCTCCCGAACTACGACCACAACTTAGATCTCGAGAAGCAGATAGCCGGCAGCGATGAGAACGGATTGAACAGGGACATGGACGCCACGCAGGAAGAGGACGAGGACGAGGGCCAGAACGGAAATGGCCAGACGCAGGATTCCAGGAAGATCAACGAGCAGATCAAGGATCCGTTCTTCCAGCTACCAGAATACAAGCGGGATCCGAACTTTGGGATCCGCAAGGTGGAGGACGCAGAGGAGTCTCGACAGCTGATCCAGATAGCGCTCCAGCGGAACGAGGAATTTATTAGATCGCTAACCACCATTCGCAACGGCTTTATCAGAGCAGACCGCGTGAAAAATAATATATACAAGTGGAGCAAGGAGATGGCCGAGGAAAATTACGACAAGAGCGACGAAAGTGAATAGTGTATAATGCACATTAAGCCAAGTCTAGTACTTGTTTGAAACTGCTAGGGGTCGCCAGCTCGCCCCCAAAAAACGGCACCACTGCCTGTTGCACAATGCCGTCAAACAGCTCGTAGATCAGCCCTTTGAGGTCGTCTCCAGTTTGTTTGAAATCAGGAAACGAGTTCACCTCGAGCAGCGACACGTTGAGGTCTTCGTCCACCACAAAATCGACACCGAACGTTTCGAAGCAGTTTGGCAGGGGCTGGAAATTAATTTTGTCATTGGAGGCAGCTTTGAATAGCTCTCCAACTATTAAATTGATGGACTCCCGAATTTGATTTTGGGAAGCCTCTGAAAGCACGCTTTTGCCAAGCTCCACCACAACCAGCTTGTCTGTGTCTCCTTGGAGGCAAGTATTGGTAAGATGGCCGTCGATATTGTCAAAATCCCTGTGATACGGCTTGTCGCTAAATAGCATCAACATTCTCTGGTAAACAAGCACCCGCAAACTACCGACGCAGAGCACGTAAGTGCGAATGTGGAACTTTCTGTTCTCGTACTCGGGCAGCAGCAACGGGTTGGCAATATACTCCTGGACAATGAAATGGCGTAGCTGGGACGTGATCACGGCGTTTTCGTCTCCATTTTCCTCAGACTCCTCAAACGAGTCGAATATCTTCTGCAACTGGTCAATGGTTTGAAACACCCTGATGCCCTGGCCCTTGTCGCTCATGCTCGGTTTCAGAATATACGTCTTGGACAGTGTTTGCTCGTTTTGCTCCAAGTCCTGACGCAGCTCGTAGCTTTCGTCCAGAGAGTCGTCCAAAAACTCTGCATAGTCGAGCTCCAGCTGGTATGTCTCCGGAAAAGCTTTCTTTAGGATAGTGGCTGGGTTTTTTGAAGTGTACATCGCAATTGTGTTGGCCAAATAGTGTTTCCGAATCAGACCCTTCCTGTAGATATAGGAGTTGGCCATATAAGTCTTGTCACTCATCATTCTCTCATGGTCCAAATCCTCATACTCTGCAAACGCAAACGTCTTTCCCGAAACTCTGTTGCTCAAGTATTTGTCCAGAGCTTGTTTCAGAGGCTCGAAGAGATACGCGTCGGCTGGGTAGCCGATGAAAACAGAATCGGAGCTACTTTTCGGAGAGTTTCTATATGTTAGAATAGAGCTCTGTCAACTTACTCGATGATCAGCTCGCCAGTGTTGAGATCGTCAATCTCTTTGAATGCTGCCTTTAGAGCTGTGACGGAAATAAGTCCCTGCTCCACGGCTCTAATGTCATTCAAAACGCTCTCGTCACCGAGATTCTTGTGCACAGAGTCAAAGTCTGGAGTCCACTTGAAGATCTTTCCGTGGGTGACGCTCTGGTCCACAATATCTGAGGCCGGCTGGTCAGGACTCTCAGATTTGGCGGTGTACAGAGACTTCATCCACTTGTTATCAAGGGTCGGTGCCATCACACACCTGGTTTTGCCGAGCTTCAGGTCTTTTTTCAGCGGAACGTTCACGGTGTACAGATCAACACGATCGTCCCACGCAGAAAGCAGCTTTTCAATGAGTTTGACGGAAATCAACGAGGCCTCGGTTAAAATTTTAGGGTCGTTGAAAGAATCGGCCTCAAAAGCGTAAGACACAGCAACCGCCCTCTTGCCGTGCTGCACACCCTCCATTGCTCCTCCAATGGTTCCACTAGACAAAGAGTAAAGTGCGGAGCAGTTTCTTCCAACATTCGGCCCACTGATCACAAGATCGACCGGCTTCTCGGCGATATGGTTGATTCCGATGTCAGCGCAAGTGGCAGGAGTTCCATCTAGAAGACACCACTCTTTCATGTTTGGGTCCTTGGAAAAGTCGGCATTGGGATGGGAAAACGGTCCGTGGAAAGAACTGTCTGCAGGCTGGTCGATCGCCGAGTAAATATAGGAGGCAGAGATGTCCTTTCCTGCCAAATGGGCCTTTCCGATCCAGGATTTCTGGGAGGCGGGCACGCAGATGGTGAGGTCCCAGTTAGTGTACTTCTGGATAGCCTCCACAAGGAACTTGATGTATGGACTGGCGGTCTCGTGCGGAGCACCGTCGTCGTTGGTCAAAAGAACGTGCATTTTTTTAACGAAATATTATTTTAGGAATAAAATTCCGTGGTTAGGATCTTATTCAGATGCTGGACACGATTATATAAGAATGAGTACATAGACGGGCGCATCTTTCGCCATTCCAAATGTGATGGCTGTGCTATTTCACAAGTCATAGGGCTGTATAGGAAATACCGCTTTTTAGGATAAGCGAGACTGATGCAACCTAAATACGAAATTAAAAGACTGAAAATTAATATTCGACGTTGATGTATAAGCTATACTCATGAACATCATACAAGTGCTAGCTCGTTGCCGTAGGAATGGGCCAATAATTATTCCTGGATAATTCCTGATGTAGTCTCACTTATTTTGACTTCGGCACAGGATACACCCTACGGCACACCCCTATTAGGGTAATTTTTCCTAATGTCTAATTTATCTAGTAATTTTCATTAAGGATCGGTTCCAAAAACTATATTCGGCAACTAAGCTTATACCACGCGCTCTTTTGGCAAAATGTCAATCAGCAAGTCATCGGGGCTTAGTTTCAAGTGCGACTTCTTGTATTCTTTCAGCAGATCAAAGTACTTGTCAAACAGGTAAGACGAGTCCAATGGACCTCCCTTGGCCTCTGGGTGGAATTGGGTCGAGAAAATCGGTCTGGTCTTGTGGATCATTCCCTCGTTCGACAGATCGTTAAGGTTGATGAAGTACTCCTGGAAGTCTGGGTGCAGAGTCTTGGCATCCACAGCGTATCCGTGGTTCTGGGAGGTAATATGACACTTGCCGGAGAGCAAGTCGAGGGCAGGGATGTTGTGAGCTCTGTTTCCGTATTTCAGCTTCACAGTCTTGGCTCCGGACGCCAACGCGAGCAGCTGGTGTCCAAGACAGATGCCGAAGATCGGCAAATCTGGGAACTTTTCCATAGTCTCTTTCAGATTTTCGACGGTAGCAGAACAGTGTGTCGGATCGCCAGGGCCGTTCGAAATGAAAACACCGTCAAACTTGTCGGCGCTCTTCTGGATCGGATAGTTGTAAGGAAGAACAGTGATAGAGGCACCACGGGACACCAGCGAGCGCAGGATGTTCTCCTTGACACCACAGTCCAGCACAGCAACATGGTACTTGGCATTAGGCGAAGGAACGTGAAACGGAGCTTTGGTGGTCACCTTGTGCACCAGGTTCACGGAGCTAGGGTCGTCGAAAGCGGCGTCTTCGTCAGCATCGTACGTCTCGCCGATACTTAGTTTGGCCAGACTAGAGCCCTGCTCTCTTAGATAGGTGACCAGTTCTCTGGTGTCGACGCCAGTGATGGCAGCAACACCTTCACGTTTGCACCATTGGCTCAGACTCTCGACGGCCGTCCAATGAGAATACTGCAAGGCCACGTCGCTGACAACAATACCAATACATTGGATATGTGGCGACTCGAAGTACTTCAGCAGATTGTACTCGTCTCTAGCAGTGCCCGAAGGAACACCGTAGTTGCCAATCAGCGGCTGAGTAAAGACAAGAATCTGGCCTCTATACGAAGGATCCGTCATAGACTCGGGATATCCAACAAGAGAGGTGGTGAACACCGCCTCTCCGCTAACGTTCTTATCAGCTCCAAAAGAGTAGCCATTGAAAATCGGACCGTCTCTGATGGTCAGAGTGGCTCTGTCCAGGCTCTTGGTCGACGATAGTCTGATAGAATTCCATCTGGTGGCTGGGAGGGCCAACTTGGTGAAAGTTCTAAACATAGTGAGTCAGTTTATTTGATAGAGATCGTGAAAATTTTTTGTACAATTACCGCGTTACCCTTTTGAGACAACCACACCATACGGTGTCGTGGTTACCCTGCCTAACAACTTTTTCGTCCTCGTCCCAGCTAAATTTTTCACCATTGTGTTCAAATTTTTCATCCTATTTTATTTCCATTTTATCATGTCCCACAGAAAGTACGAACAGCCAAGACACGGTTCCCTGGGTTTCCTCCCAAGAAAGAGAGCTGTCAAGCAAAGAGGTAGATGTAAGGCTTTCCCTAAGGATGTCAAGTCCAAGCCTGTTGCTTTGACTGCCTTCCTTGGTTACAAGGCTGGTATGACCACCATCGTTAGAGACTTGGACAGACCAGGTTCTAAGATGCACAAGAGAGAGATCGTTGAGGCCGCTACCGTCGTCGACACTCCAGAGCTTGTTGTTGTCGGTGTCGTTGGTTACGTCGAGACCCCAAGAGGTTTGAGATCTTTGACCACTGTCTGGGCTGAGCACCTTTCTGACGAGGTCAAGAGAAGATTCTACAAGAACTGGTACAAGTCTAAGAAGAGAGCCTTCACCAAATACTCCGAGAAGTACGCTAACAGCGCTGCCGAGATCGAGAAGGAGCTTGCTAGAATCAAGAAGTACTGTTCCGTCGTTAGAGTTCTTGTCCACACCCAAATCAGAAAGACCCCATTGACCCAAAAGAAGGCTCACTTGGCTGAGATCCAGGTGAACGGTGGTTCTGTTTCCGACAAGGTTGACTGGGCCAAGGAGCACTTCGAGAAGACCGTCTCCGTTGACTCCGTCTTCGAGCAAAACGAGATGATCGACGTCATTGCTGTCACCAAGGGTCACGGTTTCGAGGGTGTCACCCACAGATGGGGAACCAAGAAGCTTCCAAGAAAGACCCACAGAGGTACCAGAAAGGTCGCCTGTATCGGTGCTTGGCATCCATCCCACGTTATGTGGACTGTTGCCAGAGCTGGTCAAAGAGGTTACCACCACAGAACCTCTATCAACCACAAGGTCTACAGAATTGGTAAGGCCGGCGATGAGGCTTCCGGTGCTACCGAGTTCGACAGAACCAAGAAGACCATCACCCCAATGGGCGGCTTCGTCAGATACGGTGCCGTCAACAACGACTTTGTTCTGTTGAAGGGATCCATCCCAGGTCCAGTCAAGAGAGTCATCACCTTGAGAAAGTCTCTGTACGGCCCTACCAACAGAAGAGCCCTGGAACAAGTCAACCTCAAGTGGATCGACACTGCCTCCAAGTTCGGTAAGGGTAGATTCCAGACCCCAGCTGAGAAGCACGCCTTCATGGGTACCCTCAAGAAGGACCTTGAGAAATAGATATATAATTAGGTATATCCCTATTTTTCACCTGATTAGTAAGCCGGGTAACCTAAATTTGCCCCCTTTGTGAAAATTTTTTTTTCACTAGTAGAAAAGCAACGTGAAGCGAGGATAAAAGGGTTAGTGTTCCCACAAGATTATTTCTTTATAGATTGTGGATTATAAAAAGATGTCATACGTCCCGCCACACAGATCAAGAGGAGATTACGTTCCAAAAGACACAGGAGAATCGTCTGGTAGAGGCGGATTCTCCAGCAGAGGCGGATTCGCCAGCAGAGGAGGTTTCAACAAGGGTTTTGGAGGACCAAGCAGGGGCTTTGGAGGAGGATCAGGTTTTAGCAGAGGAGGCAATGGATTTTCCAGAGGCGGCGGATTTGGTAGAGGTTCTAGAGCTCAGCCAGGCCAGGGTTCATGGGTTAATGGTGCTCACAAGCCTGCTGAGCGTAACGAGAGACTCGAGCTAGAGCTTTACGGTCAGCCAGGAGATGGACAGACACAATCTTCTGGTATCAACTTTGACAACTACGATGAGATCCCAGTTGAGGCTTCAGGTGATGATGTGCCAGAGCCAATCTCTGAGTTCACTTCGCCTCCGTTGGATCCCTTACTCGTGGAAAATATCAAGCAAGCTAGATTCACCAAGCCAACGCCAGTCCAGAAATATTCGGTTCCTATCGTTGCTAACGGCAGAGACTTGATGGCCTGTGCCCAAACGGGTTCTGGTAAGACTGGTGGATTCCTGTTCCCAGTGTTGTCCGAGTCTTTCAAACACGGTCCGACAGAATCTCAGACAGACAATGCATTCGACAGAAGAAAAGCACATCCTACAGCCTTGGTTCTTGCACCAACTAGAGAGTTGGTCTCCCAAATCTATGAGGAGGCTAGAAAGTTCTCGTACAGATCCTGGGTCAGACCAGTTGTCGTGTATGGAGGTGCTGAGGTTTACCTTCAAATGGATCAACTCAAGCAGGGTTGTGATCTTTTGGTTGCCACCCCAGGAAGATTGAACGATCTTCTGGAGAGAGGCAAGATCTCGCTGAAAAACATCAAGTACCTTGTCTTGGACGAGGCCGACAGAATGTTGGATATGGGTTTCGAGATTCAAATCAGGCACATCATCCAGGGTTGCGACATGCCGCCACCAGGTGAAAGACAAACGTTGATGTTCTCTGCAACGTTCCCTAAGGAAATTCAATTGATGGCCAAGGACTTTTTGCACAACTACATCTTCTTGTCGGTGGGAAGAGTTGGATCCACCTCCGAGAACATTACTCAAAGAATATTATACGTCGAAGACGATGAGAAGAAGTCCAGCCTTCTGGACATTCTCACGTCTACCGAAGACACGTTGGCCAATGGACTCACGCTGATTTTCGTTGAAACCAAGAAGATGGCTGACATTCTGTCCGACTTCTTGATCAACCAAGACTTCCCAGCCACTTCCATTCACGGTGACAGATCTCAATACGAAAGAGAGAGAGCATTGGAAAGTTTCAGAACCGGAAGAACGCCAATTTTGGTTGCCACTGCCGTTGCTGCTAGAGGACTGGATATTCCTAACGTGACACATGTGGTCAACTACGATCTTCCAAACGATATTGACGACTACGTCCACCGTATCGGAAGAACAGGTAGAGCTGGAAATACTGGTGTTGCCACCGCCTTTGTCAACAGAGGAAACAAGAACATCGTGAAAGATTTGGTTGAAATTCTCAGCGAGGCCAACCAAGAGGTTCCAGACTTTTTGTCTGTGATCGCAAGAGAGAATTCCGTTGGCAGAGGCCGCGGAAGAGGAGGCAAGACCCAGAACAGAGACTACAGAAAGTATGGCGGCAACTCTGGCGGATACGGAAACGGCTATGGTGGCAGATCAAGCTATGGAGGAGGGGGATACAGCAGTTATGGAAACGGTGGAGGATTCAACAGTTTTGGCAACTCTGCCGCACCAGCATCGTCGTCATCATCTCAATGGTGGTAGTGTTATAATGGAGGAAAGTGAGAGAAGCAGAGATAACAGAAAAGAAAAAAAACAACACAAGTGTATCTGAACTTATTTGATCCGATCGCTTCTGGAATGAATATAAAGATTGAGAAATAGACAAGAGTAAAGGATGACTTCAGTCCTTATTCACCATTCCTCTGAGCGAGAAAGTTTGATATACTATTCATTTGTGCGCTGGACCGATTTATGATCTTTGACATGTTGTTCGTGATCATTGTACATTCAATTCAATTATTAGCATTTTGTCATTGTTTGATTTTATATGATAGAAATGTTTTCTGGTGCACCTAATGATTAACGGTTTTACAGTTTGGGTTTCTTCCTTATTTATACCTCCCTGTATATTGCTAGTAAGTTAGTTTATGTTTGTTCCAAGGCAGTGTAATATTTCACCTCTGGGATACCCCTGTTTTAAAAAACGTATGCGATAATTGATTTCTTTATATCTGTACCTTTGACCTGGCTTTCACTTTTTTTAGCGAAATTTGCCGATGTTGCCTTCTTCTGGCAAATCAAAGAAACATGGCAAGCTCAGGCTCTCCAGACGCGTGTCTGATGAGCATCGTCAATATACTGGCACCACTATAAATAAAATACCCATACTAGAAGATGACGAGAATGACGATGCTAATCTGGGGCCGCGCTTTCCAACGTTCAGCAGTCCGCCTGTTGATTCTCCTGCGGTGATCTCCCCAGGGTCCGAAGAGCATGGAACCGATGACCTCAGAAAGGAGATAGACGACGATTTTGACGATGATTTCTACAGAGACGAGTACGACGTGGGCTCGCCCACTCCTGCAACCAAAAGCAAGCCTGCACCCGCGATCGAAGTCGACGACGAGTCCTCAGAGGACGTTTCCACGGACGAAATGGACGACACACGTTCTAATGAGGACGGTTCTGTCGCTAGCGTGCATTCTGACGAGTCTAGAGACTCTTTCAAGACACGGCTGAAACGGCATTTCACAACCAACAGAGGCGAGAGACCTTCAGACGAGGGGTCTCCCCGCAAGAAGCGGAGCGAGACCATTGTCTCGCGTATTTTTGGGCACACGCCTCAAATGGGTGGCCTCACGCCCGGAGCAAGCAAATCATCACAGGAACGAAACACCGACGAGGAGGAGAAAATCGAAAACGACATACCTCTCAAGACATTCGACACAGACCAGCTGCAGTTTGAGGCCAACGGGCTGGTCGATCAGCATTTCAAGGAGACGAACGCTGGATATCTATCGTCTGCCTCGACCTTGCATCCGAATTCCAGCAGTCTATTTATGGCCCCAAATCCTGAGGCCACCGTTGGCGACTTTGATGATCTCAACAACAACGACTACGTCTTGTTTGACTCTGTTGAGTCCTTGGTGGACCGTCCGAAAAGAGTGAGGAAAGGCGTTGTCTCGAGTCTTTTGGCATTGTACAATCCACAGAACCAACCGCACTACCCTGCGTCTGAGAATTCCGGGACACAGACTCCCAGAAGCGACTACTCGGACGTCGAGACTGCCATGAGTCCCGACGCTCTGGACCACAAATTGCGGCTCATTTCTACCAACGACAGCTACAACATGGACAATGCGTCGCTCAACTCTGTGCCGGAGCTGGGTGCCAGACGGACCAGCTCGAGAGACCCGTCGGTATACAAGCACAAAAAGCGGTCGAGATCGGCCTCGTCATTGAGCCACATGTTCAAGACCAATAAGAAGGATGAGCCAAAAACCAAGCCCAGACCAGAAGACAAGTTTGAGCTGCCCTCGTTCGCCAAACCGAAAAACGCAGACAAAAAACACGCCAAGTTCATTCCGCGGTTTGACGAGATGTCCAAGTCCAACAGACGCAAGAAGATCAGACGGAAGTTCAAGAGCGAGCAGAGAGCTCGCATCACCGTGCACATTGCCGATGTGTTGCAACGCCAGCGGTTCATTCTCACGTTGTGCAAAGCGTTCATGCTTTACGGAGCGCCTACGCATAGACTGGAGGAGTACATGTCGATGACAGCCCGTGTTCTAGAGATTGACGGCTCGTTCATCTACTTTCCAGGATGCATGATTGCTTCCTTTGGCGACGCTGCTACTCACACCTCGGACATGAAACTGGTGCGGTGTGCTCAGGGTCTGGACCTGGGGAAGCTCGACGAGACTCACGACATCTACAAAGCTGTTGTCCACGACCGGATGGGCGTGGAGGAGGCCAGCGGGAAGCTGGACGAGATTTTGTCGCGCAAGCCCCGTTTCAACCACTGGTACTGTGTGCTCTTGTACGGCTTTTCGTCGGCCATGGTCACGCCGTGGGGCTTTGGCGGCAACTGGATTGACATGCCGATCTCGTTTGGGATCGGGCTGGTCATTGGGTTCCTCCAGTTTGTGATTTCTCCGCGCTCGGTTCTGTACTCCTCGGTGTTTGAGATCAGCTCCTGCGTGGTGGCCAGCTTCATTGGCCGGGCCATAGGCTCGATCAACGAGGGCAACACGTTTTGCTTTGCTGCCATTGTGCAGGGCTCGCTCGCGCTGATTTTGCCCGGCTACATTATTCTGTGCGGGTCGCTCGAGCTGCAGAGCAGAAACCTGGTGGCTGGAAGCGTGCGCATGTTTTACGCATTTATTTATTCGTTGATGCTTTCCTTTGGAATCACCCTGGGTGCCGCGCTGTACGGATGGATCGACCACAACGCCACTTCGTCAACTACGTGTACGTCAAACGTGCCGGCTGCGTGGAGAATCCTGCTGGTGCCGATGTTCACCATCGGTCTTGCGCTCATCAACCAGTCCTCGTGGACACAGCTGCCGGTGATGATCGCCATCTCGGGCGCAGGGTACGTGGTCACATATTATTCGGGTTTACACTTCAAGCTGAACACAGAATTCAATGCTACACTCGGCTGCTTCGTGATCGGACTGATCAGCAACGCCTACACAAGATTGCTCAAGTCTTTCAACAAGGTTTTCTCCAAGGGATCGTTCATGACCGTCTCGATCATGTTGCCGGCCGTCTTCGTCCAGGTTCCGTCGGGTATTGCGTCGCAAGGCTCGCTGATGGTCGGAGTGGAGAGCGCAGACAACCTGGTCAACAACAAGACGTCGACGTCGAGCACCAACTCTCTCTCGAGCTTGAGTTTCGGAATGGTGATGATCCAGGTTGCGCTGGGCATTAGCGTCGGCCTCTTTATGGCCGCGCTCGTGGTGTATCCGCTGGGCAAGAAACGGACAGGATTATTTACTCTCTAGAAAAATAAATGTTACCCTCCCTCGATAGCTTCACCAACCACGATTTCTTAAAGTATCAGGGAGCTTCTTCCAAAAAGACACCACCAACAAGAATGCCTAGCCCAGCAGAACTCCTTGCGCAGAAGCACAGTGCCGTTTCCGAGGACCCTGAGACTCCGCTTATTTCTGCCACCGAGTCGTCCGCTCCGTCGTCGGCCGCCTCAGAGCCCACCACGTACGACCTGGACGTCGAGGTTGATTCCGTGGCGTCGGGCCTGGACAAGAAGGTGTCAATCGACGACGAGACATATTTCCCCACTCTAGGGGTATCGATTGGGTCTGCTCCTGCCAGGTGGGGCCCGTCGGTGTCCAATGGACGCACGGTCTCGACAAACACTCCGTCCACGTTCAAGCCCGCTGTCAGGTCGTCCAACACCCAGCTCACGTTTATCGTGGACGCTGCCGAACAGCTGCCCGTGTCGAAAAACGACCTGTTCAAGATCATCTCCAAGATCAAGGCCACGTACGACGTCAAGGTCGAGTCGACGTTTTCTGCCACCACCAACAAAAGAACTTTTCTGCTTAGCGGGCCGGTGTCGAAAATCCAGAGTGCGAAAAAAGACCTGGTCAAACAGCTCACGAAACCTGTGAAAATCGAGTTCGGCATTCCGTTCAAGCTCATATCCACCGTGATTGGCTCGCAGGGCAGAACTCTGAAGCCGATCCTTGAGTCCACAGGTGTCAAGATCGATATCGCAAGAACCGGTAGCAACGAGGCCGCCGACGACGGCGACATCTTCTCCAACCTCGCAAAGGTGGTCATTGAGGGAGACATGGAGAGCTGTGAGGAAGCCAGACAGAAGATCATGTCCATAGTCGACCAGCATACCCAAAACCTCACTGTCAAGGTCGACGTTGACGAGAAACTCAAACGGTTTGTGAACTTGGAGCTCAAAAACCAGCTACCTCCCGACATCGAGGTTGACCTGCCGCTGGAAAACTCCAAGGCCTCGTCCATCTACCTCTCCGGCGCCCGAGAGACTGTGCTGATGGCCAGGGAAACCGCCAAAAAAGTGATTGACTACCTGGCAGAACAGATTGTAGTCGAAGAGCGCACCGTGCCCAAGATGGTGCACCAGTTCCTTGACGCAGAAAAGATTTTTAGCAACGTGGGGGTTTTGGTCGAGGTTCCAGATTTCGACTCTCCTTCGACCACGGTGAAGTTCATTGGCTTGAGAGAGAATATCCCGAAGGCCGCGGCCCTTGGAAAAGAGCTCTCCCAGGAGTATGCCACTGATTTCCTGGATCTGGCTAGGTCTCACGGGGGGAATTACATGCATGCCAAAGTGCTCACTGCATTCTTCGTTTATACCGGTGTGTTTGACGCGATTTCTGCAAAGTACAACGTCAAGATCACTGCTCCAAGCTACAAGTCTCTAGTCGATGATCAAACAAAAACGGTTGTTCTCGAGTTCGTTTGCTCGAAATCCGAAAAGGAGGCTCTGAAGTCCACTAGAAGAGAGATAGTGGACGCGGTCAACAAGATCACTCCCTCCTTTGTGCGCGTGATTGACGACATTGACACCCTTGCTCTTGATAAACTGGATGAGACCGTTGCCAACGAAAAGAGCGTCAAGATCGTTCCTCTGGGAAAACTCGCTGGAGTTGGCAACAAATTAGTTCTCCTCTACCAGGCAAGTGATGACGAGTTTCTTCCCTCGCTAAAAGAGACCAACGAGATCTTGGATGCTGTTGATCAGTCCCTGGACGAGCTCAGAGCTTTCAGCAAAGAGATCACCTACGAAGTCCTGGACATGCACTCCGCAGATCAGGAAATATTGCAAGGACACATTTTGAAGGTTTTGCTGTCCAAGTTTGGCTCAAATATACAGATCAGACTCCACCAGAACAAGGATGGTGTGAGTGACGACCAATTAGTGGTGGTTGGGCTCAAAAAGGACGTTCCAAAGGTGATCGGCGAACTGAGGCAAGCTATTGAGGATGTCAAAAATTACGAGACGGCTTCTAAATACAGCCAAACTTTTGCGTTCCCAACCAGCCAGCTCTCGAGACTCATTGGACATAAAGGTGGAAACCTTCAGAGCTTGCAAGAAGACTACAACGTGCAAATTGACGTTCAAAAGGGCGACGGTGCCACCGTTGGTGACAAGACACTCGTCAAGCTCACAGGGCTGAAGGTCAATGTTGAAGAGTGTGAGAAGAAACTCACGCAGCTTGGCAAGAAGTGGGCGGATGAGAGAACGGTGGTTATGAAGATTGAACAGAAATACCATCGCAAGTTGATTGGACCTTCTGGAGTGTATGTGCATCGGCTGAATGAAAAGTACAACGTTGTGATCAAGTTCCCGTTCGAAGATGCCACCGGCCATCAAGACGAGGTTGTGATAAAAGGACCTTCCAAGGGCGTTGCGAAGGCTGAAGAAGAGCTGAGAGAGCTGCTACAGTACGAGAAAGATAATGGATACAAAGAAACGATCAAGGTGCCATTAGCCATTCTTCCGCGCGTGATTGGAAAGTCTGGAGAGCAGGTCAAGGACATTTCTGCCGACACCGGCGTGGACATCAAACATCTGAGGGAGAAAAGTGATGGCGACAGTGCGCAAATAGAGCTGACAGGTACCAAGGAAGGTATTAGAGCTGCAACCAAAAAGATCAACTCCATTGTTGATCGTATCCAAAACAACGTGACCGAGTCAATCGACGTCGACTCAAGATGGCACAAGTATTTGGTGGGGCCATCTGCCTCGAAAAAGCGTGAGATCATATTGAACGCCTGTGGTCCAAACGACGAGGCCGATTTCAGAAGACTGCTACAAGTTCCGCCTGCCGGCTCTAATTCGACGAAGATCGTGTCGCAGGGCAACAAGGCGGTTGTGGAGAAGATCATTGAGCAGGTGAGGCAGATAGTGTTTGATCTGGAGAACGTTGTGGACGAGACGGTGCTGATTCCTAAGAAAAAACACGTACTTCTGATTGGGTCTGCCGGAATGGTCAGAAGAGGTCTAGAGGCAGAGCACCATGTCCGTATCGACATCCCGAAAATCAACCAGGATTCTGACGAAGTGCATGTTCGCGGATCTCCTGAGAATGTCGAGAAGGCTAAGGCTGCAATGCAGAAATTGATAGAGAATTGACAATAGCATAGATAAAAAAAAGTTTGTGCATCTTTTGTGGGTCGATCGACTGTTGTAGCAAAATAAAAGTGGTAATCAAAAAAAGCGCATCTCCCATTGGTAAAAAGATACCTGTCAAAGATAACAAACATCAAGTAAAACCGTTCCAAAATGGATATGGAAGCAGAATTCGAGGATTTCCAGAAGAAGAACACCCCTTCTTTGATTGGGTCTTCTGTCAGAAACTCCAGCACTCCTAGTGGGGACTTAGACAAAGACGAGCCGGAATCGATCATTCTTGATCGTGCTCGTTCCAGCTCTAGACCCGTCATCAAATCCAATCCCTCAACCTCTCATATTGGATTTGTGTCCGTAGAGGAACTCAAAGCGGAAGGTGGACTTCTCAACGACGAGGAGGGAGAGGTTCTTGACGAGATCCTTGACAAGGAAGGACATCTGAAAAAAGACGCATTGCAACTGAAAGAGCGGCTGAAGACTGAAGAGGAAGGCGTCTCGAGCTACATTCAGTCTCCCGGCAGCGAGGTTTCCTCTGAGTCTGTACGTGAAAAGGAGCATCTGGTTTTTGGCGGTGATGCGGGAAATTTTGTGGCGCCTGCTGCTGCCAGCTCGAGTCACTCAACTGATTTCAAATACGACAATTCTCCTAGAGAGCCTCCAAAACCGGAGAAAAAAGACCGCGATCTGATAGAGCCGGGAAAACTCACTACTGTCGACGATATTCTGCAGAGAATTAACCAAGGAAGCAGGGAATTAACCGAAGAGCCGGAAAACACGCCAAGACTAGAGGCCAAGGTGCATCCAGACAAAATGTCAGAACCCTCAGCCTATTCGGCTGAAGTGGACCAGCTCCTGACAGCGCCCGCCAGTATGAGAGAAGGATCGAGCTCAAGACTAATGAGAGAGAGACAGAGATCGCGCTCGCGTCCCGCAGACAGCTCCGGATCACCATTCAGAGAAGGCATAGGAATGTACAGACCGCATCTGGCAAAGGGTGATTCCTACCACAGCGGTATCTCGAACGATGAGTACAGTCAGGGCAGTGTGAGCAGCGATGCTCCTGTGGAAAGGAAACCAAGACATGATCCTGGGTCGGTCAGAATTTCAAGCTCTTCGTCTTTGAACTACTTACGTTCCATCTCAAGATCCAGGTCAAGAGCCGCCAATGACAAAGATGCGATAGGCAAAGATAGGGGTGTTGACCAAAACGAACTGAAAGAGGAAGGTGTCCTCATGCACGATGGCGATTTTTCCCAACTGCCCGATTACGAAGATGCAATCACTAACGCCCTGAATATTGTCGAGAATACTAAAAGTGTGAAAGACGGATCTAAATTTGGGAGGCATAAGGAGAACATCGTGAGTGACCTGCAAAACTCTTTGAACTCAAGGGATTTAGGAGAACTGAACGAAGCCGATGAGGACCGCGATATCCTGAAAGAGAAGAAAAATGAGCTTGAAGCATTGAACAAGGTCGGGAAAGATGATAGCGTTCCAGCTAATGTACAGTCTGACACTGATAGCAAGAACACTGCCTCTAAGGACTTGAATGCTGAAAATATTGACAAGAGCTCTGTCTCTGTTCAAAAGTCGACGGATGAATTAAAAGATGAGGTGACTAAAACAGAAATCTCAGACGAGAAGCTTGCAGGACGGCCAGATATAGTAGTTGAAAACCACGAAGGGGAACAGCACGAAAGCACTTATCCTGACGAGGAGAAGAGCGATCAAACACAAGACAAGAAGGTTAGTGATGAAGATACTGTACCGCCAAAGTCAATAGAGAATGATAGCGACCGCCTGCCCCATGAAAACCACGTTGATGATAATGACGAACTATCTACCAAAACTTCTGAGAATGAAGATACTGTCAAGCAACTTGGACAACCTTTGGACTCATTAACGACAAACCTAGAGGCCACCACTCTTGCAGACGCACCAGAGAAACATACGTCTGATATTGAGGGGCTTGTCGAGGAAAGCATCGAGAAAAAAGTCTCTGTTCAGCAAGATACGCCCATGAAGGATGAAGCAACAGCAACTGAGCCAATCAAAGAGAAGGATGCACCAGTCTTGGGCACTCATGCGGGAAAGTCTGCTTCTGCTTCATATGACGACGATGACGACATCGAGGAACTCCTGAGGGCTGTTGAAAAGGAGCAGCCAAGTCAATCATCTACCAGCACCGGAAATAAGGATTCCGTTTATGTTCCCAAGGGAACAAAAATGACATTTGAGGACGAGCCTGTGTACATTTACACATCTTTGGCAGGTGGCTTCCAAATTGCTACTCGAACAAACAGACTACAGACTATTTTGACCGCCAATCGGGTAAAATTTGGATTCAAAGATTTGGGAACTGACGAACAAGCCAAAAAAGTTTGGAGACGTTACAGCGAAGGAAAGACTCTTCCTGGAATAGTTAGGGGTAAGGACGATTTTATTGGCAACTGGGAAGATGTTGAAGAAGCCAATGAAAACTATGCGGTTAGATCTTTGATATACGAAACATACTAAAGATGAATATGTTTCCCAAGCTATTGCGGATTTCCCGTACTCTGGCTTTGGTGGATAATTCTTTCTCATATTTATGATGAGCTATCTTCCCTATATTGGTCTGAGTAAAAATACACGCACAATAAATTAAATCTAGTACATATTTTAATGATTTTTTGGAATTATTTTTACTCAGCATGTCCGAGTCTGATTATGAGGAAGAATTGGGAGAATCCAAGACTTTCCTAGGTTTTGTAGATGTTCCTATTTCTGAAACTGAACGGCCTGAATTGGAGGACACTTTTATTGGTGGCAAGCCTATCTGGCTAAATCCAAAATCTCCACCACCAAACGAGTTACTTGAGTGCAAGAGCTGCAAAGAACCGATGCATTTGCTGCTCCAATGTTATGCAAACCTTGCAGACACTCTTTACGACAGGGTGATATATATATTTGGGTGCGACAAGGCACGATGCAGAAGAAAAAACGGATCTGTCAGAGCTCTCAGAGCACTTTCCAAAGATCCTGATCTGATCAAGAAAAGAGAACAGGAATTAGAAGAGATTGAGAACAAAAAGAAAGCAGCGCAGCAGAAGGATGCAGAAACTAAAAGTAAGCTGGAATCCCTTGCTAACAGCCTCTTCAACCCGTCCGACTCGACCAACGCGCAGTCGAATCCGTTCTCAAATCCTTTCGCTCAAGAATCATCCAATCCGTTCGCACAACCTGAGACAAAGGAGTCCGCAAAACTAACTTACGCTGAGGTGACAAAGCCGGTGGAAAAGCCGCGGCCCCGGGTTAGCGCAGAGCCAGTGAATCTCCCAGCTTATCCTGGATACATACTGTATGTTGATCAGGAAGCCTTTGATCTCAAGAAACAGAAGTTGCCTCCCCTTCCAGAGGTTGACGCAGCAGCCTCAGCCCAGATCTCGCAACCAAATCCTTCAAACCCATCAAAAATACCAACTGTGGATGAAAACGTCTCCAAAATTGTGGACGACCCGACATTCCAGCATTTCTCACATATTGTTTCATTCAACCCTACACAAGTCCTTCGTTATGATCTCAATGGCTCACCATTACTGTACTCTTCCAAAGACGATGTGGCCAAATTGTTCTATGATTCCAACGGAAGACTCCGTCCCCAAGCATTGATCCCTAATCCTCCCTACAATCCTTCCTCTGAAAGAAGATTTGAATTACAGTTGATGCCAAAAGCCATTATTGATCTAGAGGCCGGAAATGACGACATATTAAGCGGAATGGAATGGGGAACCATCATTGTTGCTACAGACTTGACGGATTATATTCCCGACCAATTGTACGACGAAAACCATGTTGGGTACGTGGAAGAATGGTGTGGAGTTCAATGGGAAGAAGAATTAAAACTATAACATATAAATAAATTTATAATCCCATCAACCGTGTAATTTTGACGTCTTCAATCAATCTATCGATATCCTTGAAGTTATCATCGTTTTTAGCAAAATGCCTATGTTTATCCATGAGAATGTGCTCGTCAAAGTCGTCGTACTTGACTCGACAATTCTCACAGTAACCCGGCTTTGCTTCCGTTTTAGATTTGCGCACTGGCGGAAGGTTGGTGATATCTTTGACTTTCTTCTGTTTTGGTTGCAGCGACTGTCGGAACAACTGATTACTAATGGGAGACATCAGATTATTTTTCTCATCCTTGAATTTCACTTTATCCACTGGGGTCTCGGTGGCTTCGCTATGCTGTGATCTAGGTTTGCACTCCTCTTCGGGTTTTAAAGCTGGGGCAAGAGAAACATTCACCGATTGATCTGGAGTCTTGGATTCTTCCTTGGGCTGGTTCACATCAGGAGTCTGCATTGGACCATTGATCTCTTTGACTTGCGATGATAAACGTCTAGCGTCCTCTGAACTTATAAACTTTGAACCTTTCTTGACATTGACGACGCGAATGACCCTGTCTTCCTTTCTGACTTTGAATACCTTCAGTGGGGACTCCTTCCTTTGAGTAGCGGGTAATGGGGCAAATGTCATCATTTTCTTCTTCTCGTCCGCAATCTTCTTGTTGAAGACTAAGGAATGCGAAGGGCCCAATCCATTGCCCACCCCGTTAACACAGCCCTGGCCAGATATCGCGTTTGATCCTGACTGAGTTTGGACAACACCCGAAGCCTCAATCTCGCCGTAATCGTTTCCAACCTTGTTTTGCGAAACCTCAACTGTCGAATCGTCGCGATAGAGGTTTGCTGGAGGAGCCATAGGCTTCTTTTGCACTTCTAGGACCTCAGGGTTTTCGTTAAGTTCTTGGAGAACCTTTCTCTTTTTCTGCTCCGGCTCTATTATTGGTGCGCCATAGTATGATTCTTCCCACATCCGTTTGTATTGCACTCGCTCTTCGTAACTTAATGCAGGTTCGTTTGGAAGGCAGGATGCTTCGATAATCTTCTGACGGTAATCCTTTGTTTCTTCCAAATATTGCATGCGCCGCTTGTGCCGTTTTTCAGAGTTGCCTGTATGAGTATCTTCAATGAATAAAGACCTACCGTTAGTTGATTTCGTGAGTTTTGGAAAGTCGGCAGCATTTGTAGGCCACTCTTTTGTGACGATCGGCCTTGTTTGTTGTCGTAAATCATAGACGTAGAAGTAATAACCTGTGAAGTACTTGATGTCATCTCTTTTGGCATTGGGATCGCGGTCATTAGGGCCAAAGAGCTTCTCGTTCTTCAGAAGAGATGATAGTTTTTTTTTGAGAGAAGACTCGTCTTCCGGAATGGGTTCCCCAAGATGGTTCATGAAACGGAACACTTTCTCGTAGGTCCAGACCTTTAATTCGTTTCTCTTTGCAATGCGAAATATGTCTCCCATCGGGTAATCTGCATGTTTGTGGTATGGCCGTCTTGAGACTATGATTGTGACGTTCTCGCTGAAGAATCTCTCGATGGTGGCACCCAAAGACTGTAGTGCCAACTTAGCTCGCTCTTTCTCTTTCTCGTTTCTGCCTTCGTCGTTCTCGAAGTAGACGACACTGGCTTTCAAAATCTTTCGCCAACTTTGTTGCCAGTCTTTTAGTTCAGCGCCCGTCATTCGATTAGACTGCTTTTTGGCCGGTACCGGCGGCGCAGCAAGGCTTTTTATGGATTCATTTAAAGCAGGGTTTGCAAGGTCTAATTTCTGATCTAAAAGCGACTTTTTAGGTGCTGCATTTGAGTTGAGCGCGGATTTGGAAGACTCTTTTAATGGAGTTCTCTTCGAGCCTTGTCGTAAATCAGAAGCGTGATTCATAATATGTATATGCTAGGGAGTAATTTTCACGAATGCTAATGCTGGAATGAAGTGACAGATGCTGCAATTGGTGAATCTCTGTTTTGGAACTGCTTGTTCATTAATGGAACGAGTCTCGATTAAAAAGCGGGTTTTTCTCACCGAGAGAGTTGTGGTGATCTATTACAAGATGGATTAACGCAGCTGAGCTTATTCGGAAGCTAGTTACTGGCGCAATCTTTTAAACTTCCTTGTCTCGAAACACGGTAAATAAACAAAGACGAAAAACACGCACTTTGTGTGCATGTTTTTTCCCCCTTGTAAGGGGTGCGAGGTGTCTCTTATTAAATGATGCAAGGATTATTTAGGTGCGGAAAGCGATTTTATTTATTACAGACAACGGCTGACAATGCTCAACTCAAAGAACATTTCCAACCTGTTGTCGCAGGTGCTAGAGCCTGTTCTCGAAATTACAAGCTCGAAGCCCTACTCGATTTCGCTTTTATCGACGTCCTCCAAAAAACCGCTTGTCTCATGCTTCCAGAACACACTTGACGAAGACACGAAAGGCGACGATAATGATTTCCTTAATGCTGGCATAACTCCATCGGACAACTTGCGAATTATGTCCCTTACAAGTTTGAAGGCATGGGAACAGCGTACAAATTCTGAACATGACTGGCTCGTGATACGCTTCAATTCGTATTATATCTACCTGTACAAGATCAACGACGAATACCTGGTAATGCTTTGCTGCGATTTACAATATCCAAAGGTGTTGGCCATCAAAAAGTTAGAGAAGCTGAGCGAGGCCATGAAGGATAAACTGTGACTAGTACAAATAATAGATCCCATATAATTCAGCTTCTATTGGGTTATCTCATGCCAATCGACGCCACTTATTCGTCCGACTCCAAGCCCTGGTCTTCCTCGTCGTATTCAATGTCATCCTCGTCATCGTCATAGTCATCCTCCGCCTCGTAGTAATTATCCTCCCACCAGTCCTCGTCATCCTGGCGCTCCTCTTCGTCTTTGAGGTTTTGTTTCAGATCTTCCGCGTTCGGCATCACAAATCCCTTGGGGATATTGGCCTGCGATCTTGCCACCTCCACGGAAATACGCTTGCGGTACTCTTCTCTGTGTTTCTTAAATGCAATAGCTGCGTCGACATTTGCAGGGCTAGATATGTTAGGGTCTTCTAATAAGGAGATGATGGAAAGCAGCACGGACTCTACGCTTTGGGCTGGCGACCACGTTTCGTTATCTGGCTCGTCGTTTTGATCGTTTCCCGACTCGTGTAGAATGGAAATACAAAGTCGCCCGTCGTTATAAACATTCGGATGATAGATGGGTGGTGTAAATTTGAACCCCGGTGGAGAAAACGGATAGTTGGAGGGGAACTTGAGTTGTCCTTTCAAATAGGCTCCGTTGTAGTCTGCATCTTTATCGATAACCATCAAGGCAACGTTCCATAAGAAAATATTGTCGTCCTCAATCTCAACATGAACTTGTTTTAATCCGGTCCTCGGATTAGATATATCCTTGTATTCCTTCCAGAGTCGTTTGGCCGCCGCGTGTGTTGCCATACTATTGCAGGTCCTATATTTACTGTGGGTGCCTCGGATCTGGAATAATAGCTTCAACCGTGTGTTTTAGGCCAAAACCACAGATCTTGCCTATTTGAGCGTGTGATCAATTTTTACTACAACACAATTTTCCAGGGCAAAATCTATCTTCAAGAAAAACATTATCGTCGCGTCGATTACGTCTACCATACTTGAAGCTCCTCAAACAGGTCTATGCGCATCTCGTTGCCCGAGGTGCCGACCTTCTGCGCCACAACATCCCGTATGGTGTCAACGAGGATGTCTGAGCCACAAACGACAATGGCAAGACCATTCCGGTGGCCTTCCACCTCTGCCTCCTCCAGAACAGAAGATATGAGCTTGGAGACATCGGGTCTCATCTTGTGGACGTTGTAATCTGCGAGATGCTCTTCCGACAGCTGGCCCATGACGCGTGCCATAAGCTCTTCGCTGCTGATTGATATTAGTGGAGTTCTGGAATTTGTCGACATTGCATCGCCCGATGACTTTTGCACCAGTTTATTTTCTCTGGTGAGATAAATATCTTTTGACACATAATTGTGTTGGTCTTTTGTCTGGAGGTCCAGTAGCTCGCGGCCAAACCATCTCAATGCTGTGAAGTATGGAGATATCCAGACAAAGTGTATTTTTTTCCGCCAGCCTTTGGACTGTGCTTGTTCTAAATGATGCATGCAATGGTAGTATGGACCAGGGACACCATTTCCTCCCGCAAGAAGGAGGATATTATCGTAGCTCTCGAGGCTAGAGGCGTGTCCGTAAGGGCCTTCGATGGCGACCCGCAGCTGCGACTCACCTGCTGCCAGCAAATAATCGTACAGTTTCTGTGTCATTCCGTCTTTCTTTTTAATGTAAATTCGCACTTCATTCCCAACAGAATAAATAGTGAACGGATGGCTTTCCCATAATTTCCAAGAGACAGAAGGCGAGAGAATGTACAGGTAGACAAAACAGCCCGGGTATGGTTTCCAGCTGTCTGGCTTTGGAATGCTGACCACAATGGTCTCGAAATGTAGCTTGAATGTGGCCTTTGGGGTACCAAACCTGTAGATCTTCATGAGTCTCCACGCCCTGTCAAGAGCCCAGACCCCCATGCTGGCATACGTCCACTCCAGGTACCCGATACTTTTGCAGTGGAAATATGCCCCCACAATGAAAATTAGGGCCAATATAATATGAACAGCCAGGAACAGCTCGTACCACCGGCTGCGGAAGAAATAAATGGCTTGCAGGATAATGAGAATGCCGGCCTCTAATGACCGACGACCAAAGAACCAAAGCGCCTCTTGCGAGACTCTCTCGTAGTGGCCGCGGATAATTGTGTACTCTCTAAACGCATAGGCATGCAACGCGGCTAGAATCACCATCGCCCTGGAAATCCACTTGTGGAAGATGATAAAGGTATTAAATTGCAATCCCGTCAAATTGATGAGAATGTTGTTTCTGCCACCAAACAAAAACAGGGCCGGCAGCTGTGCGAAGGCGAGAAGACCTGTTCTATCGGCAACGTATCTATAATACTGTAGATCTTTTGCTCCCAAAAGAGCACTCTGATCTTGCAGCGTGTAGCCGACAGAAGAAGAGACTATGACCATGATGCAGTACAGGAAGACAATGATGGACTCCTGTGTGGTCGGGATCAAGCTGTCAAAAAGCTTGAAAGGGGCCCATTCGCCAAGAGACCCAAACATGTTCCACGGTTGGAAGTGTTTGCCGTTCAGCGTGGGCAAGGCGATATAGCTCCTAAAGGAGTCGATTATGCCTCCTTTTAGCTTGTTGTTCCATCGGTAATGCTTGAAGTGGTTGAATGTTCCGATTACGCCTAAAGTCACCACCCAAAACATGCACATTATGGTGGAAAAATCATATGCCCAGGCAAAGTTTCCTGCAAACAGCGAGAACGAGTCCGCGTACGTCAACACTGTGGTGAGGTTAAGACGCACGGGAGAGCGGATTGGCGTGCTGAGATTATGGGATCGGGCCTCGTTCTCGGAAAGGACGTATTTTGTTGCGTTCTGGTACCTCCTCTCGAACGTTTGTATGTCCAGGTCGGCTCCTCCGAGTCGACCGCAGTAATCCACAATGACACCATACGAGTCCTGTAAAATCTGTTCCTGTTTAGTCTGATTGGACGTCAGATCATGGAAACAGATCAGCAGAGTCCCCAATGCAGGCTCGTACTGGCAATGGGGGCTAAAGAACTCGTTTGAACCTGGTGGTGGCCTGAAGTCAAACGGCAAGCTTTGAGACTGCGATATACAGGAGAAGAAGGGGGACTCCTTCTGATTGAGTGCCAATCCTCCTGGGGCGATCAGGCAGATCACAAGCCCGAGAATTTGTCTCATCAAGCAAAAACGTTAATCTCAATTATTTTTTTATCTGAGATATCGGTGATGAAAAGAACCAAACACACAGCGTACATATAGCATCTTTATATATTAGCCACAATGACGATGTCCAAGAGCGAACTCCGATGCCAGGCCCATGATGCCTATGGTGGGCACCTGGGTGTTCAGGCTAGCCGCATCGCAGGCGTCGCGCGATATATGTCAATGCTACCATAATCGCAGCTAATATCGACGCGTCGTTTTTCGTTTTCTGTAAATTTACAATCGTCTATGGACGAACGCCATTTCACGCTTGCTGCCTCTGTAGTGCTGCTGACGCTCCTGGCGTTAATTGGCCGGCTGATCTACGTTCTTCCCAGCTGTCACAATACCTTCGGTCATCCTCAGAATTCAGCGGCAACATCAAAGTCAGTGCTGATCCTGCTGGGCTCCGGGGGCCACACAGGAGAGATGATCCGAATCTTGCGCCAATTTGAGCATTTCGATCACCTCCAACGCCAGTACGCAGTCTCAGACTCGGACGAAACATCGCTCGCTAGCATTGGCAGCCTGGAAAAGTCTCCATCTGTCATCACCATTCCCCGGGCCCGCAATATTGGAGAGAGCAAGCTCTCCGCTGTTTTCCGCTCATCAAAGGCATTCATATCGACATTTCTCCTTTTTGCATCCATGAGGCAGTATCCAGACGTCTTCCTGTGCAATGGACCGGGCACAGCGATTCCAATAGCGTATGTGCTATTCTTTTTCAAGTATCTGGGTTTTTGCAAGACGAAAATCATCTATGTGGAAAGCCTTGCCAGGGTCAACAATTTGAGTCTCACAGGAAAGCTGATCCTTCCAATAGCTGACCGGATGCTGGTCCAGTGGAGCCAGCTCGCCAAAAAGTATAAACGATGCGAATATTACGGTATATTAGTCTAGTATACAAATTAATTTTTTAGACTTCCAGGTCCGTTCGAAGACTCGTGTACTTGGAGGAGGCGGTGCTCTCGGTCTTAGACCTCTTCGTGGAAGGGCTCTGAACTTGATTCTCACTGCTCTTCTTCTGTTCTTTGGTGGCATATTTGATCATTTGGCGGTTCACAATGGTGCGGACTCGTGCAACTTCTGTAGTCGAAAAAGAAGGGGTGGTAGTCTTTCCCGCCCAGCATAGTCGAAGCGGCTCCCCTGCAACAACGACCAGTTTTGGATGGGGCAACATATCTTTGAGGCATTCTGCTGCCTTCTCGGCGGCCTGTCTAGAAGAGAATTCAACGAAACCAAACTTGCCCCGATGGTTCAAAGTAACGGCATCCACCTTCTTTTCTCCGACGATATCCTCAAAGTAGTCGCGCACTTGGTATTCAGCAAGCTTCTCGCCAAACCCGAATAAGAAAAACGACTTGATTTTGCTGCTTTTGGGTGTTTCTAAACTGCCGTTGAACGGCAGATGTTTGCAGAGTTTGATCAGTTCCTCCTTGCTGACCTGTTCTTCATCTTGCTCGCTCTCTTGTTTCCTTTTTTTGTTATGCACAGCTTTCGATAGCGAATCTATTAGTTTGCGTGCGTCTGCCCGCTTCTCCTCCACTGTTTCGATGGCTTCTTCCCCTGCAGCCTTGTATTTTTTTTCAAGTTGAGAAGCGGCGTAAATTTTAGACATTTGATTTTGCGGAGTCAGTTCCAGGGCAGGGCTTTGATCTGTCAGCTTCAAAAGCTGATCTCTCGTTCGCAGGTCGATTCCAAGCGTCAGATCCAACATGCACGACTGACAGCAATTCTTTGCTCTTGCACAAGTCAAACAGCATAATGTCTTTTTAGATCGTTCGCCTTTCTTAACAGACCATCGGAAAACAGTGAACGGGCGAGTGCACAGCTTACATTCTGCTCCGTTTCTTTCTCGCGTCATCTCCACGTACGGGTTTTGGCCCAAACAGTTGTTGCAAATTGCCGGAATCTCGTCTGCGTTGTTGGACATGAATATATCAAAATATTAATAAATTTGAATATTTAAATCCATTAAGCTAAATCTGTACTAGATATACCTTGAACGCTCGGTTACACTAAATCGACAACTTTAATCATATTATAACGTAGCTTCAATTAGCTATGTCCCACATACAAACGTACAAAAGAGTGAATTTACAACGGTTCAGATCACGCTCTCCAGAGATTCCACTGGCGAAGCTGAGTACGACAGAAACCTTATGTGTTAGTACAACTCTCAGTGTTAAAAAGCTCTGTCAAAGTTGTGTTTCCTCATGTGTATCGGTTGAAGAAATTCGTTGCAATGCTCATCATAAAGTTGTACTTACCGTTTACTAGTACAAAGAGTAAAATTTTTCACAGTTAAAAAAATTACAGATTAGCAAAAATAGAAATATTTCAACGATTTTGCCAGGAGTCAAACCGGAGATTGACCGTGTTGCTAAATTTCTATTCTACAGCATTCTTGGCAGCCGAGGGGCTTACTATCGGAAACACATTGAAGTCTTCCCCGTTAATTTGTAGTACTGGCATTGACCAACAACTAATTCCTGCACGATTGTGTCATCCGGTCTGATCGAATACCCCGGATCTAACCCCTCGCACCCCGAAATTGCTGAGCAGAAAAACTAATTTGGTTATCTCTCAGAAAACTAATTATTTGGCAGCGTAATACTTCAGACCGCTGAGAGTCATTTGCCGTTGTCTGATAAGCTGAAAATGCCGCCTCCATCGCCGCCAGGCTCAAAACCGAAGATCATCAAAGCCCCGGGCTCGAACACAATTCGAGTGTCCGTTGCCTGCGACCGGTGTCGTAAGAAGAAAATCAAGTGTTTCTATGAGGAAGGAGAAGAGGTGGACCCGAATGGACGTACGCAGTGTGCCAATTGTAAAGCCGTGGGGCTTGACTGTATTTTTACTGACAAGCTGGCTCGAAAAGCGTTTCCAAGAGGATATACAGAGTCTTTGGAGGAGAGGGTGCGAGAGCTGGAGTTCGAGAACAAGAAGCTGCAAAAGCTGCTCAAAATGCGTGCTGAAAACCCAGATGCCAACGCAAACACTCCAGAAGATCCAAAAACCTCAACAACGCTGCTGAATGACGAGAATCTGTCTCTGCTCAACAAACAGAAAGTGTACAAGTCACTGGAAGAACATCTGCATGACGAGACGTGCAACTGCGGAAACTTCCCGCACTCGGTCCACAACAGGCCTGTTTCCATCGCTGGTTCTGTCGACATAGACAAGGGAGAACTAAGCGATGACGACGTGTCTCTCTACTCGGCATCGATGCCCTCCAATTTGCACTACACCCAGAACGTGGACGACCTGCGCAATCGGTATGGCTACAACTCGTTTGAGCAGGTGAATGCTCCAGGAGCAGCAGCAGCCGTGTCTCTCCAAAACAAGCTACGGACTAAGCATTTTCTGAATCTTGCAAATTTAATTGCAACGTCGATTCCCCGGACGACCGAGGAAACTTTGTTTATTCCTTCTTTGCTGGCCAAAGTTGTGAGCGTTCATGGATTCAACTCAAAAGCTCCATATCTCACTTCAAAGTCGATTGCGTTGCTCAAGGAGGCATATGACGAGGATAAAAGGTACTCACGATTCCCGTCGATGTTTGAAAATGTCAAGTTCAACGAACTGTCACCGGAGGAGTCCAAAAAATTCTTTCAAGGCTTGAACCTGCCCAATCACGTTAACTTGGACCTCTGTATATCCATCTTCTTTGAGACCTGGAACCAAGTCACCCCGGTGCTAAACAAGGAAGTCTTTATGAGCAACTACATGAAGTTCAACAAAAGTCGGGAAGCGAATTTTGAAGACGGAGAGATGTACGGAATGGAGAAATTTGGCGAGATGTTGATCATCATCACGACACTCGTGATGCTCAGCCAGGAGCGCAGCAACATGTATGCGCATAACAAGGACCCATCGGCCAGTCATTCCGAACTTTTGCAGTTCTACGACCATCTCATCAAGCAGTTCATCCACTCCAGCATCAACTCTCTCTGCTCCATCACTTCACTGCAATTGACGACCCTCGAATTGCTGTACTGTCTCACCACTGCGGACCTGAACACCAGCTATGAGCTTCGTGGAAAGCTCATCACCATGGCCCAACAACTGCGGTTGCACAGATGTCCTGCCGCTGTGCTGGGCTACAATGGATCCAAGGTCTCAAAATTACAACAGGGAGAACGCAGAATTCTGTTCTGGTGTATCTACAATCTGGACTCCTTCAGCGCGCTGATTCTGGGAGTTCCTAGACTTCTCAAGGATCACGAAATCGAGTGTGCTCTTCCGTCGTCCTCGTCTGCTGACGGCACAGACATCAACCTTATCACGTTCAATAATACTCAGCTCTCTCTGGTGGGAAAAGTTAGTGATTTGGCTTTGAGCGTGATGAGATACTCAAAAGTTCTGGGAGCAATTGTGGACGCGATTTTCAAGCGGAGCAGCAACGAGCCAAAGCGCGCGAACGTTGGTGAATCGTCTGCACTAATTTTAGAGGACATGCTGGATACTTGGCGGAAAGACCTTGCACCCTCGCTGAGCTTCGAGAGCGATCTGAACACAACCGACATGGAGAAACTCAGCGAAGGACAATTGACGCTCATGTATCTCTACTTCCAGGCTAAAGCCCTGATATACATGCCGTTGATGGCAACGGAAACGACAAATTTCAAAAACTCGGCCTGCTACATTGCCATCCAACAGTCTGCAACAGCAATTCTGGCAATCACCAAGACACTGAACACGGAAAAGTTCCACTTCTACCACTTGCCATTGCCCATTAATGCGTCTCGCCAGAAAGCCAGATTCGCTCTGTTGGCCGCAAAGGGAGCCCTGGAGTACACTAGAGGCGGTGCGCTTTTCCAAGATGCCAAATCGCTACTCACGTCTGTTATTGCCGATCTCAAATTCGAGACCGACATCGCCTTCCTTGGCTGTCTATCTCGGTTGTGCATGGAACATCTGGAAAATGCAATTGAGGCTATTTTGGGCCCTCCGAAGGCCAACTCGCCTTCACAACAAACTGCTGAAATCAAGAAGGAGAAGAAAAAGAGTTCTGCTCTGCGAAACAAGCTTTCGTCACCGATCAAGAAGGAAGAGGATAATGTGGCTATCAACGATATCTTCTCGGCCAAAACATCCCCTCCTCAGGCGAAGCCGCAATACCAGTACCAAACGTTGCAGGACCAACTTAGAGACCCTTCTCCTATGCATCAGCAGTACACGTCCTCACAAGAACAGCAACCACAATTGTCCCATCTCTATCCGATGATGAGCATCCACCAGCAGACACAACAGCATCAGCCGCAATTCCCGCTCCCACCTGACCAAGCTGGATATTCACACCCAGAGACGAGATCTTACACGGATTTGATGATGCTCAATGATTTTGGAGTGGATGCCTCGCTGGGATTATCATTACTAGACTTTGAGCTGGACGATAATTGGCAGAAGAAGCAGAAGACAGACAACAGCGTGCACATGCAGAGTGTGAAGGAATTTGTCACGCCCGAGGAGCAAATGTGGAATTGACTCCTGTACTATGTAATTGTTGAATCTAATCTATTCTGAGAATAAAATATTTTATATTTCTGATCACTGGTCGTATTTACCAAATTCTGGAATCCAGTACTGTCTGAGAGGAGGCTTGTATTGGGAGCCAATCTCAGTGACAGTCTCAACCTCTTCAGGAGTCAGCTCAAAAGAGAAAACACCCAAAAACTCGTCCAGTCTACTCTCCTTGGAGGTGGTCGTAATTGGAATGATTCCTTTCTGGTCCACCCACCTCAGCAAAATCTGGGTCTTGGTCTTACCGTATTTCTTCTCCAGCGAACTCAGGAAATCGTCAAACTTCTTTCCTACCTCAGTGGTCTTGTCGCCCTTGGTCAATGGGCCCAAAGGAGAATATGCCTCCAGCTCAATGCCGTGCTTCTTGCAATAGTCCACAATACCCGGTGTTTGGTTTTGCAGGAACGCACTGTACTCAATCTGATGAACCTCCGGCTTGACCGAAGCCTCTTTCAGGATTTCTTCAATGTCTTGGACAGTGAAGTTGGAGATACCAATTCTCTTAGCAAGCCCCTCTTTCTTACATTGCTCCATGTATTTCCAGGCTTCGACCAATGTAAAGCCATGGGTTTCTTTCTTGATAAATGGGGAATGTAGAAGGTACAGATCAGCGTAAGGAATGTTCACTCTTTCCAAAAAGGCCTTCAGGTGCAAATATGGGTTGGCTTCCTTGGACCGAGCAGAGTAATCTCCGGCTCCTGCAAAATACTTGTCAGTGACAAAGTAGTCTGCCTTGGAGAGACCCGATTCCGCAAAAGCTTTTGCCAATTCCTGATCTACATTGTAGCACTCTGCAGCATCGATGTGCCTAAGGCCTTTCCTCAATGCGGTCTTGGTGATGTCGACCAATTGCTGGTTAACGCTGTCGGTGCCGTACTTGTAGTAGTACGTACCGCAGCCAAAAGCCAATCTTGGGATGCCCGAGGAGGTGGTCGGAATGCTCATTTTCAATACTGCCAACTGTCAATTGAGTTAGTATTTATAGCCAATTGGTCCATTAATAATCGGGCCTCCTGCATGGTTTAGAGTTTGGTATAGATCACATCCGTGCACCAGGGGTGAGTCGGGCCACAGAGGTAAATGGTGGCAAACTCGCGAATTTGGAAGTGCCATGGCTCCAGCACGGTGCGTGGGGTAAATACAATCTCCGGGATCCTGTCCCGAGACCGAGAAAGAGGGATTTAAGGTTGTGTCCTCTGCGGAGGTGGTGCAAACACTTGTTGTTGTCCTTTAGGCCGCTCCGGCGGTACATCTTCCATGGAACAACCTTGCACGGACAGGCCAGTCCCGGAGACAGCCTGTTGGGTGATGTCCACTTCTGGCCGTACAGAGCTTTATATCACCTTACTGAACGCTATAGTGGACCCAATTACCGGCTCACACCACCCTCACATGCAGAGCTAACCAATAGGGTAATTAATTAACGCTATGTAGCTCGTGGTGAACACTGGCCCGGAGTAGTCATACGTGTAGGTTTTTGGCGTGATGAAAATTAGGTGGGGCACGACTTTCCTTAACTTCGGAAGGGAGTGCTGCAAACGGTATATAAGGACTGGTTTTTCTCACAGATTATCAATTGCTCTTTAGTACAAAGATAATATAGAAACAAAATGACCGCAAACGTTGGAATTAATGGATTTGGAAGAATCGGTAGACTGGTGTTGAGAATCGCCCTTAGCAGAAAGGACGTCAACGTCATTGCTATCAATGATCCGTTCATTGCTCCTGATTACGCCGCTTACATGTTCAAGTACGACTCTACCCACGGAAAGTTCGATGGTACTGTCACCCACGAGGGCAAGTACTTGATCATCAACGGCAAGAAGATCGAGGTCTTCCAAGAGAGAGACCCAGCCAACATCCCATGGGGTAAGGAAGGCGTCGACTACGTCCTCGACTCCACTGGAGTTTTCACCACCCTTGAGGGTGCTCAAAAGCACATCGATGCTGGTGCCAAGAAGGTCATCATCACCGCTCCATCTAAGGACGCTCCAATGTTCGTTGTGGGTGTGAACCACGAGGAGTACACTCCAGACATCAAGATCCTGTCCAACGCTTCTTGTACCACCAACTGTCTGGCTCCATTGGCCAAGGTTATCAATGACACCTACGGAATTGAGGAGGGTTTGATGACCACCATCCACTCCATCACCGCTACTCAAAAGACTGTTGACGGTCCATCCCACAAGGACTGGAGAGGAGGTAGAACTGCTTCCGGCAACATCATCCCATCCTCCACCGGTGCTGCCAAGGCTGTTGGAAAGGTCCTTCCAGCATTGGCCGGTAAGCTCACTGGTATGTCCATGAGAGTCCCAACCACCGATGTTTCTGTTGTTGACTTGACTGTCAACCTCAAGAAGCCAACCACTTACGAGGACATTTGTGCCACCATGAAGAAGGCTGCCGAGGGCCCATTGGCTGGAATTCTTGGCTACACCGACGAGGCTGTTGTTTCCTCAGACTTCGTGACCGACAGCAGATCTTCTGTTTTCGACGCCAAGGCCGGTATCCTGCTGACCCCAACCTTCGTCAAGCTTGTCTCCTGGTACGACAATGAGTACGGCTACTCTACCAGAGTTGTTGACTTGCTCGAGCACGTTGCCAAGGTTTCTGCTTAAGTCCTGCCTCATCTACATATTTACGGCTTAACTGAGTTTTATAGTTAAGGAAAAAAAAGTTGAACATACGTCACTTACTGTACACGCTTTCGTGTTTTGATTATAAATAAATCTATTGTTGCTTTCTTCATAAGGTTGTTTTTTGATCAACTCTGTCATCCCCTCTCGGTGCTCTGGATTGTGGTACCTGGTGGCGTACCTGGTGGTCTTAGGACACTAATTTGACATGACAGCCCATACAATGCCACGGAGCACGTTCTAATTATAGTGTCGCGACAATTTCAAAAGCCGCACGCTCCTTATAGTGCATCATGAGATCCACGCCATGCAAGGTGGCACACGGTGACTAGTGGCAAGGGATAAGACAGACGTCCTTTTTGGGACCGCATATGGGCACTCCAATTTCGGCATTGTTTTCGGTATAGGGCACCTGCTTGCTACTCAGGCGTCTCGTGTTGCTCCCCGCTCCAATCTGGTTTTCACTTAAATAGGGCAAAAAAAATCCCTGCCGGGTTGGTGGCTGATCGGTGCATTGAAATTTCCTTATTCGTGTTCCAGGTTTCAATTTACCTTAGGCCTAAATTTGATTGTGCTGGTCATAATTTTCTAGTCTAAGGCTTTCATCTACTCTCTAAGCGAAGGTTGCTACTTCTGGTGCTCAAACGTTCCCTAAAGACAGACTAATTACAACCAACAGCGAAGAGGTGGATTCGGTGTGTTCTGACACGTTCTATTGAGCCCTTGAGGTACAACATCTATGTTACAAGACCAAACGCAAAAACAGCCGCACCCTCGACAGTTGTCCAAAAACCCATCGCTGACGCTTGTCACAGGGCAATCTCAAGCGCACGGACCGCCCCCGCCGGTTTTTGCTCCCCCATACGCGTCCTACACCCACCAACTCCCCAATGGCGCCCAAATCATCAACGTTCCGATGACTCAGCAGGTGCCCATGTCGCCCACCACGCCCTTCGACGTGAACTACGCAAAGGGAATGCTACCGAGACAGCTTTTAGTGAGCTCTCCGTTTATCCAGTCGCCCATGGCCCACAGTCAGGCACCTCCTCAGTCAGCGTATGGGGAACGTGGACCCGCAAGAAATCCCCAGTCCAGCACCCCTGCTGAAAACAACGCGCACCACCAAACTCCCCACAGAACAGGGTTTCGCCGAACCTCATTTTCGAAGCAGCTCAAGTCCAAGCTGACACAGGTCGCGAGAGCTCCAAAAACAACAGAGTCATCGGAATCGTCTGAACAGGAACACGACGAGTTCGAAACGCGCTCGCTGAGGTTTATTAACCTAAGGCCGGACATCGGGCTCAGCGATTTTCTGGATCTCATTGAGTACGGCCCCATAGAAAATTGCTCTTTCGAGCTGACGCCTCACTCCAACAACAACAAAGCAATCATCCTCTCGTTTGTGAAAAATGAAACCGCATTCAAGTGCTACTCCAAGCTCAGAACCATACTGGACGAGCTCCGCAGTGTGCTGGAGTCTCCTGAAATGGAGCTGCTTCCAGCGAAAAACGTGCCCTTGCTGCCTGTGGTCCAATGGGCCATAGAGAACGACGGCGCGACCAGGGCAGTGTGTCTGAGCAACATCCCTTCGGGGCTTCCATTGAGGCTAGTTTGTCAAGAGCTCGAAGTGATGGGCCCTATAGAGCACATCAAGTACATTCCGAACAAAAACGCGGCTTTCGTTCACTTCACATCAATCTCCACGGCAATCAAGTGCGTTGAACAGCTATCCTTGAGCGAATCCATCCTCTCCACAGCCAAGGTTTTCTATAGTAAAGAAAAGAATGCCACCGCTCCCCAATCCAACGGAACAGCCAATATTGAGTACGACTGTGAGGACAATCAATACTCCGATTTTTACTCCACTCCCTCGACGTCGTTCTCGTCTCCCCAGAATGCCAGTGCCGCACTCCACAAGCCTTCTAGTCGCCAGGCTACTGAAAACACGGTTTATGGCGCTCACTACGTACAGTCGATGCCCACGCCCGTTCTCCGTTCATCATACCCGCCACAAGGAGACTTCGTCGACTCATACAACGGCATGGTGTATTCTCAACAGTCGCTGCCGGATCTGACTGATCTGACGCTTTACAGCAACGGCTCTGTCACTAATTTTTCGCTTCCTGCCGGCGACTCTGCTGAAGCTTCGTCGATACAATCCAACACACACTTCAGACAATCCAACTTCGGAAACCGAACTATTTATCTCGGCAATATTCACCCAAAAACTACTGCAGAGGAGATATGCAACACCGTCAGAGGAGGCCTACTGGAATCTATAAAGTTGATACCCGACAGACATATCTGCTTTCTAACCTTTATAGACTCCGGCTGTGCCGCGCAATTCTTTGCTACCGGCACGAAAGAGAAAGTGATGATTCACGGCAGAAGGGTCAAGGTAGATTGGGGAAAACACCCGGGGCCCGTGAGTTCGCGTGTGCTGGAAGCCATCGAAAAGCATTCAGCTTCAAGAAATCTTTACATTGGGACAGAACCTGTTTCTGAAGAAACACAGGAAGAAGACCGCCCGAAAATACCCGACATGGACACTCTTCGACGCGATTTCTCGATATTTGGAGAGATCGAGCAGATCAACTTCTTCAGGGATGGACAATGTGCATTTGTGAACTTCCTCAACATCGTCTCCTCGATTAATGCTGTTGAGGATTTCAACGGTGAAGGGCGCGATGCTGTACACGCATGTTTTGAAAACAGATACAAACCTTTCAAAATTGCTTACGGGAAGGATCGATGTGCCAATCCTCCAAAGTCTAAGAAAAACAGGAATAGGAATAGGAAGAAGGACCGCAATGACTCTAGAGAGAGTTTCAGAGAATCATCTGAAGAGGTATCCGCTACAGATGATGAAACATTACGCAAAGTTCCTGCATTGAAAAGTATAGGCATATCCTCCAAGATGTATGAGGAAAAACATGCCATTGTATCTCCTGTGATTGAAGAGACTCTTAACGAAGCTGGCGAGACTATGGATGACTCGAGTTCTCATTCCAATGATTCGAATGTTGAAATCATTACCAGCAAGGCTGAAGCGCTAAAGCTCTCGGAGGAAACGCTCAAACTCAACAACTCGCTGCCGGAATGCGCCATTTCCAACTCCTCATCTGAAAGCATTCCAAAAGCCGCCCCAAAGTCCTCGCGGAAGTCCAACTCATCCGCAAACAGATATCGTGTTCACAACAACTTTTCCAGGTCGTCGTCCAATAATTCAATCAATTACTTCAACCACTCAGACCACTATCCTCCACAACCGCCAGTCCAATACCACCCCTTCTACCAGCAACCATCGCCAATGTATCAACAGCAGTACGCCTTTTCGTACCCGCGACCTCCCAGTGCAGGTCCAGCAAGACATAACTCCTCCAGCTCCCGCAAAACGTTGTATCACGAGCCTACTTCACCCGCTGCACAGCAATTTGTGTATTTGCAGCAGCCGGCCAGGTCGCAACAACAAGTATACTATAACTACCCGGAGTACTATAGTTATCATCCTCAAGCGAGCTTCTATATGGAAGGCCGCGACGATGACTCGGAGCTGGGTCCACGGGACGAGTCTTACAACGAGGAATCCGCTCAGTATTAATAATAGACTCTAATGGATCACGACATTAAATATGTATTTACAGAGTTCAAGGTAGCCCGGCTAGGGTTGACCTCTTTGTCTAAGGCAATGAGCTCTATGAGGTGCTTTCTGATCACAGACTTGTCAATATGTTGAGTCTCAGCGGATAGCAGGCACAAAATCACACCGACAGAAAGATCGCATCCGGTTCCGCATAGAACCAGTATACTCTTCTTTGCGATGTAGGCAGGCACTATTACCTTCATAACGGCCGGTAACTTGTTTCGTAGCTCTTTTCCTGATTTCTTTGAGCCAGAAGTCAGGGGTAAATGTAAAAGTATTGGCTTTTCGTTCTTCTCACGTGACACAATTTTCACCTTTTCGTCCAACACCACAACGAGATCGTAATCCGGCAACGACTGAATGCACTGTGTTGTGAGCTTTGCTTTGAACAGTCTGGGTCTTACTTCGAGAAGGTTTGAGAATACTTGCGACGAACTGGCTTGTTTCGATCTGATGGACAGGATAAACTCCTTGAGCTCCTCGTCGGTTCGCTCTCTATCACTGAAATAGTCCAAATGACTCCACAGAAGCTTTGGTGTCAATCCGTTCGACCAGAGTTCATGGTCGTCTGCGGCGCCCTGAACATACAGGAAAGTGTCCATGGATAGAGTACCATCCTGGCACTGAAAACTGGCTGTCACTAGGTAAATGGGAATGTAAGGTAGTTGGTCGGAACTCTGCGATTCCAAAGGAAGCTTGGAGCGAGGAGTAATCCAGACAGGTTTCAAAGGCTTGTCGAAAAGCCTCTTAAGCTGCTGTTGGCTGATGATGTCCAATCGTCGTGCTTTTTCAACTAGCAGTGGCAGCTTCTCGCATATACGCAAATGTTCCGAGCGTGCAATAGATTTGAGAGGTGTAGAAAGCTCTGCGTTACTAGATCCGTCTCTTATTGCGTTCAATACGGCACACCAAATAGGGATTGTTTTGCTCAAAGAGTCTGGGATTTTCTTGCCCCGTCTGGTAGAATCTATAATCAGTACACCTTTATGTTGTGCTATCAATGGTAGGATGTGAAAATTCAATCGTCGTGTGCTAAAATCCCAGTTATTGATATGACCGTCTGTCGACTTGAAGTAGCACGTCTCGACTAGCTTCTCTGGAGGGACGTACCATGATCCACATCTTTCGTTCGCTACCACTGGGAAACGATACACGTTTGCAACCTTTATTACAAACTGCGAGTCATATAGAATGGACTGGATGCGGTTTCTGGTGGAACGATACTCTTTTCGCAGTTCCTTGTTTATCAGGTTCAATTCTCTATTGATATCTAAATTCATGCAATCAAAAAAATAATTCTGAATAATCTATCATGTCTATAAAATACATAAAAGGCAACCTATTCAAGTTAGCCTCTGTTCCTACCAGCGAGCCAGTCTTTCTTGCCCACGCTTGCAATTGCCTCGGTGTATGGGGCGGGGGAATTGCAGCCGAGTTCAAACGTCAATTCGCCTCCACTTACAAAGTGTACAATCAGCACTGTCTCCAATATCAGGCCGAGCCAGAAAATCTGCTGGGTACTGCATTAGTTATTCCTGTGGGCCACCACGACAAGGGATTTGTGCCTGGAACAGGAGAAAAGCTTTCTGTTGTCTGCTTGTTTACAAGCACAATGGGTCAAGAGTCGTCTGAGGAAATTGCTGAATACACGAGGCTGGCTTTGAATGACCTGAAACGCCAACTGGATGAAACCAATCAGAAGTATACACTGGCCATGCCCAAAATCAATGCTGGAATTTTTGGTGTTCCGTGGAGCCTGACAGAACAGGCCATAAAACAAGCAGGAGTCGACTGCATCGTCTATGAGTTATGATTGCTTAAATAATGCTGAAATAAATTATCGCTTGCAGTGTACGAAAAGCCTTTGAAATGGTCAGGCTCATCTAGCGTGGCGGGAATGCTGATTGGTTGAGTTTCAGACATTGTGAATGTCTGGCTCGTAAACATGGCATTAAAGTTCTCGGCTTTCTCAGGATCTGTAATAGTTGGAATTATGGGGGCAGGAACTTTCCTGTCGCAAAGATCTTGCCATTTAAAGTAGCGGAAAAACCGATGATTTGTGAACTTGGGCCATTCCAAGTCTACATCAAGCCTTTTTTGCGGATTCTTGTTGAGAAGTTTGGCCAGAAGGTCTTTGGCATCCGAGGTAAGATAAAACGGATATTTGGGTTTCTGTCTCAGGATCCGGTCAATAATGGTCTTGTGATTATTTCCAGTAAATGGGGGTGAACCGGTAAGTAGGTCAAACATCACACAGCCCAGTGACCACCAGTCTGTCTTTACTCCGTACTCGTCTCCTCTCACAACCTCCGGAGAGCAGTACTCTGGAGTCCCAATGATTGAATTGCACCAATTCTCTGAGCTTTTGTCAAGCGGCTGCTTTGCTAACCCAAAATCGGTCAACACCAAGTAGCCGTCTTTATCCAATAGACAGTTTTCAGGTTTCAAATCCCTATAAACGGCCCCCATCTCATGAAGATGTCTAAGAGCCAGAGCCATCTGTGCCACATAGAACGATGCACTTTTCTCATCGAGAAATCTGCGCTGAGCTAAGTGCTGGAAAAGCTCTCCTCCAGGGATGTATTCCAAAATCAAGTACAATTTTTGATCGTCATGAAGAGCATAGAACAGTTTGACGATGTTTTGGTGTGACGAGATGGAAGCGAGAATCGTTCTTTCTGAAAATGTGCGTTCGTAAGTCTTCGAGTTCACCATGATTGAGGCTTTTTTCAGCTCCTTTTGCGCGAATAGACGGCCTGTGTGTCTATTTTTCACTAGAAGAACTTTGCCATATGCTCCCTGGCCCAAGACCTTCAAAGGAGTGAAATCAGAAACCGAAACCTTAGTGTTTACATTGTCATTTATTTCAGGCACTTCTAAGCAAACACTGTCTATTTCAGAGCCGACAGACATCCGGCGCAAAACGCTCGAACGTCGTCTGGAGCTCATGATTTATTTTATTTAGCTTTTTTTTTTGGGATAAATCTGAAACATGTACGATTATTCAGACATCATCGTCGAGGAGCCTCTCGAGCCCTCTCCGCTGTGCCAGATACTTTACTCCGATGAATTCAGACAGCTCATTGGCATAGCTAAAGCTCTGATGCGCAACAACGAGCATTCGGAGAGGGCTTTGGAGATCACCGAAAGGGTGATTGAGAAGGTGGCTGCACATTATACGATCTGGTCGTACAGACTTTCAATCGTCAAGGGCCTTGAAAATTATTCCCTTGCCAAGGAGCTTGAATGGTGTGGGCAGATTGCTCTGCATAATCCCAAGAACTACCAAATCTGGCATTATCGATCGCTAATTATTGAGCTAATACTAAAGCGTAATGGCGATTTCGATTTGAAGCAGGAGTACCCAATCCTAGAGCAGATGCTGGATCAGGACTCAAAGAATTACCATGTATGGTCTTACCGCAGATGGCTTGTGGAAAGATTCGGTTTGTTCAGAGATACGAACGAGCTCAAATATACAGAGAAAATGTTGGAAGAAGACGTAAGAAATAATTCCGCATGGAATCATCGATTTTTTGTGCTCTTGGGCGATAGAAAGTCACTCACGAGTGACGATATCCAGACAGAAATTGAGTACGTTACATCTAAAATTGATATTGCACCTACCAACCCGTCATCGTGGAATTATCTGAAGGGAATATACACCCAGCTAGATATGGATGTCACCAACTTGCAACCACTCGCAACAAAATACTCTAATCTCAATTCGATTCACTCACAATACGCATTCGAGCTGCTTGCGGAAATTTTCGAAAGGCAAAAGCTGTTTGACCAGGCAGCCGGTATTTATGCCTTGTTGGAGGAAAAGGATAGTATAAGAAGGAGATACTGGAGATGGAGAAGCAGCCGTCTCAATTTCTAAGCGCGCGGAGTCTTTCAGATAATTTGTCTTCTTCATTAGGGGCCTCTGTGGTTGGAAGCGAGGGCGTCGCATCCACGACGGTGTCACCAATCTTGTGCTTCAACTCCAGTCCTGCCTCATCTGCGATTTGGCTCATCAACTGATCCACCTGATCCTGTGGCTGGCTCACAGCATTCATGTCGTTAGACACAGTTTCGTAGTAGTTTGTACTACTTTCCAGGTCCTCAAACTGTTCTTCGAATTTGTCCATAACCATTGTAATCTTCTCTAAATTCATGGTCTCCATTGCTTTGTCCATGCCTCTTACGACATGTGCCATATTGTTCGTAACGGATCTCATGGTAACAGCAGTTTGAATTCGCGAAGCAACAGCGTCTATGCGCGAGGCTAGTCTCAGCAGGTTCAAACGCTCCTGGCCTTTGCGAATAGCATTTTGAGCATATATCTGAGCAATGTCGTTATTTCCCTGTATCAGAGCTTTCTTGACTTTATTCTTCTCTGCTTGCTCTTCTTTGCCGGTCTTGATGGACTGTCTGGTCAGCTGCTTTGCAGTGAATTTCAGCTGAAAAAGCGATTCTGGTTGTTAGCAGGACTGTTCGGCAACACACTTACTCTCTAATCCTGACATCAGTCTTGACCTTTAATTTGATGCTTTTATTTTTTCTTTTGCCTTTATCTACAAATTACACAGCCTTGTCTTGTCCCTTCAACTCGATTTTGGCTACCGTCTCGTCGAAGTTCGGAGTATTCCGGAACTCCACGCGTCCATTTTTGACCGTGGCATAGCTCAGATAGTCTTCGGAGGATTTGGGTGGCTGGGAAAAGCCACCCGTCTTAATATACTTCTCCACACTTGAGACTGAGCTTCGGTTTCCAATTATAAATCGATCATCGCCCGTGTTGGACTGAATCAGCAAGATGCGAGGGCCTCTAACATTGATATAGCTTCCATTACCAATAATGGTATCAAATAGGGATTGCTGTTTATGGTGGAGGTAATCCCAACCCCACGAGATGAACTCTTTGACCTTAAAGAAGAAGCTCTCCTCTTGAGGCTTGTCAATCATTTTGACATCTTTTTCAGGTTGCTGCAGGTGCTTATTTAAAGTCTGAGAGACAAAATAACCATCCTCCAAGTCTTGTGTTTGAGCTATGGAGGCCGCAAACAAGTTGTCCTTTTTCACAAGAATCTCTTCATCTTCATCCAGATTCAGCTTGAATATGGAGCCATCCCCAACAAGGGAGACATATCCACGTCCCGCGACGTGCTTGTATCCAGATGATAATCTTCCCGCAAGACCAGGGGTGGAATTCTTGGGAAGACCAAATTTTCGCACCCCCGCTCTTGACACGGATCTAGGGAGCTTTCGACTGGTGATCGTCAAAGAATTACCAGCGTATGCTTGAACAGAGTCAGGATTAAAGAGAGCCCAGTCAACAGACCCATCAAGTGACAAAATACAGAAGGTCTTGGAAGTTTTTGATTTGCGAACTATCGAGGTGCTGTCGTAAGCCGATACCAACAGTGTCAAAGGAACGGTAGAAATTAATTTTTGATAGACAGATGTGTGCCCACCATAGGCAAATCGTTTTAATGGCTCTTGGACTTCTAATCTAGACTGAACAAAATCTTTCATGCTAGCTTTCGTCTCTGTGGCCGTAAATAGTGCCATCAATGACCCACGCTTCACATGGACCGGCACAGAAGGTGGAACAGTAAGAGAAAGGGTGGATTGAGCTTGTCCTATCGTATCAAATACAGCCTCGCTAGACAATTGGTAGTTACCTGAGGAAAGCTCGGAGATATTGTCGGAAACCGGCGAATTGTCAGGCTGCTTCTTATCTATAACAACGTTGGAGACCTGGAGGATCGAAATATCACGCTTCAGTTGTCCACGTAACAGTCTTTTGGCAAGCGCGTGTTTTCTCACCATTTGTTTCTCTCCAATCATCATTCAAAAAGCTGAATTATTTTGATTTAGTCGAGGTGGGAGGAGTGGCCGACACCAATTCTGTAGTTTTTAGGATTAACTAACACTCCTTCCTTGAAGGACTCAAATACAAAAGAGGCATCAACAATGTGATGAGTCCTCTCTCCAGAGTCCTTTGGTGCAGCCAACTGCTTCTCCAGTTCTCTGACTTTAGCCTCTTGGGAGTCTATTGTCACGATATATCCAGCGTCTCTCCAATCGTCAGTAATCTCCCCTCCTCCAGCTACTACCAGACTCCTGTACATCTTGTACCTATTTTCGTTTCTCCATAGTAAGTAGAAGCGCACACCATGGAAAACGAGAAGGTGCATTAGTTCACTGGTTTCTGGCCTGTCATCCTGAATCAGATCTATACCTTTCTCGTAGTTTCTTTCAACGAGTTCTGTAAAACTCTGCACGGTGAAATCAACACACAGGCTATCACCATACCTATCAACATTGCGCTTGGAATGTTGCCAAAGCTCTGGGGCTGCAGTAGTGATATGCGAGGGCTCCAAATTGACTAGACGATTCATTAGGATACAATCATCGCACCATTTCGCCTTAAAAATATTATAGGTTTGTTGGAGCTCCAGGATGTCCATTGTGATCTTGTCCGCCAATATGATCAATTTTTGTTCAGGACTCAGTATCGTATTGGGATTTCTTACCACAGTTCCCCCATGACTTTGTAGAATTTGAGCCAACTCGCTTATCGTGCAAAGTTTACCTTTGAACATGCAATCCGTCATGATGCAAAACACGTAATTCTCAAATAATCGATTGGAAGGATCCACGTTGCTTATGTAGCCTCGATTGATTCGCTGAATGATGTCGTCCTTTTTGGTGCTAGCCAGTTTTCTTTTTTTGGCCAGAGTGTGACTAGCCTCATAATCACGTTCTAGTTTGGAATTTTGGTACGTTTCCAACGTATCTGCCGTCTCCCACGTTTTGTCTTCTCTGATCTTGGTACAATAGGCGGCATACAATGTGGACCCTGTTGCATAGTTGTTTTCCGCTTGCACGCTGATTGAACTCGACTTGACTTCAATCACCACAGATTCTTTTGGGTCAATCCACATCGAAGGTGTCTTCTTTCCAAATTTAACATTTGCTGGTTGTTCCTTACCCCAATGATGCCACTTCCCAGCCGTCATCTGCTGTATTTTGCGATAGTCATCAACAGAGAATCCGTTGGAGACTCCACAGAGAGTTGTAAAGCTATTGCTAGTTTCAGAGTCGCGTAATGCACATATGTAAGTAGTCTTTGCTGCTGGTATCTGTCCAACGATGACAAGATCAAGGTTTTCACCGAACTCATGCAGATATTCGGGCTTAATCTTGATCCAGGTCTCTGTGGTGTAGTTTCCGATCTCGTATCTTGAATTTGGATCTTTTAACACCAAGCCTTCGAGATCTTTACGTATAGCTGATTTCAGACTATTCTCAATATCTTGCCCCGTACTTTTAGTCTCATACGGAACGACCTCGACACGGTGGCGAACAGTCTTGATAACTCTCTCTAAAGCTTTTTTCCGATCCACCAACTTGTAGTCCTCTAAGGAACATCCATTCAAGTGTAGAATATCAAAAACCATATACATTGGGCGGGGGTCATCTTTTTTCTGGGAGTTGAGATCTTTGAGAGCTGTCGGTTTGAGAGTAGAGAAAGGAAGAGTCATATTCTTCACAGGATCATAACTGACCATCTCTCCATCAAGAATACAGTTTTGCACACCGTCAATTATAGCGTCTTTCAAAAATGGCGAGATGCATCCTATTGAGCTTGGATCAGATGATCTACCATAAATAGAGGTGTAGTCGATAGCGTTTCTGCTGAAAAACCTGTATTCATATCCATTTTGAGTTTTTTCGACGTGTAATTGAATCCTTTCGCCATTGTACTTTTCTTCGATGAGAAATTGCCCTGAAAATTTCTGTGCTACCAAATCGTAATCGAGATGAATCCGTTTTGCTCTCTGAGGAGTGAAAGGATACATCGGTCTTGAATGCTTTTCCTTAGATTCAAGCCTTATTCTGGGGTCTGTGAGGCCCCAAAATACAAACTTCAGATCGTGGGTGAGATCGAAAACATCTAGTGAGTCTGGATGCCAACAGTACATGAAGAGTTTGTCGCGGCGAATAGGGTTGATTTTCAGAACAATTCTAAAGAAAAATCGAAGCTCCATATTGTTCATCTTGTCCAGGATCTCCTCGAAAACTTTTGACTTGCTATTGGTATCAGAATCAGCCAGTTCGTGCAGCTTATCAAGATAGGCGTTCACATCATCAACGGTCAATTGTCCTGTCAACTTGTCAATGCGACGTTTACTGATAATGTTGCTGAGCAAGTCTGCAAACTTAAGGGAAGACTGAAGCTTGTTAAATCCTATTTTCTTCCAGCCAACAATCTTCTTATAATCTTCATTTTCCTTCGAAATTCGCATGATCCGACAGATTATAAAGCCCAGTCTTGTCTCTTTTGTCATATAGACCCTGGTTTTGTCTTTGGCCGCTAAGACGAGACGTGCAACAGGATAGATGTCTTTCCCCACCACTGTCCTGTATTTGCGAAGAAATTTCTCGATAGTGACTCTCGATTGATACTTCGCAAGGTGCCCTTGTCCCGGATCATTTAGAGGCACAAATAGCTCATTGACTAGATCCAAAAACTTGGGAGAGGGTCCGTGGTTTTGGGGCCTCTCAAGAGGACCAAGTGGATCAAAGAGACCGCTCATGGAATATCAGAACATCAAAGTCTAGAAGATGACTAAAGATATTGCCATTTCCATTTAAGGTGCTGATCAAAAAAATATTGCCCCCTTACACCATTATTTGTAGCATCTAAATTATAAACGTCTTCTAGCGAACAACGCATTTTACAAGGGCTCGTTTAGTTTATTTGTTATCACAAATTGCCCTGTACAATTTGGACAACCTCATTTGATTTCAGTTCATATCGCTTAGGAAACAGCTCAAGATGGCTTCTCCAAACCCGCTTGCATTTGAAGCCGCCACAGCAGCCCACGAGGTGGCAGCTAGTTACGTGACCCAGCATAAACCGCGCAAAAACGACAACATAAACTTCGCCAATTTCAATCAGGACTTCTCGTGCGTGTCAGTAGGATACGCCAACGGCTATAAAATCTACAATTGCGAGCCCTTTGGACAGTGTTACTCCAAATCTGACGGTAGTATTGGAATAGTGGAGATGCTTTTCAGTTCCTCCTTGCTCGCGATAGTAGGAATGGGCGAACAACACTCGCTCTCTCCCCGAAGACTGAAGATCATTAACACCAAAAGGCAAACAACGATCTGCGAACTGACATTTCCCGGGGCCATTTTAGCCGTGAAGCTCAACCGTGAACGTCTGGTGGTCTTGCTCGAAGAAACCATCTACATCTACGATATCAACAGTATGCGCTTACTCCACACCATTGAGACGCCGCCCAACCCGAACGGCCTGATTGCATTATCTCCTTCGAGCGACAACAATTATCTTGCTTATCCATCTCCGCAGAAACTGGCACCTAACCCGCAGACAGATATGGCTTCACATTCGAACGGCCAAACGGTGAGGAACGGAGACGTGATCATTTTCGATGCCAAGACTCTGCAGCCAACAAGCGTCATTGAGGCACACAGAACATCCTTAGCGGCAATGGCCCTGAGCAAAGACGGCTTACTCCTTGCCACAGCGAGCGACAAGGGCACCATTATAAGGGTGTTTTCTGTGGCCACGGGTATCAAACTGTATCAATTTCGAAGAGGAACGTATCCAACAAAAATATACTCGCTGGCTTTCAGTCCTGACAATAGATTTGTGATTGCAAGTTCAGCTACAGAAACCGTTCATATTTTCCGTCTAGGCGAGGAAGAGGCTGCCAATACAATTAAGTCAGCAAACAAAAAGGCCAGACTTACAAAGGCCCAGGCTCCGAATCCTCTGGAGACTTCGCCAGATATATATCCACACAACCAGCACACGAGTTCCGACGAGGACGAGGAGCTGAATGAAGACGAGGAAGATTTGGACGGAGACGAAGACGACGACCTTGAAGACGATGCACACGTGCCAGTGTCGCTACAGCGTGGGAGATCGTCGTCTTCTGCCGGCTCTTTCCACAGCTCGGAGTCGATCACCGACAAACTGAAGGAGCCCCTTGTGGACAATTCTCGAAAATCCGTTGCTCGAATGCTGCGTCGCACGTCCCAGAGCCTAGGTCGGAAGGCTGCGGAGAAGATGGGCACGTACCTGCCTCCAAAGTTCTCGTCTATACTGGAACCGAACCGGCATTTTGCGTCGCTGAAAGTGCCTGCTTCCAAGGAGACCAAGACCGTTGTTGGAGTTGGGGGCAAGATCTGGGACGACTTGATTCCCAGCGTGTACCTGAAAGATGATGCCAGCTCTATTCCTGAGACGTCCGAAGACTTGGTGAACAAGAAACTGGTGCACATCATGGTGATCACTAGCGAGGGGTTCTTCTATAAGTTTGGGCTCGACCCGGAGAGAGGAGGCGACTGCGTCCTTCTCCACCAGCAGAGTCTCTTTGGCTAGATTGACAAACCACGGTGATAATACAATCTATACTAGATACCAGGCTAGATACGGCAAAAATGAAATAAGTACACACACAATTATTTTTCATCAGACCCCTGGCCTGAGGGTGCCCCAGGGTATTGGTACCCTGTTTGGTATTGGGACTGCGGCGCGGCGACGGATGATGATTGCGGCTGTTGCTGGCCATAGTAGCCATTGTAGTAGTAGTTGGATCCTGGTTGTTGGGAGGTAGTTGCGTAAGAGTAGCCAGACTGGTTAGCGGAAAGCCCAGAAGCGGCAGAGGACGCTGCTGGTCCCGATGAAACTGACGGCTTGGACGACAGCGATAGTTGTCCGACTTGGCTGGTTGGCGTGCCCTGTTGGATCACTTTCTCTATGTCCTTGACAAACAGCGGATAGAGCAGGTCGATGATTCCTTCTCTCTCGGCCATGGCCAGGGCTCTGTCGAACGGAATCCACACCCCTTTCAAGTGCATCGAACCGATCTTGACGACGTGTCTAGTCTTCTCCGACTTGAGAATCCCGTCTCTCCTTCCTCTGGTCATCTTGGCGACGTTCAGCAGTTTGGTGCCGTTTATCATGCTGTTATCAGCCCGGCGGACAACACTGACACCGTTGGCTTCGACCTGGTAGCACAAGGTTTTTTCGTCTTCCCACATAGTGGTTGTGATTTTCGGACGGATGCCCGGAGGCTGGATCTGGCCCACAGAAGGACTCACGGGCGGATAGTTCACAGAACTGTTCCTGGAGTGAGAAGACGCGCCGGAAGTCACACTAGGCTTGGGTGACGGATTAACTCCGGTACTTGGAGGAGGCGGCAGACTGGTGGACGTGGACCCCGGTCGCGGATACGCACCGTACAGCGGGTACGACGAGGAAGGGTAGTTTCTGTAGGAAGAGGCATAGCCAGCCTGTTGAGCCGTGCCCGTGGCCTGGGGTTGTGTCTGGTAACCTTGCTGTGGGTAGTAGCTCGAGTAGGACGTGGAAGAGTATGGCTGCATGTACTGCTGGGCCTGCTGCGTCTGCTGGTGACCAGGCTGGTGGTAGTCATTCTCCTGTGGGTGGTGGGAGTAGGAGAACTGTGTCGTTGGATACAATGGCAAGCCGTACTGTTGTTGTGCTGCAGCGGACGGAGTCGACTGGGGCTGAGAATATGCCGAGTTGGCCACTGAGTAGTCGTACGGCCTGGTGGACTGGGATTGGGGCTGGCCGTATCCGGAGTACTGGGAGTACTGGTAATGGGGGACCGAGTACTGGGAGTACTGGGATGGCACTGTTTGGGGTGTATTGTTTGAGGAGGAAATGGACGGAATGACGTTTGAATGTTGTGGCCCTGTAGACGACTGGTTGTTCGTCGGGGTGGAGGAGGGATTATTGTGAGATTCAGAGGACATGGGGCTTGACTCAATCTTTAGAAGGATTGTTTTTACCTTTACTATTTTATTTTTCCTGCTGAAAGAATTAATCTAAGTATGCGTATGCACTTGATGGCTTTACTCTCTGCATGCAGACGTATGTAGGATTATGTGGGCAGCGGGTTGAAGTGCGCGTTATAAAGTGCAAAGCTGTATGTTTTTGATAGGTGATGCTGTAAAGAAGCTGTGCGGATGTGGTCCCAGTTGCGCTCTGGCGCCCTGGCTCTTTGGCCATGTCGGCCCATTCGATGGCAAACACGCCAACTTTGGTACCGTACACGACTCGTTTCTGATTGCTCAGACGCGAGGAAAAACACCGACTTTGGTGCGAGGAGTATTCTGTTTTCCCAGGATCCTCATGTTCCCCACCGGAATGCTTTTTCAGTACTAAGGTGCAAGGTGTCTTGCATTTTTGCTCTATATTTTTTCAAAGTACAAATATAGTAGACCGTAGTGGAACTTGAGGTCGTAGAAGATCTTGTCCACTCTTTTGTAGCCCGGAATGGTGGCGCTTTTCAAAGACGCCACCCCTTCATTTTTATTGCCGTCCTGCTCCTCAACGTAGACCACACAGAACTTGCCCGGACGCAAGATCTGCACCACCTCTTTGAGCAGCTCGCATCTGGCTTTACCTGGATAATTGGTTTCGAACGATGCATATGACCAGCCGGATTCAGGGGTAATGTGGAGAGTATAATAGTAATTATTATCCAGAATGCTGTTAGACGAGAATCCGCATGGGGTAAATGCATACGCATCATGTTTAATGTGCGCATAACCACTGAAGATCTTATCCAGTCCGCTACGGGACATCATTTTTTGACCAAGCAAATGCCCGTAATCCTGAGTGACAGGGTCCATTTCGGGGCACTCATTCTGGTGCTTCGACAGCTGGAACATGTCGCTGGACACAGGGTCCAGCTCTGTCATCAGCAGCTCAAACGTTTCGTCATTGGAGGCACCGGAACCATTGCTGATGCATGGAGAAAGAGGATATCCTATCTCCTTCCTGTCCTTTGGCAAGGAGCTGCTGTCATCAGCCTCCCCGTTCAAGTAGAGATACCAATGGTCTTTGGACAGATCGCCGACAATGTAAGATTTCGCTTTTGAGGCTGAAAAATACTTGCTCAGCCACTTCAGCTCATTGTTCCAGTTGCGGTGGATCTCATTTTGTTTGTGCGGGAACATGAAGCTTCTTCTCGAGTAGAAGATTTTGTAGATGGACTTGAAATTATCATGGATATATCCGCAGTATTCCACCACCATTTCCAAAAGTTTGGAAAGGCAGAACAGGGTGGTGGTAGTTCCGCAAGTTTTCAAAATCATTTTATGAGGAAAAACAAACAAGGATGACTCGGACAACAGATACGCATCCATGTCCTTGGTTGCTATCTTGGACAGGATCTTGCAATTGACCAGATCCAGCATTTCTTCGACTCCTTCCAAAGGAAGATCCCGAAGCGTTCCGTTGCGGAACACCGATCCAACGGATGTCTCAGTCTCGCAAAACCATATCTCAAGCAGCTTCTCTGGACCCTCGAAGGCATTGGTCGAGTCCAAAGAAACGGAAAGGTCGTGGTTGATGAACTCGGAATAAATTGATGGCGCCATGGTGTTAAATTGAATTGAAACCCAAACAATGAATATACTAGGTCTACTTTTTATCTGGGTTTGGCGGGTCTGTTGAATCTAAAGGCCAGTTCCCTAGGCATATGAGCAGTGGAAGCTTGTCAACAAGAAAAAAAAATGATGAAAAAATTTTGATAGGACAAAATTTATGCACTTCTTGCTTCCATAGTGTTCCACAGGGTTGCGCGAAAGATAACAATACTTGACGGGGGAATGTTCGGGGCTAAATAACGTAAAGACTTGCTGGAATACGTGAGGTACTGGCAGTAGAGTAGACTGTTCAAGCAGGGCGCAGTGCGAGTCAGTTCTTGATCGCCAGTCGTCATTCGTGACTATACCTATCAGTTACACCTCGGACCGATAAACTCACAAATTCCTCGTTTTGGATTTACTAGGCGATTGCCGCGCTCGTTCATGGCCGGGTAACTAGCTTGGCCATGATCTGATTGATCGACATTCTGGCACAGCAGTACCTCAAATTTGTCTCCTAACACCCAGATCTCCTCCTTGGGTAGACTGCATGCTCTAGTCTCCCTCAGGACTTGCAATACTGAATTTCGCAAAGTCCTCCTTATGGCTATAAAAAATCAGCTCGCGTTGAATATTTTTCAATTTTTTCACCATGTCTGAGCTCTCTCACCCAATGATCAAAGACGGCTGGTTCGCCGAGGTCAGTGACACTATGTGGCCTGGTGAGGCTATGTCGCTGAAGGTGAACAAAATCCTCTACACTCAAAGATCGAAGTACCAGGATGTGCTGGTTTTCGAGTCTTCGAACTATGGTAACGTTTTGGTCTTGGACGGTGCTATTCAAGCCACCGAGAGAGACGAGTTTTCTTACCAGGAGATGATTGCACACCTTGCACTCAACTCGCACCCAAACCCTAAGAAAGTGCTTGTCATTGGAGGTGGAGACGGTGGTGTCTTGAGAGAAGTTGTTAAGCACGAATGCGTTGAGGAGGCGGTTCTATGTGACATTGACGAGGACGTCATTGCGGTTTCCAAGAAGTATCTTCCCGAGATGTCCAAGTCGTACTCTCATCCAAAGGTCAGAGTGCACATTGGGGACGGGTTCAAATTCCTTGATAACTACAAGAACTGTTTCGATGTGATCATCACTGACTCTTCCGACCCTGAAGGACCAGCCGAGTCTCTTTTCCAAAAGCCATATTTCCAGCTTTTGAAGGAAGCGCTGACAGAAAAGGGTGTCATTTCGACCCAGGCAGAGAGTATCTGGCTCCACCTGAACATTATCAAGGACCTCAAGAAGACGTGTAAGGATGTGTTTCCGGTCGCCGAGTACGCTTACTGCACGATTCCAACCTATCCATCGGGACAGATTGGGTTCATGGTGTGCTCCAAAGACGCCAATGCTGACGTCACGAAGCCATTGAGAAGCGTCGACGAGGACACTGAAAGAAAATTGTACAAGTACTACAGCAGCGACATCCACAAGGCTGCCTTCGTGCTACCAAATTTTGCCAGAGAGGCTCTTCAGTAACGGTTTATATAGCTTTATATATGCCACTGGTGAATGTATTATTTTCTGACTTCTTGCAACACCAGCCTCAGTTGGCTGATCAAGGTTTCGTTCTCTTCCTTGGTTCCGATGGTGATTCTTAAGCAGCCCTTGCAGCCCAGCTCCTTGCCTCTAAATCTCACCACCACGTTTTTTTGCTCCGCAAGCGTGAGATAGACTTTGTTCGCTATTTCGTTGTCCGGCTCGCCCTCTCTATTAAGGATTTCCACAAGAACAAAGTTGGAGTCCAGGCCTCCAATATTTCTTCCCACTCCAGGTAGCTTGGCGAGCTCGTCAACAACAATCTGTCTTTGCTCTTTGATAAGGTCAACTCTCTGTCTCATCTTTGCTAGAGCGTCTTTGGAAGTTGCTCTCAGAGCAACCGAGCTCGTCAGATTGCTGATGTTGTAGGGGTACTTCATAGAGTTGAGCAGCAAAGAAATCTCAGGGGTCGAGAAACAGACACCCAGACGTATACCAGCCAGGCCAAACGCCTTGGACAGGGTCTGGAGAACAACAAGATTAGGGTATTTGTTGACGAGAACAGACACAGAGCTGCCAACCTCGCAGAAGTCGACGTAAGCTTCGTCCACCACGATCAGTCCGTTCCATTTGGACTGTTGCACCTTGGCAAGCAGTTCCTCGAGTAGCGTCGGTTTTATCTGGACGGCAGTCGGGTTGCCTGGAGATGTGATGTAGACCAGTTTGATCAAAGGTTCTGTTTCTAGCTGGTCCAGAATGAGATCTGGCTGAATCTGGAACGTTTCCAAGTCCAGAGGCACCTTGACAATCTCAACATCATTCACAACAGCACAGATACTATACATACCGTATGTTGGCGGACATATCAGCATTTTTTCTTTTCCTGGTGCAACTGTACACCTGATAAGAGCATCGATGGATTCATCAGAGCCGACACCAAGACACAGATTGGACACATTCAAAGGCACTTTCTGGCCAGCAACAGTAGGGATTTTAACGGAGGCAGAATTCAAAGAGGCCTCAGAGTTCCTGAAGTCGCAAATCTGCTGTTTCAGTTGCTCCTGATGTGGGTCAGGATATCTGTTCAGTTCCAGAGCAGTCTCGCTGTCGGTCAAGTCCGGCACAGAGGGTCCGTGAGTATTCTCGTTGGCATCCAAAAGAATACCGACCTTGTAATCGTCTCTTGCACAACGGTACGGCTCTAGCTTGAGGATGTTGGGACGGGCGATCTTGGTGATATCAAACATAACGGTGAGTCAGAAAAAGATCAAGTATATTTTGTATGGCCACGAAAAATTTAGACCTGCGATTTGCATGGACTGGATCTACGGCATAGTACAGTTTGTTAAGTCCAGACTCCATGAAATGCCCGAAGATCAGGAACAGATAGAGGGAGACGCACTGTATAAAATCGTACAAAGATGTTTTGACGAGCCTCTTTCGGTCGAGAAGGACTTAAAGACCATCGAAATCAAGGTTTCTCCCATTCTAGTTGATAATCTCACGAACATTCAACGACGCCAATGTTTATCTCTTGTTGACAAGAATTTAGGTGATACAATGAACCGTGTTTATGGAAAAGACTGGAAATTGGACAAGGTGGAAGAGATGCGTGACCCTGGCTTGGTGTATCTGCTACTTCATCACGACACAGAGTTTGTGGGGTTCGTTTCCATCAAAGCAGTCGAAGACAATGAAATTCATGTCCTGTACATCTATGAGCTACAAATTGTAAAGAACTATCGACGCATGGGACTCGGTTCAAAGCTACTCGGCATATTAGACCAGATCGTTGGACTAGTCAATTCGGATCCTGTCTACACCACAAGATTTGGCAAGCTGGAAGGGCTCTCACTCACAGTCTTCAGCAGCAACGAAGGAGCCAAAAAGTTGTATTTTTCAAAAGGTTACGAAATCGCATCGCATTCACCTGCAGTCAGACATTTGCGAAACCGGAAAATTCAGCCCGATTATTTTATCTTGGTGAAAAAGAGTTTTTAGTGGCTTTTTATCGAAATGATCATTCTCAGCGATAAGCTTATAAAACAACTGTTGCAAGGCCTGAAGGTCCCACAACTCCAGGAATTTCAGTCCGTGCTTGCAAAGTCCCTAATAGACTACCAGAAAGACCATTCTCTGATTCCTCCCCGAATAGTTACCACCACTCCATATGCCACCCATCTGTTTATGGCCTCGACAGGCGAAAATGTGGGAATGAAAGCTTTGACAGGCTCCAAGCAAGGCTTTACAGGAGTGACCACTATATTGGACAAAGAGGTCGGCTTCCCCACCGGTATCCTCAATGCTGCTACTTTGACCGCTTTCAGAACTGCTCTTTGCACCAGCCTTGCTTTGGTCAAAACTTTCCCTATAGAGTCTGTTGGTGAATTCAAGGAAACACTGATCTGCATCGGGGTCGGTGCCCAAGGAAAGTGGCACACGAGACTGGCTCTAATCTTGTACCCTCAACGTTTTAATAACGTGGTTTTCGTCAACAGATCTGTTGATAAAGCTGAGGCAATTGCTAGCGAGTTCCAGTCAGAATTCCCATCAATTAAATTCCAGGCAGCAAAAATTGGTAGCAAGGACCTAAGAAGCTATTTTGAAAAAGCGTCTTGCATATTCGGGTGTGTTCCAAGCACAGAGCCCACCATCCTCAAAGACTACGTGGTGAATAACTCTGTCGAAAAAGTATTCATCGGAGTTATTGGATCCTACAAGCCGCACATGATCGAGATCGAGGGAGAACTGCTCAGGGCTTCCCTATCGTCAGATGTAAAGATTCTAGTGGACTCGATTAGTCATTGCCTGGAAGAAGCGGGCGAGTTCATCCAAAACGATATCGGCGCATCTTCCCTAATTGAGATATCCGAGCTTTACATGGATTCTGAAAAAGGTAGGGCTCAAGTGGAGGCAATGGCGGCTTCGAAAGTTGTCATTTCGAAAATTGTGGGCCTGTGTATCATGGATGTCTCGGTCGGAGCCCACGTGATCGAGAAGGCCAAAGAACAGAACATCGGTATCGTTCTCGACGACTTCTAGATAAAAGATAGACGCGTCGACCGACGCAATTTTTTGATGGAGCATTTCGTCCAAAAAATATCAAATATTTTTCAGTGTTTCTCAGTAACTCAATGTTTCCTCGAAAACTCGGTATTGTCCGCAGCTATTCGCGGGCTCTCCGATTGGTCAGGAAGGGCGAGGATAGGAAGGTTTCTGTCGTCAACTATGATGATATGAGCGTTCTGAAAAACTACTTGGATCGGCTTGATCTAACGTTACTTCGACCCCAGGAAACCGAGATTTTTCCAAAGTTCAAGCACACAGGCCGTAACCTGATGTCGATCATGCATTCATCCTTAGTGCCATACGAGTCAACAGAACCGCAGGCTGCAGAGCCAAGTGTACACGCAATAAACACGAAAGATCTCACTCGTTTGAGACACCTTCTGCGCTCTCCGAAAGACAGAGAGCTATACGAGTTTTTGAAGAGATTATCGACTACCAGCAGTTTTTCTTCATTGATCAAAGAGCTGTCACCTCTCGAAGTGTCCTTGATTGTGAGACGCCTGACGAGCCTAATGGATAGAGTCATCAAATGGTATATTTTGGAGCTACAGTATATTTCGAGAATCAGTAGGGACGCGGATCTCGACCGGGTTTTGAAAACAAAAGCAGAAATGTACTCTTCCATCTCAAAAATCTTCCGCAGAATTCAAGAAAGCTGTGAACTGGCCACGATAGATTACGAAAACATGGTTAATTTCCACGCGCACAATTTACGATACGTTACGGCCATTAAGCTAGTCTCTGAGATCGAAGGAAAAATATTAAAGGGAGCCGAAAATCTACAACTTACAAAATCTTTGTGGATCAATAAACTCAAGATCCTTGGGAATGCGGATGAGAAAGCCTGGCGCATCAACCGATACCATTATAAAGAGGCAGAAATGGAACCACTTCCCAAAAATTACGTTTATCCGCACCACAGTAGCAGCGTGCAGCAGCTGCTACAAGAACTCAACAATTCTGGACTTCAGCTAGACATCGACCTCTATGAAACGATCATTCTTAGTCTCGGAGGGTCCGGCGAAATAGAATACCTACAGTCTTTGATAGACCAGGTATGGGGAATAGGAGGCCAGGTCAACGGCAGCGTTGAGAGCGGTTCTGCATCTTTTCCAACTTTCAGTCTGCTAGAGAAAATCATTGTTGCATTTACCTACAACGGACAGTTTACGAAAGGCTTGCTTATTTGCATGAAACTGATCGAAAAGTACCAGCTGGACCTGCGATATTCTCAAAAGTACTGGACGGGAGTTCTTCGTGCTTCCGGGGTGACTACTGCCAACATATACAGAGATATCCAGACCAAGCTTTGGGAGAAGGGAGTTGATGAAGAAAACATCAAAAGAGAGTTCGAGCTCCAGCATGAGATATTTGATCTGCTGTGGAGGAGCGCGATGAGTGTGCTTAAGACTCCGTCGAAGGATATGATTAAAGTTCGTTTACGATACTCCAGCTTGGAATCGCTTGTGAAGGATCTTCCCCAGATTCACGAACTAGCCGTCAATGAATACAAAAACACCTCTGCTAGTGAGGCCGCATATCGTGAAAGTCTGTTGCTCCGGTACCTCAATATCTGTCGTGTGAAGTTTGTTCAACGGAAGAACTTCTACGAGGCAGAGATGCTCATCAAGAAATTCTCGATGAACCAGAGAATGGAAGACGCTCTTCTTTTCAGGCTTAAGCGGTCACAACAGAGATACCTCCGCGACACGACGGTCAAAAAGGCAGAACAGCGCATTATCGAAGATGACGACGAGGATGGGTTTGGTATTTGGTAAATATGCTATATAACTAATTCGAGCTCGTTGCAATTCATATATCTGCTGAGGAAAATCCACAGCCATCTGTACCAGACGATCTGGGAGTAATGAGCGTATGTCATGGTTGCCAGGTTCAAAAACCAGGAGTTGAAGTTTGCGTAGATCTTAATGGCTTGGCCTTGATCTGGGATGCGATTCACTAATGATGGCAAATATCTGTGGATTGCAGAGCACTTCTTCAAAAGTCTTGCAATGAGTTCAACGTTAGTAATCACAAATGCACTGTACTTGGCAGCCACTGGCCACGACTTGAGCTTGAAAAATCTAAGCTTGTGTTTCCTTGAATACTCTTCGACGCCATAGTACAGAGACTTGTGGTTTGGATGTCCTGAAACACCTTCCTCATCAAAGGAGACCAGGATCTGCTTTGATTTGTGGAACGGTAGCTCCTTCAGTTCTTTAGCCAGAGTGGCCGCGATTGCGCTTGTGTCCCACCCTTCGTGGATGTTGTCGACATAGTCAAGTGTCTTGTGAGTTTGGAATCCCAGTATGTTGGCTGCCCGGATTAATTCTTGCTGCCTGGTCTCTCCAAGGCCATCGAAGTTTCCGTCTGAAAAACAGATCAAATGCAATGCATTGTTGTATTTAGCCTTTGAGAGCTCCACAATGACCGGACTGAAAAACATGGACTCGTCGTCGGGATGCGCTGTGACAAATATCACATCAGCATCGCTAAGCGAATGTTCTGTTACTGTGGCTTGGTTCAGTTCGTATAGGGAATCATATGGCGACTTCACTGCGTTCGGGCCAGCAGCCCAATAAGGTACAACAGTCGACAATATGGCCCAAGCCATCAACATGCACAAATACTTTGTCACAAGTTTGCCGGAAACCCTGAATATATTCATGCTAGTAATTAATTCACGTCGATCTGAATAATCCTCGTATTTTTTTTTTTTCGGTGCGTCGGTCGTCCAATCTTTTTCATCGACATGTATTCACAGTCAAGGACGCAGATTCAACGATTTAGGACCGGCATCCGTTCAGCTTCCGATCTGACACGGGCAGACCAGCTTCTCAAACTTGCCACTCATCTGAAGCCACCAAAGTTTGCTCCAACGCTTCCGGAAAAAATCCCGGTTCCCCAATCGCTTGAGGAGAAAGAAACCTATCGAAACCCATTTGTGCGATTCCGCTTAAATGACGTACTGCAGGCCTCCATACACTACCAGCTGCCTACAAAGTACCGAGATCTGATAAATGTGAAGGAACCAACTCCCAGAGGCCCCAATTTTTTAGAGACAGATCTCGTGGATCTGTTCTTGGCTCGCACTGGGGGCAGGCCTCCCAAAAAGTTCCTCACCATACAGAATCCAGAAACTCCTCCAGCCATTACATTCCCTCCTGATGTGTGTGCAAAAGTTCATAATATGTTTTCCAGCTACGAAACTGATCAGATAATACAGCATCTAACGACAGAGCTGAAAAGATACTCGCATTTTGATATAGTCTGCGGAATGTTGTCTCTAAGCAAAGATTTACCCCAGGAAATACAGCAGAAAGTGGTCCAGCACGTTCTGAAGACGCTGGAGATCATAGACCAATTGGAAACTACCGTTTTGTTCCACGAGCTTATGAAGCTAGAAAATTTCGACTACATCCAACATGCTATCGATAAATTAAATAAATTAGATGCCTCAGGAGACTTCCTCAGAGACGCAGCTTCCCAGCTTCAAGTAGCGCTGCTCGAATTCTCAATCCAGCACCAAAAGTTTCATCTTGCTGCTCAATTGCTCACCTATTTGCTCCAGAATCAACTAGTTCCATCGCCAACTGTGCTCGAAAAGTATACCAAACTCGTCAAAGACACCGCACTTTCTATAAATGCCGACTTCAGCAGCCGTAGAATTGTTTTCATGGCCTATATTGCCCCGCTTGCGCTTGCATTACTACATCAAACGAACACCATCAGGAGAAATATAGTCCAAAATATTAGTTCGTGGTTGAGCATCCCCGAACTCTTTTGGTTTCTGGAGTTCCTGAAACACACGGGCGCACCAGTCAACGGGATAAACTCTGCTGTCATCAGGCAGTACGGAAGACTGGCGAATAAGCCATCAGCTATAGACAACGCTGTGACATTGACCTCGTTGATTGGCCATCTGAGAAAGCACAAGTTTGAGCCTTTTGATGATAACTGCAGAAAATTAATTATTTCTCTATACTGCAAATTCAAGTCTCCGATTGCAGCTCAATGGTGGATCGACTCGCTTAAAACCCCGCTGTCTGCTGACGAAATATCTCAAATCACAGAAGACCTGAAGGCCTCTTCTTTAACGGTTGACGAGAAGGAATTTCCGTACCACGGTCAAGAACACATAGACGCATTCATAGAGAACCTCTCTAACTAAGATAAATACTACTCCCACTTCTCAATAAAGCGACTTTCAATGCCATCAAGACAGCTTTTGAAAGGCACTATTTGCAGGTTCTCGAGCTCTGCTTTGAACAGTTTATCGACCGACGGACCTGCGCCAGCCATTGGGGGCACCATTGGTTGCTGCTGCTGCTGCGCCATCAGCTGATTGATAATGTCACCATCATCAAGAAGCAAGGAGTAAATGCTTTTCAGACCGAGCAGGTTCACAAAGTACCAGGAGATTGCGCTGACGTACGTGACGTCCAAATCAGTTGTGTCTATACTTTGTTGCAACATGCTCTTAAAATTTCCGGTGAGATTGAATGGCAAGCGCATCACCACGTATCCCTTGAAAAAGTAGTTAACCCACCACATGATCAGGGTCTGAGGCACATAGTTGGCAAAATTGTTTTTCACCATTTGCAACAAAAAGTCCGAAGAGTTGGCATCTGCCAGCGGGTTTTTAATCTCGTTCGGATCGCTAGGAGGCAACTCCTTCAGATACTTGGTGCCAGAGTATTCGGGGATGAAGAAGTCGATTTTATTCTGCAGTTCCTGCTTTGCCCAGAAAACCGAGTAATTGCGTCTATACGTCCGTATTCTTGCCAAATGTTGTTGTTCTCTAACAAGTTTGTAGTCCTGCAGTTTCATCTTTGGTTGCAGTAAAACAGAAATGTAGCTTCGAAGAATGCCTACCAGCACCATCACCACCGAGATCGGCAGTAGTACCCATAGTTTGAGGGCTGGGTCTAGGACCAAATCGGGCACAGGCATGGTTTAAAATATAGAGTAATAAAATTATTTTTCTTGGAACTCGTATGCGCTTGAGAATAGCAGCCATCCAATTGAACCCCCTTCTAGGGAGGTTCGAGGAAAATGCTTGCACAGCTTTGAAACTCGTTGACCAGATCAGAAGCAAGAAGCCCGACATTGTCATTTTTCCAGAGATGGCTCTTACAGGATACAACTTTTCCGGACCAAAGCAGATCGAGCCGTACCTCGAGGAACAGGGAGGAGGAAGGTCCTTTGAATTTGCAAGGAACGTTTCGCAGTCTCTTAAATGTCATACGGTTCTGGGGTATCCAGAAAGACATTTGTCCTCAACATACAACTCAGCCATGCTGATAGGTCCGGACGGGTCTCTGGTTCATAATTATAGAAAATCATTTCTATACAAGACAGACGAGATATGGGGGGCAAAAGAGTCTCCCACGGGCTTTGAGGCCTTTGACATTGAGATAAACAACCGCAAAATCAGATCTACTATTGGCATATGCATGGATCTAAACCCGTACAAGTTTGAAGCCCCATTTGACGCATTCGAGTTTGCCAATTTTTGTTTTGAAAAACAAGTGCAACTTATATTAGTTCCAACCGCATGGATGAGCACGAGCTGGAGCGAAGACTGGAAGGACCAAGCTAAATATACAAAATTATTCGAGCAGCAGCTACCCTTCGAAATCAATATCGAAAGCTCTGCCGCAAATGACAGCATATTATCCTCATTGGAGGAGCCGTACGACCGCACAAAACCAGACAAGCGGACTGCGCAATACTGGTTGATACGGTTCCAGCCACTTTTCTTCAAGAAACACCAAAAGATGGTTCTTGCAGTTTGCAACCGGTCCGGTGTGGAGGGGGATCTCATGTATGCGGGATCATCCTCAATTTTCCGCTTTAATGGTAAAGTGTATGAGGACGGGGTGGACCTGGAAGTGTTTGGCACGCTTGGACAGGGAGTAGAAGGTGTGCTGCTCAGGGACGTGGAAATCTAGAACGACTATTTTCTCAGCTGCTTCTTCAACTCGGCAAGCTCCTCCTGGACGGAGTTGTACGCTCTGCGCCAACCCTCAGCTTCGCGGTACGTCTTTTCCAGCTCTGCTTTCAATTTCTCGTTCGAATTAGCAAGCTCGCTCACAGCCTGATCGGTGATAAGCTTTTCTAAGGTCCACTTCTCAATGTTGGAGTCCTCGTTCTCTTTCAGCCTCTTTATATACTCTACGGCACGCTTTAGAATCTGAGACTTGTTGTGGTCCTGCGTTGGTAGCAATTCCTGTAACTCCTTTATCCCCTGGTTGATCGTCTCTCTCCTTCTCTTTTCCACTTCCTTATGGTTCTTTTTGCGCCACGTGTGCCATTCTTCTGATCCTGCTGCTGGTCTCAAAGGCGTAGGTTCCACAGGTAGTGTTGTGCTTTGTGGAACGGTCATAGTGGGGAGACCCTGTCTAACAGGTTTTTCCGCGTTAGTAGGGTTCTCTGTGGACTCCTGGGCCTGATTGGCCTCCAGCTTGATACGCTTGGCCTTCTGTTCCTCTTCGCTGGACATAGTAACTAAACTTAATTTGGAGTTGTTTATTTTTTGTCAGGTGAGCGAAACACACATGACCGCAAAATTGTGGCGGTGTAAACATGTTCTCCTTCCAGCACTTTTTTTTTTTCCCGACTCTGTGCAGAAATCAAAGTCCGTTCGTTTATCAAAAATATTTATAGAAATGTGCCGGGTTGTTGAGTGTGGAAAATGCCATAGGAGCGCGTGGACAGGCTGCGGAAAACACATTGCTACTGCCATGTCAGCCGTGCCAAAGGAAAGGTGGTGTATTTGTGAACATAAAGATGACAGCTTCCCCAAAGAGTTTCCTCCAAGAGTCGAACCTGCTGCTACCACTAGTATATAAAAGAGTATATTAACTACGTGTAAATAGTGCGCGTAGGGCAACTATTTTTGTCTCTTGTAGATTTTGTTCAAGAACGAGGTCAGGACTTCTCCCTTGAAGCCTCTAGACTCGTCCACGTTGGCGATCTTTGAGCGCAGCTCATTGGCAACCTTTTCCTCATATTCGAGATATAGCTGGTCAATCTTGAGATCCTTGAAGACTTGTTTGCACTTGGCCTCCTTGGCCGAATCCTTGCGGCCATAATTCTCATCCAAGATAGCTCTCTGCTCTGGAGTACAGATTTTCAGGGCAGTATTGATCACCCACGAACATTTGTTGTCCAGGATATCAGTGCCGATCTTTCCAATGTCCTCTGGCTTTCCAAAACAGTCCAGATAGTCGTCTTGGATCTGGAAGTACTCGCCAAGAGGAATCAAGACGTCTTGGGCCTGCTTCAGATCTTTCTCGTCCGAAATTCCAGCCATGTACATCGCAAGAGCAACAGGCAAGTAGAAGGAGTAATATGCAGTCTTGAAAGTGACGATGAAGGAGTGTCTATTCAGAGAAAATTTGGAAAGGTCCACATGGTCTTCCGGTGCGGTCAACAGATCTAAGAGCTGTCCCAGCTCTGTCTGGAAAGTGGTTTCGTGAAACAGCTCGAGCAGATCAACATAGTATGAGTCTTTTCTAAAATACTTCTTCAGCAGAACGTAGATGGCAGCCTCGAGCATGAACGAATCGTTGATAGCAATTTCGTTGACCCCTTCCACTCTGTACCAGCAGGGCTGACCTCTTCTGGTGATAGACTTGTCCATCATGTCGTCAGCGACAAGGAAGTATGCTTGCAACAGCTCAACAGCCCAGCCCAGGATGGCTGTTTTCTTGTATTCCTCGGGCCCGAAGTCGTCCAAAGACTTGTACCCTTTCAAAAGGGCGTAGGTGTCGACGACAGACAAACCTCTGTTGAGTTTCCCACCAGGGGTGTTGTAGTTCAGATTGCGTTTGAACCAATCAATTGCATCCTCGGGCATACCATATTCCTTGGTTACCACCTCAAGATCACTGACGAGTTCTGGGAAAACGTCCAAAAACTTAGATCTAGCAGCTGTTTTGTCCATCGTTCGTGTTTCGATTATTGAAATAAAAAGAACGAGCGACCCAAAACGGAAAGATTGAAAAAAATTTATATCATAAAAATATTTACCTAGGATGGGAGAGGAATTTGAGAGTGCCGCTTTGAGTAAGAAAGAGCAGCGCAAACTCAAGAAGCTTTTGCGCAAAGCCAATAAGGAAGAAGAAAGAGACGACGGTTTGAATTTGGAGAAATTGAATGAAAGTGCAAGCGAAGAAGAGGAATTGGAGTTAGATCAGGGATCTAAGAGTGAGGACGACGAGGAGTCTGATATTCCGCTTTCCGAGGCAGAACTAGAATCAGATGCAGACGTTGTGCCGCACACAAAGCTCACCGTGAACAAAGTGGCCGCCTTGAAACAGAGTCTCGCAAGTTTTGCACTGCCATGGGATAAATTACCGTTTGATGAACATCAATCTGTCACGTCATCAGAGAGAGTGGACACGCAGGTCAAAGACGTTTTCGACGATACAGAGCGCGAGCTGGCCTTTTATAAGCAGGGACTAGAAGCTGCCAAGATCGCCCGCCAAAAGCTTCTTGCACTAAATGTTCCCTTCACTAGGCCCCCAGACTATTTTGCAGAAATGGTGAAATCGGATGCACACATGGACCAGCTCAAGGTGAAGCTGATTAAGGAAGCTTCTGAAAAGAAGGCTAGAGAGGAGGCCAGAAGACAGAGACAACTAAAGAAGTTCGGCAAGCAAGTGCAAAACGAGACCCTGCAAAAGAGACAGAAGGAGAAATCCGAAGCTCTTGCCAAAATCAAGTCTTTAAAACGTAAGAAGCAGAACCACGAAATTGATGAGGAGGAGTTCAACATCGCAGTTGAGGAAGCTGTTGCTGCTGCTCCTGAACAGGGACGCAGGGGCAACAAGAAGCAGAAGGTGGAATCCAAGCTAAACCGCAAGAAGCCTCAAAGGCCAGGAAAGAGCAAACGACACAGACGGGGTAAATAAGTACTTAACATATCAATGTCTTCAGGTCTATATAATCCCAGCGCTCTTTAACTTTTCAAAGACTTCATGGTCCACGTATTTCTTCAAGGACGGCTCGTCATCAAGACCTTTCATCTTCCTGGTTTTCATGGTGAAGTCGCGCGACAGAGACTGGATTGGCGCAGGTTTCAGCACAGGAATGAAACAGTCTTCGTCCAACGGGTCTCCTGGAACCACGGACCAGTGGCTGAATACAAGTTGACACATTGCTTGGCCACGACTGTACATTCTGATGTCCGTTTCCAGCCCCACAGACTCGATCACGGGAACAAATCCGTACACTTTGTATAGCGGGGTGCCTTCCACAGGAGCCTCGTTGGTGATTTTGCCTCTTCTTCTATCGAGCAGCTTGTTCAGAGCAGGCAACACCGAGGAAAAGCACAAAATTTCAATCTCATAAACCGGTTCGAGTAATCGCGGAGTAGCAATCATCAGTGCCGTGTAGCATGCCTTCCGCGACATCTGAATGATCTGTGCTCCATTTGATTCTAGAAAGTTGGTAGATAGGTGTGCGCCAATGATCCTGAACTTGATGTTTCGCACTGGCTCGTCGCAAAGAGGCCCTTCTCTTGTTGACCATTTGAAACCCTGGATAATTGATTCTTTCAACTCTGCAAGCCTTGCTTTATTTGTCTCCTCAGGCAGTGTGTCGTCGAGAAGTATACATGTACCCGTTTCATCAGGACCAAATGCCCAAACTGATCTCGCAGCCAAAGCATCCCATCCATAATCGTTCCTCAGCTTCTTGGCAAGTATCCTAGGAGGAGCCGATGGTACAAGAACTCCAGCTTCTATGTCTCTGGAGATATTCTCCTCCAGAGGCTCTGCTATGACCGTAAGACTGTTTTTCCTATTGGCTGACTCTGTAACCAGCTTTACCTTGGACATGTCCAAACACGTCTCTGAAAACCGAGCCATAGGATCACTAACCTTGATATCCAGTTTCGCATATAGTAGACGCAAGTCGTGGAGCAGACAATCCAGATACAACTCTCCGTATCCTAAGATCACGTGCTCGCCTCCTTGCTCAACTTTAATTTCTGATCCAACGTAGGATCTGTTCAGCTTTTTCAGTCCTTCGGTGAATTTTGAAAGCTCTGACGGGTTCGCAGGTTGCACAGCAATTTTGAAAACCGGTTTGGATATTTTGTCCAGTGGTCTGAAAATTTCGAGCGTTGGAGACTTAAGCTTTTGGTCGAAAATGGTAGCAGTTTTGCTGATAAATACGTCGATGTCGTGCCCTGAAATTAGTCCTATAGACCCGGCTGGAATACCTTCCACTGGGATCTTGTAGCGTGTGCAGCTCAAAAAAGCGCGCCGAACGTCCTGTACTTTCATGTCATCTGTGAACTCGGGGCTATAATTTTCACCCAATAGCAGAACTGAATTACCTATTTTTAATGTGCCCGAAAGCACACGCACCTGAGCATAAAATCTGGCTGAGCTAGCAGAGTCAATGAGCTTTGCCACGTATGCTATGACCGGGCCATTCGGGTCACATTTTTTAACATGCGAGAGTATCTCATCAGAGGCATTTCCTTTGTATAGTAACTTGAATTTGTCAACATTCATGTCCTCTGGTGAAGGCATCTGCTGTATTAGGTCAACAAAAGGAGGGCAGACGCCACCGAAAAATGCAAAGAACACTTCTTTCAGCAGAAGTTGCACATCTAGCTTGAATTTTGAAGGATGAATGCTGGTGATTCCGTGAGACTCCTCCAGATAGTGTTCTAATTCTTTTGGGCTTTTCGTCAACGTCGCAGTGACCAGTTTATATATCGGTTCCAAAACGAACTTGATGAAACTTCTTGATTTGGCATAGGCCGCCTTATCTGGAGGCTTAATTGTGAGTTTTTGGTCAATATAGTAAATGTCTCCCCAAAGCTTGGTAGCAAATGCGTCAAGATCCACCTTGGAGTTTTTAAGATATCTTTTTGCAATACTCCGCACGGTGAAACAGCTGTTGAGGTTGCTGGAACTAAAACAAACATTTCCTAGAGCAGGCGATAGTGTTGTTTGTCGTGTATAGCTGCCACTTTTAACGTGCTCAGATGAAGAGACATACTCGTTGATTTCGTGAACAATGCTGCGAAGTTTATAGTAAGCGTCTAGTGGAGGCAATCGAAGTTCCAAGATCAAGCGGTCAAACTTCGATATGTTGAGACAAAAGGGGGTGTTGGTCAGTAAAATATGATCTAGAGCCAGTTGCAAACCTTTGGTTAAGCCTTCAACCACGTCCACAACCAGGACAGCAACGTCAGCAAGTCTCACTGCCACAGACATCTCGTCAACAAAATCGACGTGCCCAGGGGCGTCAAGAATGTGTGTGACGGTAGATTTTTGGTCCAGATCTGGCATCAATAATGACATGCTGGATGTCTTTATGGATATCCCCCGTTTAATTTCTATAGTATGGTTGTCTGTGTATCGAAGGGGCCTGTAATCTTTTCCTTGAATGTGATTGATGTTGTGGGTTTCATGGATCAGTTGGTCTAAAAAGGTGGTTTTCCCCGAGTGTAAACCACCGACAAGTGCAATATTTCGCACTTTGGATGGGAGAAATGTCATATTCCACATATAGTCCTTCGAATAAAAGGTTTCAGGTAGGTCATTCTCTTCGACTTTGAACTTTTGCTCTGTGTCAGGCTCGACAATAGGCTCGCTGATATCCTTTGCATCAGATGTCGCTATGATAGTCTCAACATCTTCTCCGAAAACCTCCTGTAATCCTGGCTGTCTAACGGCAACCTCCGTATGGCTGGCCTCCATTTCGTCGTCACTTGAGCTCTCGCTCTCTGGAAGACCAATAAGGTTTCCAAACTCATCGTAGAGTTCTTCAGACATATTCAGGCGAGGTTAATTTTTTCAAGATTTATATAGACAAGTGCAAAAATAGTAAATTTAGTACTATCATGGACAACCAACAGCCCGTGATATATTCTTTTTTACCAAACTCCGAGCGTCTCCGACATATAAGGGAGCATGTGATCCATGATATCAATGACATTTGGCAGGATGGAGATGTTTCCGAACAGATTGAACACTTCAAATACAAACAGGAGCTCAAGAAGAAGTTCTCATTTGGCTCCATTATCGGTTTGGGGTTCTCCCTCATGAACGTTCCATTTGGAATCTCCTCGACCTTGTCAATTGGGCTTGTCTGCGGCTCCAGTTTTACCATTCTTTGGGGCTGGGTTCTTTTCTCGCTCTTCACGCTCTTCATATCGCTGTCCCTGGGTGAAATATCCGGGAAGTTTCCCAGCTCCGGAGGTGTCTATCATTACAGCAGCATACTAGCCAATGAAAAGTACGCGTTAGCAAGCTCTTGGTTTACCGGATGGTATCTGGTACTAGGGAACTGGCTGATGTTTATCTCGTATGCATTTGGAGGGAGCCAATTTATTCTTTCAATTTTAGGTATCAAAAGTCAAGACTACAAGCACGACGACTTATTTGTCCTGCTGTTGTACTTTTTGATTATCACTCTCAGTGGCCTGGTCAATCTTAAATTCCAACGACACCTCGAGAAGATCAACAAGTTGTGCATTTACTGGACCATTTACACGGTTCTGGTGATGGATTTTCTGCTACTTATATTCAGTACAGATTTCCACGATGTCAAATATATTCTCACCAATTTCGATGCTTCCAGAAGCGGCTGGCCTGCAGTGATTGCATTTTTTATTGGCGGTATTCAGTTTTCCTCGCTCACGTTCAATGGTTATGGAATGATTGTCTCCATGAGTGAAGAAGTGCAAACCCCCGAGAAAACCATACCACGTGGTCTCCTAGTCTCTGTCCTGGTCAGCAGCCTAACGGGTCTCATATTCATCATCCCAATATTAAGCATTCTTCCTGACTTGGAGCTTCTCTTAGACCAAAACCCCGATATTTTTCCTATCGATATTGTTTTCAAGCTATCAACAAAGTCAATCCTGGTTTCATTTGTCTTGGTTATCCTCATTATCGGCTCTTCAACATTTGCAACAATTGGCTCACTTACCACAGCCTCCAGAACAGTCTACGCCTTGGGCAGAGATCACGGATTACCCTTCAATCAGCTTTGGGAGCAGGTTGATACCATGTCGGACGAGGAAATAGTCCCCAAAAACGCTCTTTTACTTTCCGTTGCGGTCTCGTTTTTGCTTGGCACGTTTTCAATGGTCTCCAGTACTGCATTCAATGCGTTTGTGGGATGCGCCGTCGTGTCGCTGAACGCTGCCAATGGAATACCGATACTCTCCTCCATGCTAAACAAAAGACGCAAAATTCGTGGGTCTGCTTTCAAACTGCGCAAGCTGGGCTATATCATCAACGGTTTCAGCGTGGTATTCATTTTGCTCACCATTGTTGTTCTTTGCATGCCTCCTTCAAGATTTATCGACATTACCACTATGAATTATGCTGTCGCTGTGTTTGGTTTGTTCACCCTCATGATTGCCATTTTATATTATTGCTGGGGAAGGCACAATTTCCACGGCCCTTTGCTCGACACCGATGAGCAGGCTGAGATGGCAGCTTTGACTACTGCCCTAGAAAACGCCCAGTCTATCCAGGAACAAGATCAGGACGATGATCAGTTTGTTCTCGAAGACAGCGAGTACATTTCGCACAAAACCCCACCCCTCGATGATGACACAGATACCCTCTTTGACATTACTCAGAGCCAAGCATCCTCTTCAGATCAACCAATATTTGATCCGAAGCCAAAAGACTCCAGCTAATAGCTCCGCATGCATATATTCGATGTAAAGTACTTTATTTTGACCTCTAATAATTCACTCGAGCGGATTGCTATTACATAGTCTGATCGATCCTGTAAATTAATCTCTTACAAGTTCCTACAGTGCTTCGAGACGTCAGTATCTAAAGGTTGATTTTCGAAAGTAACTTTATGATCGGGAATCGTGGACGGTTGCCACCTCATCTAGTGCTCGGAATTTACTAGTTCAGAGGTCTTATTATGAAGTACCCACCCCATAATTGTAGGTTAATTATAAGATGGATCTGATTTAAATAGCCGGCCTGCTAAATTTTATCGAATATTTCCCCAATTTATTTTCTGGGAATACTTTGAAAAATTATACACAAATGTATTTGAGGTCCTGCCAAGCCGGCTTGATGCGGACCATCTTAGGTCGCCCTTCAAACGGTCTCCGATTATATTCTTCCGGTGTGCGTCGTTCTCGATTTCAAAGATCTCCACAAGCTGAAAAACAACAAGATCAGACAAATAAACCTACTAAGACCGACTCCAATGCACCAAAAAATGTTCCCAGATCAGTTTCGAAAGATGTGGACCCGAAACGCCCTCCAAAACGACATGAATCCACATCGTCGAACTGGCAGACAAATGATAGGAAAAACAATGGCCAAGGGCGTCAGCAGAAACCGGTTTCAAAAGCACCACCAGAGAAGAAAAAACCAGTACAGGTCAAGGTTAAGTACAAGCCAAAGCCGAAACAAGAATCCTCGAACAACCGTCCAAAACTGGATATTCCGACTTTTTTAACAGTGGCCAACTTTGCACAAATTCTTCGAGTTAGAGTTCCTGACCTGCTACGAAAAATGAAGAATCTTGGATTCGAGAACATGACCAATGACTATATACTTGATTCCGAGACCGCAGAGCTCATTGCGGACGAGTACGGATTTGATGTTAATACAAATGACGATACCGGCGCGGATCTATTTCCTTCGCCCGAGCCTACTGACCCCAAGCTACTCAAGCCTAGAGCTCCTATTGTTACCATTATGGGACACGTTGACCATGGTAAGACCACGGTTCTCGATTATTTGAGGAAGTCATCTATTGTCAAAGATGAACATGGTGGAATCACACAACATATAGGTGCATTTGTTGTGAAAACGCCAGTGTCTAAGAAAACTATAACTTTCTTGGATACGCCAGGACATGCAGCTTTTTTAAACATGCGAGAGCGCGGGGCTAATATAACTGATGTCGTGGTGCTGGTTGTGGCAGCTGAAGATTCGGTGATGCCTCAAACAAAAGAAGCTATTCGACATGCGAGAAATGCGGGTGTGCCAATGGTTGTTGCAATAAATAAATGCGATAAGGAAGAGGCAAATCCAGACAAGGTTGTTGCAGACCTCTCAGCGAATGGTGTGGAGGTTGAAGACTATGGTGGAGAGGTTCCGACAGTCAGGATTTCTGCCAAGACAGGTATGGGTATGGAAGAACTTGAAGAAACCATCGTGGCTGTTGCCGAGTTGCAGGATATCAAAACTCAGGAAGACAAAGTTCCCGTTGAGGGGTGGGTTTTGGAATCCCAGGTGAAAAAGGGTTTAGGTAATGTGGCTACCTTTTTGGTTATGAAAGGTAAATTGAAACCAGGAGCTGTGTTAGTTGCTGGACAGACGTGGTGTAAGGTCAGAGTCATGAAGGACGAGTTTGGCAAGCCGGTGAAGGTTGCTGGGCCTGCCACTCCCGTTGAAATATCCGGCTGGAAAGACATCCCAGATGCAGGAGAAATGGGCCTCGAAGCATCTAGTGAAGCTTTGGCTAAAAAGGTTATCTCAAATAGAGAGAAAAGAAAACTGCTGCTGGAGGAAGCTTCTCAAATTGAGCAGATGAATAAGCAGATGCTGGAAAAGATGGAAGCATCTCGTCGTGAGGAGAAAATTCAAGAGTACCAGCTTGAAGGCCTCACTATGGATGAGATCAGAGAATTGGAACCAGAACTGTTTGACGATGAAGAAACAAAGTTATTAGAAGTTCCGTTCATTGTGAAGGCAGACGTTAGTGGATCTGCAGAGGCTATTTCTCAAAGCATTTCAGGACTGGGTAATGATGAGGTTCAGTCAACTGTATTATATGAAGAAGTGGGACCTCCAACAGAAAGTGATGTCGAGCGTGCGAAACTGTCTCATGCCCAAATTTTAGCATTCAATGTCAAGGTTCCTAAAGACATCATCAATTTTGCATCTATCAACAGTGTTGAGATCAAAGAATTCAAAGTCATCTATCACTTAATCGAAGATGTCATGGCATATTTGACCTCGAAGCTGCCGAAGATATACGAAACAAAAGTACACTCCAGTGCGTCGGTCAAGCAGATATTTGAGATCAGTTTGAGGAATAAGTCCAAAATGAAAATCGCTGGATGTCGCGTCACCAGTGGAACTTTCAAACGGAGTGCAACTGTGCGGTTGATAAGAAATGGCAAGGAGATATACAGAGGAAGAGTTAGACAACTGAAGCACGAAAAGGAAGATGTGAGTGAAGTCACAAATGGTGTCGAGTGTGGTGTTGCTCTAGACGGAAACGTTGAACTGCAAGTTGGAGACGTGATGGAAGCCATCGAGGAGATTGAAATAAAGAGACATTTGTGATAAGGAATTGTAAATAGCATGAAAATTCTGTAATATACCTAGGTTGATAACATCTGACGCCTTTGAGACCCATAAAAGCTATCTGCCAGCAAGTTCTGATAGAGTCTGTATATTAGGGTCAATTCCTCACTGTTCTCGGTTTCCAGTTTGGCGTTATATTTGGCTAGGAAAGCGCGCTTTGACTCATTGAACTCCAATTTGCCCGCCAGACTTTGTAACCAATGGGCTGAGTCTGACTTTGCCTGATCTTCAATCAAATACTGCAACAGCTGTGCATCAGCGCTGAACAAAAAGTTTATGATCTGATCAACTTTCAGACGGTCTATTTTGGAAGAGTCTAGCCTGAGCAACATGTCCTCTAGCTGGCTGTCGTAGTCAGAAGTTACCACTATTGAAATGTTCGAGCGCAAGTTACCAGTAGTCGAATCTGCTGGGCTCGCGTGTTCTAATTCATGCTCAAGTTCGGGGCCATTGACATCTGCGTGCTCTTGATCCAGAACCAGAGTTGTTGGCAAATGGAGCAAGCTTGCATCGGCTCCTGGGACCAGCTCTCTTTTCCGCACCCAAACCCTTCTCCGAACAAAATTGCCAAACCTTCCTATCCCTTTCCATTTGCTACTTCCAAAACGAACCTTGGAATAAACCCAACCCTCCTGGTCCACATCTTGGATCATCAAAATATACCAGTTGTTCCAGCTCCAGCGCCAGCTTCTACTAGGCAAAGGGTACAGGTTGAGGCTTGTTATTGCATGTCCTCTCAAAGTCTGGAACTTGGGAGGGTCCAGAGGATACAAGAGCGACTCTCGACTGTACATTGGTATCCCAAGTAGCGTTGCACCTCTTTGGTTCTCTATGATCACTTCGTATTTGTAAATATCCTCCTCCTCACCAAATTGGCTCTCAAACCTGCTGATGTCCCCCAATTCCACGTTGCTTCCACTAAAATGTGCCAAACAGTCCAAAAATTCGGCAGAGTCTTTAAACTGTGGAAGCCTTGTTAGATGCTTCTCAATGTTCTCGTAATGAGAGACCTGGCTCTCCAAAAGTGATTCATTCAAACCGTTGTTTGTCGTGTAGCGACTATGAAGTGCGGAACTAGCGACAAATTCATCTCTCGATCCTTGTTTTGCCGCTGCCATAAAAAGGGAGAACTAGTACACTTATTTCCCTCCGAAAAAATAAACATATTTTCCAATCACTGGAATATCTGAAAAATGTCGAGATCGAAGGATACGTCGACTTCGGCTACACCGCCTGCTGAGGGCAATGGTGTGGTACTTTATGACAAAGAACCGGATGCAACACAAGAGGCCTTGACCACCTTCGTCAACTTGAAGGACAATATTTACTGCGATAGCATCAAAGATATCTATTCTGCAGCTGACGAGTTCATGGCTTGTGATTGTATCGAAAACATAGGCTCTGATGGAACCAACCACGCTTGTGGTCCAGACTCTGATTGTATCAACCGACTCACAAATATTGAGTGTGTTGACGGACAGTGCAGTGGCTGTGGAGATAAATGTCAGAATCAGAGGTTTCAGAATAACGAGATCGCACCTGTTTCCATTTTTAAAACCGAACATAAGGGCTATGGAATGCGCGCAGACAAGGATATATCTCCGCACACGTTTATCGTTGAGTATAAGGGGGAGATTGTTGACAACGAGCTGTATAAAGAAAGAAAAGAGCAGTACTCCAACGAGGGCATCAAACATTTTTATTTCATGATGATACAAGATAACGAGATCATCGATGCCACCAAAAAAGCAAGCGTTGGCCGCTTTTGCAACCATTCGTGTGATCCCAATGCGTACGTCGAAAAATGGGTTGTCAACAAAAGATTCAGAATGGGCATTTTTGCCAAACGAAAAATCATCAAGGGAGAGGAAATCACGTTCGATTACAACGTCGACCGGTATGGAGCAGAGCCGCAGAAATGCTACTGTGGAGCCCCGAACTGCTTAGGTGTCATGGGAGGGAAGACACAGTCCGAGAGTGCTAGGTTGCTACCGCACGTCATTACGGAAGCTCTTGGAGTTCGTGCTAACGTGGAAAAGAAATGGATCAAGGAGCAGAAAAAAATTGGCACCAAGGTCACGCAAGACAACATTGAGTCGAATGTCAATGTTGAGTTTGTCAAGTCTTTGGAGCTCGAGCCGCTAAGGTTGGCAGACGTGTCCAAGGTGGTGAGCTGTTTGCTTCAGCCGGACTTGGATTTTATTGTGATATCTAGGGTCATTGAGAGATTTTCACTTTGCGACAACTTTGATGAGATCGTGAATCGTTTTTGCAGGCTTCACGGAATGCAGGCTTTAAGCACTGCGCTCAAGACTATGCTGGGATTATCCGGGGACAACTTTTCCATTGAGGAGGAAGAATTGTTCGCCTCCATGGTCACGATTCTTCAGCATTGGCCCCCGTTGCGGGCCAAAAATACAATTGTCAGCTGTAGGATGGACGAGATGCTGCAGGAGGCTGAGTCGAAGACCAGCAATCCAGACCTAAAGAACTCGGTTTCCCAGCTGCTTTCCAACTGGAAAGATCTCGAGTTGGTTTATCGCATTCCAAAAAAAAGCGACCTCAGCAACGCCTCCGATGCGACGGCTAAACTGGACGACCGCAGGGCGAGGTCGACCTCCATGCCAGCTTCCGACGTGGTCGACCCTGCCAAAACGACAATCGATGGTGTGGCCTTGCCTCCAGGATGGGAATGGGCAGAGGATCCCAACACCAAAACTGTTTACTATTTCAATAGGTCCAAGAACATCACGCAGTGGGAACGGCCTGTGAATACACCAACAGGACCCGGCACGTCTGACGAGGAAGAACGTCTAAAACGGAGAGAAAAGGAAAGGCAGAAGGAGGAGGCCATGTTCAGGAAGCTGGAGCAGGAGCGTCAGTTGGCGCGACAAAAAGAGCTCGAAATCGAGGAAATGCGCATGAACAAGCTCTCTTCGATTATTGCGCAAGCATCTTTGGAAAAACCCAGCACCCCGGCAGCGACGCCGAAGAAAGAAGAGCGCCATATAAGTGCTACCGAAAAACAGTGGACCAAACTTTTTGCTTCTGCAGTGCCGAACATGCTGAAGAAGTACGAGAACGAAATTGGAAGAGACTCTTTAAAAGCCTGTGCTCGTGACATTGTGCACACTCTGGCTCAAAAAGAGCTCAAGAGACGCTCAGATAGCAAGCCACCTTCAGAACTGAGTCACGAGAAGAAAGCCAAGATCAAGCATTTTGTGAAGGAGTATATGGCCAAGTTTTTGGTCAAGCTCGAGGAAAAGAAGAAGCGGAAGAGCTCTGGAGCACTTTCCGAGTCCAAACGCACTAAAGCCAATTAAACCACAGACCCTATAGAACCTGTATCATAATTTATTTTGCTTTCAATAGCCTTATCAGGCTGTGCCAGAAAATTATAGAATCAAATTATTGCAAGATGGATACGGAAGCAGTATTGGCCAAGCACAATAATGCTACAATTCTGCTGATGGGCCTCAGACGGTATGTATCAGCCTTAGTTTTTGATGCCTAACAATTATAGGTCTGGAAAATCGTCCATTTGCAAAGTGGTGTTTCACGACATGCAGCCTCTGGACACACTGTATCTTGAAAGCACAACCAAGCCAACGACAGAAAACTTCAAGTCGCTGATCGATCTAGCAGTGATGGAGCTTCCTGGACAGCTCAATCTCTTTGAGCCCTCGCTATACGACTCCGAAAAGCTGTTTTCGTCCATTGGTGCCTTAGTGTACGTCATCGACAGTCAGGATGAATATTTGAGCGCACTTCAAAATTTGGCGGTCATTATCAAATATGCCTGCAGCGTCAATTCGAAACTCCACATAGAAGTGCTAATTCACAAAATTGACGGTTTGTCGGAAGACTTCCGGCTGGAAACGCAGAGAGACATTATGCAAAGAGTCGGGGACGACTTGCTGGACTACGGCCTCGACGGTGTACAAATCTCATTTTATCTCACATCCATCTTCGACCACTCAATCTACGAGGCGTTCTCCAGAATTGTCCAAAAGCTTATTTACGAGCTTCCAGCACTGGAAAACCTCCTTGACCTCCTTATGCAATACAGCACGCTAGATAAAGTTTTCCTTTTTGACGTGAACTCAAAAATATACGTCGCCACGGATTCTTCGCCCGTCGATATGCAAACATATGAGGTTTGCGCTGAGTTTATTGACGTGACTATCGACTTGGACGGTCTTTATGAGAACTCCGGACAAGAAGCAGACGGAACTGTCAGAAGCCAGCCAACCAGGTGTGTCTCCAAATTACAGAGCGGGTCGGTGCTCTATCTACACCAGATGATTAGGGGACTTGCCCTGGTGGCAGTTATGAGACTGGAAGATGAAAACGACACCAACGCGCTGGCCGTGATCGACCACAACGTGCTGGTTTTCAAAAAGAGTTTGGAAAAGTTATGGGAACGGGCCAGAATAAAATGACACAGCTCCGCATTCTGTATTCCTAATATACATTAGTCATCTCTATGGTTTCTCTGTCTCTGTTTCTCGTTCTCAATTTTGTTGTTGATCAGCATTATTGCCTGCTGAATCGCAAACGGGCTTGTGCTCATCAGAGTAAGTTTCCTCTCTGTGGCACCGGGAACTTCATCGTTGACCTTGACGTAGCATCCAGTTATTGTACGGATATCCTTAAGGTTTTTGCCACCTTTGCCAATCACTAATCCTATGTGCATCTGTGGAACATAAATGTCCTGGTTGATTTTTTCTTGTCCTGATTGTGCTTGGATTGGCGCAGGGACTGGTGCGGCCACCGCCCCAGCAGCGGCACCTGGGATATACTGTCCATACGGCTGCTGAACAGGCTGGCCCATGTAGGGACTTTGCATTATTGAAGCCGGCACCTGCATTACCTGAGGAGGATATCCATTGCCGTAGGGCACTCGCGAGGAATTGCCGCTGACAGGCGTGCTAGGCTGGTTGCAATTGGCCGGATTATAAAACACAGCCTTGGCCAAATGCTGTTTGTGCTCTATCACTGTCTGTGCCACGTAATAGGTGGCTATGTGGATGGCGTCCGCAACTCCTGTGATGTGGAGGATTCTATCTGTCGAGGCAGGGAGAATCTGGTCGCTTGCCTTCAATGCCGCAGCAGAATTGTCCTCGATTTCTCTGAACCTCGCCCCCCTTTTGCCGATGATGTAGCCAATTATGGTGTGGGGGAACAACAGCTTTAAATTAATTTGTTTCGACTCCACAGTAGAGGCCTGGTTGAAAGGCTCGTCCATAATAGCCCTTGTGATTAGCCCAAACGCTTTCGCAACATATTCTGCAGGACCGCGCACAGTGATGACACGTTCGGGGATCCCCTTGAGGTTTTCGCTGACATTCACTCTTGCACTGGACATCTCCTTGATCCTGTTGATTGTCTCGCCGCCCTTGCCCACAATGGCAGCAGTCTCGTTTATCGAACAGAGCATTCGAAAGTGCACATAAGTAGGATCGTCATTGGCTGGCTTGTGATGCGTCACGGGCTCCTGAACCTCGGGCTGCGGTATCTGTTCCTGTGACTGGTGGTCGCTATCTGCAGATTGATCTGTCCTAGAAGGCTCTGGTGAGCCTGGCTGGCTTTTGCTTTCAGCCTGATCATCTTGCTCTGCATTTTCATTATCGAGAGCCACCCGCTTAGCGGCAGTTGCCTCGTCCTCCTCGTTCTTGCGTTTCAACATATATATTAATGTATCTTCTTTATCTCCCTCTAATTTTTCGTCGATGAAGTGTGCGGCGGCGCACGACCTGGAAAATAAATATCCAAAGCTTTGGGGACATAATGACTGAGGAGCAGAAAAAGACGTTGGAAGACTCCATCGCAGACTATCAGGAGTCTGAGGATGAAGACTACAACCCCGAAGCTAAGGACGACGATGATGACGAGGAGGAAGGTTTTGACGACGAACCAAAATATCGACAGCTTGAGTCCGGAGGTTTGATCCAGACTCGAAGGCAAAGACAGGCGGAAAAACACGAAAAGACATACGAAAAACCGGCTGAGTCCACAATCGACGTCGACTCCATATGGAAGGAGCTCAATAAACCAAAGGAACAGCCCAAGTCGGAACCGAAGAAGGACGGGTCGACTCCGTCGTCGACGGAATCCGCAGACACAGAGAAAATAAAGATCACCAGGACATATGAATTTGCTGGCGAGATGGTAACAGAGGAGAAATGGGTGGACGCCAACTCAGAAGAAGCCCGTGCGCATTTCAATTCCACAAAGCTCAAGGAGTCGAAAGAATCGAGTCCTGAGAGACTATTGCCGAAAAAAAAAGCACCTAAACGCAAAAGAGCCAGTCTTTTGGATGACGTTATAAACAACGCTTCGAGTGCCAAGCTAACGACACTGGAGAAGTCGCGACTGGATTGGGCGACTTACGTGGACAAGTCTAAGATCGGAGACGAGCTGAAATTCGAAAATAAGGGTGGCTACTTGGACCAACAGGACTTTTTGTCGAGAGTGAGCCACAGACAGGATACAAACTACAAAGAAGCCAAAAAACGAGGCTGATGCGTGTCGTCTATTCAGTGTACCTCTCTTCTGTCATTTAGCCAGTTGAGGAGATCGAAATACATATTGGTGGTGGTTTTGTTGGTCGGGTTCATTGCCCAGTCCTTCATGCTCTCGAAATAGACCTCCAATAACTCTGGAACAGTATTTCTATCAAAGGCCACCAAGCTTCGCACAATATACAGTGATAGCTGGTTGCAGGCAAGCGAGTGCGCACGGAACTTTGATTTGGTGGCTGCTCTTTCTTGTACTTCTTTCAAGCCGGCTATTAGTTCCGACTTGTTTTGTATAGACACCGTGATAGGACTTCTTGTAATTATCTTAATGAGCTTATGAGCTTTTTCGCCCACCTGTTTTTCCAAAGTTAGTGCCATTAAATCCAACAGCACAATGGCGATTTTCAGACTAGATATGTCACCTGGTCTCTTGGTGCAGAATATCTCCAGCAGGTCCAAAACGCGGTTTTTGAAGAAAATCATTAGTTCACGAGCATTTTGCACTTCTTCTTTCCTCTGGTTGCCAGATTTTGCTTCTAAGGCAGTAAGAGCCTCTCGGCGCTGTTTGAATATTCTGGACAGCGTAGAGTCGATAGCCATCATTTGCTCGTCAGACATACTTTCCACATCCGACTCCGACTCGTCAGACGAATCACTTGAGTCGCTATAGCTATCGTCGAAATTGGCCACTCCAAGAGCCTGTGCAAGTTCGTTAGTGGTCTTCCGGTCAACTTCCTCATGCTCGGCGGGATCCTCTGAGTCGTCCGTCACCACGTCCACAGACTCGTCTTCAAAGTCCGACCCCGATTGCTCTATCTCCTCTGAATCTTGTTCAACATCTTCACCGTCATTGCTGAACAGCTTTTCTTGTCCCTCTTTGTTTTCTTTAGTGAGCAACACCTCAAAGAGTCGCTGCAACTCGGGCTCTCCAACTTTGTCGACTAGATTCTCCCACACTGTAGCAGCCACCTTTTTCATTAACGATGATTTCTGAGTCAAATATGAAAGCACTAGATCCACCAGCGTGTCAATCAGTAGCTGCTCGGCGCTAGAATCAGTGTAATTTTCAAAGGCTGCTTTCAAGTCTGTTAAAATTGATCCTGACTCCTCATCGCCAGAATACAACTGTAAAAGTCCAACAGATAGAAGAATTTCAAATGATTCAAGTAGCTTTGACCCTTCAGAAGCTTTGAGCTCACAGATAGCCTCCACCATCCGGACACAATCCACTTTGAGGTCTTTGAGATCTTCCTCAAACTCCTGTCTGAGGACAAACTCTGAGTCCGAGAAATCAGAATCTTTTTCAACAAGTTTGCTCACAGCGTAATATGGCCAAGACATTTTGCCCTGGCTGTGGCCGCTCGACATGATTTCCAAAAGGATAGAATACAGTCTTTCGAGCGAGCATGTGGCCATTCTATCGGAGTATCTGTCGTCCGACTCCTTTTTCACATAGCTGTGTTCGATCAAATAATCAAGAACGTTCTCGTAGATCTCATTCTTGGAGATGACAGATTTCTTGGCCCTTACCAAGTGCAAGAGAGAGTCAAGTGCAAATATTTGGTACTTGATAATGTCCTCATTGACCGAATGCTCAAGTGAAATTAGGAATTGGGCAATCTCTGCAACTGTATGGTCATTATTGGCAGACATGATCAGCTCATTTGTAATCTTTGATTTCGTGAGTCTATCAAAATTCAAGGAAACCCTGAGGATACTTCTTAAGGTAGGGACTATTCTATCTTGGTTCACAGCGCACGATTTCACTAGATGAGTAAAAGTGTTTTTAGCCAATTTGTTGAGCAGACGATCAGGGTTAGAACTTTGATTGATTAATGTCCGCATAAGATTTGCAGACAGAACAACCTCGACTTGCCCTCCTTTGAGCGTATTAATATCAAGAACAGTATTCAAGACTTCGAGACCTTTGTATTTCCGTTCTGGAGAAGCTGATTGTGCAAAGAATTGGTCGTCTATGCAAGCCTTCCAGAATTCCGCTAGCTTGATAAGTTTGCCTTCGGTCTTTTGTTTTTTTGACTTACGCTCCTTCGGAGTGTGTTCCTCCTTGCTAGAGTTGTCTATGAGTTCCGCTAAAAGCGGAGTCCACACAAAATGGAGTGCTCTAGTCCAGTTACCTTTCTTCTTTGATTGGTCTTCGTCGTCTGCCACCACATCTATATCCTTCATTATTTTGGACAGAGTTGGCAGGTTTCCCTTAGCAAGTGGATTCCCATGCTGCCATTTGTCTATCTTTGCAAGCTCCATTATGTTTTGACGTCTTTCTGGCGGAATGCTCAATGCAACTAACAATCCCTCGGTTGTCAGTGTAAGACCCGCAGACTGGGTCTTTTGCAGCAAGTGAACAACGATGCTGATGTATTTTGGGTCCTGTGGTATTCCAAATGACAATAAGGAGCGGTAGATTGTTGCAAAACAAGCCTCTCTGATCCATGGCCTAAACAACGACAGTTCTATCAGTTTATCAATAATCTTCGTGTAGCTTTGAGTGTTTCCTGACTTCAAGTCCTGGTCTACAACTCTCGAGTTGAGAAGTGATTGAAGACCGAAAAGCTCTCCAAAAATTAGACTTCTGGCGTTCTTTCCTGTATTCTTGTTGCTGACTGAGCTTGCCAGTTTCTTGCTCAGATCTGCCAAAAAGCTTTCCACGTTGTATGTCTTCTTCACTTCGATCAGCTCATAAAGAATTTCACTTAAACACAGAGAAAACCCCAATCTGGCTCCCGCTCTCGAAGAAGCAAGACCCCTGATCAGTCTGTCGAGAGCATATTCCCACTCTTTTTGTGAGTCGGTGTCGCGGAGCTCCGTAATCAGCTGAGAAGCTGCCAAGATACGCTCGTCCTCAAGCTCAGACGCGAGACGGTAATAATGATCTCTGGAAACAGCCATGATGATCTATAAACAATGTCCAGAAAAAAATTAAGTTAATTCAGCAAAGTCGATCGACGCTCAAGTCCGGGGCTGGCGACTCATGGTTACGCAGCCTGGATAATTGTCGAAAAAGCTTTTCTTAATTGGACTAAACAACTGTTTCTAGTATTTACGCTAAGTTGCAATAGAACAAGTGAAACATGTCATCGTGGCAAAAGGCTGGAATCTCTTTCAACAAATACTTGGCAATTGCTGCCAGAACCGTTCAACGGTCTCTTAAAAACGATTTGAAAGTCGCAGCCGAGAAGAGATACACTTCCGATGCCAAGGTTCAAAAACTCGAGAAGGGCAACGTTGTTTCGACCACCGAGCTGGGATCCAACAAGTCTGCTTAGATAGATATGAATAAGACATGACATTCTTTCAGTGGACGTATCGGGGGGTGCAGCGGACACGATAGCATGACAACGTGGACATGACGGAGACGAACGACTGGAATACAACAAGCCTTGTCCATCTTTATCCGAGTGTCTCTCCATGCTTTTCAGACATCGTTGATCCGTTAGACCTCGTCAGATCTGTAAAATCTTGTAGCTTCGACAACAATTCCGTTTGAACGAGACTTTCGGTGCAAAGGTGTCATATCTACTGAAAGAAATAAACTCCCTTCTTCACCTCTGCTTTACCACGTTGTTCTGTTGTTGAGGGACAGCAAACAGATTTAGCGATTTTGTCCACATGAGTTTGATAGCACGATCGTTAATGATTCGTGTGCCCTCAAGGCCACTGGTAGGAGCCTTTGTCGCTCGCCCGCTCTCGGTAACAGGAATGCTGGCAGCACGAACTCGATCTCTACCAGTGCCTCTATGGCGCCCTTCGCTGGTCTCCACAACCTTTCAGCGCTCCTTCAGTGTGTCTCCGGCTCAGTTTCAGAAAACGGATCTGCCCCAAGAAACCCCGAAGGAGAAAGAGCCAAGGACCCTACGAGAACGCATCTTTGGTGTGGCAGAAGAAGAACAAACTGAAGCGGGCTTCTCGGAAGTTAGACGGCTGCTCAAGCTTGCTCGAAGAGACTTCAAGCTTTTTTCGCTTGCAATAGCCCTGCTGTTTATCAGTGCGTTCATAGTGATGTCGCTACCAAAGGTGACGGGAGAAATCCTCGATTCCACGAGACGCTACTCAAACCTCGAAGAAGCCCGATTTTATGGCCTTACGCTGTACCAGCTTCTTGCCGTGGTTGGTGGCATGCTCTGTGTTTACACGGCGGCGACTTTTGGCCGAATAATTATATTGAGAGTGTTGGGCGAGAAACTGGTGGCCCGACTTCGGTCGAACATTATGAAGAATGTCTTGAGACAAGATATGGAATTCTATGATAAAAACAAGGTGGGAGACCTCATATCGAGGCTTTCCAGTGACGCGTACGTTGTGTCCAGGTCGGTGACTCAAAACATGTCTGACGGTATCAAGCATTCTATCGTTGGAGGCACCTCCATCGGTATGATGTTCCACATTTCGCCGACACTTTCGATGGTTCTACTGGCATTTGGGCCTCCCCTGCTGTTTGCATCCTACGCCTACGGCATGAAAATCAAAGCTATCAGCAGGATGTTACAAAAGGCCACCGGTGGACTTACCAAGGTTGCCGAAGAGCAGCTCAACAACATCAAGACTATTCAGTCATTTACGGCCGAAACCAAGGAATTGCATCGTTATGACAACCAAATCAGGAACGTGTTCAAGATCAGCTATAAAGATGCAATGACGAACGCGTCGTTTTTCGTCTCCACGGGAATTCTGGGCCATGCTACCTTTTTGCTCACCCTGGGTCTAGGAACAAATTTGGTTTTCAACGGAAGCATGACCGTTGGTGATTTGGCAGCTTACATGATGTACACAGAATACTGTGGAAACGCCACTTTCGGCGTGGCCACCTTCTACACTGAGCTGTTCAAGGGAGCAGGTGCTGCTTCGCGACTTTTCGAGGTGCAAGACCAGGTGCCCAAAATTGACCAGGTCGTGGGCCCTAAGATTCCTGGGTGCAAGGGCCACATAGAGTTCAGGAACGTGACGTTTGCATATCCTACGCGTCCAGACAATAAAGTGTTTGACAACCTGTGTTTTGAAATCAAAGCCGGCTCTAACGTGTGCATAGTGGGCCCTTCAGGAAAAGGAAAATCCACAATTGCGTTATTGCTGCTCCGGTTCTACACCCCGAATTCGGGCCAGATCCTAATTGATGGTGTGGACATCACCAAATACTCTGTCCATTCCCTTCGTCAACTGCTTGGGTACGTCCAGCAGGAGCCTGTTCTCATTCCAGGCACTCTTTCAGATAATATCACATACGGCTTGCCACGGAACGTGAAAATCACCGCTGACATGGTTGAATGGGCGGCTGCCAAAGCCAACTGCGACTTTGTCTATCATTTCCCTGACAAGTTCAACACTGATATCGGGCCTAAAGGCTCGCAACTATCTGGTGGCCAAAAGCAAAAAATAGCCATTGCCCGGTCCCTGATCAAAAATCCTCCAATTCTTATTTTGGACGAGGCCACTTCTGCCCTGGACTCCAAATCTGAGAACGCCATAAACCTGACAATCACAAACCTCATGCGTGACAGGTCTCTCACCACCATCTCTATCGCACACCGTCTCTCAACTATAGAAAAATGCGATGAGGTGCTCGTTCTGGGCCATGACGGCCGGCTAGCAGAGGAAGGCAAATTCAAGGACCTGTATGCTGACCGCAACAGTATGCTCTACAAGCTGCTGAACGAACCCCAGAAGAAGAAGAAGAAAGAAGAAGAGCATGAAGACCGCGAAGAGGCAGATGACCACGAAGCCAAGGAAGACGGAGAAGAAATGGAGCCTGAAACCGACGACAACGAAGTGACAGGGGACGAGGTTACACGAGGTGCGTTCATGAAACGACGTGCAGTCCTGAATGAGGAGCATGAGAGAAGCGAACACAAGACTCTTACCTAGCACAACGACATAACTAATGACATATATAGATGAATAAATTGGATTCCGACTTATTCTTACCGAGGCCGATCGGCGCGTCTATGACGTTTGTTTTTTCACGCTGTTAAGGAAAAGGAATTAATGATGGCCAAAAAAAAAACCTAGCTGATTGTGTTTTCATTAGTGAGCTATACTATATATTGTGGTGGCCTCTGACATAGCCTGTCAGACAACTATACGAACCCCTAATATGAGCGCAGCAGCGATTTTACAAAAGGAGCTAAAAGAGCTCACCAAATCTCAGCCATCGTTTCGGATCCAGCTGGATTCGGATAACATCTTCCTATGGGATATTGGCATGTACATCCCTAATCCGAACTCCAAATACAACGGCGCGTACCTTAAATGCCAAATGCGTTTCCCTAGTAATTATCCATTTTCGCCGCCAGCATTCAGATTCACGCCACCAATCTTCCATCCCAATGTTTATAAAGATGGTCGGGTTTGCATTTCCATTTTGCATGAGGCCGGTGACGCATTCAGCGGAGAACCTTCTAACGAGACATGGAGCCCTGCTCAGTGCGTTGAATCAGTTCTTGTTTCGATTATCTCGCTACTTGACGATCCAAACATCAACTCTCCTGCTAATGTGGACGCCAGCAAATTGTTCAGAGATCACAAAGAAGACTACTACAACATGGTTGCCAAAGATGTCGAGCGGTCCAAAAAGGACATCCCTCACGACTTTGAGATTCCCGACGCCACCTCACGTTCAGAGGCCGACGAGTACGAAGACGAATGGTTCTATCAAGACGATGATGAGGACGACGACGAGATCGACGAGGACGACCAGAGCTTCATCGACGACGAGGAGGTGGAAATGAGCGAAGACTACGGAGAGGACACGTCCAAATAGACGGTTTGGGAGTGCGCTTTATAGCTAATACGATTGATATCTGGTGTTTAGGTTAATTTTTTGAAGAGTCTGTGCATTGTAGATATGTAGAAAAAATTCACCTGAATCTTTCTTCAATGGCCAAGAAGGACAAGAAGAGCAAGGAGGCCAAGAAGGCTCGGATAGCCCAAAAAAACGAGAAGAACGCCAAGAAGGCAGGTGAAAAGCTAAAGAAGCTTTCGAAAAAGGCTGGAGACGATCTAGAGGACGACGTCGATCTGGATGAACTACTGAAGCAGCTAGCTTTAGAGCAGCAGGAATTTGAGGAAGTTCATGTTGAAGTCATTGACAGACCGCTAAAGAGACTCAACGCCACGTTTGCTGCAAGCAACACCAATGGCCGTCGAGAGCTGGTTCTTTTTGGAGGAGAAGTTAACACGGGCCAGACAGTCCATTTCTATAACGATCTTAATGTTTTCTCCGTCGACTCGAAAACTTGGAGACGGTATGTGTCCAAGAACTCGCCGCTCCCGAGGTCGTCCCACGCCATGTGCTACCATCCGTCTGGTATCTTTGTGATGCATGGTGGTGAATTTTCGTCTCCCAAACAATCCACTTTCCACCATTTTTCGGATACCTGGATTCTGGACTCGCAGACCAAAGAATGGGCAAAAGTTGATGGAAAGGGTCCTCCGAACCGTAGTGGACACCGCATGGCGTGCTGGAAAAATTACGTGATGCTGTTTGGTGGCTTCCGCGATCTTGGCTCCCATACCACATATCTCAATGATCTGTGGCTGTTTGACATCACTACGTACAAATGGAAGCAGGTGGAGTTCCCAGCGTCGCATTCGATTCCAGATCCGCGGTCTGGACATTCTTTCATGGCCACAGACTTTGGTGCTGTGGTTTATGGGGGCTACTGTAAGGTGAAAGCTGGTAAGGGACTTCAAAAGGGCAAGATCCTGACCGATTGCTGGGCACTCAACATGAAGAGTGATCCTGCACAGATCCGGTTCGAACGTCGTCGCAAACAGGGTTTCCAGCCGTCGCCCCGTGTTGGATGCTCCATGCAGTACCACAAGGGCAGAGGCATGCTTTTCGGGGGTGTTTTCGATTACGAGGAAACAGAAGAGACTTTGGACTCTGAATTCTACAACACGCTCCTTTCGTATAACGTGGAGACCAACAGATGGTCCAATCTGTCGCTGCGGTCGAGCAAGAAAAGGGCCGCTGCTAAAAAGGAGAAGGTGGACAAAACTCGACAACTCGAAGAAATGCTCAACTCTATTCTTGCAAAACATAATTTGGCAGACGACGAAGAGGACGAAGCGCCTGTTGCAGAAGAGGACGACGATGAGCCTGAGGAGACGCTGGAGATTCGCAACCAATTGCCACATGCCCGTTTCAATGCCCTGACCTGTGTCGTGGATGACACTTTGTACATTTATGGAGGCATGTACGAAGTCGGAGAACAGGAGTTCAATCTGGACTCGTTCTACTCGATTGACCTATCCAAGCTGGATGGAGTTAAAGTGTTCTGGGAGGACTTGTCTGAGCTAGAGAAACAAGAAGCAGAGGACAGCGACGACGAGAGCGACGATGACGATGAAGACGATGAAGAAGAGCAGGAGAAAGAAGTTCTGGTGGCCGAGGAAGAAGAGGAGGAGCCTGAGGAGGAAGAGCCTGAGGAAGCAGAGATTCCTGACGAGCATCCTTGGTTGCCGCATCCAAAGGCATTCGAGTCGCTGAGAGCGTTTTATTTGCGTACTGGACCAGACTTCCTCACATGGGCCATCAGCCAAAATCCAGACCATCGTGGAAAACATCTTAAAACAAAAGCTTTCGCCCTGTGCGAGACCAGATGGTGGGAACGGAGAGAAGCTGTCCAAGTTGAGGAGGAAAGTCTGGAAGAGAGTGGGGTTACGGATGTTATAGAGAAAGACTTTTCAAAAGGACAGAAAAGAAGATAGACTAATAATAGATTAATAATACACTATGCAAAGTGGATACCTACTTGATGGAACGCGTACAGTAGCTTCAGAAAATCGGTCTGGTCCATCTTCGCCGGTCTACGTTCGCCAAAACCAGTCTCTGCAAGCACTTTCGTGACATTTTCCTTGACGACTGCGGAAAAGTCTGTCTTGGTATCCACCATCATCTCGCCTCTTTGCTCGCTCAAAATGGCAAGAAACGTCTTGTAGTTGTTCTCCAAAATCTCCAGGATCTTGCTGTTCCTGAAAGTTGCGTTGAGGGTTTTGTTTTTTCTGTTGAAACAGAACCTCAATAGTCCGTCCCACTCGTTGTAGTCAAGGTTGGGACGAGGAATTTTTGGCTCCACCTTCACCACAGATGACTCGACCTTGGGCGGAGGCCGGAAATTGTTCTTTCCCACCTTCATCACATGCTTCACGTTGGCCCACATCTGGGCGTTGGCACTCAGACGGTTGTATAAGGCATCTCCAGGCCGTGCTGTTAAATTCATTGCGAACTCTCGTTGGAACATGAGCACAGCGATTCTTGGCGGTCTAGGCATACTAAGAAGCTTGAAGACAATACCAGACGAGATCTGATAGGGCGTGTTCGAAATGCACACATCAAAATACGGTAAGGTCTCGAGTTTCATGAAATCGCCCATGATAATCTCAAGTTTCTTCTCATACGGAGTGCCCTGAACTCTCTTTGTAAGCTCAGCGGCCATCTTGGGGTCCACTTCTGAGGCAATAACTTTGCGGGCCTTTTCCAGAATTCTGACGGTCAAGTTACCGGTACCCGGACCAATCTCTAGCACCACATCAGAGGGTCTAATTTCTGCTTTGTCCACTATACCTTGGGCTATGAGAGGGTTTTTCAATATATGCTGACCAAGTTCTGTGTTAAATTTGAACACCTTGTTCATCTGGTCACCAGCAGGAGCTGGCTTGGTGGCAAACTGCTTTTTGGCAGCTTTAGGCATGATCTATAAATTTTCCTATTATTTTTTTTTTTCGCCTGAAATAATTTTTGAATAAATTTTCCGGCTGTGCTAGAATAAGATGGGGTAATTAAGTTCGTCATTATGTCAAGCAAGAATACCAAACAAAGCTTCACTGTTGATCCTAAAGATTTGGCTCGAGTTAATGCATACAGAAGAATTGGAGCAGGCCTGATCTTTATGGCTCTGCCAGCTATCGAAATCTACAGAAGAATATACCTCGATAAGGAGAGAAAGATACAACAGGGAGAGTACAATCCGAAGGAAGGGACCTTGCGGCTCTTCTCTGAAGAAGAGAAGCTTGAGAAGTTCAAGAACAGCTGGATGACGAAAATATTTGGCGAGAAGTAGTATTGCAAAATCTACTATACATTAGAAAGTGTCATTATCATAAGAGGCGACTCGTCGAGGATTGATGATACCCAGAGACGATGTCGCTCGAGCTCTCTGTTTTATCACTCGTAACGGTGTTGGCTGCACCATCATTGTCGGGGACTTGTGTATATCCAATGCCGACAGCGGGCGTGTATTAGTTTTTAACGGTGTTGGATGAATTTTGTCGAGCAGCTTGGATCGTGGAATACAGCTCGAGCTCCGCACTGGAGGCATCGCGTAGTGCTCGCCTCTTATTTTGGAGTTGAGAAGCGACTGACGAGACTCAGGACGCACAGGAAGCGGAATTCTGGTCACATGCGACTTAGAAGGCTCAATATGTCTTCTAAACGTTTCGTCTCTAGTCGTTGGCAAAGGAACTGGTAATGGAATATATTTGAGCAGCTTGGTTTTTCCGGCTTGTTTCTGAACGCTTGGTCTGTGAAGCTTTGCATTAGGCGTGATGAAAGGATCTGACTGAGAAAGAGACCTCATACTTCGTGGCGAACGCTCTTTGATGTCTAGTTGTTCCACTTTCTCAGCAAGGTCTTCTTCTGTGTCTCTAGATGTCTCGTTCTCTTTGTCCTCGGCCTCGTCCATTAGTCGTTTGAGAACAGAGTTGCTGGACGCGGTGCGGAAGGAGACTTCAGACTCGTCGTCTTCCAGAATATCAAATTTGAGAGGACTTCGCTTTTTTGCGGATGTCGGGTTGTACTCGATCAAAACTGGCTTGAGCTGGAGAGCGTCAAAAAGCGATCCTTTGGATATCGCAGGTGCTGAGGCCATCGACGGGCTTGGTGAGCTTCTCTTGGATTCATAATGTTGTTCCTGGAGTTGCAGATATTGTGCTTCCATTTCCTTTTTCTTCTCAATCATACTCTTATCGGTAATCAGTCTCTCGCCTGTTGCACGCTTCAGAATACCCAATGACTGGCCTATAATTTCCAAATTGCGCACACTGGAGCTTCCCAGACAATGCTTGACAGCCATCTCGTCCTCGAGGTCCTCTAGTGCTTGAGAGATCTCCCTCATTAGAGACCGAAAAATGTGCTCCCAGCGACGGTCCACGAGCTCGCGCGAAATCTGCTTTAAGGCAGACCTGAGCTCGTGCACCTCTTGCACAAGGCCCTCATACCTTGATATAAGGTGCATGATTGACCCTGGGTTTTTGTGCATCGCCACCTCTCCATAGCTTTCCAGGGTCTGAGGCACAATTAGCACGGCCGCCTGAATCGGGTCTACTCTGCCCTCAAGTTGTTGGTACAAGCCCAGCAAGCGCTCATCCAGACAGGTGAATGTGGGCATTCGCAGCTTGAAGCTCTCGCTCTGGGTCATTTTGGCATTGATTTCTTCCAATTCGAGCTTGGGAAGCTTCTTAACAGGACTGGTGAGAAGCATCTCTTTGAGCGTTCTCAGGTCCTTAGAACAGTCTTGAATCTCGTCGCTAATCGACCCCAGCACCTGTTCATCCAGCTCTGTGTATCTGATGGCTACATGCAGGTTTTCCAAGTACGCCGAGATGTGCTTTTTAGCTGTAAGTAGCTCCTCACACAGCGGTTCCAATTGATTAACGGTGGATTCCAATCCTGGTTCTGATTCCAGTTTTGATTCTATGGCGGTGACCAATGCGGCTAAAAGCTCGTCAGATTTTTGGATGCACTCATTCACTCTGGTGAGAGTGTCTTTGTGTCGTGCATTTGCGCTCAAGCTAGAGAGCGTATCACCCACAGCCAGGAACTCGTGTATGAACAATCGGATCGAGTCCACTGCAGCTTCAACCTGTACCCCATCAAACAGGGCGACCTGTTCTATTTGGAGTTCCTGGACGCCGCTGCAGCATTTCTCCAGTTGGTCCAACCGCTTCATTAAATTGTTCAACTTTATCAATCACTTTTTTCTCAACTATATTTGTTTACTATTTCCCTTAATAGTACTGCGGCTGAAAATTTCCGAGCCAAAATATTGTACAATCGAGGTTTTGGTTTTCAGCTAAGATGTGCCTGTCTCTCGTACATCTCCACTATCTGCTCGCTTGTCGTCGCGTCCTCGACACTCTTATCATCTCTGATCCGCACAAACCGTGGAAACCTCAACGACACTCCCTTGGACCCGTCGCCCAAGAAACTGTAGCCGCACTTGTACAGAGGACTCTCTGTAAAGTCCGCCACTTTCACCTCAAACAGCGTTGTTGGCTCAAACCAGATATCTGGCGCTGCTCGCGGATTCGTCTTGTCGTACACAAACGACGCTTTAGGGTTGTCCAACTGTGTCGGTTTTAGTCGTTCAAATAGCGAAGCAAGAATCTCATCGCTAAAGCCAGTGCCAATCTTGCAAATCGCCTCAAACTCGCCGCTATCTGGGTTGTAGCTTGCCAGCAAAAACCCGCCGTACCCTCCAGTGCGCTTCCCCTTGCCAACATATGCGCCAATGACAACCAGGTCCAGAGAGTCTCCAACTCCCTCCAAATAATCTTTTTTCAGCTTGAGCCAGTTCCTCGATCTTTTGGATGGCTCGTATAAGCTGTTTGTGCCATTGAGCGTTTTAATCATCAGCCCTTCGCAGTAGTCCCTGACCGACTGGTCAAGAAACTTCGTGATGACATCAAGGTCGGAGGAGTCGAGTTTCTCAGAGAAACGGAACTTGCCAGGAATAATCTTCAGGTTGCCGTACATGTACCGTCTGCGCTCTTTCAGGGACTTCTGGATCAAAGACTCGCCGTTGTATAGCAGGATGTCAAAGGCAAACAAACACACCTGCACCGTTATGTCTTCTTCCCTCACGTCCTTGCGCTTTCGGGTGGACAGGATCTGGAACGGGAGGATCTTTTCCTGCTTCTTGTCCCATGCCACACACTCGCAGTCCAAAATAAACGATCGCACCTCTGGATTAAGCCTCTGAAGCTCCTCAATGACCGGAATTAGGTCTGGATATCTTTGGGTCATGTTCTCAGAGCTCCTGGAGTAAACCCGTAGCGTTCCGTCGGGTAGCAAGTGCACCTGTGCTCTTTCACCGTCGTATTTGTACTCGCAGGTGAACTCCTGGTTCTCAAACTGGTTGAGGATCTCCGTGATGGACTTGGTTGGTTTCGCAAGCATCGGCTTGAGCGGAATGCCCGGCTTGAGCGTGCAATGCTCCATGAGGTTGAGAGTTCCGTATTTTATCGCGCTCTCGATGATCAGCTCGTAATTGGGAGTCTGCGAAAACGCCTCTTTCATCTGCTCCTCAGCTTCACTTAAAACCGCAGGAGTCACTTTTTCACCTCGCTGCTTCATCTCGTGCTCCACCAGAGCCTTGGCCAATGCAACCACCACCGACTTTTCGGCAAACTGGATGCGCAACGTGCCTTCCAGCGATCTCATTAGGAACTTGGCCTCGCGCGAGTCGCAGGACGTCAACATCTTGTTGATCATGGCGATTTTTTTGTTTTGCGAAGAGGCCCCCGACATGCTTGCAATTTGCTTGAGATTATTAAATACCTGAGACACTGTCAACGGTTGCGGCTTGAACATCAAGCTTTGCTTCGATCTCGACTTTTGAGCAACTAGTCCGATGTCGCCGTACTCGCCGAGATCTTTTTTCAGCTGCTGCATCGAACGGCCTGTTCCTGTGGCCAGTGCTTTCATAAGCAGAGTCTCGCCTAGTCCCAGCTCAAGACCCTCGTAATCTGGGCAAACTCTATTGATGGTCAGGTAATTGACCTCAACGAGGTTCCGTATCTGGTCTTCCTGGGTTTCGGAAACGTCCAGCACATGAGAAAACATCTCAGAGGCGATCTCGATGCACTTGAGTCTTCCGGACTCTTTTTCTAAAGCCTCAAACACCTCGCACAATTTGCTATATGGGATGGGTTTCCCGACGGCCAGGTCAGGGACCTTGACCTCGGGTTCCATCTTGAGGAGCTCTGTGGCGTCGGTCAGCCGCTCCTTGGCGTTTTCAGCGACATCTGCAACGGAATCCTCTGGCGTGCTCTCCTTTGTGTCGTCGCTTTTGAGGGCCTTTTTTGATGACGTTGGCGACGGACTACGCGATCGCTTTTTGGGCATGGAACGCTCGCCCTGAGAGCCAAAAAACCGAGATAACGTCTGCTGTTTTTGGGTGGCCGTCATGCTTCTTATTCCTAGTCTTGCAAACATGCAGATAAGTTAGCAAATCTTGCGGTTTCGCGTTAAATCGCGTCGCGTCGCGTCGATACGATTTTTTTTTCTCCCATGTCTCCAATTAAATTATAAATCTCTCTATACATATTATGCTGACTCGTAATGCTCCCAGTTGTCCAGAATAGCCTTGATCTTCTCAGACCCAGTCAGTTCGTAGACATTCTCAAAGTACTCCTTTGTCAACTCAAATGGTCTGGCGGTCAGGTTCGGAATGTACTTGCCGATCAAGCTTGCTGGCTTGACAGCAGACTTTGGAATCTTCTTAACCAGGAATCTCTGGAACGGCTTGACACCAGATCTCAGGTAAGACGAGTGGAACGGAACGGATATGCCCTTCAATGGAATACAGGCGTATCCTCTTTCCAAGTCAATTGGCTGTGGCTTGGCCAAGGACTTCTTGGAAACCTCGTCCACGATCTCACTCAGGTGCTCTGCAACCTTCTCGAGCGACATTATCTCCTGCAGCTTGACAATGTCGATCTTCTGGATCTTGAACACATTCAACGTATTGCTCAAAGTGTCCAGAGCTCTCAGGTCACCGGCAGCAACGTATTGCTGGTTCTCCACGTTGAAGTTGACGATCTCCAACAACCAGCCGGTTTGCTTACTGATGTGCTCGACAACGAATCTCAGGGCAGAATCGTTGAAGGTAGCAGAGACCCTGGATGGGTTAACAGCGCACATACCGTAGTTCGATCTTCCTAAGCTGTCTCTTGGAACAGCAACCTGCATCGTCATACCTCTGTAAAACACCACATCGACCAGGGATTCGATTGGCATAACGTCTGCCAGAGATGACAAAGCCGAGTACTCACCAAGGGAGTGACCAGCAAACATGGACTCGCTAGGCACCAATCCCTTGGACTTCATGTCTTCGAATGTAGCCTTCTCCATAAGAGTAAGAGCTGGCTGGGTGAACTGGGTGGCAGAGAGCAGTCCCGTTGGTGACTTGAAAGTGTAAGTGGTGGTGTTCTCGTCAATGTCCTTGAAGATCTTTTCCGACTTGAGCTTGCCGTCCTCGTCGATGGTCTCGAACATCATCGTGATGTAGTTTTCTCTAATCTTTCTTCCCTTTGGACCACCAAAGTAGACAGTCAGCTCGTTAGGGTTGTTCTTGACAATGTCCAAGATCGAGAATCCGTAGTTGTCGATAAAGTGTCTGTCGGCTCTATCCCAAACGTTCTTGGCAACCTCGGACGAGTTGTACAAGTCCATACCCATACCTTGTTCCTGAGAACCTTGACCGGTGAAGACGAAGGTGGAGACCGGTTGGTCGATCTCTGCCTCACCAGAAAGAACCACATCGCCGGTCTCGACCTTCTTGGTCTCGATCTTGATGATCTTTCTTCCGTTGATCATGGCAACGTGCTCCAACTGGGTCGTCAGCTCGTCGTTTGGCAAAACCATCCCAACAAAGTTGGCCTTGTAGGCTCTCACTCTTGGAGCGACACCGTTGGCAGCGTGCATCTCAACCAGAGATCTGACGGAAGCAGATGAGAACATACCGTGGGTGATGGTGCCTGGCAAGTTTGCGTAGGAAGCAAATACTCTTGAGACGTGAATAGGGTTGTAATCGCCAGAAACGGCAGCATACGTTTCGTTCGAGCCTGGAGCCTTGGTGACAAGAGCACCAGACAGAGGAACGGCGTGTTCCAGCTGGACTGGTTGCTCAATTGGCACTCCGTTTCTGCTCAGGTAGTCAACCACAGGGTTACCGTGCGAAACACCAGCCTTGTAGTTGATTTCGGCAACCTGTTTGATTTCTTTCGATGGCATCTCGTAGTAAACGGCACCGGTGGTCCTGACCGAGGAGAAAACGTTCTGGTTCTTGAAGTAGTAGACGGATTTGCATCTGAAGGTCAAAGTCTTGCCGGTCAGGTCAATTGGCTCAGAACCCAGATGGAACCACTCCTTAGATTGAAGAACAGCAACGTCCATAGCGGTCTTCAGAGTGACCTCCATTGGGGTCTCGGTAGTCTTCTGGAAAGTGTTCTCAAAGTCAGTGTAAACGCCTCTGTAGAAGAAGGCAGAAGTGACCTCCATGATGGCCTTGCCATCTCTATAAATAGTACCAAGAACCTCAACAGTCTTACCGGTTGCACCGTTGACCACAGAGACGATCTGGGCGTCAGAAGAGACCTTGTCGCCAACTCTCAATGGCTCGGCACCTGGCATCATTCTGTAAGCGTTGGACAGGTGAACAAGCTTCAAAATGTCACCGTCAACAGACTTAGGGAAAATAGCCTTCATGATAGCTCTCCATCCGATCACAATAGCAAAGTCCATAGGAGCCAGCTGGTCTCTGCCAACTCTTGGAACGAAGTACTCGCAAGAATTTCCAACAGCATGCGTCAGTTCGGCAATGGCTTGTTGAGTGATTTCCGTGGAGCCGCCATCGATCGTGGAGGTCGCATCAAAGTCCAGCTCAACAGGAACCTTGGAGCCAAACCACAGTTTCCAGTAGAACTTCTTGATTCTGTCGTTTCTGCTGTCAATGACTTCCTGAATCGGAGCAAATCCGTCAGACTTCTTGTACGTGTATAGCAACTCCAATGGAACAGGAGTTCCGTCGGCAGTTCTGTGCTCAATCAGATCCATCTTGATGGAGTTGCCGTTGGCAGAAATTCTGACAACTTCCTTGTCTTTACCTTTGATGGAGTCGAACAGGGAAATGACAGTCTTGGAAATGTCGTCTGGGTACTGGATTCTGACAGAGATGTTTTGGGCAGGAGCCAAAACCTTCTTGGCTGGATTCTCAGCGTGGTTGTAGCCCTGGACACATCTGTCAGCAGTGATAAATGCGTGTCTCCAGTTCAGCTCAGAGCCAGCCAGAAGCTTGAACCAAGCATCGGTGTCTGGCAAAGTAGAGCCAATAGAGTATGTCACAGCATCAGCAGTCTTGGTGACTTGCACACCTGGGATAGACTCGACCTTAGCGGTGCTCTTATCAGTGAAGTACTCAACAACAGGAACTCTAGAAACGTTTCCACCATAAACGTCGTCCAAGAGTTTCTTGATGTGTCCTTCGTGTATATTGTCCAGGATCTCCTTGATTGGCTCGTCCACCTTGTTGGTGTATTGCGCAGCAACAGGTCCATGCAAAATACACGTTCTCTGAACATCCTCATCAACAACGGCCTCGAGATCCTCGGATTGCCAGAGAGAGTCTTTCTTGAAAAACACCTCGAATCTATCGTCCAACACTGGGACGAACGGAACTGGCTTCTGGCCTGGATCGGAACACATGGCAATGAAGTAGTCGCAATCTTCAGCGTTGACCAATTGGCTCTTGGCTTCTGGGTATGCGTTGAAGACGGTCTCCAAACAGGAGTCTGGGTTCTCCAGAAGACTGAAGCTCTGGATCAGGGAGAAAGTCTCCTTGCCAGCGAAACGCTCCTCAACTCTTCTCAGGAACTTGCCGAGGAAGTTTCTCAAACTAACGTCGATCCATCTCTTGGACTTTCTCACGTACATCAGCTCGACACATCTCTTGGCAACCTGCTCGTAAGTCATGTCCTGGATGTCGCAAACGCCCTCGTCGTTCTTTCCAAACCATGGCTTTTGGAAGTCGGCATTAAGCTTCTTGATAATGTAGTCCTTCTTTTTCTCCAAAGCCTCAAGCATCTTGGCCTTTGGAAGAGAGAAGATGGTGTCGTCCATCTCTTTCCAGAAAACAACGGCTCGCGTGGCAATCTTGTGGATTGGCTCACCCATCTCGGACTTCACAGTCAAAATACCACCTGCTGGCTTCTTGTAGGTCAATTCCCATTTGCTGTCGTCAACACCGGTACAAGCCGCAATGGCCTTCTTGGCGGCAGGAGAAGTCTTGCACTCCTTGGCAACCATGACTCTGGAACCGAACAGAACACCATCGAATGGCATGTGTGGGTAGTTGAACTTCGTAGCCCAAGCACCGGTCAGATATGGATAGGTATCCTCAGCAGAACCGAAACCAGAACCGGCAATCAGAATGATGTTTGGACATTTTCTGAGCTTGGAGTACATTTGCAAGATTGGCTGGTGGAAGTCCTCGAACGAATGGTGACCACCACCTCTTCCACCGGTCCATTGCACCACAATAGGGAAGTTAGGGTGCGCCTTGGCAATAGTGATACACTGGCTGATAGCGTCGACGGATCCTGGTTTCAGACCCAAGTGAGTTATTCCTAGGGTCTCAATGTACTCCGTGGCAACCTCAAGAGAAGGAACACCAGCACCGATGGTCAAAGACTGGATTGGGAAGCCCTTAGCCCTGAGATCTCTGATCAGAGGAATGCCCCATTGGAGCATCTTAGGACTGACATAGATCAAGTTGACACCGATACCGGAACCTGGAGTGATGTTCTCAGCGATTTTGGTCAAAGCCTTGGTCATCATGTCCGGGTTGAAGTAGCCACCACCTGCTAGTTCGATGTGGTAGCCGGCCTTGATCGTGGCAGCAACGAAATCAGGCGAAACGGTACTCGGGGTCATTCCAGGAACCATGAGTGGTGCTCTTCCCAACAGTCGGGAGAATTTGGTATCCACATATATTTTTCCTTCCGAGGTCTTGATCAGTTTAGGCTGGTAGTTTTCAAGCCAGTTTGGGGCATATATTAGAGAGGAGGCGTTGATGTCAAACAGCTCTTGTTTGTAGCCGAACTCTGAATCTTCTCCAGGAATGTTCAAAGCGCCGGCAACAATGACTCTGGCTCCGGTACCCTCCTTGTTTCTGTGGGTGAGAACACCCAGACCAGAGGCTCCACCAGGACCGAAGTCAAGGATGTGGGTGGCCTCGAATTTAGTGGCCACCTCCCAGTTCACGGCCAGGAGAGTGATAAGCTCGATCAGTCTGGAAGTGATGGATCCGGTGTACTTTCTAAGATCTGAGCCGTCGTAGGTGTCGTAGACTGGCGTTTTCAGGTCTGCAGTATTGAACTCGAGATTGGACTTTTCAAGGTCCTTCTTGATTTTTGGAGATGCTGGAGCAAGCAGATGAGAGTGGAATGGAGACATGATCGGCAAAAATCTAGAGGAGAATTTGAGTTTTCTTTCACTGTAAGGAACGCGGGACTGTTCGAGCCCAGAAGGCGCCTTGGCCTTTCTGAGGTTCAAGTTGAGACCGTATAGAGATTCAGGTGGCCCAGTGACAACCAAGTTTCTGGCACCGTTGACCAAGGAAATGCCAATCTTCTTAGCCTCGGGCAAATGCTGGTTGGTCTCGTCGACAAACTTGGTGACTTGTTCGTACGTGAGGTCTCTGATGGAGAGCATGGGTCCTGGGGTGCCCTCTCCATTTTCTTCTGAGTCCTTGACGGTGCTTGGTGCAAGCGACGTGGATGGGTAAGCTTGGAGACATCTGACACCGAGGTAGAAAAGGAACTCGACGGCCTTCAGAGCCTGAACCTCAAAGGATTCCCAAGAGTCGGCCGAGGCAATGGCAATTGCGGTGGCGAGACCTTGCGAGTGACCGGTGGTACCGCTAGTGAGCTCATTGAGCTGGCCAGGAGTGACACCCAAGAGTCTGCAGGTGATGGCGAAGTGACACAGCTGAATCACGCAAATCAACGGACACGACACAGGAATCGACAGGAGGTGTTCTGTGTTTGGAGTCTGTTCTGGTTTCTCGAGCCAGTTGATGAGGTCGAAACCATGCGTGAAAATTCTGTCGATGTCGGAGGTGGAAGATATGAGAGATTGCAGCTTGGACTGCACGGTGTACAAGAATGGCGTCACAAGAGGGTTATACACGTCGTAGATCTCTCTGAGCTCCTCGAAGTAGTCGTCGGTGTTTCCCTGGCCACCGAAGACCGTGTAGATGGAGGCCTTCTTGTCCTTGGCGGCCTTGAACAAGGCAGATTGGACTGGTGCAGGATCCAGACCAAAGTTCTTGTCCACATAAAGTTTTCCAGAGTAGTAGTTTTTGAGGATGTGGCTCTTGACCTTTTCCAGGGTTGTTGGATGGGTTTCAGACGCGAGACACTCGGCTGCGAAAGAGTGGATATCTTTGTTGAGCAGGAATCTTGTGTCGAACTCGTCTAGGACAAGCTTGATCGCGTCTAATTTCTCCGACTCCAGAACATTCGACCTAACGATGTATCCCAAGAACATCATCAGCAGTTCTGCCTTGGACGCTGGCTCGTCATCGCCAGCGTATCCTTCGGTGACCTCTGGAAGAGACTTGTAGAAATCTGTGGTCAATTGTTGGTACAGGAGGTAATTAGTTGGAGGGGTCAAGATGGTGGTCTCAATCCCTCCGTGGGTGATAACTAGCGGTCTATTCACCGACATGACAACAGCTGGTTAAAAAAAATAAGCTGTTGAAGACAGTGATATAGTTGAAAAAGTTTACCTGCGCAGCCACGACTCGTCAACAAAAAAAAAGGCGCTTTGAGACACATTTGTGGCTGTGCCGTGCTCTGATCAATAGCTACACAATACTGAAATAATAGTTGGCCCAACAAGACTGTTGGGATTTGGAATTTGTTGAGAGCAGGGTAACGTGGCTGTGAATTTTGGAGGTAAGATTAGCCAAGTATTTTCTGCACAGCCGGAATCTAAATATTCTTGGAGATTTTTTTTTTTTCGTATTTTTCCGCGTCCTTCTCTTACGCGACAAGTCGTTGCACAGCCTGACCTTATAAATGCTATGACTTTTTAGGCTGCACAGCCAAACTACGCTTTCCATCTTTTTTGTACACAGCCAGAGTCGTCTTCACGAGGGATCATGTCTCAGTGGTTGCTAGCCCTCCCGCAAAAGCTGGTGTCCGGCTTCATCAATCTCCTGGCAACATCCCTTTACCTATTTTCTGCATTTCTCTACTCCTTAGCGACCTACCTGGCCCAGGTGGCCCTTTCATTTTCCACCGTCCTCCTGATTGCGATTGTGGTCTCTTTAGCGACGTATGCCTACATCCATTACAGATACTTGACCGTTTATTCACGGCTTCCTGAGGACCCAAAGCGGCAGGAGCCGTCAATGGACACGTTTCTAGAGACAACAGGCAGAGAGCGCAAGTCCAGGCAGAATTATCTAGATGAGTTCTTGTCTGCAATAAAGATTTTTGGCTATCTGGAAAGCCAAGTGTTCAATGAGCTGACCAAAAGCATGCAGACGCAGAAGCTGGACTCTGGCGAGATTGTATTTTTGGACGAAAACTCAGGGTTCATGATCTGCGTCGAGGGCGAGATTGAGGTCTTTTGCAAGATTGGAAGCTCAAACGACGAGTATGCGGTGTTCACCAATGAATCCTCCACCAATTATGTCATTGTTGACGACATCAAGTACAGACTTCTGAATAATGTCAAAAGCGGTGCTCCGTTGTCATCGTTGACAAGTGTGCTGAACCTGCTCACTGCTTCTGAATTGAATACTCCAGACAGACACGCTTCTGGTATATTACCTGTTCCATCCGATTTTGACCTGGACAACAAGGTTTATGCAGACTCTCCTGTGCCACAGCTACCCTGCTCGAACGAAACGCCAACCCTGATCGCCATTCCGAAAAACAATTGCACCATTTCCATCATCCCCAAAGACTCGTTCACAAGACTCGCTTATAAATACCCCAAGGCCACCTGTCACATTGTACAGATGATTCTGACCAAACTGTACCGTGTTACGTTTCAGACGGCGCATGACTACCTTGGCCTCACCACAGACATCATGCGGACAGAAATCAACCTCAACAAACGATGTTCCAATGTGCTTCCCTCTTATCTAAGCAACAACGTTGTGGAGCGCTTTACGCCAAGATTGTCTTCTTACAGCACACTGAACGAGTCGCATTCGCTGCTTAAAAGAAGCCAGAGCTCCAAAGTGATGAGGTCAGAGCCGCTGCATTTAAACCCTAGTTCTAGGTCCGTTTCGCCAGGGGGTCCGGTTTCCATCAACACGGCTCCTAACTCTTTTATGGCAGCACTCAGTTCGGACGCAGACGAAAGCAACCAGAGCGACGACATGCTTGCCATGCCTCGGTCGCGAATCAAGGTCCGTAGACCAAGGAGCGAGGTTTCAAGCGCGAGAAACTCATCAAGACACTTCTCATTGGCTGCTCGAAATTCGACTAATCCAGGAGACCTTGTTTCGAACGTTCCTGTGTCTCATTTGGACAAGATGGCAAGCATTGAGAAGACAGATAAGAGCCATCTGCACGACAGAATCATCAACGGTGAAAACGAAGAGCCTGCAGAGATGGCTGTTCGCGTAGCCATAGCAGAGAGCATTTGCGAAAGCATTGGTGTGGACCGTGGGTCGCTCCAGGTCTCGTCTCCAAGCAGAATGAGCTTCTCGCCTTCGGTGGTGAGCTCGCCGATGATTGCAGGCATCACCGAAATGAATATCAAACCGAAAGGCCTCGGTATCGGAACGAAATCAAAGGTTCGCACTTTTTCGTCTCATAATCTCGGCAATCTCAACGATGATGAGGACGGAACCACAGAGAGTCAGAAGAGTTTTATGGATTTCGAGAACATCAAGTCTGACCTCGCCAACTCGATCACTTTGAAACACATATCAACTGGAACAAAACTGATCGAAGCTAATGAGCACACGCCAGGAATTTTCTACGTGATAGACGGAGCTCTGAAAGTCACTTACATGAACGAAAATACCGACGGAGACCCTACAGAGGAGTTTGTTTACGAGGTGAAGCAAGGCGGCATTGCTGGGTATCTGGGAACCTTAATTGGGTCCAAATCCTTTGTGAATGTGGTGGCAGCTTTGGACTGCTATGTGGCATTTTTACCCAGAGAGGTTTTTGAGATCTTGAACGAGCGTTTCCCGTACCTTCAGCTGGCCATTGCAAAAAATCTATTGCGCATTCTTGACAAACGTCTGCTATTGGCAGACTACGCTATGGAATGGGTCCACACTTCCGCTGGTGACTCTTTATACACCCAGGGAGACCCTGCTAATGGTATCTATATTGTTCTCAACGGACGGTTCAGATCGATGAGGACTTCTGAGGGCAAGGATGCGCAGCCTGTAATTGTGGCAGAGCATGGACAGGGCGAGTCTCTTGGAGAGGTGGAGGTGCTGACCAAGACCAAGCGGGACTTGACCTTGGTGGCTATTCGCGACTCTGAGCTTGCTCGTATTCCACGGAGTCTCTTTGAAATGATCGCTCTCAGCAATCCGTCCATCATGGTCAAAGTCACACGGATTGTTGCAAACAGATTTATCCATAGCAAAGAGCACGACGGAAATTTTGAGCTGACATCGCCCACGGCTCCAATCAAGGACGACAACTTCAGCAAAAACTTCAACAACTACCGAACAATTACCATCCTGCCAATCACGTACGGTTTACCAGTCGTTGAATTTGGCGAACGGCTTACGACTGCACTAGAAAACGTCAGCAAGACCGCCAAAATGCTGACCCAGTCCACTGCGCTGAGTCGTCTCGGAAAACACGCGTTTGACCATCTGGCCAAGCTGAAACAGAGTGGCTACTTCTCCGAGCTAGAAGATAAATATGACATTGTCATCTACGTCGCCGATACGCCTGTCAACTCTTCCTGGACAAAGACGTGCATCCAGCAAGGAGACTGTATCCTTCTCCTAGCGGACTCTCAGCAGCCTCCGAATATTGGCGAGTACGAGCGGCTGCTGGTGAAAAACAACACTACGGCCCGCACAGAACTCATTCTCCTTCATCCAGAACGATACGTGGAGCCTGGATCAACGAACAATTGGCTCAAGAACCGGATCTGGGTCCATTCGCACCACCATGTCCAGCTTTCGTTTGACACGAATTCCATGCCTTCAGAAGTTGACTTTGGCCCAATATCCAAATCCGCAAATACAAGCAAACTTCTCACTGCCACTACTGCCAAGCTGTCTGCCAATCTACGGAACATGCTGAGTAACAACGAGTTTCTGCAAATGATCAAGCAAACCAGAGAGGCGTTCAAGTCCAAAAGATATTACCGGCCCATGCAAGAACATAAGGACGATTTTATGCGTCTTGCGCGTATTCTTACTGGACAGGCAGTTGGTCTCGTTTTGGGAGGAGGCGGTGCTCGCGGGATCAGTCACATTGGTGTCATTGCTGCTTTGGAGGAGAAAGGTATACCTGTTGATTTTGTTGGTGGCACTTCGATAGGAGCGTTTGTTGGTGCTCTGTATGCTCGTGAGTACGACCTGGTTCCAGTTTATGGAAGAGCAAAGACTTTCTCGGGACGCATGGGCTCTATTTGGCGTTCATTGTTGGATCTAACTATTCCCTTGACTTCGTACACCACTGGCCACGAGTTCAATCGAGGAATATGGAAGGCCCTGGGAGACTCCCGGATTGAAGACTTCTGGATCAAATTCTACTGCAATTCCACCAACATCACCGAGTCTGTCATGGAGATTCACACTTCGGGCTACGCATGGAGGTATGTGCGTGCTTCCATGTCTCTTGCTGCTCTTTTACCTCCACTAACTGACAATGGTAACATGCTTCTTGACGGAGGCTATATCGACAATTTGACAGTTGAGGAAATGAAACGGCGTGGAGCACACGCCATCATTGCGTGTGATGTCGGGTCGGAAGATGACCGGTCCAAGATGCACTACGGTGAGTCGCTCAGTGGTCTATGGGTGCTGTTGAATCGTATAAATCCATTTTCAGCTCACCCTAACGTTCCTACCATGACAGACATCCAGATTCGACTGGCGTACGTGGCGTCTGTCATTGCACTGGAAAAGTCGAAAAATTCCAAGGATTGCGTTTATTTAAGGCCACCAATAGAAGGCTATGCCACGTTAGACTTTTCGAAGTTTGACGAGATCTACGGCGTGGGGTCCAAGTACGCGGCTGAGGTCCTTAACAAGCTGCAAAGCAAGGGCGAATTGCCATCCTTCAAAACTAGAAGACGCGAGTTGAATAAACATCCAACTCTCCAGAGAAGAAATTCGATATAGATTATTTTTAATTATTTTGGAAATTAGATTTATCCGTATTTATTCCCAAGTACACTTTAATTTACACGTTGGCAGCGTCGGAAACAAGTATCACCGAATCGCCTCTAATGAACACCATATCACTTTTCTTGGTTCTCGACTTGATCTCTGGTGAGTCTTGCTCGGTGTAGAAAATGGTCTCTGTAGCGTCGCTCAACACCATGTTGCAGTGCATGTCGTAAGCCTGGATGTTAGCATAGGTATCGACACAGTATACTTACGTGTAATTTCCCCACCATTTCTCTGCTTCCTCTGAGTTTCACAAAAACTTGCTCGTCTAGACATAGCCTGATAAGGTCCAGAGGCTCCGAAGACGTCGAATTGGACTCGCTCATTTTGCTGTGGAAATAAAGAAAGATTATTTTTTTTTCGTTAAATACATAATTACCAATTCCTGTTTTCAAGCATGTCAGAAGAACTCAACTTTTATTGTTTGGGCGGAGGAAACGAGGTTGGGCGCTCCTGCCACATTGTAGAGTATAAGGGCAAGGTCGTGATGCTTGATGCCGGCGTGCATCCAGCGTTCTCGGGCGCAGAGTCGCTGCCTTTCTATGACGACTTTGACCTTTCCAAAGTCGATGTTTTGCTCATTAGTCACTTCCACTTGGACCATGCGGCATCTCTGCCGTATGTCATGCAGCACACAAATTTCAAAGGCCGTGTTTTCATGACATATCCCACCAAGGCGATCTACAAGTGGCTTCTGAACGATTTTGTGAGGGTGACCAGTATTGCCGACGACAACGATGAAAACTCTGCGAATTTTCTGTATACTGACGAGGATCTGAACGAATCTCTTGACCGCATCGAAACAATCGATTACCACTCCACAATTGAGGTCGAGGGTATCAGATTCACAGCTTACCATGCCGGCCACGTTTTAGGAGCAGCCATGTTCTTTGTCGAGCTTGGAGGTCTCAAATTCCTGTTTACTGGAGATTATTCAAGAGAAGAAGATAGGCATTTAAGCTCTGCCGAGCTTCCCCCATCCAGACCGGATCTGCTGATCACAGAGTCGACCTTCGGCACCGCTACGCACGTTCCTAGAGTGGAAAGAGAAGCCAAGCTCACCCACGTGATACATTCAACTATTCAGCAGGGAGGCAGGTGCTTGCTACCTGTGTTTGCTCTTGGTCGGGCGCAGGAGATTTTGCTCATATTGGACGAGTACTGGCAAAACAACCCAGAATTACAAAATGTTCCAATTTATTATGCTTCCGACCTGGCAAAGAAATGTATGGCCGTTTACCAGCGGTATGTTAACATGATGAACGACAGCATCAGAAAAAAATTCACAGAGACCAACCAGAATCCGTTTCATTTCAAGTACATCAAAAACATCACTAACATAGAGAGAATCAACGATTTGGACTCGTCTGTGCTTATCGCTTCGCCAGGTATGCTGCAAAACGGTATTTCTCGAAAAATACTGGAAAAATGGAGTCCCGATCCTCGTAATGCGTGCATCTTGACCGGTTACTCTGTCGAGGGAACGATGGCCAAAATATTGCTCACTGAGCCTAGTGAGATTCCGTCAATAATAAACCCAGACGTTATGATACCGCGAAAAATCAACATAGAAGAGATATCATTTGCTGCGCACGTTGACTACGAACAGAATTCCAAATTCATCGAGCTGGTGAATCCGAAGGCCATTATTTTGGTTCACGGAGAAACAAACCAGATGGGTAGACTCAAATCTGCGCTATTGTCGAAATACCAAAAGTTCAAAGGCACGGAAAACGAAATCAAAGTTTACAATCCAAGAAACAGCAGCAAACTCTCACTGAGCTTTGAGGGAATCAAAGTGGCGAAGGTGATGGGCCAGCTGGCCACCTCTATTCCCAAAGAACATGACACAATTAACGGTGTGTTGGTGCAGAAGAACTTTGATTTGAGCTTGCTCAAAATCGAAGATCTCAGAGAGTTTGCAGGATTGACTACTACTGTTGTCAGACAAAGACAATCGCTAAGGTGCACAGCTACCAAAAGTCTTATCAAATGGCAATTGACACAAATGTTCGGCTATATTCAAGAGTTGGTCGATGAAGACGATGAGTATGTGGTGAAGGTGATGAGCGCAGTCAAGATCACACTGGAGAGCAAGGAGTCAACTGCCACTGTGGAATGGAACTCGGGCATGGTTGACGACACTATAGCGGACTCTGTGCTTGCCATTCTGATGAGCTGTGACTCTTCGCCTGCATCAGTGAAGATATCATCCAAAGCACACAGTCACGACCATGGCGTCAAACAAGAGGAAGACGTCCCAGACGAGTATTCACGCGAAGCTCGTCTTGAAAAAATATCCAAACTCTTATATGCCCAGTTCGGGGACTCGTTCAAACATGACGTAGAGAAGCAATGCGGAACGATTCAAATAGGCAAGAACTCGGCCAAAATCGACTACTCCACATTCGAGGTCGCCTGCGCGTCGGGAGCTCTGCGTGGCAGAATAGAAGGTATTCTGAACCGGTCGTTGGATCTGGTTGCTCCGCTTTCCAGAAATGCATAAATAATCCTATTGAACAAGAAAATCTTCGAATTCGAAACCGCTTTTGTCGACCCAGCCACAGCCGGTGTCGGGTTCCGGCCCTTCTAAAGGCAGATCCATGAATCCTGCCTCGTATTGATTGAAGTCGATTTCGTCAACTGGTAGGTCGTAAAATGGAGTTGTAGGAAAATTGTTGCTGTCGCTGCTATTAGACGTGGCTGATTTTTCTTCAGGGACCACGGGATTTTCACGATCCAGGGGATCCACCTCCACATGCGCATGCGACTCAGGCAAGCTTGCCTGCACTTTGACAAATAATTTTGGTGACACTTTTTTCAAAGTATCTTTGATATGCTGGACAAGTTTGGAGGATAATGCCCAGTGTCTGGATATTTGAAAAATTCCACCTAGTTCAAGCTTGATGTACTCGGTGTACGTCTCCAGCTCGTCTGCACTGACACTATCGCGTAACAAAGAGAGTCCTTTAGAATTCTTATCCACGGCAGAAAGACTTGTCTCAACCCAGGAGTATGCGCTCAGGTGAACCAGACATGAGAACGCCAACGAACAAGCAAAGAACGGCGTTCTGTCCAGAATTTTGGCCGGGTTGGTGTCTAAGAGCAGTTTAACCACAGACGAAGCAGAATCAATCGTTCTCCGCGTCTCGATGATTTTTCGCGAATCTGCTTCGTGCCTTGCTGGAGCTTCGAGATGCGGCTCTTTGCCGTCATCTTCTCCATCTTTCGTCTTCCTGGTAACATCTGTCCGCCAGAGATAGGAGAACGGCCTGTGCATGAAAATTTTAGCGTAATTCACAAGCATGACAGCTTGGTGAACACCTTCATTAACGAATCCGCTGGAGTTGACCAGGTATGGCGAGTTGTACGAGTCTGGATCTTCAATTCGCAGGTCCCAGTTGCCAATTGCAGCCTTCATGTGCTGTAGATCCTTTTTGTAATCTTTGTCGTCTTGAATGGCCATATTAAGCTTGATAGAGTCATTCACTAATTTACAGCATTCTGCTCGGCTTTTGAAATCGAACACCTTCTGAGGAATATCCTTGGGAAACAGGGTAAGCACCGTTTTCGTTGAAAGGGTCGAAGTCGTCCTGCCGGAAGCAGTGCCACTTATCGTGTCAAAAAAGTACAATTCCCAGAACGTTCGTCTCGCGGTGTTTTCCATGACAGTGCGAGATATTTTTGATGTTCGAGGGGTCGAGAGCAATTTTTGAATGACATCCGGATGTCCATTCGTTCTCGGGTCTCTTTCGGTGACAAACCCATTTACGTCCATAAACACTTCGGGCACTGCATCGCGGTCAACCGTATTGAGTTCAAGCTCCAGGGCAAGAGAAACGACACATTGCAACAAACTATGACTAATATCATGCAAAGAAGATATATGCGATGCCATAGCGAGCAACAGCACAGACTGCAAGGTGACGAAGTCGCGTCCAACTTGCTTTGAATAGTCAAGTATGGTGGTCACTAGGTAGTTTACCGTCTCCACATCTTTTGCGTAGGTGGTCTGTGTTTGGCCATCTCCAATGAGCTTCATCGCCAGTAGAATGTCAAACTTATGTGGGATGCTGTCCAAATACTCTCTGATGTCATCTTTTTGCGGCATGAAGGGATGGCAGTAATGAAACCTTGTATAATAGTTGCTGATGATTGTCTCGACATTGAGATTTTTGGTCAACGTGGGGGTGATGTAATACTGGTCTGGTGTAGTCAAATACTTCTCATCGAACAGAATATTGAGTACAGATTTGTCTTTGGACGAGTTGAACTTGGGGTAAAAGTCAACGTCTTCATGACGAGCACATGGAAGTAGATCTTTTGCTTTTCCCGAACGACATCTTTGATCGCAATCCACCTGGTCTGCCATCTTTCCACAGGGCAGAACGATATCGATCTCGGGCTCTAGCTTTACCCTCTGCTTCTTAGTGCTTACTCCTTTCTTTCTCGAGCCACCACGGTTGCTCTTGACGAAGAAGCACTCTTTCCCTAATTTTTTGCATCGCGTGCACACTGGCTCTATTCCGTCACACTTGAGGTGTCGCTGTCGACATTCTAGACATGCCCTTGAAACTGGTTTGAGTGGTTTCTTGAGCATAATAAAGCGCAAAAAAAATAGTTTTTTTCTGTAGCCTTTCATGAATTTTATTATAGATAACGGGTCCTACGAAGTAAAGCTAGGACACACAGGCCAGGAAAAGCCCTATCACGTACCGAACTGCTTAGTGCGGACGAACGATAAAGAGGTGCATCTGGGAGATATCCTTAATTCCGTGGGTGCAATTGATCAGTCGGGTATACAATTCAAAAGACCAATTGAACATGGTCAGTTGTATCAATGGACCATTGAGAGACAGATATGGGACTCATCGTTTTTGAAACACTACAAAAATGAGGATGTATTGAATGGCGCCAATCTCGTTTACTGCGAGACGCCCGTCACGTACTCCAGGTTTCAGAATAATACGGACCAGGTGCTCTTTGAGGAATACGGAGTGGGATCTCTTTACCGTGGATCCGTGGCCTCTGTGATTCCCTGGATGACACACAACGATGGATACAACGACTTCCAGCTTGTGGTGGACTGTGGCTTCGACGCAACATATGTTGTCCCGATGATCAATGGCCTGCCGTACTGGAAAGCTGTGAAGAAGATGCCCATCGCTGGACGATTCATCAATGGATATTTGCGAGAGGTGATTTCCTTCAGGCACTACAACGTGACAGATGAGCCTGTGCTTGTTAACAACATCAAAAAAGCAGCTTGCTATGTGACGGATGACTACTATGCGGCGCTAGCAAGGATCGAAAAATTGAAGAAATTAAAGCCGAAGCAATTGATTGACGAGCCAAACAACATTTCTACAAATTACGTCTTGCCGGATTACAAGACGACAATGGCTGGATACGCAGTTTCAGATAAGGATATGTCGTCCGCTGTGCGCGAGAACCAGCAGATTCTCAAATTATACGACGAGCGTTTTGCTGTGCCGGAAGTGCTATTTCAGCCAGAAATCAGTGGTGTTCACAAGGCAGGACTAATTTTAACAATACAGGAGTCACTGAAGTCCGTTCCTGAGCTTCTGCGCCCATTACTATGTGCAAATGTGGCCATCACTGGCGGAACGTGTAACCTCGCAGGGTTCAAGGAAAGACTGATTAACGAGCTCAACAAGGAGATTCCCGTCGACGACGAGGTCAGAGTGTACAACTGGGAGGGCGACTATGCCGATTTTGGATGGCACGCTGCGCAGAGATTCTTTGAAAAAGGCGCTTTCGATAAAGTGGCCGTTACCAAGCAGGAGTACCACGAATTTGGTCCCGAATACACGCAGGAGAAGTTTGGACATAAGCTGATGAGGTGAATGCTGGATTCTAAAGACATGAAACTAAAGATATAATGAACAGTATTGTGACAATGATGAGGCTGGAGTAAACGGAGGCCTGATGCCACATTGGGGCATTGCTGTAACGAGTCATAAGGAGACACACAGAGACCCCGCTAAGGATAAGACTCAATACCAGACAACCCATGCCGAAACAAAGCAGCAGGATCATTCCACTTGTTTGTCCCAGATCATCCCTGGATTCCAGGGTCGAGAAAATGACTCCCAGTCCAACACCGGTCGTGAGGAAAGATACCAGCATCGCAGTGAGATAAAGGAACGACAAAATGCGATCATGATTTACCTGGGCCAGCAGGTCATTTGATCTAGCTTCACCGTAAACAAGAGATGGCTGGCGTCGACGGTACGAACGCTCGTTTTCAGCTTGTTTACTGTACCGGTGAATAAACAACTTGTGGTCACTGTTGTCTGTGTCGGATTCTGTGTCGTTCTCCAACGGAGACGTTCCGTTGATCACTGATTTATAAAAGTGCGGTCTATCCTGGTGTGCTGGGAGCAGAGGAGAAGACTCCTCATGCTTGAACGAGTTGATGATATGCATGAGTTTGCTCGAGATTCTATTTGACAAGTTCAAAATAGCTTCCACTCTCGAGGACGTCAAGAACCCGAGGCCGAGAAAATTGCCAAACGGTGTTCTTGAGTCCGAGTACTCATATTCGTCGTCGTCAACATAGTATCCCTGGTCATCGTCCGGGTCGCTGCCGTCATCAAACTCGTTCCAGTACCTTTTGCCTTCTAATAGTTGTTGTTGAAGTTCTTGCTGTTGCTGCAACTGTGCTTCATATTTGTTCAACAATATACCCTGGGGCGATGACTGTTTAGGGGGCTCCTCAGACACCTTCTTTGCGATTGATGGAAGTTTGCGGATATCCTTGTTTTGTAGGTCATCGAACCAAGGTGCGACATATTCCAACATGGCTTCGTCTGTGAGAGAGTCCTGGTAAAACTTAGATAGCAGGTAATTATTCAGTGAGAAATTAAGATTGTCCACTCTGTAAACAAGATGAGAGTTGATAAGAGACTGCACAGCGGATGGAAGGACTTTGAGAGGGGAATCGTATTTGATTTCAAGAATCGAGTGAGGGAAGGAGATACTTTCTTCTGGCATATGAAAATTGACGTCCTTCTGCGATGTAATTTTGGAAACCTGAATGTCGCTGTCTAAAGTGATGTAGCACTCTACTTTGGGAGATGTCTCGATTTCAGTCACGCTGATGAATCGAAGTCTGTTGACAGCAACTTTGGCCAAAGGAGCCATTTTCTTGTCGATGCACCAGTCAAGCGACAGCTGAGCCATCTTGGGGTTTCCGAAGAGCCCAGACTCACACCATTCTTTCAAGACCTTGTTTTTGAACACCTCCACAGGCAGCTTCGACGGACTAAATAAAGAATGGATAAGCGAGTCGCTCAGGCTGGTCATGGCAAACTGGTGAAGACCACCAATAGGTGAGATCAGAAGCGGCCTTTCGGCCCGCTTGGAGTTTGGATACTGCGTGTTGTGGATCTGTGCCACCACTCCCCCGGAAAGAAAGTTGTCTGACGTGGAAAGGAATCCAACACCGTTTTGAGACGTCACCAAAGGATCATCAAGATTGTTGAGCCAAATGGAAACGACTTTGGTATCTGGGTGGAATGTCGTCTCAGGATCTTCGGCATGCTCTGTGAGATCGAGTTCGGAGCGTGTGTGTTTGAGATGGACTGAAGAGTTCTGCTCCGACAATCGTTGATTTTCGTATTGCCGGACTAGACCCTCCTGTTCGTGTTCTTCGTCCATGATACCTGAATCGTCAGAAATCAGCTTGAAGCCACTCAGCAGCTTGAACTTCATCTCGTCTAGATTGTCCTTATGAACCCAAAATCTCTGACACACGGACCCTTTTTTGTGTGAGATGAGGTCAAAAGTGGTGGCTCTTGAATATATAAAGTCTTTTGACCGGCCATCAGTGAGCGAGGACAGACCGAAGGAATCCACAGTGGCGAATGACTGTTTGCGATCGTTCCTAACGCTAGAATCGACCTGTGTCTGATTGGCACGGTAATTGTTGATCACGTCAAACATCAATGTCAGCTCCAGAGCCGCATCGTTGAGATACAAATTGACAAACGAGTTTGGGTTCCCATTAAGGCATTCGGTGGTGATCTTGTCCACAAGCTCCTGTTTGTGAGGATAATCGCTGTGTTTGATGAATTTTTTGAAAAGCTTCTTCACTGCAATTTTCTGCAAGAGAATAAACCTGGAAAGATCTTGTAGCTCGCCCGAGACAATTTCCAGCTCTTTCTGAATGAGCATCAGACGTCTCCTTTGGAGACGCTGCTGTATCGCGCTAGGATTGCTGTCCGAGTCGAGCGTCGAATTGATGAAATTATTGAGTAGACTTTTAGTGGCGAGAATTCTTCTGGATATTTCGCCGTACTTAGAATTGACAAATAAAGAGGTGAACTCAATCTGTTCCTTGAACGCCTTGAACAATTGCTTCAGATGCTTCCTTGTCTTCTTGTCCTGTGCAGAAGTCGCCGAGAATCTAGAAAATGCGGTGTCTCCAGTGCCGTTGGTGTCATTTGACTTGTCCGAGAGGCTTGAGCTCGAGTCCTTGATTGCAGTTGTGGCTTCTTTGATTTTGCGCTTGATGTCGTTGTAGTCAATGTTGTAGTTCCTCCATTTGGAAACTGATCGGTCGTTGAATTCGTCGCCGAACTTCATCTACTTGCTGACCGTAACCAAAGGTGAAATTCTTATCAGAAATAAAATAGGATAATGAGATTTGCAGAAATGCGTTAGCGAGAGACTTTTATGCCAAGATTTAATTCAGAACACTTTGGGAGATGCAATTTTGTATCGCGCTTTTTTAAGGTAAGAACCAAAGACCGGTTATTTATATAGCTTCTTCTGTGGTACATGCGGGCAGACTCTTACGTCTGTGAGAGATCCCGTTCAGCGATTAATTACATTGGAGCTCCGAACAATACTGTTCCTGTAAGACACTGGGCCGCAACCTATTGTTCGCGCACCCCCTCTATTGTCTTAGCTATTTTTCACCTTGAGTTTTCAACCACGTGGGCAGCCGCACCGGGGTACAATATTCACAAGTGTTGAATGGTCGCCGCCAAGAGCGAGCTCATAGTAAGCGATTGTGCTTGTCAAAACGTCTTATCGCGCTGCAGTATCTTAGCGATTTGAACGTCACCAGTTCCGCCATATTTCTTAATTATGCTCGATAACTCAGCGGACTTTGCATAGCTTTTTGCTTTCCAGGTCACACGACCGTAAATCAATTTTGGCGTCCTTGCCTAATCCGATCTCCTGTCAGCTGTGATTAATTGTCTTGTGCGCCATAGTGAAAAAAAAGAAGCGGCTCGAAATCGGCCTGCCGAGCGTCTTTTTCAAATACGTTACTCGTCACATTGACAAGCTAAAATGTAAATCAGTCTCAACTATAAATGCTCGTAGCTCAATCGCCAGACTCGTATGGCTGACACCCCAAGGAAAAGGCCTACCAAACAGCTTTCCAGCGATAGCCTGAAGGAGGACTTCGAGGACTCACTTATAAATGAGTTCGACCTTCCAGCCATAGACGACGGCGAACCGGAGTTTGGTGGCAGTGTCGAGCTACTCTACAATCGCACATCGGAAGGCCTGCGTTTAGACGAAAATTGGGACAGCTTCCCAGACGTTAACACGGAGGCAGAGCAGGACTCGGTGTACCAAAAAATGGCCCAGGCTCTGGAATACAGAGACAAGCTGCTGGTGAAGGCAGTTATCCGGGAACTGGAGAAGGAAATGGCTCCCAAGATCAAAAAAATGCAGGAGCACAAGCAGAAATACGAGCTGCTGAAAAAAGTATACAAGCTACCAAGCGTCTCGAACTTGGCAGAATTTCGCACGGATAAGCCGAAACCAAAATCCAAACGCTCAAGACGCCACTCGATGGCGGTGGCTCGCACACCCCTGGATCCTATCAGTGAGGAAGCCGAAAAACGCGATGCCCCCGTGCTGGCAAGGACCAAGTCACATGACCCTGGTCACGAGAAGCAGCAGAAGCAAGGCACCCCCAGGTCCAACGCTATCCCCATTCCGATCCCTTCGCTGAGTCCCGCATACAGCCGCACTTCCGACCACAGAGACCTTCGCATTCTTTCGACTATCGAGCTAATTTCCATCAAAAGCCGCATTCTCAATCACACCTTCCCCGACGTTGGCCGGATCACCGGTCTGGTGCTCAAATTCGAGCAGAACGCAGACTACAAGCCGGGAACGCGTAAGTCGCTGGAGATTCGGAAGCTCAATAACAAACTCCTTCTCCAAGAGATCGATCACGAACTAGCTGCTCGAGGGGAGCTCGCCAAAAATGTGTTACAATGAGCTTGATAATTACAGATTAATTTATACTCTTAGTCGTTTTTTGGCTTTTTCTTCTTCGGTTCGTCGTCTTCTCCATCCTCGCTGACGCTTGCATCAGAATCAAACTCCTCTGCAACATCAGAGCCAGACATGTCCTCGTCCTTGAAGTCCTCGTCTGGGGACTCGTCGTCGTCGGCAGAACCCATGTCCATGTCGCTGTCACCATCGGATTCCGCCATAGCAGATGCCAACATTTCCTGTGCAACCTTCTCGTCGTTTCTAACCTTGAGGTTCTTGCTCTTGAAGAAGTTTTCAAGGAGCGTTTGTTCTCCTCGGTCCATGTTCCCAAAGCTGTGCGAGCGTGCTCCATTACGCAGGTTCACTTCCATATCAAAAGTTCTCGACGCACCCGTGCCGGAACCGATTCTCGAGAACACAATGTTGGTGATCTCCGAGTAGGGAATCAGAACTGTAGGCTTAGTGACAAATAGCAAGCATTTCTCCAGCGGATAGAGCTGTCCCTCGTTGGCCTTTAGCGAGCAAGAAATCGCAACCTGTGAATCTTTGGACATGAAGTTGCCAGGAACCACGACACGTCTTTCGGTAAATCCCTTCAGTATACTGGTCATCACCATGTAGGTGTTGTTATTGTAGGTTTTGTTGAGTCGCTCTTTGTACTTGCTTTCGTACTCCTCGTCGTCCAGGTTCAGCTCGACCTCGATTTCTTCTTCGGAAGACACTTGAATAGTCAAGAATGAGTATCTGGTTTGTCCTTGTCTCAATGGAGGATCAACTTGAAGCACAATCAAGTGGTTCAACTGATACAGTTTTGGTAACGAGAATATTCTCTGGATTTGCGAGTATTGTAGCTTGTAGTCGTACGTCTTACCTCTGAGACGCATGAACGTATCGTACATGTCCACGTCGTAACGGCCCCTTGGAGTGAGAAACAGGATTTCTTCGAAAGAGACAATTGCTTCGCCCGTGACTTGGCCAACGTCGGCCTTTTCTCTGAGCTGGTCGCTGAACACTTGAGCGAGCGATCTTGGCTCCGATGCCTCGTTTTTCTCGCCATCTTCGCCCTCCTCTTCATCTTCTGACAGAGTTCCTGGAATATACAGTTTCATCTCCACCAATTCGTCTCCGGTACGTTCTGGTTCGTGTTTTTCGCCCAGGTTCATTTCCACCGTAACTTCGTTCTTCCTGCTCAAATTACTGTTGGTGATGTCTGAGTACGGGATTTCAAAAGCGGGCCTGTTGTTGACGTTGAAAATTAGCTCGTTTCTCGTGAGCTGAGTCTTTCCCCAATTCCATCCACGCAATGAGTGTTCCCTGACTTCGAGCTGGACGCTGAAATTTCTCTGCAATTCGTTCTTCAGGCCGTTCAAGTCCTGCTGGTCAAACCCGTCGAGCATCACAACTCCCTTGTTCTTGGTGTCTATGCGCAATTCCCAGCCACGAGACCCCCTGGACCAGTGAGCACTGGAGATTTCGTCACTGGGCAAGAGAAACGGAGTGGACTTCACGGTGGATCCAGGGGCAGCCTGCGCCTTCCATCCCAGACCAGAATCGGCAATACGCATTCTGCCAGCCTGTTTCGACTGATTCAAGTATATCTTCTCGTACTCAGTGGACATGATGGCACAAATAATATTCAAATCAAAAATTCACCTAGTTTACGTGTCACGGTTACCCTGCCTAAAGTTTTTCCAATTTGGTCGACGAACACCAAATGGCAAAACCATTTCTTGAGAAAACCATTACAACATGTCTGCCGAGGGAGAAGAAGAATTATTGGACTACTCCGATTCCGAAGAAATCAACGTGCAGCCAGCTCAACAGGCTGCCGCTGGCGACGAGGGAAAGGAAGAAGCAGACAAAAAGGGTTCTTATGTCGGAATCCACACCACTGGTTTCAGAGACTTCTTGTTGAAGCCTGAGCTTCTGAGAGCCATTGCTGATTGTGGTTTTGAACACCCTTCCGAAGGTAAGTGCGAGACTTTAGGTTGCAACTAACAATCCCAGTTCAACAAGCTTGTATTCCTCAGTCCATTCTTGGTAATGACGTTCTTTGTCAGGCCAAGTCTGGTCTTGGTAAGACTGCTGTTTTCGTGTTGTCCACCTTACAGCAACTGGACCCTACACCTGGTGAGATCTCCACGGTTGTCATCTGTCACACCAGAGAACTGGCCTACCAAATCAAGAACGAGTACGCCAGATTCTCCAAGTATATGCCTGAGGTCAAGACTGAAGTGTTTTACGGAGGTGTTAACATCAAACAGGATGCTGAAAAACTGAAGAATAAAGACACGTGTCCACACATTGTTGTTGGTACGCCTGGTAGATTAAACGCCCTGGTCAGAGACAAGCTGATCAGACTGAACAACGTGAAGAATTTCGTTATCGACGAATGTGACCAGGTTCTCGAACAAGTTGACATGAGAAGAGATGTTCAGGAGGTCTTCAGAGCCACGCCTTTCCAGAAACAGGTGATGATGTTCTCGGCTACGCTGTCGCAGGAGATCAGACCAATCTGCAAAAAGTTCATGAAGAACCCATTAGAGATCTACGTTGATGACGAGAAGAAACTCACTCTGCACGGTTTGCAACAATACTACATCAACCTGCCGGAGGAGAAGAAGAATCTGAAACTGGCCGAGCTTCTAGACTCCTTGGAGTTCAACCAGGTCATCATCTTCGTCAAGTCGACAAAGAGAGCTACCGCATTGAACAAGCTACTGTGCGACTCTAATTTCCCATCCATTGTCGTCCACTCTGGTATTCCTCAGGAGGAGAGAATTGCGAGATACAAGCTGTTCAAAGAGTACAATAAGAGAATCTGTGTGTCGACCGATGTTTTCGGGAGAGGTATTGATATCGAGAGAATCAACTTGGCTATTAACTACGACTTGCCAAGTGAGGCTGATCAATACCTTCACAGAGTTGGCAGAGCTGGTAGATTTGGTACCAAGGGTTTGTCTGTGTCGTTCGTGTCGAACGAGCAGGACCAGGAGATCCTGAACAAGATTCAGGAGCGGTTTGACGTCAAGATTCAAGAGTTCCCTGCCGAGGGAGTCGATCCATCCACCTACATGAACACTTGAATCACCTGAATCACGTGACCATAAAAAAAAGTTGTACTAGTGTATTTTACGTATTGGAACTAGAAAGATATTATAGTATAACCTGTATGTTTGGTGTGTGGTGTTCGGTGCTCGGAGTAGCATGTGCATATTTCTCTCTTGCATACTATATCTGCATCCTTGGCATGATTGTCAAAAAGAATATTGTACGTGACTTTATTCACATCAAATAGTTACAAATTATGCCCATTTTCCGAGCAATGCCATCAGTCCTGCTCCCACGCACATGACCACGTAAGCGAGAACCATCTTCTTAATGTTCTTTTTGCCTCTGAACTCGTCGCTAAAGAGGAATTCGTGGGCCATCAGCTCTATAAGACCAGTATAGAGCAGGATTCCTGCCGAAATCGAGTCGAAGACACCATTGGTGATGAGAGCTCTACGAGAGTTTGGTGGGTAGCTCTTGCGCACTCCAAGACCAATAGCAATGGCAATTGGCGTACAAATACCATACGCACCAGCGAGCAGCCATGGAGTGAGGATTCTCTTCTTGTCCCAATTGACCATAGCAATTCTGCTTCCCAGACCCAGTCCCTCGAACAGCTGGTGGAAAACGACAACGATGTAAAGGTTCACAAATTCATCACCAGACACGGCCAAAGTCAAACCAACAAAGACAGAGTGGAAGACGACACCAAACTCCAGAACGAAAACGTTGAGTAGCTGTCCATAGTAGTATTCTTTAGTTTGGTCCTCGGCAAGGGTGCCAATAACCTCTGGGTCTTGGTGTTCCTTGGCATGCTGGTAGTGGCGAGGAGACATGTCCAAAATAGCGGTGTTGTTGCCATTCGGAGCACCACAAGACGGCACCTGGGTCTCTCTTTCGTACGCTGGCTCGAGCTCGCTCTTCACGTCCTCTTCGTTGGTCTTCTTGACAAACAGGTCGGTTTCACCGAAGTGAGAGTGGTTGTGCTCATGGCCAGCGTCCATGCCTGCGACGTTAGCCTCCATCCACTTGTAAGCCATAAGCTCTGCGAAAAACATCACCATCAAGGTAATCAAACAGATGCCAAAAGCCATCGGGTAGGCAGTGAACGGGTCTCCCAAACATTCGTTTCCCAAAGCGTCACTGGCCGGCTCCAGAAGATGTATGAGCGAGGTGGCCACAATCACTCCAGATCCAAAGTATTTTGCAATGAAAAAACACCATGAAGGAAGTCTAATAAAGGAATATCTAGAAGACAAAATTGGGAAGTATGCTCCAAAGGCAGAAGCCACCAGAACAACAAAGACAGCACTGATACGTGCTCCCCAGTGTTCGCCGTCATAGTCGTTGTCAGACACACAGCCGTCTTCGTCGCGTCTCCAGAGATCCATTGCTGCCAACAATCAGGCGAAAATCCCGGTTTTTAAAGGAAATTCGTCTTTACCATATTGGTTATGCACATGCAGAGTGTGGTCCGTATTCGACTAGAAAATTTTATACACCCTAGTGGTGCCTTACGTAAACATGTATGTATATTATGCGCTTTATAATTTGGTGGCAGGCTCGTCCTCCTCGTCGTCCGGGTCTCTGGAGGACGAGGCCAGCGCAGCCAGACGTCTCGCACGCTCCACCTCGGACTCCTCCTGGTTATAGCTGTCTGTGCCGTTGGACGAGTCGGAACCCGTTGATGAGTCTGTATTTTTCTGCGATGACGAAGGTGGAGAACTCACAGTGACTTTACGGGAGTCTGCAGTAAGGAATTTTTTCAGCTTGTTCTCTAGCTTTTTGTCCTGCGGCCCGGCATCCGTTGGAATCAAGTCGTCGTTCGAGACTTGACTTTGCTCAAGGTCTCCGGCTTTTTCCTTCAACAGTCCAACCATCTTCAATGCCTTGTCGAGGGTGTCTGCTTTTGCAGCTGCAGGTTTCTTCTTTTGGTTAATTTTGAATCTTCCCACAACCTCTCCGTCAGCGTTTTCGATCAGGATGTTATCGTCAATGCGGAAACCATGGTATCTTTGTGAAGCGTGAGGTTTATTGTTCTTGTCACGTTTGACCTTCTGGCCCAAAAGCATTTTGTGGTCTGCGTCGGTCTTGTTCACCAATTGATCTATTTTCTCTTCTGGGCGCGAAAAGTCCTCGATCTGGATTTCTTCTCCGTCATTCGTCCGACTGCGTTTTTTCCTTTGCAGGTCGGCGAGTCGGCTCTTCAACGTGCTTAAACTGTGCAGACTATGCAAGCTCTTCTGATCGTCTGATTCTGCGCGTGGTGCAGTAAACGTGTGCATTATTTCTCCGTGCTGGTCCTCAATAATGAGCTGTGTACCGTCTCTATAACCATAAGTTGGAATTTTTAGCTCTCCGTCTATCTCAACTGGTTGTATATCATCGTCGGTGAGTTCAAAGTCTCTTTGCAATTCCGCCATTCTTGGCGATGTGATCTTCATCAGAGGAGGACCCATAATTTGTTCGCCGTGTTCGCTGGACTGGTCAGACCGGTCAACCTCCTCTACCTCAAGACGGGTGGTCAGACTCTGGTCTGAACTCTCTTTAGTAGGCTGGGCCTGAGTGTTGTTTTTTCCAAGATCCAACGTCTCCACGGCAGGAGGGGCCCTTCGCTTTTCTCTGATTTTCCTATGCATTTTTTTCTTTTGCTTGCGTCTCTTTGCAACTCCTGCTGGTTTAGCAGAGGCCGTAGTGTCGCCGGCATCCACATTAGTCGAGTCACTGGTGTACGTCTTCTCCAATGGCCCGTTGTCGTGGCTTGCCTCGGAGGGAGCCATGGTATCAATTCTTTTGATTGAGAAGGAGGTGCCGCTTTTTTCCAGCTTTGGAAGTCTCGAGATCCATCCTCCGCCGTCGGTCTCCACCTTTGTCAGCGTCATGGTGAACGTCATTGTTTGCAGATGGCGGCCTAAGGTCATCACAGCAACAGAGGAACCGTGCACTATGATACTGCTGAGCACCAAAAAACAAACAGTCGGCCAAATGATTCTGATTAGCTGATGGTACTCTTCCACGTCTGGATATTGGGCGGTGGGGCCGTGTTCAAGGTGCAGGACATGGGCCTCCAAATCGCCAATGGCCAGGATAGATGCAAAAACAGCACCCACGCCAATTGGACCAAAATGGCCCACAAACAGGGCCTCTTTCCAGTTTTTGATATCGGGACTGAACGGCTTGATCGCCAGCACTGCCGGGATCCGTCTCAAAAATATCACCACGATCGCAATGCACACGAGTCTCCACCAGTCGAGGCCGAGCGATTTATTATTAAATTGCTCCCACGGGATAACGGTGCCGAAGTAGACGAAGTAGGCCAAGTTGAGCAATAAGTCAATGACCGAGGAGACGTGCGACTCTTCTGTACGCTCGGTGAAACGACCGTCCCAGGCAAAAGTAGCGCCGGCGGCAAAAGAAGCCAGTAGATCGTCGACACCAAGTATGGCTCCAAAACCTGCGCACAGGAGCGCAAGCATAACGTAGAACGCCAGGAACGACTCTCTATCAATAAGGTCTTTTTCTTCAGCATACTGGATAAGTTTGCGTCCAAGGAATCCAATGATCCCGCCTAGAATGCAGCCAAAAAGACACTCGTAAAGAACCGTGACTGTGATCCAATCACGCGCGATGGCCCCCGCGTTCGAGCCGTGGATAATGATGTTGACTGCAAGGTAGACAAACGGCACAGACACGCCGTCGTTGCATGCGGACTCGGCGGTGAGAAGATTCCGCAGATGGGCGGGCACTCTTCTTGCAAACTTACCCTTACCAACAACTGCCTGTGCAAGAACAGGATCTGTGGCAGTGATGCAGGCGGATATCAACAGACCGTATCCGTAGTGTAGCCCGGGGATGATGAGCCATATGAACAGTCCTATAACCAGCCATCCGATGGTCATCACAGGGATCAGAAGCAGGAACACCCCGAGCCAGTGCTTCAGGATGTATTTCTTTGGAAGCTCTACGGCGACAGCCACTATTTCGATGCACAAAATGACTCTGCTGATTTCCAGAGTTATGTAGTCCTCGTTACCCCACGAGGAAGGGTTGAACCAGTCCAAACAATGCGGACCAACTATGAGACCGTATATTGTGGCCACAGAGGCCTCACCAATATACAGTCTTTCCTTTATAAATAGCGAGCAAAGCGAGAAAAAGGACGAGAATACCGCTAAAACGGCATACGCCACATGCGCTTTGTCTGGATTTATATGTTCCCAAACCATTTCATGTCAAAATACTAAAACTTGCTTGAGTATTTTAGAGAAAAAAACATGCTTCTTATCTGCCAAGAGGGTTATGAGCGTATACTGCTCAAAGGGTCCGGATCTCCTGGCTGAAACGCACTGGGATGAGCCGTTCGCAAGACTTATAAGTGGATTTTTTGAGTTTCTCGACTGAGGCAAAATCCTGAACTTTCACCAAAATCGTTTCCTCCCCCTTGTGCCCTTCATCATCCTTGAACAGTAAGTCTCTTTTATGCGCTTCACGATTTTGAAAATAAATAAAAATTTGGACTCCTCACACCTTCGATTTTATGGCCAAAAAGAAGTCCAAGCAGACACAGACTCCCCCGCCGAAAGAGACGCCTTCCGGGGAGACGGGCAAGAAGGGCCCCATAGATGCTGCTACGCGCAAGGCCGGTCGGTCTGCCGTGGCGCAATCGTCGAGCTGGACAGGCAAGCTTCCGGGATCACTACTCCATGAGCATTGTCAGAAACAAAAGTGGCAGAAAGTCGAATATGACATGAAGAAGACCAAAGATGGATTTATTGGCATTGCCAAGCTTGCGTGGAAAAATCCAAAAACCCAGGAAACGATAGAAGTCCGAATGGTTCCAAGTCAAGTGATCAAACCCCAAGAGACTGCTCTGGAAGCTCGACATTACGCTGCCACCTATGCTTTGCATCGCATCGCGTCCGATAAAAATATCCACATGGTGTTACCGACTAATCACAAGCAGCTGTGGGCAGACTTGGAAGCCGAGAGGAAAAACCTCGTCAAGCAAGACCCAGAAAAAGCCAAACGCGAATACTGCTCAGACCCCTTCAGCATGATTCTTGAGCAGCGCAAAATGCAGGAGAAAAGACAAAAAGATCAGGAAGCACGAAGACAAGCAGATCTGAAAAATAAGAAGCCAGTAATCTCCATTGGCGTCAGTAAACCGCAGCCGCAGGTTTCCAGAACGGAGAAATATGTTTCTGATCAGATGCGGTTTCCTAGAAAAGTATGGGATAATACTGTTTTTATTGATCTAAGGCCAGAAATAAGGGCCTTGGTCGAGGACTGTATCCGGCACCACATTGGATGGTCGGAAGAGCAGATTGAGGGTGAAAACTCCAAAGTTGATGCCAAAGCGTTGGAAGCACTAGGGTTCAGGAAATTGCACGTTGCAGAGTCTCTGAAGTATACAAATACGTTTACCGACGCTTTAGAGTGGCTCATTTTCCATATTCCCGAAGACGATCTTCCGCCTCTTTTTGTGAAGGACAGCAAGGACTCGAACGTTGAGCTAACTATTAGCAAAGACTTTAAAAAGGAGAATATTGTCAAGAGACTCAGAGAGGGAGGGTTCAGTGTGAACCAAATAGAGACGGCCATTAGCGCCTGTGGATACGACGAAATCCTTTTAGGGGCATATCTGACGTCTACGCTTATTGACTTTGAGACCGACGCTCAAGAACCGGACTCGGCTGAAATCTGGCAGGAGGAACTCGACGGACTGGTAGCCATTTACGGAGACGAAAAAGTAAAGCGATTAAAGGAGAACATGGCTGAAGTCTCCCTGCATCCAGAGGGAATTGACGAAGGTCTTCTCGCGCTAAAGGTTTACAAAAGCCCCAACTATCCCCAATCTTTCCCGGGCCTGCATTTGGTGGTGAAAAACAGCTCCTACAAATTAGCCAACTACATCAAAATATCCATCATCACAAGACTCCTGTTTTACATTGTGGAGAACAACGTTCTTGGCATGCCGATGATCTTCAACTGCATTGAGTGGTTGGAGCAGAACATTCTTCAGATCGTTGAAAATCCGGGTCCCCTGGTGAAAGCTACCGTCAAAAGAGAACGCCGGCCGACCGAGAGCACTTCGTCGTTCAAGAACGTCAAGCGGCAGCGCCCAAAAATCTCCAGAGACCTGAATCGTCTCTCCAGCGACTACGCGGCCAGAATCCAACTATCCGAATATAAAGAGATGGTTGGAAAGCGTGCCAAGCTGCCTGCGTGGCAGAAAAAAGAGCAGCTTGTTTCTGTCATTAACAGCAACCGTATCTGTCTCATCACTGGAGAAACTGGTTCAGGAAAGTCCACACAGATTGTGCAATTTATCTTGGACCAGCTCAATAGCCAAAACGATTTCTCCACCAACATAATTTGCACTCAGCCAAGGAGAATTTCTACCATTGGGCTGGCGGACAGAATTTCGGACGAACGAGTCAGCACATGTGGCAGCGAGGTCGGATACATAATTAGGGGCGAAAACAAAACATCCAAAGACACTCGAATCACATTTGTCACAACAGGAGTTCTGCTGAGGATGATCCAAGGAATTGTCAGCAACAAAGACGCAAACAACACGCTTTTCGAGAACCTGGGCTACATCTTTGTTGACGAGGTGCACGAGCGATCTGTGGATGGAGACTTCTTGCTGATTATCCTGAAAAAAATCCTTAAAATGTACCCAAAGCTCAAGGTGGTGCTGATGTCTGCCACCATTGACATTTCCGTGTTTGACAAGTACTTTGAGTCCGGGGTTTCTCACGTCCACATAGAGGGCAGGACGTTCCCTATTCAGGATTACTATCTGAATGATATTCTAGAAGATTTGCAATTTACAGTGACAATGAGAAACGGAGACGAAATCCAGCCAAAGGCCGACTCAAAATATTTCGAGCTGGGAAATATCAATTACGACCTGATTGCCGCGTTGGTGGAGAAAATTGACGCCGACCTGCGCGCACAGTCAAACAACGGATCCATACTGATCTTCTTGCCTGGAGTGATGGAAATCAGCAAGTGTCTGGCGAAAATAAATGGTCCTTTCTGGACACTGCCTCTGCACTCTGCGCTCAGCTCCAAGGACCAGAAACGGATTTTCAGACCTCCTCCTCAAGGGAAGAGAAAGGTTGTTGCTTCCACAAATGTTGCGGAGACGTCTATCACGATTCCTGACGCTGTGGTGGTGATTGACACTGGAAGGGTGAAAAGCGTCCATTTTGACTCGGCTTCTAACTCGACAAAACTGGTGGAGTCCTGGGCCTCGCAAGCAGAATGTGGACAGAGACGAGGAAGGGCAGGACGTATCCAAAACGGGTTCTGCTACAAGCTCTTCACCAAGGAAACAGAGACCAAGACAATGCGCAAACACCCTATTCCTGAGATCAAGCGCACAAGACTGGAGAATTTGTACCTGGTGGTCAAGTCCATGGGCATCAAAAACGTCCACGATTTCCTGAAGTTGGGTCTGGACCCGCCAGACGTGGAAAATGTCGAAAGCTCCAAACAGCTGCTGACAGAAATGGGCGCGTTGCACAACGATAACTTGACAAAACTGGGATCGTATTTGTCAACGCTGCCAACAGACCTAAAGTCTGGCAAGCTGCTTCTTTTTGGCGTTCTTTTCAAATGTCTGGATAGCTGTCTCACTCTAGCAGCCATCGGAGTGACAGGAAACCCATTCATGGTGAGAATGGAGAACCGCGATGAGGTGAAAAGAGTCCAGAACAAATTCGCCAAAGGCTACGGAGACTTCATTGCTATTCTGAACGCTTTCAATGAGTACCAGAACTTGGATCCCAGAAATCAACGCCGCTGGCTGGAGGAGAATTATCTGTCCTATTTGACCATGAACGAAATCCAGTCGACAAGAACGCAGTACATTTCTGCCTTGCAAGATCTTGGCTTCATCCCCATGGACTATCTGAGATCCAAATCCTCGATTATTCTCAACAAAAACTCGGCTAATTACCAGATACTCAGCTCATTGATATGCTCTTCGGCGTACCCCCAAATCGCAAGAGTACAATATCCAGATCCCAAATACATGGCAAGCGTTGCTGGATCGATTTCCCTAGACCCCGACGCAAAGAGTATTAAGTTCTGGATCAGGAACGAAAAATACATCAAAAATCATGACGACCAGCTTCCTGCTACCCGAGCTTTTCTCCACCCCTCATCAACGCTGTTTAGCGTTAAAAACTCAGCTGGGTCAGGTGGAGAGCCGCTTGTGGAGGACGAGAACGGCAACGTCGTTTTCACACCTACAGAGTCCAATAATTTGACCTCTCATTTCGTCACTTACGGAGCGTCGCACACCACAACCAAGCTTTACATCAAAGACGTGACGCCCGTTTCTATTCTAGCGGTCCTGCTATTTGGTGGTTCGATATCGTACGATCTTAGTACCGTCTCGTCCGGCAAACCATCTCCAGGTGTTGTCATGGGACAGTGGCTACCTATAAGAACATGGTGCAAAAACGCAGTCCTGATCACGAAAATGAGACATCTGCTTGACGAGGCCCTCAATGAGCGGTTCTCGCAACCACATTATGACCAGATGAACGAGTTCAGCGACGAGGTGTTGAAAACAGTGGAAAAAATCATAGCAATGGAACTGAAATGATCACTCGTTAATTTTGTAGGTGTTTATCCCGCAGTCTTTCAAAACTCCTTGTTTAACCCAAAAGGTCAGTCCCTCACTGACCAGCTTCAGTGACATTTGGAGCTTCATGCAAATTATAGCGAGTTTCACCTCGCTGCCTTTGGGCATATCTAGAAAGGAATATAGAATAGAAGCCTTATCGGCAGAAACTTTGAAATTTCTCATTTGATTGCCAATCTCAACATCAATGTCCACATAGGTAAGAGACGGGAAGATGGTGAGTTTGCGTCCTTTTTTCTTATTCTTGAATTCCTCTTCGTAGTCTTGCAAATAGCTCTGGATCTCTTCAGGTAATTTGAATTTCTCTTCTGGCAATTCCGGCCAATACATATGTGAAATGATGGATGCGTGCACTTTATCTGAACTGATGAGCTTGTCCAGCTTGCGACTTTGAATGACGTCTTTCATCATAACGTCCAAAGACCCAAACTCTGAGTTGCCGAATCTCGATTTCAGCAGCTGGAGCTTGCCATAGACTTCCCGAACATCGTAGTTTGTGATACGAAGCAGCTGTTCGGAGAAAACCTTGGTTAGTTCACTCATGAACACGTCTTTTGAGTCGAAAATTGATATCAGTGATTCCACCACATCTTCCACCACTCCCTTACGGAAATCAGGTAAAGCATCGACCGGATCAGGAGTCCAATCCAGATCCCGCTCCATCTCGTGAGTGAGATGTTTCTTCTTGTCTGACTGACGCAGTTCAATGGCAAGCTCAATCAGTTTATTGTCGGTTGACGTATCGAGCAGCGCAAACACGATACGCTCAATCGTGTCTTCTCTATCCCTGAGATACGCCCTGATGGGTCTGCACACTTTATCCAGCAAGACGCCACGATGATCGATGATCAAAAATGACCGAATGGTTGAAATGTAGCATTTGATAATGTCGATGGTGTTCACGCCAGCATGAAGTAACCTCTTCCTTGACAAATGGATGAATGAGTTCACTAGTTGGGCATTCTGCTCTGCGGTTGACATGCAAGCACGAAGTTCCTGAAGAGCAAAGGTGGAATCCGGATAGTCGACCACTATGTCAAAGCTCTCGCCGACCCTTAGCTTTACCAGCTCATTCTTGACTAACGCGTCCAAAGACGAAAGATTGCAACACGGCAGAATATCGCCGAGCTTTGGAACAAGAATCTGGTGGGTCCAGTTCGAGAGATCTTGGAGCACAGGTCTATTCCAGACTCCTGAGCATTTGGTCTGTACGTGTAGCTTGATCCGGTTTTTAAATAACTCGATAACCATCTGAGTCAATTCATCGCCGAGTTCTATTTGAGTGAGTATCTTCGCGGTTTCTACCAGCTGTTCATGGGACATCAAGCTCTGGTCTGAAAAGAGTCCGTTGTCGTACCATTCACGAAGACTGGCAAAAACAACGGGATCCAATGCCGTTGTCTGGAAAATAGCGTTGATACAGCGTGTCACAAGTCTGGTTTGATCGGCAACCAAGGCAGTAAGCGACGCAAAGTACATTGTTTTTTGTCTTACATTGACAATCCACTCGAATAAACTGGGGACGTTGGATGTCGTCGGGGACTTGGCCATTGATCGCGCAAGCTGTCTCCCCTGGTTGTTCAAGTGGAATCTCAGTAGTCTCATAAGCCCGTCAAATAAGATTTCGTTGCCAGTCCCGATGTTACGGAGCGAGTTGCGTACCCTCAGCGGTGGCTCCTCCAGATCAGCATTTTGGACGTCCAGGACTTCCGCAATCCAGTCCAAAACTTGCGAGCTATTTGATGAAGGATCCTCTTGTTCTAGAGACAGCACATTTGCTGACGAAGGAGTGAAAACCTCCAAAAAGTTCTGCGCGTTCAAGGACAAAGGCATCAAAAAGACATCAAATAAACAAAAAAAAAAATATATATAAAGCTGGATCAACATGTCTGTCAGACCCGCTACAGTCAAGAAGTTTTTGGAGGTTACAGGAACTGACTCAGAGGAGGTCGCTGCCTTTTTCCTTCAGAGAAACCAACAGAAGCTTACACACGCCATCAACGACTTCTTCGTGAACCCGCAGCTGGCAAAAAATGTTAAGAAGGAAAAGGTGACAGTCAAGATTGACCCCAAGGTCAAGGAGATCTTTGATCAATATAAGGAGCCATTGCCAGACGCTCTGGGAAAAGCCTATATTGGCATCGATGGCACGGTGCGGTACATCTCCGATTTGGGATACGAGCCTGAAGACATAGCCATGCTAGCGTTGGCAGAGTTCTTGGAGTGTCCGTCCGTTGGAGTGTTCAAAGAAGAACCGTTTGTGACCAACTGGTCGAAAGTCAAGTGTAACACCATCGAGAAAATGAGCGACTATGTGAGAAATGAACTGGCAGTCAAGCTGGCAGAGGATGAAGAGTATTTCAAAAAGGTCTACCAATTCACCTACAAATTCATTCTCGAAAAAAACGAGCGCAACGTCCCAACAGAGACTGCTGTAGAGTACTGGAATCTAATGTTGCCAGAAACCTATAAACCAGAATTGGAGACGTTCGTCAGGTTTCTTCGAGAAACAGATCACAAGGGCATCACCAAAGATCAGTGGAACATGCTGTATCCGTTTCTCAAAACATACTATGAGGACAACAAGCTTTCGAACTATGACGAGTCGCAATCGTGGCCCGTGCTCATGGACTCGTTCCACGACTGGCTCCTGGACTCGTGATCTACTTTTCTGGTGCACGGGTGTTTGTTAGAAGAGGAAAAATTTGAAAAAAATATTGATCAGATTCAAGTATGGTGAAGTCGTATCAGCGTTACGAGCAGGCCGGCTGGATGGGTGTCATTGCCTCCCAGTCCAACACTGTGTTTATTGGTAACGACATTGCACGGAAATCTGTGGGACAGGTCATCACGGGGGGGTTGGAGGACATTTTGGTCTGGGATATCAAAACCGGAGAGCTCATCAAAAGACTGCGAGATGGTGCCAATCCAGGAGCGCTAGACTCGTCAACACAATCGGCACCAGCACATGTGGTGAGGCTTGAGCACGAGCCGCGCTCGAACATCCTGGCTGTGGGATATAGCGACGGCACCATCAAAGTTTGGGATCTGACCTCGAGCTCTGTGATAATCAATTTTTCGGGCCACAAGTCTGCCATTTCGATGCTCCGATTCGACCGTTCGGGAACACGCCTTATTTCGGGATCCAAAGACACCACGATAATCGTGTGGGACCTGGTTGGAGAAACGGGTCTTTTCAAGCTGAAAGGACATAAAGATCAAATCACCGGGTTCAGTCTTCTGTATGAGCCAGAGAACACCAACATCGACGAAATGGAAGACTGGCTAATCAGCACCTCCAAGGATGGTCTAATAAAGCTTTGGGATCTGAAGTCACAGCAATGTATAGAGACCCATGTGGCGCACACGGGTGAATGCTGGGCTTTGGGACTCAGTACCACCAAAGAACTTTGCATTACAGCAGGCATGGACACTCAACTAAAATTCTGGAAGATCGATTTATCTCAAGAGGACAAAAAACTCATTGAACAGGGAATTTACGACAAGCAAAGCAAGAGCAGATGCACAGAAATAGGGTTCACAATCACGAACCAAGGAGAATTTTTCTTTGCCTCCAACACAGACAGGACGGTTGAGTTTTTCCGTCTCAGAGCGGAGAAGGAGATCAGCAAAGCCTCGGCCAAGAGACAGGCTAGATTGAAGGAGAAAGGCATGAGTTCGGAGGAGATCCAGCGCGCATTGGATGATGCCAAGGTCAATATGTTGATTGCTCCTTTCACGACGATTCACACAGAAAAATCTAAAGTTCGCTCCACCACATGGGCCCTCACAAGCAGCCGAAAGCTCGATGTGGTGGTCACGCTGACGAACAATGCTGTTGTCTACTACCATATTCCTGTTCCGGAAGCAGTGCGCAAACACAACCCAGTGGACAAAATAAGTGAGGCGAAATACTCTCTATACAACTTGGGACATAGACAAGATATCAGGGCTGTTGACATTTCTGACGACGACAAGTTGCTTGTCACTGGTTCTAACAACGAGCTCAAAGTGTGGAATATAAAAACCAAGTCTTGTATCAGAACAATTGAGAAAATTGGCTATGTTTTGTCGGCTTGCTTTCTTCCCGGAGGAGCTTTGGTGGTGATAGGAACCAAGGAGGGTGCCTTGAGACTTTTAGACCTTGCCACGTCCACGGTTCTCCACTCGCTGGAAGACGTGCACAACAGCAAGGCAGTGTGGTCGATCGACCTCACTCCGGACGGAAAGACGATCATCACCGGTTCTGCTGATAAAACGGTCAAATTCTGGGAAATCCAGGTGGAGAAAGAGCTTGTTCCGGGAACTGTCAGCAAGTACGTCAACCGTTTACAATTAAACCACACCAGAACATTGGAGGTGAGCGACGACGTGCTCAGTGTGAAGGTTTCTCCGGACTCCAAGTACCTGGCTGTTGCCCTTTTGGATAACACCGTCAAAATCTTCTTTTTCGACACGCTGAAGTTCTTCCTCAGTTTGTACGGACACAAGCTTCCTGTGCTTTCAATTGATATCTCGTTTGACTCGAAACTGATTATCACGTCTTCCGCAGATAAGAATATTAGGATCTGGGGACTGGACTTTGGAGATTGTCACAAGTCGATTTTCGGGCACCAAGATGCAATAATGAAAGTCAAATTCATTCCAGAATCCAAGAATTTCTTCAGTTGTTCCAAGGATGGGATGGTGAAGTACTGGGATGGCATAAAATTCGAAAACATCCAGAAGCTGGCTGCGCACCACTCTGAGGTCTGGAATCTTGCCGTCAGTAACTCTGGCGAGTTCATGGTGTCTGTCTCGCACGATCACAGTATTAGAATATGGGAAGAAACAGACGACCAGGTTTTCATTGAGGAAGAGCGTGAAAAGGAGATGGACGAGCAGTACGAGGAAGAATTGCTTGACTCGTTAAAAGGCGACAGGGCAGTGAACGAAGACGAAGACGAAGACGAGGTGGCCAAGGTGTCGAAACAGACGATGGAGACGCTCAAGGCTGGTGAGAAACTGATGGAGGCTCTAGATCTTGCTACCAAGGAGCTGGAAGAGACCCAGCAGTACGAGCGGGACCTACAGGCTTTCAAGCTCAAAAGGTCGGCCAAACAGCCTGTTCAGCCGACCCGAAACCCCATTTTGCAGGCATTGAACGTGTTGCCAGAGCAGTACGTGTTGGACGTTCTCACCAAGATCAAGCCGTCGCAACTTGACGACGCGCTGATTGTGCTACCATTTTCGTACACGGTGAAGCTGCTACGTTTCATTCGTGTTTGGACGGCTGGCGCAAACTTCAACAAGAACCTGACCTCGATCTCGGTCATCTGCCGCACGCTGTTCTTTGTGATCCGGTCCAACTCGATGGAGCTTGTGAGCCAGAAGGACGAAGAGTTGCGCAAGGAGTTGGACGACTTACGTAATCAGCTCAGGACCATGCTCAGGCAGACCAACACAGAGGTCGGCTACAACATCGGCGGTCTGAATTTCCTGAAAACCCAGTGGAGCAATCACCACAGTTACAATTTTGCTGACGACAAAACATGGGATGACCAGGATAAATCGAGAAAAAGAGTTTACACTACCTTGGCCTAAAAAGAAAAAACACACCACCAAAGAATTCGAAAGATCTCCTGACCGGTACTAAATATGGCAAGAGATAAGAAGTGGGGCCACGCCTCAGCAAAGCGATGACTGCCACCTTTCTTATACCACACGGTATAAATAGCATGTAACGAGAAGCTTGTAGTTGTACAATTTTATTAACTCTAGCAATTCATCATGGCAGTGACTCCAATGAAGTTCTTAGGCGGTGTGTCTGTGGCGGCACTTCCCGTCATAGCAATAGCGTACTCCGCAAGACCAACCTTCTCCAACGCCATCAAGTCGAAGCTCGACCAGGAAAGAGAGGAGCTCAAGAAGCAGCACGAGTACAAGACTGACTTCTACCAACCAAACGAAAAGCAGGACAGGCTTCTGGTGAACTATCTGAAACGCACAGATAAGAAATCTAGTGGGTACACGCCTGACCTTCCACACGTCTGATGCAAACAATATATTCAATAGTAATGAATCATGACTATTATATTAAATTCGGACCGTTGTAGACTCCGCTGCCAAAAGGATTGTAGCCCGTCTGGTTCTGTGCGAAAGGGTTGTATCCCGTTTGCTGCTGGTTCAGTCCTGTCATCTGGGCTTTATGCTGTGCAGCGGCCTGCTGTAGCTGGAACACTGCCTGTTGATGTGCCTGCTGCTGGCTAAACTCCTGCTTGGTTTCTGGAAACACAGGCACGGTTGGCAAATTCTCCAGTCCGCCTGCCGTTGGTTGGCTACGCAGCGGCTGAGCACTCACAGACGCCGATCTGAATGGATTCGTGCCGGTGTCGGTGGCTTCTAGCTTGGCGAACGGATTGTTGCTGGAACTGGACCGCTCGAGTGCAAACGGATTGGTCGACTGTCTTTTGAGGTTTCCTTTGAGCGACGAGGTTGTCTGCCTCTGGATCGGCGGCTGCGGACTGTAGCCACCAAAACCTGCTCCGGTGAACGACGATGTCAGCTGTGGATAGACATTTTGCTCTGCAGGAGGCGGGACCGCGTCGAAACTCGAGCTCCGTTGCAAATTGGCCGTCTGCTGCGGCTGGAAAGGCTGAAATGTTGACGTTTGCTGGATCGGCTGTGTTTGCGACATGTGTATCTGTTGTACAGGCTGAGACTCTGGGATTTGTTGCAATGGCAGTGCAGTGTGGAAACTCTGCTGCGCAACAAATTGAGGCTGTCCAGTGAAATTGCCATTGACAGGCTGGTTGCTAAATCCCGTGGCCACTTGAGAGAATCCGGCGAACGGATTGTATCCTGTCTGCTGGAACACCAGGCCATCGTTAGGCAGCGACTGCGTTGCAGCCTGGGGAGGCGGCACAGTTTGCTGCTGCTGCTGCTGCTGCTCCTTGGTTTCCTGGGGTTTTCCGTTTTTCTTGCTCTCCTTTTCCGCCAAGTACTGTCTTCTGTTGATGTCGAAGTTCGCGTCGTGCAGATACTCGTCCAACGAGTCGGTGAGCCCCGTCTGTGCGTGTCTGATCACCGGCACGTGCAGCTTCGTCACGTGCTCCAGGTGTTTGGCGACGCGCAGAAAGGCCACCACCTGGTCGGTTTCCTTGGTGAAGTGTTTGTAGATCTCGAAGGCCCGCTCGGCGTCGTACTTGCTCAACTCGAAAAAGTGTTCTAAAATGTTCACCACACCCTCGTTCAAGGCCTGGTACAACGACAGCAGGTCGTTGACGAGCATTCTGAAACTGAGAATGATGACGTCGTTGTTGACCTCGGCCTCCTCGAAGCGACACCGCACAAGTGCGTCCACCTGTTTCTGGACGCTCTCGACCTCCCGGAGAAGTCCCTTTTCGACGCTCAGCGACCGCAGACGGGAGCCGGTGTCCTTTGTCGACCACGAGCTCACAGGCTTCTTCATTTCCCGGATGTAGTCGTGTTTCACGTTCGCGTACTCCTTTGCGCGCGTGGTGAGGTACTTTGAGTAGTTCTTGAGTGTTTTCAGGTCGCCTCCGTTGGAGATGAAAGTGCCGGACTTAGCGATGTTGCGACACTCGAGCATGTGCGGGTTTCGGGCCAGATAAGAGATCGTCACGTCCTCCTCGCCCTCGCGTATCATGATGTGGGCCACGATGAGCGCCTTGTACACAATGGACCAGGCAGTGTCGTCTAAACGAACGGCTAGAGACCGCATGATGACCCGGAACTTCTCCGACTTCTCGCCGCCTGCCGTGGCCATCAGGATGGGCTCGATGTACTTTGGCTTTGGGGGCGCCAGCTTGATCTTCGTGGCCCCCTTGACTATCTTTTCGTACGTGGTCATGCGACGGGATAAGCTTCCGGCTGGTGAATAGAAAACAATATTTTCTGGTTATGTGCCCCAGATAGGCAGGTGAAATATTATGAGCCCTAGGAGCCGGTGGGGAGGAAGGGGGGAAGCGGCTGGAGAGCCGTGAACGCCGTGAAGCTCAGGTGTGTGCGAGTCGCGGCGCGCTGGGCCAGTACGGCCGCTGGTGGAAGGAACTCTGGCTGGCGGTTGCAGGGCCGTGTTCCTGCCCCTGTGTCTGCTCTTCCCAGCCTGACTGGGCGTCCATGTGCTCCCCCGCGCGCTCGCGCCGCGACAGTTCGCGACTCGCGTTCATCATGAGACTCACCGTCCGCTCTGGTTGTTAGTTTGCTGGCTCCCGGATCCACTTACCATGCAGTTCAGACGTGATTCTGCGCCGCTGGAGCTTCTTGGAGCACGCCGTCGGCGTCCTGTCCGGCGTCAGCAACCCCCCGCACACGCTCCAGCCGCTGCCTGCCGCGTCCAGCTCGTCTCTGCCTCTTTTCCTATCAGCCATACGCGTAAATAAAATAATAATTATTCTGGTGCAAAGTGTACCTATCTATGCTTTTTTGCTAATGACCAGACCAAGCACACAAGCACTTCTCGGCGACGATATTTCTCTGGAGCAGACGCTGACCACTGAGCTGAGAGCCGATCCCGACCAAGACATGAGCGACCTGTACAATCCCATCAGGTCGACCGGCTACATCGTGGTGCTCACGCTGATTGTGGGGGCCCTGCAGCTCGCATGGTCCACAGAGTTCAGCGAGGCCACGCCGTTTCTGCTGTCGCTCGGCGTCTCCAAGCACGCCCTCGCCCTCATATGGCTTGCCGGCCCGCTCTCGGGCACTTTTGGCCAGCCGATCGTCGGATTGCTGAGCGACAAGTGCAACCTCGACTGGGGCAGAAGGAGACCGTTTATCATTGGGGGCTGTCTTGCCACGGTGCTGTCGCTGTTGTATCTGTCGCACTCCGCCAACATCGTGGGCTGGTTCCTGCCGAACCGCGACCAAGACACTGTCAATCGGTACACGGTGCCGTTTGCTGCGGCCGGCATCTACATTCTGGACTTCTCGATTGCCGTCATCCAGGCCTCGTGCCGCGCGCTGATCGTCGACGTGGTGCCGAGCGCCCAGCAGCAGATCGCCAACGCGTGGGCTGCGCGCATGATTGGCGCCTTCAACATCGTCGGGTTCTGGATCGGCACCTGGGACCTGGCCGCGCTGTTTCCCTGGCTCGGGAGCTCACAGTTCAAAGTTTTGAGCTGGCTCGTGGCCACCATCATGCTCGTGCTGACGGCGTTCTCGTGCTGGGCCATCAAGGAGCGCAGCCCGCGCTACGACCTCGCTATCCGCATGGAGCGCAAAAAACAGGAGAAACGACTCAAGGACATGGGCATCGACGAGGAAAACGCCACGGTGCTCACGGTGGTGAAATCGTTCTTCTGGCAGGTGCTGCGATCGATCGCACGGCTGCCGCGCCAGGTCAAGATCGTGTGCTACGCAGAGTTCTTTGCCTGGATCGGCTACTTCCCGATGCTCTTCTACACGTCAACCTACGTGGGGGAACTGTATCTGTACGAGAACGGCTACAATAACCCGCTCAGTCTGCCTGCCGACGAGCGCCAGCGGCTGCTGGACGAAGGCGTGCGACGCGGAACCACAGCGCTGCTCGCCCACGCCGTCGTCACGCTCGCCGTCGACCTGCTGTTGCCCTACCTCGTCGACAGGCTTAGGGACAACGAGTGGATCAACATGCGCCGGCTATGGATCTACTCGCACGTGATTTTTATCGTGGCCACGCTATCGACGTTCTTCATCACCACCTCCGTCCAGGCCATCGTGCTCTTTGCGTTTCTGGGAATCCCCTGGGGCTGTGCCGTGTGGATCCCATTTGCCCTGATCAGCGAGGAGATTTCGCGCATCAAGGACATCAAGGCCGTCCAGATCTATGACCAGTACAGAAAACAGAGCGTGCCGTCGTCTGCCGAGTCCGAAAACACGCTAGTCACGCCGGAAACAAGCTTCTATCTGTCGAAAGTCATGGTTGCAAAATACGACCACGTCGTCTACGACTCGGGCATTCTGCTGGCAATCCACAACGTCTTCGTCTCTGCGCCCCAGATGCTCTCGTCGCTAGGCTCCTCGTTTCTGTTTAAGTTGCTTCAAAACAGCGACAAGAACTCGTTCGACGACTCCCTGGGCTGGATCTTCCGCGTTGGCGGCATCATCGGGATCGGCGCGCTGGTTCTTAGTATCCAGGTGAAAACAAACGCCCAGCTTTACAAGGAAGACAAGGCCGAGGCGCTCACGATGCCCGAGTGAAAAAAATAAACTAAGGAAAAAAATGCACTTATTTTCATTTTTAGCTCACTCAAATAAATACCCTCCCAGTTCGTAGACGTAGCCCAGACAAAGCTTAACGTGCTCCGCTATGTGTAGCATGCTCAACTTGTCGATCGTGTCGCCCGTCGTGTGCACGTACGGGTTCCAATACTCACGCTGGGCTTCTGCTACCATTCCGGCTGGGAACCCGTTCATGTATGCGCTGTAGTGGTCGGAACAAGGGTAACCGCACGTGGTCTCAAAAACAGGGATTTGGCAGTACGTCTCAATCACCTGTCGTAGAAACTCGTTCAGATACGGCGAGGTGTAGTCGGTGATGAGTCCGAAGTGCTCCGGGTGTCCTTTTCGGAGCGACTTTGCAGCGTAGCCCGTCATGTCCTGCTGGAGCATGGCAGCCACTTTTTTCTGCAGAAAATACGCGTTGAAAATATCCAGCGAACCAAGCATGCCGCCCTCTTCCGCCGCGTAAAAATGGAACTCGATGTTATTAGGAAAAGCGAGCCCGTGCTCCGTCACGATCCGCAGCGTCTCCAGCAGTGTCACCACGCCAGAACCGTCGTCGTCTGCGCCCGGAGCGGGCAGGAAAGAGGGCAGCACCAAGTTCATTGAGTCGATGTGTGCTCCAAGGACGATTGTCGGCCTTTCGTCAGAACCGTTGGTGCCCTTTATCTGCAAAATGTACGACGATTGCGGGAACTTCTCGTGATTGACCACGGTCAAGTTGTAGTTCTCTCTGCCACTCGCATAGCCCACAAGCTTGCCATAAACCCAGACGGAAGAGTCCAGGTATTTTTCTGACTGGTAATACCGTGACTTGAACGAGCTGAGCTCCTTCAATGTTCCGTGGATATTGGAAGGATCGATATCCGCGAGCAGCGCGTTGACCTCTTTCGGGTGGAACTCGGACCCATTGGGATAATTGTACACTACCACGGGTTTTTCCAGAGCAATGCTGACCGATTGACCTTCTCTCATGGGTTCCAGCAATGTGGGATACCGGGCGGTGAGGTCCAGAAACTGCGTGTTCTGCTGCTTCAGCCGCCACCACTCGGTCTCCGTCACCTTTGTAAGCTCATTGGGCTGCAGAGAAATTAGACGGTACTGGTGGCCAAACAGTGGCAGCGCTGCTGCCAGTCCAATAAAAAAAAGCACAAAAATCATATAGCAATTTTAGGAAAAGTATGGGGTATTTTATTTTATTTTATTTATTTTATTGTATTACTATATTATTTTCTATGTACATTGAAATACTTACACAGCGTGGCATGGCGGTTTTTAATTTGTTCGGTGGCTTCGAACCGCGTCCCGCGCTGGTTGATCTCGGATTTCGGTAGGAGAATCGTCGTCGCGTCCACGTCGTCCGCCAGTCTGCGCGGAGTGGTGCTGCCGCTACCAATGGTGATGTTTTTGTCGATGTTGTCGAAATCAACACTTGTGTCAATCTCTGACTCAGAACAAACATTGAACCAGCGCTGCAGAATCAGGAGACCGCGCTCGAGCAAACGAGGATCGTCTGAAAACACGAAAATTGACGAGTACGCCTGCACAAGCTGCACGTCCAGCTTCACCTTCTGCCTCTGAGCGGCCCGAAACTGTTTTTCTGCCTCGCCCACCGCTTCCGTGTAGTTGTCGCTGTGACGCAGACTCAAAAAGTACTCCGTGTACGTGAAGGTGTCCGGCCGCATGTTGTAGTCCTTGAGCCTGTTGAATACTCTGATTGCAAGCTTGTGTTTTCCAGCGAGTCGGAGTGCTTTCATGGCTGTGTTAACGTGAAAAATATTAGCTACAGGCTCCTTTTTGCAAAGCTCGAGCAGCAGGAATTCGTACACCAGAACGGCCTGGTTCTCGGTTATCTTGGGCGTGTTCGAGTTGGGGTGTTTGGCAGTGGCAAAAGCGTCAAAGAAAATCGTCAGCATACGTCCATCTGGACGCAGGCCTCTTTTTTTAACATGCTGGTTCAATAGCTCCCAGATCATGTTCAGACGGCCCTCTTTGGCCAGGAACTTCATGATCGTGCCGTATGCGAAAACGCCATTTGTGCCAGCCAGACGCGCTATCTCCACCGCGCGCGGCAAGTCTTCTCGCTGAAGAAACTTTTCGGTTTTCTGGTTTATCACCATTGAGTCTCCGAGCTGAACAGCATTTGTGCCCAATATATTGTATTTGAGTCTTTGAACTTTGGTCTTGAATAGCCTTTTCAGCTCTTCTGGACTGAATGCGGTCATGGAGTTCACTTCTGGAACTTGTTCCAGCGGGATCTTGAGCAGATTGGACACCATCACTCTGGCAGAATGACCTTGTAAGGGCTGCGAGTACTTGGTCCTCAGCTTCCTCCTCAGCCTGGCCTCTAACTTCTCTGTGTCGGGCAAAACTACGCCTTTTTTCACAGCCGTGACCAGCTTGTTTTTGGTCTTGCTGGCCTGCAAAACCGCACTGAATCTGAACGGCCCAAACATGAAAAAATTAATCAAGCTTTATTTTTTTTGTCTAAATCATGTATTTGGATCTTTATCTTGACAAATACGAAAAAGGTCCACTGTACGTGAAACGATTGGCATACATATGTCTGGAATTTCCCGTCTCTTCAGACGTGGTCCACAGATTGCTGGACATGATTGTGGACCCAAAGTCTCCTTACAAATATTTTAGGGACACCCCCCGCCTGCTGAGAATCAGTGACAGCCAAATATACCTGCAACGCTACAACGAATTGCAGGCGGCAATCAACTCGAAGCCGAATTTCGATGACGAGCTGCTCAAGCTCGCCAAACAGGAACCCACGCAGGCCAATTTCGAGCGCATAGTCGACCTCTTGCATCTGCGCACAGTGCACACGCTCATGACTACTGCCTCGAGCGATAACATTGGTGATAACTCAGGTTTTTACTATAACTTGGGGCCAGAATACTCGGCCATGTTCCGAAAACGCTCATTCAGAGAATTGCAGAAGCTGATGGTGTACAAGGCCTACGACGGCAATCTGGCCTCGTCCACGGTGTTTATGCGGCGGAAATTGCAACAGGTCTTGGAATACGAGCGCGACGACGAGAGCGATGAGGACGATAGAATGGGCTCCGACGAGTACAGTTTGGAAAAAGAGGAGGCCGTTGCATACTGGACTTGTCGATGGTATTTGCTCTATGCGCTTTTTCTGGGCAATAACTATCAGGCAGTGATTGAAGAATACTTCCAACTCATAAAGGAGCCAGCCATTGCCGGTTATACTGCTTCAGACATTCTGACAAACGAGTACAGCAATGAACTGATTTTGAGAGAGTATCTGCTGCGCACTGTGTGTTTCTCCGTCCTGGTGGCGGAGAAAATGCAAAACCTGGAGACCATATGGACGGAAATGATCAGAGAAACTTTCTCCTCGGATCCGCCCTTACGAAAACTCATAAAGCTCTATACCGGTTGCCGTTTTTCTGATCTGAAAAGTATCCTCAACGAGTTCCAATCGGAATTCGACTACGACGAGCAGCTTTCCCAAAGTTATAGGCTCTGGAAACGGACGTTTGAGTACAAGATATGCGTATTCTATCTGTCGCTGGTGAAAAAAGTGACTTTCGATCATCTGGAAGCGTTTTTGGGAACTCCAAGCGAGGAGATCACTAAACTGATCAGTCTGTTCAAGCTACGAGTCAAGATTGATCAGAAAAACAATCTTGTCGAGTTCCAGGACACCGATAGCTACAACGACCTGGACAGACAAATTCAGTCGCTGAACGATGCTACTGTGGCGGAAATGAGAGCACTGGAAATCAATAGGATGGTTAAAGAGGCGTTCGATTGACAAGTCTATGTACAGCTCCAAACATCAACAACTTCATCCTCGAGTTTGGTGGTCACGCCTCGTTCTGCTATGGTTTCAATGTCTATAATTTCTTTTGCTGCCTCTGCTGTCAAAACCACATAATTATCTTCTCCGACGGCAATGTCATCTTCAATTCTAATTCCCATTCCACGGAAATGTTTAGGCCATCTTGAGTCGTCAGGCACATAGACGCCAGGCTCTATGGTAACTACCTGGCCCTTTACCAAAGGTGCGACACGAGACTGTGAAGGCACGTCGTGCACATCTAAACCCAAGTTATGGCCAATATAATGCGGATACAAATGGCGCATCACCTCATAACTGGTGAGCCCGTGGAATCCACAGTTGCGCAGCTCACTGGTCATGATACGGACGCTCTCGTCGTGTATGTCTCTAAGGGAGTATCCTTGTTTCTGTGTGCACAGCTGAATACATTTCTGTTCAACGTTCAAAACGGCTTGGTATAACTCGGCCTGTGCGGAGCTGAACTTACCATTGACGGGCCAGGTACGGGAGATGTCTGCACAGTATCCGCCCAAAGATCCACCAGCGTCCACCAGAACGAGCTCGTCCCCCTTGAAAACCTGGTCGTTTCTTGTGTAATGGATACAAAGGGCATTCGAGCCGCCTGCCACCACAGGGATGTAGGCGCTTTTGTCGCAGCCCCCAGAGATAAAGCGGTACTCCAAAAATGCATGAAGCCCTTTCTCTGTCTTGAATCGTTTAGCATAGGCTTGGTTATAGGCTCTACCGGATATTTTACCAGCCATTCGCATAACTCGCAACTCTGCATTGGACTTTATAGCTCTTAGCTCGGTCAGGTAGTTTTTCAATGAGTAGACATGACAGTTCTGGCTGCGCAAGAGCGACTCGATCGACTCGCGGTTTGTCGCCTGTTTGTCTGTGGCGCTAAAAACGCGACTAAAGATCGACTTCTTCGAGTCCTCGAAATCATAGAGCACCTTTCTATAGTCTTTCAACAGCGTACGCAGATAGTTATGCAGGTTGCGGTTATCTGTGGCATTGTCCGCGTTGAAAATCTCCTGCACACCGTCAACACCCGTACGCACACCTTCCCATAACTCAGAGTTTTCGTCTTTTGGGGGGACCACCATATGGAAGACCAGCGAGTCGGGATCCTCGGTGGGTTTCTCCAAGACGCAGACAGAGTCCGGCTCTAGCCATCCTGTAAGATAGAACAAATCGTTGTTCTGCTGGAAGTTATAGAAAACTGCCCCTGAGGCGTATTTCACTGTGTTACCTGGAATAATGGCCAGAGACTTGGCAGGCATCTGTTCAGCTAGTCGGTACCGTCTGTTGAAGTACTCCATTGCACTGATGCCGGTGGTAAGCTCGCCTGCGCGAACCAGATGTGGTCTGGTTTCGTGGATTGGCTGTCCGGCCTGGAAACTGGCATAGCGCCGGAACAGAGCTCTTGGAAATCGGAACATAAATTTTTCAGTTGCAACTCAGGGCGATATATAGAAATTGCGGGAGAGGGTGATTTTATTGGTAAAGGCAACATGTAAACTTGCTGATCCAGAGGAGCCAAACTGGCCGATTCTGGTGTTGTCTGCCTTCTTTGCTCTGCCCAGTTATGCCATAACTTACCTCCAGCCTCTACCAAACAAAACGGCCTGGCTAGCTCAATCGGTAGAGCGTGTGACTCTTAATCACAAGGCTGCGGGTTCGAGCCCCGCGTCGGGCTTATTTTTTCTCTGATCTCTCTTGTGCATATTTTTTTTCTATATTTTTTAAATTTTTTTAGAAAAATTTTGGTCCTACAATGTCTAAGACCAAAACGCAACCTGTGCGCGAGCGCAAGCGTGAGCTTGAGACGGCCGACGAGTCGTCGTCAGACGATGAATTACAGGTGGAAGGACTGCTGGAAGGAGCCGAGAGTGAGGAAGAAAGCGAGAGCGAGCAGTTCGAGAGTGCTGATGAGGACCAGGACCAGGACTCGGGCTCGGACTCGGACGCAGAGTTCAACAGAATCCTGGCCGAAGGTTCGAGCGGCGAGGACGAAGACGAGCCAAAGGAGCCGTCGATTACAGACAGATTATCAGGCATCAAGATCCGGACGCTGAGCTCGTCGAGCTCGACCAACGGAGAGGTGCGAACCAAGTTTTCCGACGGCCGCGAGCGGATCCTGAGGCCCGAGATCGATCCCGTCTACGACTCGGACGACTCGGACAGGGAGGAGACAAACACGATCGGAAACGTGCCGCTCTCTGCGTACGACGAGTACCCGCACATTGGCTACGACATCAACGGAAAGAGAATCATGCGGCCTGCCCAGGGCTCTGCTCTGGACCAGCTGTTGGAGAGCATCGATCTGCCAGAGGGCTGGACCGGATTGCTGGACAAGGAGACGGGAAACTCGCTGAACATCAGCGCCGAGGAGCTGGAGCTGATCAGAAAAATCGAGCGCAACGAGAACCCGGACGACAGCGTGAACCCGTACGAGCCAACGATCGAGTGGTTCACGAGCAAGACAGAGACGATGCCGCTGACGGCTGTGCCGGAGCCAAAGAGACGGTTTGTTCCGTCGAAGCACGAGGCCAAGCGGATCATGAAGATCGTCAAGGCCATCAGAGAGGGCCGCATCGTGCCGCCACACCTGAAGAAGCAGCAGGACGAGGAGGACGAGCTGAACTTTGATCTGTGGGGCGGCGACGTCGACAACACCCAGGACCACGTCATGACGCTGCGTGCTCCAAAACTGCCTCCGCCAACCAACGAGGAGAGTTACAATCCGCCGGAGGAGTACCTGCTGAGCGAGGAGGAGCGGAAACGGTGGGAAGAGACGGATCCTAGCGAGCGCGAGCGGAATTTCCTGCCGCAGAAATACGGTGCTCTGCGCAAAGTGCCTGGCTACCAGGAAAGCGTGCGGGAGCGGTTCGAGCGGTGTCTGGACCTGTATCTGGCTCCGCGCGTGCGCAAACAGAAGCTGAACATCGACCCGGAGTCGCTGATTCCCGAGCTGCCGTCGCCAAAGGACCTCAAACCGTTCCCTGTGCGCACGTCGACCGTCTACGAGGGCCACACCGGCCGCGTCCGCGCGCTCTCTGTGCACCCTAGCGGCAACTGGCTGGCCACGGGCGCCGACGACGGCACCGTGCGCGTGTGGGAGGTGCTCACGGGCCGAGAACTGTACCAGTACGCCATAGTTGAGGACGACGAGGACCACGTCGAGGCGCTCGAGTGGAACCCGAAGCCCGAGGCCGCGCTGCTCGCGGTCACGTGTGGCGCGACCGTTTTCCTGCTGGTGCCCCCAATCTTTGGGTTTGAGCTCGAAAACCGGTCCAAGCTGCTCGTCGAGGACGGCTGGGGATACGCCAAGACCGGCCACGACACGGTGGAGGGCGAGGACGGCGAGAGCTCGGGCAAGTCGGCGGCCGCCGAGTGGCACAAGCCGAGCGAGGAGCAGTACGCGCACGGCGTGTGTGCCGTTGTGCGCACTTCCAGGGGCGGTTCGGCTGCAGGCACGTTCAAACGGGTCTCGTGGCACCGTCGCGGCGACTACTTCGTCACCGTCTCGCCCGAAGGAGGCAACAAGACCTCGGTTCTGATCCACCAGCTGTCTCGCCACGCGACGCAGTCTCCGTTCAGAAAAAGCAAGGGAATCGTCATGGACGCCAAGTTCCACCCGTCCAAGCCGGTGCTCGTCGTCATGTCGCAGCGGTACATCAGAATCTACAATCTGCAGCAGCAGCAGCTGGAGAAAAAGCTGCTACCGGGAGCCAGATGGCTGTCGTGCCTGGATATCCATCCGCGCGGCGGCGACCACATTCTCGCGGGCTCGTACGACAAAAGGGTGCTGTGGCACGACCTGGACCTGAGCGCCACGCCGTACAAAACGCTGCGGTACCACGAAAAGGCCGTCCGGGCTGTGGCGTACCACAAGGGCGGCTACCCGCTGTTCTGCTCTGCCGCAGACGACGGCTCCGTGCACGTGTTCCACGGAACCGTCTACGACGACCTCATGAGCAACCCGTTGCTCGTGCCGCTGAAAAAGCTCACCGGCCACAAGGTGGTCAACAGCCTGGGCGTCCTGAACGTGTGCTGGCACCCTGCACAGCCTTGGCTTTTCACCGCGGGCGCGGACCACACGGCCCGGCTGTGGACAGATTAAGTAATTATAAACTGGTGATTAGACTACGTAGTAGCGTGAAATGAATGCATTCAGGTTCTCACGTCCGGCTCCTCCTTGCCGATGAGCTCCTGCAGCTTGAGAAACTTGACAACGCTCTGGATGTCGGACGCCAGGAAGTCGGACGCAGATTTGGCCAGGTTCTCGTCAGACACGTCCGCAGAGTGTTTCTCTAGATACAGTCTGATTGTGGCACCCGACGAGCCCGTGCCAGACAGTCTGACCACGAACCTCAGGCCAGAGTCGAGCTTCACATACAGACCCTGTTTGCTCGAGACAGAGCCGTCCAGGTCCGTGTACGAGAAGTTGGCCGCCTCGACGACCTTGCCGGAGCTTCCTATCGCGGAGCCAATGAATTCCTGGCCCTGGTCGACCTTGTCCTGCAGTAGGTTGATCACCTTGGCCGCGTCCGCGCTGTCGCACTCTTCGTAGTCGTACCTCGTGAAGAACGTTCTTCCGTATTTCTTCCAGAACGATTTCTGAATGTTGGCGATGGTAGGCTCGATCTCCGGGTGGTCCCTCTCAAAGGCAGCCAGCACGTTCAGCCAGGCCACAATGGCCCACAGACCGTCCTTCTCCCTGATATGGTCAGAGCCGGTACCGAAAGATTCCTCACCGCAGATCGACAGCTTCTTGGCGTCGAACAGCGCACAGAAAAACTTCCATCCGGTAGGCACCTCATAGATGTTCAATCCCTTGGCCTTGGCAACAAGATCGAGTGCTCCAGAGGTAGGCATCGATCTAGCCAATCCGTGGACGCCGTTTTTCTGGAAGTATGGGATACTTTGTGCGTGTTCGGCAATAATAGCAACCGAGTCTCCAGGAGAAACAAAAGCTCCGGCTCCGTAAATCATGTTCCTATCTCCGTCTCCGTCAGAAGCAGCACCAAATGCAATATTCTCAGCGTCGACTCTGTCCACCAGGGTCCGTGCGTAGGTCAGATTAGGGTCTGGGTGTAAACCGCCAAAGTCTGGCTTTGCAACGTAGTTTTGGATCGACGACTCGGGCAGTCCCAGCTCGTCCACAAAGATGGCCTTGCCGTAAGGGCCCGTGACTCCGTTCAGCGCATCGAACAGAATCTTGAATCCTTGAGGGGTTTTTTTAGCAATAAACGACCTGATGAGGTCCAGATCGAATATCTCCTTGATCATAGCCACGTACGCAGCAGTGGAGTCAATGATCTCAACTTCCAACGGCCCGTACGTCTTTGTTCCAATCTTCGACAAATCCACCTCGGGCAGGTCCTTCACAATCTTGTAGGACTCCAGTTTCAGAGAGGTCTCGTAGATTTTGTTGGTGACGGACTCCGGTGCCGGACCTCCATTGCCCAGGTTGTACTTGATTCCGCAGTCGTTGTTTGGTCCTCCTGGATTGTGCGACGCAGTCAGGATGATGCCTCCGGTCACCTCCTTGCCGTCGCTGTTGGGACCGTACGTTCTGATGACCCGGGAAGCAGCCGGCGTCGAGAGAAGACCGTTCTGGCCAATGATCAATTTCTTCACCTTGTTGGCGGCGCCGATCTTGGCAATCAATTGCACAATGTGGTCATTGTAGTATCTTCCGTCTCCGCCAACAACCAGAGTCGACCCCTCGGCGCCTTCTGGAATCGAGTCGAAAATGGCCTGGATGAAGTTCTCTGTGTAGTTTGGCTGCTGGAAAACCTTGACCTTCTTCCGCAGACCAGACGTTCCCGGCTTCTGGTCGGTGAATGGCGTGGTAGGCACTTGAGAAATTGCAAACGACATGAGATTAAATTGCCAACAATTTGTGGTGGGATCACCGTATTTAGCAAGAAACTGGATTCTGTGGTGCAGGGGTGTGTCTTTGTTAGCATTTTTTTTTCTCTATTTTTCTGAGCCAGATTTGTCTAGAAATGGGTGACAGCTACGGGGGGCTAGAGCCCAGCAGGGTGATATACATCGGGGGCATCCCGTTCGACCAGACCGAGGACCAGATCCTCGACATTGCGCGGTCCGTGGGGCCGGTGGTGTCGTCGAAGCTGCTGTTTGACCGCGAAACAGGGAAGTCCAAGGGCTACGCTTTCATCGAGTACCAAGACATAGAAACGGCCAGGTCCGCTGTGCGGAACCTCAACAACTACGCGATCGGCAACAGGTACCTGAAGTGCAATTTTTCGAGCGAGCAGGCGGTCATCAACACGATGAAGTCGCAGACGTCGAGCGAATGGGCCGAGCTGGAAAAACAGATCCCGCCGCTGCCGCCGGGGATGCTCATGGCGAACTCGAGCATGGAGAGTCTGAACCAGCAGATCAACGCGGCGCTCGCCACGCTGGATAAAAACAGATTACATAATCTGGTAAAAGATGCGAAAATCATGTCGGACAACCACCCGCAGCTGATGGCGCTGCTGCTCGAGAAGAACCAGCAGCTGCTGTTTGCGCTGGTGCAGGCCACGATGATTCTCGGGCTGAGCGACGCGGAGCAGATCAAGAGCATTCTGGTGGAGCAGAAGGAGCCAAGAGCGCCAGACTCGGCTCCGGAGGCCGAGGCAGAGAACCCGCTCAACTCATTGGACGCAGACCAGGTGCAGGCTATCCGGACGATCTGCGCGATGAGCGAGGCGGAGATCCAGCAGGTGGCGGCGGACCAGCAGGAGCTGTATCGGGAGATCCAGAAGCGGTACAAAATGTATTTGTAGAGAGTAATGGAAAAAAAGTGGCCATGACAGTCACTGTGTTGCGGGTTGAGGATTTTTTTATGCGGTGCACACGCGCAAGAAGATCCCTCGCTAAATTTTTCATCGAAAAAAAAATTTTCCAGTTTAAACAAAACCAGTGAAAGGAGTTTATAAGTCGGCACCAGGAGGAAATGTACTATTGAGCATCACAGCTAACATTTCCCTGTACTGACATACGACGCGATTCACTAGTATAAAAACAAAAACACATAGAGATTATTGCCAACGCCGATACTTCTTTGCGAGGGGATCCTTGGAGGGCCAATTTGTACATAGAACGAGTCTTCACCATGTCGACCAAACCCCAACCGCAAGCCGCCAACAACAGCTCGTGCGTGCTGTACCTGGGCGCTATTCCCTACAACTGGGACGTCGAGATCATCAAGTCTGTCGTCTGCGGGTCTGGTCCTGTTGTTGATGTGCGTTGTATGATGGACAACGCCTCGAAAAACAAAGGGTTCTGTTTCGTTGAGTACGCGACGCCGGACGCGGCTGCCCGCGCGCTGCAAATCCTGTCCAAGATCAAGATCGAGGGCCGCAAGAAGCTCAGAATCGAGCTGTCCAAAGAGGGCCTCAGAAACCCCGTTCCGGGCCAGAAGCCGGAGCTCCAGCTCAACCGGAATTTCCTCCCATCCAACGTCATTTTGCCGCAGGAGATGTTGACTGCAAACCCAAACCTACCGCCGCAGTACAACACCTACCAGCAAGCCGTTCCGTCGTCGGCCGCTTCCTCCAACTCGTCGGGCTCGACGCCTTCCGGCACTGCCAACAATCCGTTCGGAAGCAGGTTCGCAGGCCAGAACAGCGATATGTTGGCCACCATCTCCTCCAACCCGCAGTTGCAGCAGATGGTGAGCCAGATGATTTCGAACGGAATGGACATGACCCAGATCGGCAACGTGGTCCAGCAGTTCAACAGACAACAATCGACCGCCGGCTCGCAGGCCAACGGATCGTCCCAGTTCATTCCTACCAATTTGTCGATGGCATCCCAATTCTTGCCACTTCCGCAGCAGTCCCAGCAGCCAATCTACGCCAAGGACAAGGTCTCGGAGACCTTGGCTACCATTCCTCCAGGTATACTTATTGAGCTACTGGCCAAGTTGAAACTTATTGTGTCGGGGCCTTCGCCGAACTACGCCGAGGCAGCCCAGATCCTGCACTCCAACCCAAAGCTGGCTGTGGCTGCCGCCCAGTCGTTGCTCCTGATGGGCGTCGTTGATCTCGACGTGATCAACCAATCGATGTCTGCACAGCCCCAGGCTACTCCTGCTGAGCCGGCTGTCGCTCCAATGGCCGGTTCCAGCGCAGCGCCGCCTACATACTCTCCGTTCAACCCAACCTCGCACCAGTCAACCCCGTCCCCTGCGTCCACTCAACAGGCTCCTGCTACCACTCCTTCCCCTGTCAACCTCGACAACGTCAACCCTGACTGGAAGGGTCTGCCAAGAGAAACCATTAACAAACTAATGCATATCAACGAGCAGGAAGCCAGTTTGATTGTCCAGGTTTTGAAGCTGACACCGCAGCAAATCGACATTCTGCCTGATAACGAGCGTGTCATGGCCAACCAGATCAGAGCCCAGTACTTATAGCTTGCTCTTCGCCTCTGCCACCGCCGATTCTTTCGCAACTATTTAGTTAATATAGCTATGGTAGGCCAGCTCGCTCTCTGTCGACGCGTCGACAGTCCTCTATTAATTATTTTTTCTAGAAAAAGCTATCGACTAGTTAAATAAAATAATTCAGCTAAAATAAAGATCACTAAAATGGATAACGACAATAATCAACCGCAACCCAGCCAAAACAATCCGCCAGGCATCTCGTTCGCCTTCGACATCTTCCCTCTGGAGTTCAGTCGCACGCCTCCGGCCCCAGGGTCCGTGGAATCGCCCATTGCCCTGATGATGCGCAATTTTGTCGAGATCCTCAATCGGCCCTCCAAGCACAAGCACGCCACCAAGGACGCCATCGACTCTTTGGAGCCGATCCCGCTCGCAGAACTGCCAGAATCAGAAAAACAGTGTCCGATCTGCTTTGAGCCGTTCGAAGAGTACACAGAGAAACATGAGTCACAGACAGAACAAAAGAAAGCCTCCAATTTGCCCTCCTTTTTCGACGGTTACGACGCCTCCGACCCCGACCTTGCATTCCCAACAGACCAGACAGCCACGCGCGAAGTGACGTACAACCCCGGCGAGGAGCTCCATCCACAGCCGGCTGCCAGACCCGAGGACAGATCAGAAGATGCACACTATCCGGTGAAGCTCGATCAATGCGGCCACATATTCGGCAAAGCGTGCGTGGCCGAGTGGCTCAAGAGCAACGTGACGTGTCCGCTCTGTCGGCGCGAGATTGCGCCGGAAATGACCGAGTCGCCGAGTCCCAGCTTCAACCTGGTGTTCTACCCTGTCGCCTTGACCGAGGCGTTTGTGCCTATCAGCTGGTCCGGGCCGCTCAGAATGGGCTATGCGCTGAGCGACCCTCCAATCAACTTCCCTGCGCAGGGAGAGGGTTTTTCGATGGGGAGACGCACGGGCCCCGAGGCCCCTGCTCCGGAGCCGCAGGAAAGAGCACAGACACCCGATAGAACAGGATCCGGCGGGCCCACGCGCAACAACGCCTCGCGAACGGTGAGATCGCATCCGTATACGCGTCCGTCGACCAACTCGTCGGAAAGCGAGGGCTAGCCGAGTTACTTCTATGGTACATTATTTATTCATCATCATCTGCAGCTGTTCCAGAGTTTCTCTGTCCACCGACGCAATTAGTTGCTGATACCCGTCGATGCGCGCGAGCTGGTCCATCTGGTACTTGAGAAGGTGTTTGGTGCCGACTCTGTGCACGGGGTCCAGCTTGAACACGAGCTCGTTGAAGCGCAGCTGCTCCGCGGACGGAGGCAGCTTGAACTCTTGCGCGTACTCGTTTTCGTCCGGCTCGTTGTCGATCAGCGTGAGGTCGTCGTCGTCGTACGACGACGGCTTGTGGTACGCCGCGCAGTCGCCGTCGGCGTTCTCGTTGACCTCCTCGAGCAGATGTGTGACGAGAAACATGACTCTGTTGAAATTTTTCGAGAGCATGAGATTGATGCCCGTCTGGCCCTCGGAGTTGAGCAGCTGGTACTCCAGGTCGACACTGGGGTCCTGGGCGCAGTACTGTGTGAAGATGGGCGGCGCGTAGAGCGCCAACAGCGCAAGCACAAAGATTTTCCTGATTTTCGTGTCGTACACCAGCTTGAGCAGGTTGACGAGCGAGTCGACCAGCTGCGCGAGCTGGACGGCGATGCTGGAGTCCGACACGGTGCCGAGCATGCCGAGGAAGTGGACGGGGCCCGCGTGCAGCAGACGCAGCAGCGGCAGCGCCATTTTGATCTCGCAGTTGGGTGTCTGCGACTCTCTGGTCAGATACCTCACCATCTCGAAAAACAGCCCGCTTTCCGCCACATACGCCACCAGTTGCGACCGGCCCGGGTCTGCGACCTGCAGAAACAGCGTCTCCAACAGCGACGACGTCACGTACACGGCGTCGTCGCGCATCGAGTTGAGGTAGCCGCCCAGGATCTTGAAGATCTCGAGCCCGGTCTCTGTTTCGTATAGCTGATAATTCAAGATACCGTACGAGCGCGCGAGCTTGAGCACCGTAGGCAGGATTTCCGTCCAGTTCATGAGCGCCTTGACGCTCAGCGGGAACAGTCTGACCAGCTCCACGGGAGCAGCCTCCGTCACAGGCAGGTGCTTGAGCACGGCCTCCCAGAGCTCGAGGCCGTCCTCGCACAGCAGCGTGTACACGTCGGACTTGTCGTCGCAGCACAGCGCGATCAGCGGCAGCACGATCGGGTGCGCCTTGCTGCTGTTGCCGTTGAGCGCGGCGGTCAGGTCGCGGAGCACCCGCATCAGCGAGTTCTTGATGATCATCTCGTTCGCGTTGTTCGACTCGTCCCACATCGCCGGCACCATCGCCATGACGTCCAGCAGCTCTTTTTCCGACACGAGCGGGTTGGTGCGCTCCAGAACGAGCGACAGCACCTTGAGCACGAATATCTTACTCTCGGTGAACTCGAGGCTCCGGAGCAGCAGGAGCACCTGCGCCACGGTGTCCGACAGAAACGGCTGGAAGTCGCGCTTGCGGAACTCCCAGTCGTCCACGAGATGCTGCAGCGTCTGCACGGCCGTCAGACGGACCACCTTGTCGTTGATGTCTGTGTTCTGCAGGAACCGCAGCACGAGCCGGTACACCTCGAGCCTGGTTTCTTTGGAGCACTGGATTGACAACCACTCGCTCACAATCAGACACACGCGCCGCCTGACCAGCTTGTTCTCGACGGGAGCGTCTTTCAACGCCTCGGGCAGGAAATAGCTGCGGAAAAGCTGGTCAAAGTTGCAGCTCTCGCTGATCGCGCTCGCGCTCAGCTGGAACACCGCCAGCACCGCGTCTTTCGTCAAAACGTCCACGGCGCCGTCCGCAAGCGTGCTCTCGATTTTGCGCAGGATAAACTCGCTCAGCTGCGGCTTGAAGCACACGGCCAGGTCCTGGAAGTAGTTCTCTGCACACGGCCGGATCTGGTACTCCCAGCTGAGCTGCAGCTCCTCGTTGACCCACTCCTCGGGCTCCAGCGTCCACGAAACCACGTCTGCCGGGCGCAGTTTCAGATACCACGTGATCAGCAGGTCGACAAGGCTCTGCACGAGCTGCGGCGGGAAAAACCGCTCTGTGACGGCTTTGGCCGCCGCAGCCACCTCCTGCTGGTCGTTCCGCTGCTTGAGCATGACGGCGCCCTTTTTGAACCCAAACGCGGTCAGTCTTTTCAGCACCAAAATCATCTTGATGGCCAGCTGCTCCCAGAATTCGTTCTCCTCGCTGTTGTAAATATCGCTGGCCTTCGACTCCAGCAGCGACAGCATCGTCATGAAGATCTCGTACGAGTTCGGCATCAGCACAAACGCAACTACGTTGTCGCTCACCAAGTTCGCGTACAGCTTGACGTACGCCTTAATATATCTCTCCAGCAGCGGCAGCTGCGAGCTCTCGTGGAGCAGCAGCAGTTTCTGCAAATGCTGCAACGACACCTCGTAAAACTCAACCACAAGACTGTCCCGGTGCGGGTACTCGTATCCGTCTACCACGGCCCGCCGCAGGTTCTTGAGACACAGATATCCGACCTCCATGCTGGCAGCGTCGAAATTCCCGTCTGTGGTCCAGTGGTTGAAGAAGCCGTGGTACAGGCGCACCAGGTGCGGAACCACCACCGAGACTTTATTCTGGAGCGCTGCGCGAGCTCTGCCGATCCGCACCGAGGCAAGAGCCTTGAGAACCTGGTTGGTGATGAGCAGCATGTTGTGCACCTTGACGATGTTTGCGGTGGCCGTGTCGAGCACCGCGGCGATCTCCTCGAACACGGTGCCCCACTCGGCAGGAAAGTCGAGTCTGCAAACGCGCGCAACCGCGTGGGCGTTCTGAATAGTGAGCTGGTCGTTCGACTCCTCCAGCGAGTCAAAAAAGTGTCTTCTGATTTCTGTTTTCTCCTCTTTGGAGATGGCGTGCACCCGGGTCGACCGCCAGTACCTGTCGACGCCGTTCTTGAGACAGATTATCGCGAGCCAGCGAATTTGTAGAGGATGGTCCGTGTTTAGGTACACCGACTGGAGCAGAAAATGGTAGCCCGGGACGGTTTCCCACTGCTTCAATTGGGCCTCGGCGGCCTGCTGTTCTGCGCCGCGCTGTTTTCCAGAGGCAGTGGTGAGAACGGCAGCCAAATTATCGAGGTTGAGGTCCATGGATAGAGATCGAAAATAATTGGAATTATTGAAAATTAAATTTTACAATTATTTAAACCGGAATGGCGATCCTGGACCCTGGAAACAGTTGGGGCTGACCCAGTGAGCTTGAGTGGACGCACAATCCAATCGCGGCTATGTGTAGCGGCTATGTGTTTAATGGGAAATGTCTCACACGTACCGCCGAGACCCGTCGACTGGCTTCCAGCTAACTATATATATATTCTTCCGTGCCCCCTGTTAGAGTAGTTTTTCTGGGCCCCCCCCCACACTGTAAGTGCAACTTCACGTCCTCGAAATTTGTATTCCCCCCGTTCATGGCTCGTCGATCCCCCATTCCCCCACATAGCTGGGCGTGTGGCGTAGTTGGTAGCGCGTTCGCTTAGCATGCGAAAGGTCTTGGGTTCGACTCCCAACTCGTCCATCTTTTTTTGCTCCACAAATATTTTTTGAACCGTTGTCAAACCGTTCTTTCTCTCAAGTTTCCTCCTCCCAACCGATGAATACCTACGCGTTCACGGTCCCTGCGCGGATCAAGGCCCAGGTAGTTCCTCAGGACGGGCTTGACAGGGCGGAGTTCGCGACGTGTTTGTCGTCGCTGCAGCGGGTCGCAGAGGTCAGACTGGTAGACGTGATGCCGTGCGCTGGGCTGTTCAATCCGCAGGCGTATCCCCAGGGACACGTGACGTACGACTTCACCACGCACGACCAGGACGCGTCGCAGCTGTTTCTGCTTGATTTCGAGCCGTTCCGCAAAGTGTTCAATACCATAGGCATTATCAAATGGACCGAGGAACTGGACGACAGAAAAGTGGCGTCTTTGCACAGAGACCTCAAATCCCAGCATCCCAGCTCTCTGGGCCACTACAGCCTGGTTTTCGGGGCTCCAAAGGATTACAAGAGCGGCGTGCCGAGCGTTTTCGCGGTCCTCAGCGACATGGCCAACATCGAGACGGTTATTTGCGACGTCACGTCGAGTTTTCTCGGCAATCTTTCTGTCTACGTCTCGGCGTACCAGCACGTGACTCTGAGGTCGCCGGGAATCGCCAGTGGCAGCGTTGCGAACGGCACTGCGAAGAAGCGTATTTCGAGCTCTTTCGAGAGCCAGGACAAAATCAGGGCCCATAGAAACAAAGGCCGGCGACAGAAACTGTATGCAAACTTCTACCTGCTGGCCGGTAACCTCAAGAGCGCGCTGGCGGAGTTCTGCGAGAGCATTCTGAATTTGCAGTATGCCGGAGACTATTTGTGGCTGGCGTCGGGATTAGAAGGACTGGGCCTGTGCATGGCGCTGCTGGTGAGGCTGGAGGCGCCTTTCCAGCTGCCGACGGAAATTCTGGCACTGCTGGATAACGCGAAAAAGACGACCCAGTCGCCGATCGTCTCGCCACGGCCGTCTTTCCAGTCGGCAAACGTTTTCCCGGCCCAGCCAACAAGTGCCGTGTACTCGGTCGAGGTGGTGGAAAGTCTGATCATCAAGACGATCAACAAGTCCTTTGCGTACTACAGACAAAGTCTCCAGACGCCCGAGGACTACGCTCCGCCGATGGTGCTGTGCGAGAGCAATCTCCGGTACATCGACTATCTGAGCTCCGTCAACGTCCAGGACAGCGTGGAGCTTATTTGCGGCATTACGAGCGACGTATTCAACGACCAGTTTGTCCTTTTGCCGCCCACACAGCAGTACCAGATCTACAACTCCATGATACACGTCTACGGGAGACTAAACATGCGGAGAAAACGTGCTTTCTTGGTCCGCGAGCTCCTGGAGCTTGTTCTCAACCACCAGCTGATTGCACAGGAGTCCTACGACGGAGAGTTGGAGGAGCTGCTCGACTCTGTGCTGGAAGTCTACGGAATCGACCGCCAGACCACGCCGAACCAGATCCAGAAGAAAGTGCTCGTCTCAGTGTTCCGGTTCTGCCACCACATCAAGTACCACAAGGGAGTCGCAAAGTATGGCTGTTTTCTGCTGCGCGATTTCCACGTGATGCTGTCGGAAAACGAGCAATCTCATATTTTCGGCATACTTTGCCAGCTCAACGAGGTGTATCCCTACTGGGACGACCATCTCGTGCAGGACATCAGCCTGTACCAGAAAGACAAGCTGATCCAGGACGAGCTGTGCGAGGCGGCCATTGTGCTGCAGAACCCGTACCTATTTGAGCTGGAGGTGAAAAACATCAGGGTTGCAACCAACGAGTTCCCTGCTAAAACACAGCTGAATTTGAAGAGCAAGGTCACGGGAACGTCCAACACGTCGATCACGCTGAAGCCGCGCGCGCACACCACGGTGTCTGTGTTTGTGGTTCCTCTGAACCACGGGAACATGGAGATTACTGGCATTTCCGCCGTGGTGAGCAATTGCGAGGAGAGGACGTTCGAATGGCTGGAAAAACAGCCCACAACGGCGAAAAACCCCGTCGCCGTGTACCGCCCCCGGTCGCTGACGGTACCGGTGCTCTACGAACAGCCGCTGCTGAGCCTGGTGGACGTGAAGCTGCCCAATCGCTGGATCATGCTACTCGAAGGCGAGTGCAAGCGGTTCGACATCGTGATGAAGAACGCGTCGAACGTCGAGATCAACCAGCTGACGACGAAGTTCCTGGACTCGACGATCGAGCCGCTGAACCAGCTGCTCCAGAACAGAAATCTGCCCCCCAACGAGGTGTACGAGATCGAGTACTACCTGATCAAAAAAAAGCCGTTCAATATTCTCAACAAAGACAAGGTTGCGCGGATCGGGCCGGGACAGGAGCTCAAGCTCGAGATGGAGATCTGGGGCAAACGGGGCGTGAAGGAGGCCAGCGTGATTCTGGAGTACTCGCACAGAAAACAGGCCTCGCCGACCAATTTCTTCCGCAAGCTCACCATCCCCGTCAACGTGACCGTCTATCCCAGCATCGAGCTTGTGGGCTGCGACATCATCCCGCTCTCGTCGTCCACGCGGATCTCGGAGTCCAACCAGGGCGCAACATGGAAGTATCTGGAGAAGATGGTGGCCCGGGGCCACCAGATGTCTGACTTCTGTCTGCTTGCGCTGGACCTGATGAATTCCTGGACGGAGGAGATGACGGTCACGTTCCAGTGTCTTCTGGAAGGCTCGAAAGACCACGAGTTCCAGCAGTCGAACGACGCGATCGAAAACCCGCCGGAAGACACCTACACGACGACGATTGTGCTGCAGAGCAAGAAAAATGCGCGAACCCTGATCCCGATAAAAAGAATTAATTTCGACTACGAGTACCTCAACCAACGGGTCCCAAGTCTTCGCAACAAACAGTTCATCCTTGACACCAAGACGCCGGAACCGGAACAGCGGTTCGTCAAGCACGCGTTCTGGTACCGGCACGAGCTGCTGCAGCGGCTGCGCGCGCGGTGGCAGATCTCAGCTGCCAACAGCAACTCGATCTATGCCGGAAGAGGCGGCATCATCGACATCAGAAGCATCCGGTTCTCGTCCAAGATGGTGAGCGCGTTGGAAGTTGAGAAGATCGGACTGGTTCTGGACGTCCTGGACACCGCAGACCGCGTTGTTGATCCCGAGTCGCTGGAGCTGAACCAGTTCTACAGTATTCGTCTGAAACTCACCAACAGGAACTCGTGTGCGGTGGCCGGCATGCTGCGACACGTTCCCGTGTGCCATGCGTTATTTGCGTCGATCGACAAAAAGATTTTGTACAACGGCGTGCTGCAGTTCAGTATTGAGAAGCCTGTGCTGCCGAACGAGTCGCGTGAGTTTATCCTCGGAGTCGCGTTCCTGGAGAAGGGCGAGTACGAGTGGGGGGCTATATTCGACGAAATGGACGGCTACGACGGGGGAATCATCTCGCTGAAACACCAGCACTTGCAAAGGGAGCAGCTGAAAATAAAGGTGGATTGAGGGAATGCACCCGAGTGGCTCTGAAATAGTCCCAAAAAGCTGTTTTCACTAAAGACGTTCCAGCAGGCCGACTACGGTTCGGGCGAGTGAACTAGATAAGTTTGACGACAGGTAATACGACTATTGTGGGTGTATCGCTAAACATTTGGGATAACTGCCAATACACCACTTCCACGAAAATTTCACACAATTTAGGCCTCGTTGCCGACGGAACCGCTGTACTGAGACGATAAGCTAAGAGCTGATACCGTTTGGGTCACGTGGAGAAGCACTCCAAACTATCTATATACCTCTCCCAATTACATAAGCAAGAGTATACACGACATTAATTATAGATACTTAGACACCTGCCTTTTCGTACATCAGGATGTACGCGCTCTTACCGTTGGTGGCTCCGCCGCCGTGGCCGTTTTCAACGGCGTCGTCGGCACTGATCCGTGTGACAAGGGTATCGTCCACACGGGTCCAGCTGTCGTCTGCTCCCAGAACATCCGCAGTGTAATGGCCCTCCTCTGTGGAACGGCCGTGGTGGTACACCACGGCCGTGAGCCTGTACGTCGGCTCCTCCATGACGTTCGGCGATACACAGGAGGCAGGCAACGTGAGCCTGTGCGGGTATTGTACTTTTTTGTGCAGTTTTTCAATGCGGCCGCCTGTTTCAGGGGTCTTTGTCTGTGTAGGGACAGGCGGTAGAGTGTGCGATGCAGAGGTTTTGTTTCTGCGCTGTTTCGAGGAGACGATCTCGTAGTCGTCGAAATTCTCGTTGCTGTCGTCGCTGGCCACAAACGAGAACCGTTTCAGGTGGATGATGAGCACGGCTGGTAGCTTGTCGATGAGGTTCTGTTTCTTGGCGGTCTGGTCTCCGTACGAGATCTCTTCGACAGTGGCAAACTTCTCGAACGCAGTGTACAGGTCGTTGATGTCCTTGTCGCTGATTTCGAGCTGCACATGCATGAACGGGTCCAAAGTGATGGAGGATTTCTTGTTGTTTGGCACCTGCAGAACGGAGCGGAAATGGCCGCCAAACATCTGCACAACCGGCGACGGCGTGACGTCGACCTGTCTTTTCACCGCCATCTTCTGGTTCGCGCCGACCTCCATCCACCCGTTGTCCTCTTTCTCTGTCGATCCGTTGACCTGGCCCGTCTTGATCATTTCCAGCGCAGAGTTGAGTGTCTTGAGAGTCTGCGGGTCCTTGATCGAGGCCTTCAGATCTGCGATGTCGCTCTCGCCCAGGCGCTTGATGCTGTCCACAAACTCCTCGTGCAGCCCGTCCAGGAGATATCCCAAGAACTCCTCTGCGTCTTCCTGTCTGCCCCATTTGAGATGGCTGAACCGGGGCAGTCTGGCAATGCTGCCGTAGAATCCCGTGGGCGTGAGAACCTCCGGCGAGGGCTTGTTGAAGGCGTCGTGCAGGGCCACCAGGGCGTCCATGATCGGCGTGTGCGACTCGAGCTGGCCCAGACTCAGGTGCTGGACAGCAGAGAGCATCTGGCTGAACGGCCTGCACGCAAATAGCGCCTGCAAAATCGCGTTCATGTAGCAGATGTTGCCGTTGTTGACCAGGCCGTGCGGCGCCAGGCCGGCGTACTGTGGGAGGTGTTGCGTATCGTACATGAGCCTGAGGAGAACGACACCCAGCGGTTTCAGGGTGGCATCAGCGGCGATCGACGCCGGCACCGCCCCATTGGGCTTCTTGTTGATCTCGAGGCCTTCCTGGACCACAGAGCTCCACTTCATCGTGGCAGGCTTGACTGCGGCGGCGGTGGTGGTCCATCTGGGCTTTGGCGGTGGTGTAGCGGCCGCTCGTCTGTTGGCGAACGCCCTCCATCGAAACTTGGTGAACTCCTCCTGGTATGTGCCGAAATACCTTGGGAACTCGATGGCGTGCCGTTTTCCTGAGCGCGTGGTGCATTGGAACCGGAAACTGCTGGATCTGACAAGATGGTCCTCAAACTTTGCCTTGTCCGGCTCTGATAGGTGTGCAATGGGATCAGTATGGTGTTCGGACATTTTCTGCTATGGACATGCGAGAGAAGATGCTAAGATGTGAAGGTCTGTTCTATAGATGCAATCAAAATCCAATATCTGTTAGTGAGAATTAGATATTTTGCATGTTTTGGTCCTGTTCAACAAGAGATTTTTCATTTTTCTGGCTTGTGGTGGGTCGAAAATTTTTCAAGACGCAACACCTCTACACACCTAAACACAGAATTGTAGGTACCGCTACGGCGCGCCCTTGGCGATGCTCACGACGCTCTCCAGATGTAGCTGCGCCCACTCGCCCAGGTCCGCCACGTCCCTTTCCGCCACCAGATTCTGCGCCACCAGCTTTTCTCTGTGTATTCGGGCTAGCTCGCCGCCGACCAGATGGCTGCACCAGCTCTCGCGCCGGGCAAGGTCCTGCTCGAGTTTTTCCCGACAGCAGCAGAACCGGCGCTCGAGATCGACCAGATACCGCGCCTCGCGTGTGATGACGACCAGCGTCTCGCTCCGGAACCGGCGGATCTCGCAATTGCCGTTCTCGAGATACGACAGCGCGGCCAGCACGGTTTGCGGCGCCAGCGCCAGGCAGAGCGTCAGCGCGGCCTCCTGGTCAACGACCAGCGCGCCGTCGTCGACGCGGAGCAGCCGCTCGAGCTGCGAGCGCACCAGAGCGGAGGGCGGAATATTCATGGAGAACCAAAACAAACGGACGAGGCCCGGATTACATAAGCAGGACGGGGAGCCCGACGGCGAGGAAAACAAATCGCGCGCAGCGGACTACAGAGGCTTACCAAAGGTAATTAAAAACGCTTATTATGGGTACTATAGATCTGAGATGCTTAGAGCAAGAAAGCAGCAGCACCGGCAACGGCAGCCAAACCAGCAGCACCAACCTTAGCACCAGCGTTCTCGGCAGTGGAGATGACTGGGGCAGAGGAAGCAGCGGCAGAAGAAGCAGCAGCAGTGGAAGAAGCTGGGATGGTGGTGACGGTGGTGGTGGTGATGACCTCCTCCTTGGTGCATGGGCAGTCGGTGATGGTCAAGGTGGTGGCACCAGTGACAGTGTAGGTCACTCCGTTGGTGACAATAGAGGTGGCTTCTGGGCAGTAGGTAGTCAAAGCAGTAACGACCTCAGAAACGGTGGTCTCGTAGGTGATGGTGGAGACGGTGCCGTTAGAGTAAGCAGCGAAAGCAGCGGAAGCCAAAGCAAGTGGAGCCAGAGTTCTGAATTGCATTTTTAATTAAGCGAAAGACGATTGAATTAACAAAGTTAGTTGAGAATTTGCATAGCGGACGCTCCCATTTTATACCTTCCGAAACATTGGGCCTTGGTCCCTTTCTGGAAAAAGCAAGAATTTACCTGTGCCTCCAAATGTAAACAAAAAATCTGAGCAGTTGCCTTACTCTTTAGATTTGGCATTGTCGTGCTATTGTTGGCGTGCTGAAAAGAAACAACGCACTATTGTGCCAAACGCACTCTCGGGCCAGATTGCTGAGTTCTGCACGACAATGTACTATAATTAGCAGCCGGAAGAAATTTTTTTAGAATTCCAAGAGTCAGGACTGGGTAGACTTTAATGTTTTGATGCTATTTTGGGCGACAAGAATGCTTAGTGACAAAAATTCTCACACTTATCCGATTACCGTATTGGGTAATGGTGCTCGAGTAATTACTTGTTCTAGACATATTTTAGATAATTTGGGGAATATGCTCCCCATGTATTCCACAAATGACACAATCGAGGTCTATGTTTCAGGGAGAACATACGAGTTTCCTCAATTGGTCAGTACACCTCGAGGGTTGCCGGTTGTGTGCTTGACAGGCAAAATGCGCCGACGATCAGGGCACCGATTTAGGCTTCGTAACAGGGCCACTGAATAATAAATCACCTAATTACGGACATTGTGCGGAATTCGCAATACGAAGTGCTCGTATGTACGCACGGCAATAACTGGAAATCCCGCCATGAGAAAACACAGTACCAGGCTTCCCGCACCTGCGACGTGAACTAAGTGATGTGGTCACTGGCATCATCGCTCAGCAGGAACATAATTCCTGACACAGCTTGTACTAATTAGTAACGCTCTGCATTTCGTTTCTGAAAATTCTAGGAAGAGTCGCATCACCACCAGCCAGATTGAAACGTCCGCTCGCCATTACCGGAGGTTATACACAGAAATTGCGGACACACGCGCATCTGGCCTTTCTCCATCAGCTGTATGTAGTCCACAATGGTCAGAGACTTGTCCAGGCCGGCCTGGCTGCCGTTTTTGACCCAGTCTTTATAGATCACCAGACGTTTAGCGTACTGGCCCGACCAGGGGCCGTTCAAAGGCAGGATGGGCACCATTATCTGCTGCAAGACGGAGGTATCCTCGTCTTCTTCCTGTGTGGATGCGGGCTGCGATTTCGAGAAAAACCTCTGACTCATGTTGACCATCTTGCCCGTGGTTATGACGATTAGATCATGTTTCTGGCACTCGTTGCTGAGTAGAAGCAGCAGGTTCTGGATAACCAGCTGGAGCTTGCGCGTGGGGCTCTGCTGGTCTTTTCTGTGTCCGTTGACGTCTCGTTTGTAGCGCTGGTGCTCGCTCTTGCGTTTGTCTCGGAGATTTGTCAGTGCAAACTGATACAGAGAATGGAAATCGTCGATGATTACCAGTTTATACCGGGAGAAATCGAAGTTTTGCACTAGGGAAATCAGCTTGGTGAGAGTGTCAACGCGGAGCAGGTCGACGTTGGTCTTGTCTCCATTGTAGTTATGCCAAGGAATATGCGAATGGGCGCTGATTACAGCGGACTGGGTATTGTGATCCAAAAGACCGAATAGTATATCCCATTGCGCGGTGGTGCCCGGCACGCACGCAATATCGTACAAGTTGCCCGGCGTGAAGTCCACAACGGCGTCCACGGGCTCGATTCGCGTCCTGCGCGGTTCTTTGGGCTCCAGCAGGGACAACAAAGTGGTGCCCATAGATAGGGGAATTTTTTTTAATTTTTTTTAGCTCGCGTCGCACTAATAATAATAACTAGGCGTGTTATCGATTATTGATTGTCTATAGTACATCGTTCGGTATCTTAACGTAGTAGCTCTGCAACGCGCGCCGAAGAGCCGGAACAAGCTTGCGCCATTCCAGAACCCTCACCTCCTTGTCGAACCGGCGGGGCTTTCTAGTCTCATAGCTCATGATTCTCTGTGCTAGCTCGTTCCGGAGGTCTGCGTTCGTCTTTCCGACAAACTCGCCGCCCGACTCGGACGGCGTCACCTTCTTTGAGCTGATTGGCTTTTTCGACCAAAAAGGCACCAGGTTCGATCTGATGCGGCCTCTTTCTGCGCGACACTCCTTCTGATTGGTGCTCTGGCTGCCTATCAGCAGCTCGACAATCTTGATAACCTCCACGCTGGTTATGTAGAACTGGCGGCTCAGCGCCTCCACGCCGCCCCGTGTCACCACCGTAGTGTCATCGTCCTCGGGATAGTCCAGGCTCTGGTAGCATTCAAGACACGACACCTCCACCACGTCGACCCCGTCCGGTGCCGGCCGCGTCTCCTGCTCTGCAGAGCCAAGAATGTGGAAGCTCACTATAACTTCGTTTAGGCGCTGCCGCCGCTCAATCCGGATGATGCGACGCTTGTCCTCCTTCTCGTGCTCGCTCCACTCAGGCAGACACACGCTCTCCTCGTCGCCGTCCACAATCGACAGCTTGCATTTGAGATACTGCGACCGCCCCGTTCTGTCCAGCGGAGGTGGTTTGGTCGTGGATCCACCGCTATTCAAACCGCGAACGAGCGGATACGTTTTCGACTCGATCGCGTCCAAGTCGACCTCGAACGGCTGCTCATAGTCGTCGAGCTCGCTGAGAATGGCCAGCTCGTCCTGGCCAAACGCCTTGAAGTCGAACTCGCTGTCAAGGCTTTCCCTTCGCGAAATATAGTCTCCTGTTCTTTCGGGGGGAGGAGTGCATGCGCTCGCAGGCGGAAATAACGCAGTCTGGGGCTTAATGGACTCCGACGTTACCACGGTCGACACGCTTTCCTCCTGCGAGGAGTAGTCGCTGGTGAGTTCGAACGCGGTGGTGCTGTAGAATTGGGGCTCGTGGTCGGGCAGCGTGGCTGCTGGCAGCTGGAGGGGCAGCTGAGAAACCATGAGGTCGTCCTCAAAGGAGAACACCTCATTGGGCAGGTCATACTGTGCGAGGTTGGAGAAATCTTCAAACGGGTTGTAGGCCAGGCTCGAAGACATGATTATGGCGATCCAGGGGTGGGACGTGCAGCAGATATATATAGTCAATTCAAATACGGTGAAAGGACAGCCCTTGCTTTTAGCATTATGCCCTAAGTGGTTAGAATGCCTATCTCTACTGCCGGTATGCGAGAGTGAGTTCTGTACATATATTCATTTGCAGGTGTGTGCATTGTTGGAATTCCTTCGAAATAATATTGGCAAGAGAATGCTGCGCCTGCTGTGGCTTGGCCTGTCAGGTATGAGTTAGAGTTTAGTCCCGGCAACACTCATAGGTCCACAAGATAGTGTTGCTCTTCTGCCTGAAACAGACCTGCAGCCGACTAGCTGCTGCACTTCATCGCCGACCCGCTGTGGCGCTTCCACGCGTCAGTGTATTCGGTCCGGTTTTTCCTTGCACACATGCAGATCGTCCTTTGCGGTGGGAGGTGTGGATGCAGCTTATTCCCCACCGGGTTTAGCTATTGTGGGAAACACGTCTCTTGCGCGCAGCCAGATCTCGGGTGTGGGGGAGGTCGGGGGAGCGGAATTTGTGTGTACGAGACAGTGCCCGCCTGAGCAGACAAGCCAGTTCGCCCGAGACCGTGGCCCCTCTTGCTCAACACCCCATTCTAGCTAGACTGTCTAAACACAAATTGGGTTCTGCTAACAAGAACGACCTGCAGCTCTATTATCTTGACGGGACCTCGTCGGTCGTTTCTTTTTTTTGCACTTGCCACATGTGCGTCGTCAAAAAGGGAAATCCATGGAACACGACGTCCGGTGAAGGTATGCGGTGGAAGCCTCCTTTCATCCATAAGCGCGCTCACTGCTGATGACCAGCGACTGCCTCTTCCTTTTTCGGAAACTATTGTTGCGCACATGCGTCACCGTAGGGATTTTCGATTACTTCCATGGCATGCGACGATCATCATGCGCATTTTCTGTACTTTGCTCGGAGGGTTCTCGGCCTTTGAGCATTGTTATCATGGCTGTTATCTCTTGTGTGCTACGCCGATATGCTCCTCCTGTCATTGCCACGGCGCTGCGCTTATATTAAGAAACTCGTGCGCCACCCATCGTCAGGCTCTTTTGCCGCAATTTTCGGGCCACAGTTCCATTCATCGCGACTCTGCCATCTTTGCAGCTGTCTTGCCAGCGCCAATGGCGTCTGCTCGGTGAAGCGCCCATTGTGCCGCCCATATCTCTGAGCAAATTCATTCGCTATGATCATGTGTACTTGCACAGCGCAGATCCTTAATTTTCCACGCTTCGGCTATGCCCGATATTCTTCCTTCACTCACATCCTTGCACGCGGCTGGCACCCAATTTAAACTCCGCCTGGAAAACCCTACACCGGGGAGATCCCTCTTATCTCTTGTTCCATACCATGTCGAAAAAGGGCGCTCCCTCGCTCCGCGCGGGCAATTCTGCCATGTCGCGCATTGCCGACGTGCCCATACAGTGCCTTGCCACGTGCTCAGTCCTTGAGGCGGCGTGTTTGATGAACGACGGGCGCAATCACTGCATCATCATAAACGATCCCGCCACAGGCAAACTGTGCGGCCTGGTCACCGCCAAAGACCTTGCCTTTCGCGTGGTGGCCAGCCAGGTGCCCTTTAAGACTCCTGTGGAGCAGATCATGACCCCGAGGCCATACATTATGTCGGCGCGGGCAAGCACAAACGAGGCCCTACGGTTGATGGTTACAAAGAAGATACGGCACCTGCCGCTGGTGGACGACAACGGCAGTGTTGTGGGGGTGCTGAACATCACCAAATGTTTCTACCACGCGATGATCAGGCTCGAAAAGATGGCCGACGAGGCGAAAAAGCTCGAGTCTACGTTCAATGACCTGAAAGAGGCGTCGCTCGAGCTGGAAACAAGCAGGTATTTGCTGGTCCAGCGCGGAGAGGGCGAGTCGGAGACGCAGGATCCGCCGGAGGCGTTTGCAAGCAACGAAAACTTGATGGATCTGGGCATTCTGCGCCGAAAACAAAAAATCGTGAAGGACCTAAAGAGACTGATCGATGTGATGACCCAGCCAAATCTCAAGAGCGTTCTCGAGGACTCGGATCTGGAAATGTCGCCGCCGCTGCTGATCGACACCAAAACCAGCGTTTTGGACGCTGTCAAGCTGCTCAAGGAGAAAAACGTGACGGCCCTGCTGGTTTGCGAGTCTCCGTCCGCTCCTGCTCATTGCAGCCACATCATTGGGATTCTCACCAGCAAGGACGTTGCGTTTCGAGTGCTGGCAAGCCACATCGACCCCAAGTCCACGAGCATCGCACGGGTCATGACGCTCAGGCCCAACTTTGCCGACGAAACACTGGAAATTCACACCGCGCTGCGACTAATGTTCGAAGGAAAGTTTCTGAACCTGCCAATCAAGGACTCCAACGGGTACGTTACAGGCCTAGTGAGTGTTTTACAGCTGACTTACGCCCTGCTGAAAACCCTTGACGGGTCCACTGAAACGACAGAAGATTTAATGGAGGCAGACAACGCATCCATAAACTCTCTCGATAACGGGCCTGCGTGGAATCGATTTTGGGGATCACTGGACCAGCCGCTGAGCACGATGGAGAGCACAGAGAAGTCCTCGAGGAGAAGCTCCTACCATTTGCCACGCAAGGTGGCACGCACCAACTCCAGCAACGATACGCCGATTCCCAGTGTGCCGTACATTGGGCCCATCAAACGCAATTTATCCGAACAGTCCTCGTTCGAGCGAACGTTGCCGCGTCCGCCGGCGTTCAGCAACGCTTCCTCTACGACGGTGTTTGAGCCGAGCGCAATAGTTGATGCTCCAGAAACTTTGAAGACAAAATCAAGGGAGGTCAAGTACAAACTGAAAATCAGGGAAGACTTGGGTCTGGGCTTCAATAATAAAATATACAAAATCAAGATCGATCTGGACTCGATTAACAGCTCTGCAGACCTGTTTCACGCTCTTACACACAAGATCTACCATAAAGTGAGTCTCAGTCGCTCGGAGTATAAATTTGACCTTGGCTACATTGACGAGGACGGAGACCTGATATCTGTCGAAAAGGAGGAGGACTTTGAAAATGTGATTGAGTCCAAGCGCATCTACTTTATCCTAGAAATCCGCAGGCGGTATCCGAACCCCTCTCCCGACGCTATAACGTTAGCGTTGGCCGCCGGGTGCGTGGTGATTGGGCTCTACTTGGTGAGAAGATACAGCTGAGCCAATAATTGGGTACCACACTACCCGGGGGAACTAGTGTTACAAATATATTTTCTATAGAGCAAAAAAAAAAAAAATTTGCCCTTATAAACATTAAAGCATGTCGACAGCCGCACAATTACAACTGCCTGAAGAGACGTTTCAGCAGCTGAAACAGCAGCTGAGCGCCAAGCTCGCCGAGATGAACGTGACGGAAGACTCCGAGTACGTTGCCGAGTTTATTTTGGTGCTGATATCAAACGACAAAAGCCCCATGAGCATTATGGAAGAGCTGAGTGCTCTGTTTGGCGATATCATCACGTTGGAGTTCATTCAAAGCGTTTTCGGTGAGATCCAGCGATTAAGAACCGGCGGAGCAGCTCCTGAAGAACAGCCACAGCAACCTGTACAAGAACAAACCGAGAGACAACAAGTGCGCTTTGACGAGGCCCCTCAGACAGAAAGCATGGAGGGCGTCAGCCGGACAAATGCTCCTACAGGTCCCCGTTCATTTGTGGAAAGAAAGAATGGAAACGGAATCTCGAAGTCCGCCAATACAAACGCAAAGAAGAATTTTGCGTTGAAGAATCAGAAGAACTTCATGCAGGCAATGAACATGGCGATGATGAACAACGGGCAGATGGCCAACTTTGCCACGCGCAAGGCGAACGGCCGGTGTAAGGATTTCCCCCACTGCCCGAACACAAACTGCCTGTTCATGCATCCTACCAAGCCATGTTTTGCTTATCCAAATTGTCCAAATCCTCCAGGCACATGCAGTTACTTACATCCTGGCGAGGATGACGAGCTGATGGCCGAGCTGGAGAAGACGAGGCAGGAGAGACTGGCGAAGCTGCAGAACGGCAACCAGAACAGGTTCATGAACCAAGTTTCCAAGCAGGTTGGTATGCAGCTGCAAAATACGGGAATCACACTGTGCAAATTTGGCGCTGTGTGCCAAAAGGAGCTGTGTCCGTTTGGACATCCTACACCAGCCAATAAGGATGCCAAGGTGATTGTGTTGCAATGGTGTACTGACAACAAGAACTGCGCAGACCCAGAGTGCCAGAAGGCGCACTCTTCGCCAAACTACAAGCCATCCGAGGCGCAAAGTGCCGCTGCTGCTGGTCCAGAGAAGACGTTGGAACAATGCAAATTTGGAGCCTACTGCAAGAACTTCCGCTGTCCAAAGCGTCATGCTACGAGTCCTGTGATCTGTCGTGACGGCGCCAACTGCACGCGTATCGACTGCTACTTCACCCATCCTATTGACGAGGACTGCAAGTTTGGAGTGAACTGCAAGAACGCAAAGTGTCCGTACAAACATCCCGAGGGACGCGAGCTGAACTCGGCCAAGAAAAATAACGTCTGGGTGAACGAGCACGTGCATCCGAGCGAGCGTCCGTTTGCCGTTCCGGAAGACCAGGTGATGGAGCATGCGCAGACCTAACGAGTGTATAATAGCGTAAGAATATGTTTCGATGGATTCCATCGTTTTTGAACTATGAAGAAATTATTAATTCGGCTGGAAAGAGTCGCATGGCCAGTGTGATCTCGATTTATATATAAATCTCAATTTTTCATCAATCACCAGTAGAACGACAGAGGACAAGACACATAACTGATTGCACCTACAACTCATCTAAACAGATGTATTACCCATACTTAGTATCTCTTCTTGGCAGCCAGAGCCTCGTCGGCGTAGACGTCCAATGGAGAGTCGGTAAGAGCGAACTCCTTCCACAAGTTAGGAGTCAAGAAACCGTAGGTAGAACCAATGGCAGCGAAACAAGCCTTCAGAGTGTTCTCGGTGGTTCTGGTAGAACCAGAGGAGGTGGTGTAGATGTCCTCAATACCAGCAAATTGCAACATGGTCTTGACGGCTGGAGAGGCAACGATACCGGAACCTCTTGGGGCAGGGATCAGTCTGACGTTGACGGAACCACACTTACCAGAACACTTGTTGGCAATAGAGTGAGGAGAACCAAGGTTGGAGCCCCAGTAACCTCTTCTGACTGGAATCAGGGCCAACTTGGCAATGATGATGGCGCCTCTGATGGCAGTAGCAAGCTCCTTGGCAACCTTGATACCAAGACCAACGTGGCCGTTGGAGTCACCAACGACAACGACGACCTTCATTCTGGTTCTTTGACCGGCTCTGGTCTGCTTCTGGACAGACAGAACCTTCATGACCTTGTCCTGGAGACCTGGAACAAGCTCATCGATGATTTGGTACTCCTTAACTGGCAGGGAGTGGAGGTAGATCTCCTCAACAGAGGTGATTTTCTTGGCCTTCACGAGTCTTCCGAGCTTGGTGACTGGGACCCAGCTCTTCTCGTCGTCTTGACCTCTTCTGCCTCTTCTTGGGCCTCTTCTTGGACCGCCTTGTCTTGGTGCGCCGGACATGTTTATAAGTGTGTTATTGACGTCGGAATGTTACGTGGAAAGCCGGGGGTAGTGGTTTTCAATCGACGTTGGTGATAAAAAAGAGGATGAAAAACTGAAAAAATTGCACCGAGTGCACCACCGGGGGGCACGACAGTCACGTGACTGACACACAGGGCTCGCGCGCCCTGCGAGAGAGTGAGGAAAAATTATTTACCTCTCATCACATGACAACTCCTAATCGACCGGACGATCGACCGTGACTAATTACAGGAAACCCTGGATAATTAATCTTGAATAATTACCATGACGTCTCCTGTTCCGATTTCGATGCTCAGCAACTCGCTCAAGCAAACCAGCCTCGCCACCTCTCCCAACGCGGTCTCCACCTCCCCGACGACCTCCTACCTCGACCAGTACCGCCCTCGAACCAAGTCTTTCACGAAGAGCACCAAGACTCTGAAGCCATTTTCCACAGGTGACATCAAAATCCTGCTGCTCGAAAACGTGAACCAGACAGCCATCGACATCTTCGGCGCCCAGGGCTACCAGGTCGAGTTCCACAAGACTTCGCTCGGCGAGGAAGAGCTTATCGAGAAGATCAAGGACGTGCATGCCATTGGTATCCGTTCCAAGACCAAGCTGACGGCCAATGTGCTGAAACACGCCAAGAACCTGCTGGTCATCGGGTGTTTCTGTATTGGCACCAACCAGGTCGACCTTGAGTACGCTGCCGAAGCCGGTATCGCCGTGTTCAACTCGCCGTTCTCGAACTCCCGTTCCGTGGCAGAGCTCGTGATCTGCGAGATCATTGCTCTTTCGAGACAGCTCGGCGACCGGTCGATGGAGCTGCACAACGGCGTCTGGAACAAGGTCAGCGCCCGATGCTGGGAGATCCGTGGAAAGACACTGGGAATCGTCGGCTATGGCCACATCGGCTCCCAGCTGTCTGTTCTGGCCGAGGCCTTCGGCATGAACGTCATCTACTACGACATTTTGATGATCATGGCGCTCGGCACGGCAAAACAGGTCTCCTCTCTGAACGAGCTGCTTGCCAACTCCGACTTCGTCACCCTGCACGTTCCAGAGACACCAGAGACCAAGAACATGATCTCGACCCCCCAGCTGGCCACCATGAAGGACGGTGCGTACCTGTTGAACAACGCCAGAGGCACGGTCGTGGATATCCCTGCTCTGATCGACGCCCTGAAGGTCGGCAAGCTGGCCGGCGCCGCTCTGGACGTGTATCCGCACGAGCCTGCCAAAAACGGCCCGTTGTTCAACAACGAGCTCAACGAGTGGGCCTCGGAGCTGCAGTCTCTGAAAAACGTCATTCTCACCCCGCACATCGGCGGCTCGACCGAGGAGGCCCAAAGCGCCATCGGTGTCGAGGTGGGCACAGCACTGACCAGCTACATCAACGAGGGCTCCTCGATCGGCGCGGTCAACTTCCCAGAGGTCTCCTTGCGCGGTCTCGATCTGGACCAGGAGAACGTCGTCAGAGTTCTGTACATCCACCAGAACGTGCCAGGTGTCCTGAGAACCGTCAACGAGATCCTGTCCTCGTACAACATCGAGAAACAGTTCTCCGACTCGAGAGGCGACATTGCGTACCTGATGGCCGACATCTCGGGCGTCAACCTGCAGGAGATCAAGTCGCTGTACGAGAAGCTGGAAAACACCCCATACAAAATTATCACCAGACTCCTGTACTGAACGTACTGAGTGTTTATAGACGTTTGGCTAGAAAATAATTTGACTCTCACATTTCTTTATTTTTAATTTTTTCAGTGGCAAAATGACGGCAATCACTTCTGCTGCCCCCTACCTCTCGCTTCTGGAAGAGCGCGATGCTGATCTCAAGGTGTACGCTCTGAGGTCGCTCAACAGCGTGGTCGACCAATTGTGGGCCGAGATTGCTAACAACATCGCCGAAATCGAGCAGTTGTATGAGGACGAGCACTTCGCCAACAGACACCTTGCTGCGCTGGTGGCCTCGAAAGTGTACTACAACCTGGGCGACTACGACTCGTCTGTGAAGTACTCGCTGCTAGCGGGCAAGGAGTTCAACGTGGACGAAAATACAGAGTACTCACAGACCATTGTGTCCAAGTGCATCAACCAGTACATCTCGCTGTCGCGGGCCAAGTTTTCCGACGATAAGGTGGCCATTGACCCGCAATTGACGAGCATTTTCGAGACAATGGTGCACAAGTGTGTAGTCCAGGGCGAGTACAAGCTCGCGCTGGGAATCGCCCTCGAGAGTTACCGACAGGACATTGTCACCTCCATCATCGACACATTGGCCAAGGAAAGCGGCAGCGAAGAGACCGTTTCTAGCTTGATCGGCTACATCCTCACCTGCTGCACCACTGTCTCGTACAACATCGACTTCCGGACCAGAATTCTCAACTCTCTGATCTTGACCCTCGTCTCCTTCAGCAATCCAGATTACACCATCATCACCAAAATCATCGTGCAACTCAACGATTTCAAGCTTGTCCACAAGATCTTCAAGGACCTCATGGGCTCGCACGAAAAGGCACTTATTGCGTTCCAGATCGCCTTTGATCTCGTCAGCGTCGCCTCACAGGAACTGCTCACGAAAACTGCGGAGATCATCGACTCAGATCCAGCTCTGGACAAGTCCAACAAAAATGTGGTCAAGCTCAGGAAAATCCTCTCGGGCGTGCCAACGTGCGATCTGGACATTACGTTCCTCTCAGACAACAACAATACCGACATTTCCATCCTCAACACGTCGAAAAAAGTGCTGGATGGGAGAAACTCGATTTTCCACTCTGCGGTGACGTTCCAGAACGCTTTCATGCATGCTGGAACCACAGACGACTCTTTCTTCAGATCCAACCTAGAATGGCTCGGAAAGGCCAACAACTGGTCAAAGTTCTCGGCAACAGCAGCACTGGGTGTTATTCACAAAGGTAACCTGTCTCAGGGCCGGACCGTGCTACAGCCATATTTGCCAGGAAGCACGCCTTCTCCGTACACCAACGGAGGATCGTTGTTTGGTTTGGGTTTCATCTATGCCGGCCACGGAGCAGAGGTCATCGAGTATCTTAGAAAAATTGTTGTTGACAACAGCAATTCTGCTGACAACAAGAACACAGATATCATTTTGCATGGTGCATGTTTGGGGCTCGGTGTGGCTGCCATGGCTCTCGGGGATGAGGCTATTTACGAGGAGCTAAAAACAATCCTGTACACCGATTCTGCAATTTCTGGTGAGGCTGCTGCCTTTGGAATGGGTCTTGTGATGTTGGGATCTGGAAACGAGGCAGCCATTCACGACATGTTGGCGTACGCCCAGGAAACCCAGCATGAAACCATCATTAGAGGTCTTTCCATTGGTATTGCTCTTCTTTGCTACGGAAAGGAGACTACTGCCGAGCCAGTGATCGAGAAATTGATTGGACACCAAGACTCGATTCTTCGATACGGTGGATGTTTCACCTTGGCTTTGGCCTACTGTGGAACTGCAGACAACAATGCCATCAGACGGCTTTTGCACATTGCCGTCTCTGACTCCTCGGACAACGTGAGAAGAGCTGCTGTGATGGCGCTTGGTTTCATTTTGCTGCGTGATTACACCACTGTCCCCAAGATCGTCGAGCTGCTTTCTGAGTCTTACAATCCTCATGTGAGATACGGTACTGCCATGGCTTTAGGAATCTCATGCGCTGGTCGCGGTCTGCAGGCAGCCATTGATGTGCTCGAACCTTTGACCAAAGATGCTACCGACTTCGTTAGACAAGGTGCCACCATTGCAAAGTCCATGATCCTAATACAACAGAACGAAAAGACTTACCCTAAAGTGAAGGAATTTAGAGAACAGCTGGGCAAGACAGTGTCCAACAAGCACGAGGATTCTCTTGCCAAGTTTGGCGCTGCACTGGCTGAAGGTATTCTAGACGCGGGCGGAAGAAATGTCACCATCCAACTTGAACATGCTCAAACCAATACACTCAACATGAAGGCAATTGTGGGATTGACCCTGTTCTCACAGTTCTGGTACTGGTTCCCGCTTACCCACTTCTTGTCATTGTCATTCAGTCCAACTGCCATCATCGGTGTCACGGAGGACCTGAAGGTGCCGAAATTCAAGATCAACTGCCACACCAAGCCAGAGGTCTTTAGTTATCCACCTAAGTCAGAGGCCCAAGTGGAGAAACAGCCAGACAAGATTGCCACGGCAGTTCTTTCTACCACTGCCCGTGCCAAAGCCAGAGCGGCAAAGAAGGACAAAGCTAAGAAAGATGCCAAGGATGAAGATAAGATGGATGTCGACGAGAAGAAAGAGAAAGTCGAGGAGGAGAAAGAGAAGAAGGTCGAGCCCGAGGCCACTGAGAGTTCTACAGAGATGCAGCCAGAGTCGTTCTACGTGAAAGAGCCTTACCAGTTCGAGAACATGACCAGAGTTTTGCCTGCTCAATTGAAGTACGTTACGTTCTCGAAGAACGAGAGATTTGTCCCGGTGAGAAAATTCAAGGGAATGGGGGGAATTGTCGTTTTGCAGGACCTGTCTCCGAACGAGCCAATTGACAGAATCAAGACTGTGAGAGAAAAGAGCAATACCGAGGCTCCAGTGCCTGAGCCGTTCACCATCGACCCCGAGATCGACAAGGAATTATTTGAAGAGAGCGAGTAAGCGATTAATTGAAGATGTCTATTTGAATCTACCAAGGGCTCCCTCGAGAACGTCCTTCTCCGGTTGGATGCCCTTAGAGAAGTCGTGTTTCTGTTTCCTGAGAAGTTTTTCTCTCTCAAGAGCACGTTCGATCCGCTTGGCCCTCTCGTTGATGACGTTCTGGCGCAGCTTCCGCTTGGCTTTTCGGACCGTCGAGTTCTTGCCCTTGACTTCGGGCTTGATCTTCTTCTCGATCTCCTGTCCAGGCTGCGAGGGTTGCAGCTCCGCAAGGTCTTTAGCAGTGAGTCTTTTGGATGGGGCGCGCTTGTCAACGCTGCCGATCACGTTAGGGTCCAGCGTAATCATGTCAGGCTGCAGTTTGTTGAGCAAAGACAGGACCTCCGTCTGCTGTCTCTGTTTTGCTGTCTCGTACGGATTGACTTCCAAGGCGTCGAAGTTGGCCTCACCAGCGCCCGGCACGATAACCGAGGAGATTCCTTTACTATGTCCACAGCCCAATATATCCTCGAACGGCACAAACCTCGTGGTCTGGATCTGCGAGGACGGAATCATGTGATTCATGTATGGCGAGTTCTGGTGTGATTTCAAGAAGTTCCAGACCGTGATATGGGGGCCCCAGCCCACAGAGACCAGACCCTTGTCAGAAATATCCACTGTGTTAGCTTGTGTTGGAGTGTAATATGAATCTATCTCTTTGAAGTTGCGAATGTCCCAGAGTTTGAGCGTTTTGTCTGCTCCTGCAACGACCATGTGCCTCCCGTCTCTGTTGACCGCAAGGGCCCGCACAGGCCCGCGACAGGCAAGAATCTTGGCCAGCGGAGTAGGCATGCTGGGCGACCACAGTGTGACCTGTCCATTGGCGTGCCCAAGATGCATCACCGCGTTCCACGGGTTCTGTCTCATGCACTGCGTGGGACCCAGCTTCGTGCGATGCTCGGCCACCAGCTCGCCGGTGGAAACGTCGTGGTACTTGAGGAACCCTGTGTTTCCCGCTGACGTAAGCAGGAAATGGTAGGGGAGGAAATCGAGCAGTGTAGAGTCGATATGCTGTTTGAGTCTGTGGAGTTCCATTCCCGTTTTATCATAGATGAAGACGTATTTTTTCTGTGCCACGGCAAAGTACTGGTTATTGTGCAAATACTTGACAGCGTGGACGGTTTCGTTGAGATGCAGCTCGCAGTCCAGTTTGCCCAGTCTCCAGTCGAACGAGGCCACATGGCCCTTCTTGCCTCCTATAAGCAGATCGCGGCCGTTTCTCGAGTAATCAAGCGTGTAAGGGCCAAATTCCTCCAACTTGAGCTCGAATCGCTTGTTTGCCGTGGCCTGGTCGACCTCCTTGACTATGCTATCTTGTGTGAACTTGTAGGTTTTCTCCATTCCCTCGGCTTCCAGGAAACCTGCATCTTCCTGGAGCAGGATTTCCGTATCTTTAGCCGACCGTACAGCATCCTTGTGCTGCTGGTCTAACCTTTTGAGGTTTGCGTTGAGCTTTCTGTCTTTAGAGTAGACAGCCATTTTGAATTATTTTTTTATGATAAATTTTTTTTATGTTCACAGCCCTGAGCGGTTACAAGAAAAAAGGGCAGGGAATTTCCTACCAAGTAGATATGGGTTTTTTCTTTTGGAATAAGGCCAAAAGCGATGTTATCGCCGGTGATTCTGCCGAAAATAAGCACGATGAGACAAATGAGCCTGCTCTTCCTGACACCAGCGCTGTTGTGTCTACGAAATCCTCCAAGTCTTCCAGGACGCTTGGAAGAAGGGGTACATTGAGACGATTTTTAAGCATGAAGCGCAAGCCGCTGGAGGTTGAGCCGTCAGAAACGGCGGAGACAGCCGTGAATTCTATAATAGATTCTTCTGAGTACTTCAACGGATCGTGCTCGTCGTTTGACGAAACAAGAGCTACCAATTACAGCGGGATGCAGTGCAGCCCAGAGCTGGACAATACAGATGAGTATCCTCATTTGAGACGCAAGGACAGTAAAAACAGACACAGCCGGATGTCGGACTATCTTAAAAACAAGGAGCCGGTCAACATGATGGAGATCTCAAACACAATGGAGAAGGAACCTCTCCCGATACAGCAACTATTCGAGCAGGAGTTTGAAGACATAGACAATCAAGAGAACACACTTTTAGTGAACAAGGATAGATTTTCAGAAAAACCACAAAAGAAGGGACTCAGAAGGTCCCTTTCCAAACTGTTTGGCAAGAAGGATAAAGCAAAGACAGAAGGAAACAGGTATGTGCGAGACTTTTCAGACAGAAGCAAGCCTGATCCGGTTCCTAACTTCAGTTTCCGGTCTCTGAGGCTCAACGATACACTGCATAGTATCAACAAAAGACCAGAGTCGCCGAATCTTGCCAATGTGGCTGTGTTCCCTGCCGTCTCCAAAATTATGTGCGCGTTTGGGGTGGAGTCCGAAACAAGCACCCAATTCGAGGTCTTTGAGCTCCAGAGAGCGAGCAAGATGCATCTGAACTCGGTGTGGAACGTGTGGGGAGAATTTGTCTCCACAAGCAACGAGGACGCCAAGCTCCGCAACAGGGTCATAGAAAAGGTGTGGAAAACAAAACAGCTCAATAAACTGGCCAGCAGGTGCAGCGAGCTGTTTCTGAACGCTCCTCAGTGCGGGTCGGCTGAAGAAAACCGGATTCATATTTTCAAGTTCGGCCTGTCTCCACGCTACAGAAAGGAGCCGCTGCTTTACAACAGCGGGCGTGTCGTGATCCGCATTCCGTCAGAAAAAGTCGACAAGGTGTGGAGGTCGACACTGGACATTGTCCTGAAAGAGCAACTTCTCTGGAGCAAGCTAGACAACAACATCGTGGGAGTTACCTGGAAGCGGGCCCCTCACAGACACGAATACAGCCTTATTCTGTGGCTCACAAAGGAGGGACACGACCACGACAGCGTTTCCACGCTGATGAACGAGGTGATGCTGCTTTCACCAGATGAGCTGAAGCCGCTGTTCACATACTCAAAATATTACGTCAATGCGGATCACACCTACCACGCGATAGATCTGAACGAAAAAAATTAATAATATTGAAATCATGTCTGAGCTAACGGCGGCTGAAAAAAGACGTCTACTGAGAGAAAGACGGCAGGCCAAGCTTGCAGCCACGTCCACCGACAGACTGGGGAAGATCACTGGTACCGTGGGCTCTCATCTACCAACAGCTTCTCCGTTGTCTGCTGAAGATCCCGCCGTGTCAGACATAAGCGAGGCGATGACTCCTGCCATCGACGGAAGTAGCGGCGACTCGGAGCCGTCGATGGACAAAATACTAGAGAACATGCTGGGCCAGGGCCACAACCACAATGTGCCGTCAGTTCTGCCTGAGGATTTCATGAAGACCATGTCTTCTATCCTCCCTTCGATGAACGACGAGTCGTCAAAGCCGACGTCTGGGGCAGGAAAGAAGCCCTCTGAACATGAACTGCAGCTTGATGAGTACAACAGGTACCAATTACGAAAGTTCAAACTTGGATTTACCGTCCTCAGGTTTGTGAGTGTGCTCACGCTGGTATATTTCAGGCTCGTGGGGTACACTTTGTTCTACCCGTCATTTGAGCGTCTGGATCACGGGTATGGCAAGATCGATCTATGGAACTGGTTCACCATCCTCGAGGTGTTTTTTTCGGTGGTATACGTTCTCGCTTACAGGTACCTTCCGCAGACGCGAGACAACTCTATTTTCAGCATTATCGAAGGGTTTGTGCCACAGCACTACCGCGGCCGGTTTGAGATGATTGTCAAGTACAGAGACGTTGTTGTGTTCTGGATCAACGACCTGTCGGTCCTCATTTTGGCGCTGGGCTGTCTAGCGTGGCTCAATAATTAGAAAAGCACAGATTTTAAAATTTATTAGTGTCTATTTATCGTCCTCGCCAACAACTTGCATCCAGGTCTTGTTTTCCTTTTTCAACTCTTCCGTGATCTCGTCTTTGATCTTTCTGGCAAGGCCCGGACCCTTGTAGGCAAAGGCCGTGTATAGCTGGACAAAAGTGGCTCCTGCTCTGGCAAAATCTAAAGCGTCTTTTCCAGAGCTGATTCCTCCGCATCCGACGAGCACGAGGTTACTGTCCTTTGTGTGCTTTCTAAGCAGTCTAAATGCTTTCAAGGAGATCTCTTTCAACGGTTTTCCCGACAATCCACCGGCCTGGCTAAGCAGGTTCTGGTCGGTGGTGAGCATTCTGTCCGTCGGTCTCTGGACCGTGGTGTTGGACATGATAATTCCATCGACCTTGGCCTGCTTCGCAGCCTTGGCAATAGACTCAATCTCCGGCTCCGTCAGGTCTGGCGCGATCTTCACCAACACCGGCGGCTTGGTGTCCCTGTCCGTGATTTTTCCCGGTAGCAGATTTCTTTCTGCAACCACCTGCGTGAGCAGATTGGTCAGTTTTGCCTCATTCTGCAAATCACGCAAACCTGGAGTGTTGGGCGACGACACGTTGATCACCAGCACGTCCGCGTACTCGCCGACCCGCTGCACACCAGCCACATAGTCCTGCACTTCGTCGCCGGTCTTGTTCTTGCCGAGATTGATGCCCAGCAGCTTGTTGTCTCTGAACGAGTTGTTGGCGCAATTCGGGTTCTTTGCAAACAGCTTCTCGTACCGCTGGCGCAGCTTGCCAAGCACAGCCCAGTGGCCGGAAGAGTTGAACCCGTATCTGTTGATCACCGCGTCGTCCTTGCCCAGCCTGAAAAACCGGGGGGCAGGGTTACCCGGCTGGGGAAATGGGGTGACCGAGCCGATCTCGACGTACGAGAAGCCGAGATCCAGCAGCGGGTCGATGGCTTCCCCCTCCTTGTCAAATCCCGCGGCCATTCCCAGAGGGTTGGAGAGCGTTTTGCCGAAGACCTGCACCTGCAGCACCGGGTCGTCGACGTCAGCCAACAGTCTAGGAGAGAGGCCGTTTTTGATCATGAAGACGCCCAATTTGTGGCCTGTTTCTGCGTCGGTGAGCAGCCGGATCAGCGGACACCACACGTACTCGTTGATGGCAGATCGGGCGTCCAGAGAGTAGAGACCCAGGCCAATAGCCAGAGCGATGGCTGTGTTTGGAATGAGACGGGCCTGTCTGGCATGGCCGGACGACGCCTTGGAGCTTGCCAGTCGGAACTGAGATGCGGCTCGGCCAGAGACTGAGGCTTTCACTGCGCCTGAGAAATGGCTAAATAGACCTGTTCGGGAAAACATTAGAGAATATTTACAGGAAGGAATATTTAAATAATTGCACAGCCGGAGAAACGCTACTTATTAGCATTGCGGACTCTTTCCCACGCGGAGGCAGGACGAGCGGGCTGCGGCTGCGGAGACGGGTCTGCCAGCGGGTCAGCGTCGAACGGCGAGTCGGACGAACTTGTTTCTGTGTGGACTGGGGCCGGCTGCCTTGTATCGGTTTCGCCGTGTCTGAGCTTGGCCCAGGCAGACTTGTCGTCGCCCTGGTCGACGAGCCGGCTCTGGACGTCGCGCGGGTCCTTGATCCGCAGTTCGGGGTGTTTGGCGGTCTCTGCGAAGTAGGAGGACCAGAAGTAGCTCCGGAACACTCCGTGCGGTGTATGCTGGATGACGTTGTAGATCTTGGACTCTGAGCCATAGTCGTCCTTGGCCTTCTGCACTTCTCGCCGGTAGAGTGCTGGCGCACCAACCCAGGTGGCCGCCATGCTGCCCAGCACGCCTCCCCAGCCGACCCGCATGGGGCTGATCTTGCTCCCCTTGCGGAAATAGATGGGCAGGCCCATGCCCGCGAGGAGGCCCGCTGTGGAGCATCCCATGACGAAAAACGCAGTTTTCTGGAAAAAACGCTGCAATTGGCGCCGCTCGTCGACCGTGAGGTCGTGCTCCGCGTCGTAGAACTCAATGGCGCGGTGCTGGGCCTCTTTGAATTCGGGCGAGTTCGTGTCGATGTCCATTTAATTGTGGCAAGATAAAAAATGCGGGTGCGTCAAATAATTTTGCACTTCCGAGCGGAGCACATTATATAAAGCTGGCACGTACCCCTGCCGAAATTAAAACATGTCATTGCCAAAAGCCGACGTTCCTGCTCTGAAACCAGTTTTCTTCTTCGACCTCAACATCGCAGAGGCACAGCCGATCTTCAAGAACAAAGCCAAGGCGTACACCAAGGTGGACGTTCTTGGGGGCACCATCAGGTCGCTCGACCCCACGTTGCCCTTCGATGCCAGAATCACCAGCGGCTTCGACAACATCAGTGTCTACGAGACGGCCCCTTCGGTCGGCAACCTCGACTGCACGCTGTACCTGGACCTGGGCAACAACAACAAGGGCATTGTCCAGTACCTGGGCGTGGTGAGGTTCGAGGGAGAGACAAACAGGGTGCTTGGCAAGGAGACCACCAACATTGGCTTTTCGGACGGCTACGTCACGTGCCAGCCTCGGTTCGAGATCGATGGCGCCGCGTCGAGCGAGTCGTGGGTCAACAACCACCTCTTCGTCGGCAAGGGCCGTTTCCACAGAGAAACAGACGGCAGTCTCAAGGTCCAGTACTACGTCTACACTTTTAAGGAGTAAATATAGCGAAATAGTTTTTCTGGCTTTCTGCCATTTTTAAAACACGGGCGTTGTCGGACGTGTGACGCACACTAAAGACTCTAACGAGGTGTTTACCTTTGTTAGGTGCACAACTGTCTCCATCTTTATTTAGTACGACGCCACCACGCTGGTCCTGGTTTAATGAACGACCAAGACTACTCGAGTCCGTCGCAGTTCGAAATGGGTCCTTACGAGCACTTCCCCGAGCCGGGAGGCTTCCGTCTAGAGGACCCGGACACCCTCCGGTTGCCGCCCCAGACAGCCGATACCTCGACAGAAACAGACACAAGCAAGGCCGCCGACGACCATGGCGGCCAGACAAGGCGCTCGCGCGCCTCGGGCGAGATCCTGGCGCTGCTGGTGGCCGAATTCAACAAGAACTCGAACCCCAACACCAACGTGCGGAAAGAAATCGCCCTTCGGACAGGAATGACTGAGAGGTCTGTCAGGATCTGGTTCCAGAATCGCCGCGCTAAGGCCCGCAAGATGGAGAAGCTGCATCAGAGCAACGGGGCCGCCCGCGGGCCACAACACCCCCGCCACACGTCCGAGGTGTACGAGTCGCAAAGCCGCGAGCCGTCGCTCAAGGATCTCGCCAACCACGCCAAGGTCGACACCGAGATAAACGAAAAATACAGCCTGATCGACTGCATCTCTGTGTCCGTCGGTCCATGGCAGCGCATCAAGTCAGGCCATCTGGACCCTGACGCTTTCAAAGACGTACCGAACCTGAGTCCGCGCATCGTGTACAAGCTCATGGCCACCACAGATCTGCTCGTCATGCTCTCGAAAAAGGACCACGAGCTCAACTACTTTTTCTCGGGCGTCTTCCAGAACGAAAAAGTGCTCTTCAGGATCTTCTTCCCGCTCGCCACGGTGGTCACGTGCTCGCTGCTCAACTACAGAACGCAGAAACCAGAGCAGGACGACGTCTCGCGAGAGGCCACCGCCCAGCTGCAGCTGCAGCTCGCGGCCCCGCCCAAGTTCGCAGTGCACTTCCTCAAGGATCTCAACACAGGCAAGGAAAACCACAACCAATGGTCGGTGTGCGACGACTTCTCGGAGGGCCAGCAGGTGGTGACGGCGTTTGTCGGCGAGGGAGGCACAGAGATCCCGCACATCCTCACCGGAACGCTCGAGTGCTTGCAGTACCTCAACACGTTTGTCGGCACGGCCACCAAGCTGGGCCGGCCTTCGTCGTTCCCGGGCCCCACCACAGAGCACCCGATTCTCATATCGCCGTCCCCGTTCAACGACGAGCCGTCTTTTGCGCCTCTACAGCAGGACGACCTGCGACTACTGCGAATAGAGGAACCACCGCAGCTGGAGATGTTTGACGGCCACTATGACGACTCGGGGACGCCGCGGAACGACCTGCTGATCACCAAGCCGAAGCCCGAGGACGACAAGGAGGACTTCATCTACCTGGACCAGGGGAACGAATGGACAGACAATATATAGCCGGCTCTTTTTCGATTACGTCAGCGTCGACGCACTCAAGGGCACCTACCTAGTCGAAAAAATAAATTTAATGAATACGAAAATAAAGAGGGAGAAGGAACAGGAAGTGTTGCCTTCGGAGGCCACAGACGAGGACGAGCAGGGCCCCGACGACTCGTCGGACTCTTCTTCAGACGAATCGTCGTCGGAGTCGTCGCAGGAGTCGGCGTCGGAGGTGGCGAAACGCGAAATGTCGGAGCGCGAGCAGTTCGAGCTGCAGGCTAAGTATCGGCGGCTGGACCGCGCGCTGATACAGCAGCGGACGGAGGTTGCACGCGAGAATGGAATCCAGGTGGTTTCTACGTCTCTGGACATTGCGGACCAGCTTTTTTCAGAGACCAAGGCGTCGATCCAGTCGAACATTGTGGCCAAGGACGCGGCCACGTTGAAGGAGATCGGAGTGCAGGCGAAGCTGGCGACGCGAAACTTGAAGCTGGGACGGTCGGAGCGCGTTCTGGACTTCAACGAGTTCAGCAGCAATTTTCTGCGATTTTTCGCTACCGAGGACGACGTGGTCGATGTGGACTCGCCGATCGACCGCGGAATGGCCCGTTTTGACTGGATCAAGGCCGGGCTGCTTTACGCCAGCTGCTCTCGGCGCGCGCCGAGCGCCGAGTTCCTGCTGGGACCGCTGGAGATCACGCGAAAGACACGCGTCTCGCGGCCGCGGCTCCAGGACGATTCCAAGAGCGGTGCGTCCAGAACGGCCAGCAAACGCAGTGCGTCGGAGCTGATGGAACAGGACCGCCAGGACGACACGACGGCGAACTCCGAGCGCTGTTTCCGCAAGCTGCGCACGCTCAACATGGCGCGCAAGAACCTGTTTGAGTTCTTTATCGACCCTAAGTCGTTCGCCAGGTCGGTCGAAAACCTGTTCTACACAAGCTTCCTCATCAACCACGGCAAGATCATCCTGGGACGCGACGCGACGGGCGTCCCGTACGTGCAGGAGGCAAACTCAGAAACCTTCAAACACCTCCCGCGCTACGTCAACAGAGACGACTCCAAATCGCACATCATCCTTAGTCTTGATCACGTGACCTGGAGGGCGCTGATCGACCGGTTCGCTATACAGGAGGCGTTTTTATAGACACAACTAGACTCTGTACTCGTCGAGCTCGCACAGCGGCCACTTGCGCACGACGCTCTTCCCGACCGGCGTCCTCACGCCGCTCTCGTACAGCTCGATGCCTGCCCAGCCGATCATCGTAGCGTTGTCTGTGCACAGCCGCGGCTCTGGGAAGTAGAAGTGCCTGATTTGCGGGAGCTGGGCGCGGAGCATGGTGCGGAGCATCGCGTTGGCTGCGACGCCGCCCGAGCACACCAAGCTGTCGACCTGGACGTTTCTGAGCCGCATCGCGAGCTGGATTTTCGTGACCATGTGCTGGAACACCGTCTGCACGAGACGGTAGCCGGCGCGGGCTTTTTGGGCGTCGGTCAGCGCTCCGTCGGGAAAGTGCCTCGACATGTTCGTGCGCACCTGCGAGACAAACGAGCCAAACGAGTACGCCAGCATGTTCTTGCGGCCGGGAACGTTGAGCAGCGGCTCTTTGATGTCGAAGTCGACCGGCTGGCCCCATTCACGGCTGTGCTGCTCCAAAAACGCTGCGAGCTCCTTGCCGATCATATTCCCGCGAAACCCGAGCTCGCGGCCGCACTTGTCGAGCGCGTCGCCCGCGGCGACGTCGATCGTGTCGACGAGGATCTCGTGGTCCACCAGGCCGCGGCTCAGCACGCACATGGTGTGGCCGCCGCTGGCCATGAGGCTGAGGAACGGGAACTGCGGTTTGTGGCCGTTGGACGCGAGCCGCGGCGTCAGCAGGTGGCCCAGCATGTGGTGGACGCCCAAGAGCGGCACGTTCCACGCGATACTGAGCCCCTGCGCCAGCTGGTAGCCGCCGACGAGCGAGCCCACCATGCCGGGGCCACGGGTCGCGCAGACGAGATCGGGCCGGTCGGGGCCTGTCCAGTGGTGTCTCGCGAGCAGCTCGCGCGTGAGCACCGCCACCTGCGTCCTGTTGTGCACTGCCGCGTCCGTGGGGATCACTCCGCCGGCGTGCGCAGAGTCCAAAGTGTGCTTGCTCTCCTCGACGACACGGGGCGGCTGCGCAGGATCGAACCTGTCGAGCAGCGCCACACACGCGTCGTCGCACGACGTCTCGATCGCCAGCACGCGGTACGTCCGCGCCTGGCGCCAGCAGCGAGACACTGTCCTCAGTTCTAGCATGGCTGTGCAGGAGATGGTAAATTTTTGCAACGTCGGGTAATCACAAAATATTTATTTTATTCGATATTTTTGGTGTACACTGAGCCCCAAACCTTCTTTCCCGGTCGGCGCATAGTATCACGATTTGGACTGCCCCGTGTATGAACAACTAGCTGGCGACCTATAGAGCACATCTACACCCCATGTCCAACGTGCTGTCGACATCCAACATCGCTGTGCCGGACCTCGAGACCCATAACAGGCCGTCGTCCGCTGGAGGCCACATTCCGCAGGACGCCCCCAGCAGGGCGCCCGAAACGTACCACCCGCGTCTTCTGCACTGCTTTCTGGCGGGCGGAATAGGCGGCATGGTGGGCGACTCGCTGATGCACTCGCTGGACACCGTCAAGACGCGGCAGCAGGGGGCCCCGAACGTGGCTCGGTACAGAAACACCGTCCCGGCGTACCTGACGCTTCTGCGCGAGGAGGGCCTAATGAGAGGGCTCTACGGCGGGTACGGGGCGGCCATGCTGGGCAGTTTCCCCAGTGCGGCGTGTTTTTTCATCACGTACGAGTCCACCAAACGAATCGCGATAGACGAGTACGGTCTGAACGAGACCTTCACGTACCTGGGCGCGGGATTTCTCGGCGACTTTGTGTCGTCAATTTTCTACGTGCCGTCCGAGGTGCTCAAGACCAGACTCCAGCTGCAGGGAAGATACAACAACACGGTCTTCCGCTCCGGCTACAACTACACAGGAACTTTCAACGCCATCTCGACGATCATCCGCACAGAGGGATGGCAGACCCTTTTCTACGGATACAAGGCCACCCTGGTGCGAGATCTGCCGTTCTCGTCGCTCCAGTTTGTGTTTTACGAAAAGTTCCGACAGCTCGCATACCAATTCTCTCAAAGGTCCGCCGATCACGACCCTCTCTCGCTTTCCATGGAGCTGCTCACAGGCGCTGCCGCGGGCGGCCTTGCAGGGACGTTGACCACGCCGCTCGACGTCATCAAGACGCGAATGCAGACGCAGAACAAGAACGCCACGCCCCACGACCTGCTCACCTCCAGCTCCATCCTCCGCGGCCTGCTCACCGTGTACCGCAACCAGGGCGTTGTGGGGCTGTTCAGCGGCGTGGGGCCCCGCTTTATCTGGACCAGCGTCCAGAGCAGCGTGATGCTGCTGCTATACCAATTTTGTCTCAGAGCATTGTCTACAGGCGAGTTGACCTTCGCATGACATAGATTGTACATAAAATAGACCTTCTAGATTCCATTTCTAGCATCGTTCAAAAACCCGGTACAGGCCCGGCAGGTTGGCGATCTCCACCACGTCGCGTGCGAGCTCTGCGTTGGGGAGGAGCCGTTTCTTCAGCAGCGGACAGATCGTCGTCTCGAGCAGCTCGGCCATCTTGCCGTCGTCTTCACAAGCCACCGGCACGTACAGCAAGGCCAGTTGCTGCAACAGGCCACCAAGACACTTTTTCTCGTCTTCCCAGTCCACTTTCGTGCCGCTCCTGTACAGGAAAAGCGCCAGCTTGGACAGATCCGGCTCGTAGCCCTTCACCAGCAACGGCAAAGTCGCGAGTTTCGGGTTCTGCGCGTCGTCGTCGATCTCAATGGAAAAATACTCCTTGAACATATCCTTCATCTCAACAAAGACCTGAACCACCTCGTCCATCTGGTCGGTGAGCCCGTTTTCCAGCAGCAGGTCTGCAATGCTGACGGGCTCAGATAGTCGCAAGCGGCCGAAATTGCTGAAATCCGCCAGCCCAATCTGGTAGAACAGCTCGTAGCATAGAGCCCCGTAGTCGGCGATATACAGCTTGACGTCCTGCTGGAAACACATCAGCCGCTTCCGGGGGTCGACAACGCCGATAAACGTCATCTTCGAGAACACCTCCACGAGTCTGTCGTCTGCAGCCTGCTCCACGTCCTCCTTGAGCTCGAAAATACTCTTCAGCTTCACTTTTGCGCGCTCGGTGCGGCTCTGCGTGATATCGACGCCATCGACGCTGGTTTTCTGGCTCAAATACGCCGTCAGCGTCGGCTGCGCGAAATCCGTCCGCACCAGCTTGTGCTCGCTCGGCCGCTTGTACTGGCTGAACGACGGTAGCGGCCGCAATTTCTTGGGTGTCGAAAACACAACGTCCGTGGTTGCAGAGCGTTTCGGGCTTGGAAGTAGCTGCTGCGTCAGGAAGGTGCGCGAAACATCGGTGTTGGCAAGAACCTCCGCTATTTTCTGCGCAACATGGTCGACTATCTCGTCCTCAAACAGAAATCGCACCTCCCGCTTCGTGGGGTGGACGTTCACGTCCACGTTCACAGAGTCCAGCTCCAGCGAAAGGTACACAAACGGCTTGTGGCCCTTGGGGAGATACGTGCCGTATGTCTGCGCAATCGCTCTGCGCAGCGGGTCGCAGCTGACCAGACGGCCGTTGATGAAGAAGATCGGCGGCGTGCTCTTCTTGTTGTCGTAGTTGACGTTGGTGATCAGTCCAGTGCACTTCAGAAGACCATACTCGGCGCGCGGCTCGACTTCAAGCTCCAGGAGCTCGCTGGCCACGGCCGAGCCGTAGATTGCGCGCACACGCTCTTTCTGGGACATGCCGGAGCGCAGGGCGATGTCGTTTGCTGCGGTGCCGTACTTCTTGCACGTGAACCCCACGTGCGTTGCGTGGAGGGCATACTTGCTCACAATGTCAACTATTTTGGCGTACTCCTCGGCCGGCGGCCGCAACGAGTGCAGACGCGACGGGAAGTTGTAGAAAAGGTCCTCCACCACGAGCGTAGTGCCGTCGGTGCCGGCCACAGGCTGCGGCTCAGGCGTGCGCGCGTCCAGACGGCCGGCGTCGTAGCGGCACTTCCACGCGCACGGGCTGTCGCGGGTCTTGGTCACGAGCGACACATGCGCTATGTGGGAGATACTCGCGAGGGCTTCCCCACGGAAGCCGTAGGTGGCAATATGCTGGAGGTCTTCGAACTTGCGCAGCTTGGACGTGGTAAAGCGCTCACACACGATCGCGAGGTCGTCTTTCGCGATGCCAACGCCGTTGTCGGTGATCTGCAGCAGCTTGAGCCCGCCCTCTTTGCACGCGACGTCGATGGATGTGGCCTGCGCGTCGATCGAGTTCTCCAGTAGCTCCTTGAGCGCGCTGTACGGGGCGAGAACAATCTCGCCCGCAGCGATGCGATTCACGACGGCCTCCTCTAGCGGTCTGATGCGCGGAGTTGTCATAAATGCAAACTAGTATTTTTTTTACGCTGGCCCAAGTCGATCGGCTCTGTATCGTCGCGCGCCCCGCGTTGCCAACGGTGGCGCCACCTGCTCGCACTGAAAAGGACTAGCGAGGTGCTAGGCCGTTCCATTTGTTCGCTGGAGCCATTATCCAGCGGCCGCAACAAAGAAACACACCTGTCCGGCCTTGTACGCACTTCACCAAACGTCACCAAAAGTTCCGAGTTGGGTAATAGGCATACGATGGCCTGTTTTAAAATTTTGCAGCAGAGTCTTGTTTACTAATAATTGCTATAGGGTGCAATATTAACGCGACCTCGCTTATTAGCCTCGAGTCTGGTTATCTGATCGGTCACACAAAAGGTCTGTGCGAGATTTCCTATTAGTTTGGTTGCTATCGCTTGGTCATTACGTCATTATGACATCACTGCAAACAGAGCCCAAGACAGCCTCTGTGGGGTCACCCACCTCGAACGGGTCCGGGTCGACGTCTGGCAGAAAGACGCTCGATTTGGAGCCAAACCCTTTCGAGCAGTCGTTTGCGGGCCCCACGGAACAGGGCTCGTCCGCAAAGACGAAACACGCAAACCGCAAGGATCACAAGCTCCACGCCGCCTCTTCGCCCCCGGTGCTGACGCCGGGCGGCACCCGCCGCACGACCACGACCAACATGCTGCCCCCGCTGCCAGGGATCATGTCGCCCGGCGCGTCCTCAATTCCCGGCACCCCGGGCATGTGGTCCAGCATGTTCCAGGGCCAATCGCAGCAAATGTTGCCCTTTACGTACCCCATGGGGCCCTCTGCAAGCACGGGGGCAGGCGGGCCGCCGCCCACGTCATCGCAGCAACAACAAATGTACAACCAGATTATTGCTAACGCGAAAAGAACAGGCCTTACTCCGAACGAGAGCTCACTGCGAACCGGGCTGACCCCAGGAAGCAACAACTCTCTCGCAAACCACAACTACGCCATGCTCATGTCGTCAGGTCCGTTCACGCCTGGCGGCCTCTCGTTCCTCAACATGCCGCCGGTCAAGACTGAGGACAAGCACGAACCACACGAGCCAGCTTCGCACGCGGCCCCGTCTGCTCCCGCACCGGCCGCCCCGGCCGCGCCAGAGACGCCCGAGCCTAAACCAAAGAAACAGAAGACGAAAAAGAGGGAGTCCGCAGAGCCCGCCTCTGAAAACGGCTCCAAGAACGACAGCCAGGACGAGGAAAAGAGAAAAAGCTTTCTGGAAAGAAACAGAATCGCTGCGTCCAAGTGCAGACAGCGAAAAAAACAGATGGTGCAGAAGATGCAGCAGGAGCTCAACTTCTACTCTGCGCAGTACGACACGCTGACCCAGCAGGTCGCCGCCCTGCAGGACCAGGTCAAGACGCTGCACTCCATACTGTACAGCCACAAGGACTGTCCGACGCTGGCGGAGCAGATGGGCGGCGTCGAGAACACCAACAACGTGCTCGGAGCGTTTGCGCCGGTCCACCTGGTTCCAGCGGTGCCGCAAATGATGCTTGTGCAAGACGCCTCTCGACAGGAGGGCCCCAAGTGAGAGCCGCACCCGTACACCAGCCGGCAGACGCAAAAAAGCGGTTTTTCGAAAACACATCCGCCTTATCGCTGGAAATGTCATTCAACTACGTGAAGAACGCGGGCAAGTTTTTGTGCATTGGCCGCAACTATCTGGCGCACATCAAGGAGCTGAACAACGCAAAACCGGCCGAGCCGTTCTTCTTCCTCAAACCAAAGTCGTCCGTGCTTCTTCCCAAACAGGGCCCGGTGCTAGTGCCTCGAGGCACCGTTGTCCACCACGAGGTGGAGCTGGCCTGTGTGGTCGGCAAAACGCTTAGAGACCTCGACCCTGCTACTTTTACGCCGTCGGACGCCCTAAATGCCATCAAGGGCTATGCCTTGGCAATTGACATGTCTGCCAGAAACGTCCAGGACGAGATGAAGAAGAAGGGGCTTCCCTGGACGATTCCAAAGGGATTCGATACCTTTTTGCCATTGTCTGGCTTTATTGGCAAAGACCAAATTGCAGACCCATACAACGTGGAGCTGAACCTGACGGTGAACGGCCAGACTCGTCAGAAAGACATGACAAACCTGATGATATTCCCTATCCACCGCATTCTGACCACCATGTCGTCCATCATGACCATCGAGGAGGGCGACGTCATCCTTACCGGCACGCCAAAGGGCGTTGGGTCCATCGTTCCAGGAGACAAAATCGAGGCCTGGGCCGAGGTCGACGGAAAAAGACTACCGGACAGTGTTATGGAGCTAGACGTGGCCGAGAAGCCCGGTCCGTACTTTTACCAAGCTAAATAATATAAACGTATGCCAGCATCTAGTGTGCTAGAAAATGAAAGTCGCTGACTCCCGGGATGTCCGCGGGCTGTAGCTTGAGCAGCGTCTGGCAGCATTGCTCAAACGACGCGATCATGGAGTCGATTTGGACCCTGGTCACCGTGTGCGGCGGACAAAACCTGACCGTCTTGTCGTGGACCTGCTTGCAGGCAATGCCCATGGCGCGCATGAACATACACACGTGCCAGACGGACATGCCGTTCTGCGCCAGCAGCTCGACGTCGATGTCGACACCCGCAATCAGACCAACACCTCGCACCTGCTCGATGAGGTCGTACGTGGTGCTGAGTCTGGCGAGCTCGGCGAGCATGTGGGGGCCCTGCTCGGCCACGTTGGCCCCCAGGTGTTCCTCCTCGTACACTTTGAGCGCTGCCAGCGTGGCGGCACACGCAATGGGCGAGCCGCTATAAGTGGCTCCGTGGGAATTGGGAGCAATGGAGTCCATGATTTCGCTGGAGCTACACACGACAGAGCACGGGTACAGGCCGCCGGAGATGGACTTGGCGGTGACGAGCACGTCCGGCTTTGAGCTGCTCGTGTTTTCGTACCCCCACCGCTTAGGCCCGCAGCGGTACGACCCCATCTGCACCTCGTCGGCACACCATAGCACGTTGTATTTGTCGCATAGCGCTCTCACGCCGTCCAAATAGCCTGGATTGGGCGGGAAGATCCCGGCCTCGCCCTGGACGCTTTCAATGATTATTCCTGCGATTTTGTCGCCCTCCAGCTCAAAACACTCCTCGAGTGCTTCCAGATCGTTGAACGGGAGCATTTTCCCGTCGCCGTACGCGGGGCCGACTTTGGGAACGAACGGCCCGTAGTTGGCGCGTGCGGCCGCGTTGGTGGACCCAGAAGTCACGCCCAGCAGTCTGCCGTGGTAGTTTTTGGCCACCATCATCACCTTGGCCTCGTCTCGAGGAATCCTTTTTTTCACGTACCCCCACGCGCGACACAGCTTGATCGCAAACTCAACGGCCTCCCCACCCCCATTTAACGGGAGCACGCGCTCAAAGCCAAAAGCCTTGCACACTTCCTCAGAGAATTGGGCGTACAGCGAGTGTGTAAAGCCGCGTCCGACCAGAGCGCATTTTTCGTACTGTGCCCTGACGGCCTCCACTATTTTGGGGTGGTTATGGCCGGTGTTGACGGCCGAATAGGCCGCTCCAAAATCCAGGTACTCGTTCCCGTCGACGTCGGTCACGTGGATGCCAGAGGCAGAGTCAAAGACGATCGGGACAGGAGTGTAGTTGTGGGCCGAGTAGGTGCGTTCTTTCAGGAGCAGATCGAGCGATTTTGGCGAGGCAGTAATCTTGAACGTCATTGGGAAGAAAGAGAGCGGAGCAGCAAGACCAGACTCATTTATGTGGCACAGATCTCTTATCAAAGGCTACTGCCCCATTGAGAAAGTTCCGATCCGATAATTAATTGTTGGCAGGGTAAACAGACCAAGGGCGAGAAGAAAAAAAATACAAGCTCTGGCTGTGCAGAGACTTTGTAAGTTTTAAAATTTTCTTGACAACAACCGTGTAATTTTCTTATTCAATTGAAAATGGTGGAAATCAACGAGGTGAAGGAAGGAGGCCACAGCAGAGAGCACAGAACCGCCACGCACACGCACATCAAGGGCCTTGGGCTCGACGAGTACGGAGCGGCAAAGAAGATCGACGGAGGGTTCGTTGGACAGAACGAGGCCAGAGAGGCGTGCGGGATCATTGTGGACCTCATCAAGTCGAAGAAGATGAGCGGAAAGGCGATCCTGCTTGCTGGTGGGCCGGGAACGGGAAAAACTGCCCTGGCGCTGGCCATTTCGCAGGAACTGGGTCCCAAGGTGCCGTTCTGTCCTATTGTTGGCTCAGAGTTGTTTTCCGCAGAGGTGAAGAAGACAGAGGCGCTGATGGAGAATTTCAGAAAGGCCATTGGCCTGAGGATCAAAGAGACCAAGGAGGTGTACGAGGGAGAAGTGATTGATCTGACTCCAGAAGAGGCTGAGAACCCATTGGGAGGCTACGGCAAGACCATCAACCACGTGATTGTGGGACTGAAAACGTCCAAGGGAACCAAGTCGCTGAAGCTGGACCCATCTATTTACGAGTCGATCCAAAAAGAGCGCGTGAGCATCGGAGACGTGATTTACATCGAGGCAAACACGGGGTCCGTGAAGAGAGTGGGCAGATCGGACGCGTACGCCACAGAGTTCGACCTGGAGGCCGAGGAGTACGTGCCTTTGCCGAAGGGCGACGTTCACAAGAAAAAGGAGATTGTCCAGGACGTGACTTTGCACGATCTGGACATTGCCAACGCTAGACCACAGGGAGGACAAGACATTTTGTCCATGATGGGGCAACTGCTCAAACCACGCAAGACAGAGATTACAGAAAAGCTGAGAACAGAAGTCAACAAGGTCGTTTCGAAGTACATCGACCAGGGTGTCGCCGAGCTGGTTCCTGGTGTGCTGTTCATTGACGAGGTCAACATGTTGGACATCGAGTGCTTTACGTTCTTGAACAGAGCCCTGGAGTCTTCCATTGCTCCAATTGTGATTCTGGCTTCGAACAAGGGAATGACCACTGTTAGAGGTACAGACGACTACAAATCACCACACGGCCTGCCTGCCGACCTGATTGACAGACTGCTCATTGTCAAGACTTTGCCATACAACCACGAGGAGATCAGAACCATTGTGATGAAGCGTGCCAAAGTCGAGTCCCTCCTGCTGACGCCTCAGGCCCTGGACAGACTGGCACAAATCGCCATGTCCACCTCGCTAAGATACGTGCTGCAGCTTCTTTCTCCGGCAGGAATTCTTGCCAAGGTGAATGGCCGCAGCGAGATCACCGTTGACGAGATTGAAGAGTGCCAGGTGCTCTTTTTAGACGCTAGACGCAGCACCAAGGTCTTGGAGGACTCCAAGGGATATCTATAGGATTAGAGCTGCTTGCCCAGCTCTGAGCACTCTCTTAAGAACTTTTCTGCCGTGACGATCTCTGTAGACCCGTAGCACACCAGTTTCTGTGGCGCCCCGGAGATCCCTGCGGTCTCGTTCACGCGGTTGCACCAGTCTTGCAAGTTGGAGTACTCGAGGTAGTTGCACCCGCCAACAATGAACACCATGGCCTCGTTGTAGCTGGACCTTTTTGGAGGCTTTGAGTGCGAGCCTCTGGTGAGATTCGGGTCGAAATACAGGTAGTCGTCGGTCATTTTGAGCGACTCCTGGTTCGCGTTGGTGGGGCTCATGATGGACTCGACAATGTTGGTCACAGGAAGATTTTTCTTCTCTGGTAGCAGATTTTTGAGCCCAGAAATCAGGCTTCCAAATCCCTCGCTCAGCTTGGACGATCCTTCGGTTAGCCCCATTAATTTGGACGACAAATTACTGAACAGGGCACCTTTGTTACCGCTGTTTGCCGAGGAGTCGGTGTTCAGATACGCCTCGCTGAGATTCATCGACGACAGCTTTGTTAGCTCCTTGACCTGTTTGATGTACTTGAGAGGAGTGAGGTCGCAATGAAGTTCCGCCAACGCCTTTTCACACTCGTCACAGAACGATTTCGGAAGGTCTGACGTCAATGTGAGCATGATGTAGGTTCGCAGCTTGTCCTCATGGTTGTCGCTTTTGGTCTGTGCTTTGAGAAGATCCAAGAACCGTTTTTGCGTCGCTGGATTGCCCACATTCTGCTCGACTTCAAAGAACGCGTCCAGATTCTTCGAGTCGAGCTCCTTGATCAGTTCGGTGAGTACCGTCATATGCATATCGATGATGTTCTTGCGCTGTGTGAGCTCTGGAAGCGCCTTGATCGCCTCCTGGATGTGCAGAGTATCTCTCTGGTCGGACGGGTCGATCTCCTTGATGGACGAGTACCCGGTCTTGGCAGTGATCTCGCGGGCCTCCTTGGTGTATTTTGACAGCTCTCGTTCGACGTTTTCGACGGCATCAGGGAACGGGAGCGAGGCGTTCGTGTTCCAGAAGAAATCCTTCGGATCGATGTCCAGACGCTTGATCTCGGTCTTGTCCCCGGTAAGCGTTTTTCTGATTTCAATGGTGTTTCTGTCCAGCCTGAACACATCGCTCACCATGCACTGATAAATCCACGAGTGCGCAAACATAGAGGCCAGGTCTATGTTTCTATCCAGCAAAACGAGCACCATTCTATCTGCGGCGGAGTGCTGCAGCGACGCCGACGCGCCCTGCCGGGTGTTTATCACGTGGTCTCGCAGTTTCTGGTCGAGTCGCTGCGAGATGAGCTCTGCGGGACCGCCTCTATTGGATCTGATGATAGGCACCGAGCCCATGGTCAGCACGGCCGCAAACAGCCCGTTGGCAATTCTGTCCGCTATCGAGGTGATGTCGGACTCGGTCGTCTTTGGGTTGTTGAACTGGGAGTACACGTTGGGCAAGTCCAGCGAAAACAGATTTGGCTCCGTAACCACAAAGTCCAGGTACTGGTCAAACACCTGCTTGACCCTGCCGGCCTTCCCGCTCAAGGCCACTTTTTTCGCAAATTCCTCGAGCAGTGACCGGCTCAGGCTGGAGGTGAAATTGACGTAGTAGTCGGCATAGTGCTCGTTTTCGAGATCGGTGATGATTCGGGCAATGTTCTCGGCGGTCGGCTCCACAAAGTAGATCACCGGCACGTCGGGCAGCGCCGCGCGTTTCTGTGTGATTAGCGAGTGCATCGTGATGCCGTACTCCAGCAAATCGTTGACTCTCAGCACCGACGAGACAATTGCCGTCGACCTCTGGTCCAGCACCAGAACCTTCCAAACAAGCTCCTCCTCGTTGGTGGACGACACGAGGTCAATGTCGGACCTCACGTTCAAGTGGAGCATGCGCTTGAGGTTTGCAATCTGCCTCTCGCGGAGACTGCTGGGGGCCGTTTCCAAAGACATGGTTTGTTGTTAATTTTAAATAAAAAGTTGGTGCAAGGATTAAACTAGTGCATCTATATTCTAGGGACGGGGCCACCAGGAGACTTTTTGGTGCGAGCGGTCAGGACCTCGACCCCGTCCTCGGTGACCAGCAGCGTGTGCTCAAACTGCGCGCTGGGTTTTCCGTCTGCGGTCGCCGCCGTCCAGTTGTCCGGCCACATGATGTCTCTATACGTGCCCATGTTGATCATCGGCTCTATCGTGAACGTTATGCCCTTCTTGCACGTACCCACGCCCTTGTTTTTGGCGTAGTGCAGCACGTCGGGCTGGCAGTGGAACAGAGTGTTGATTCCGTGGCCGCAGTACGTTCTCACCACCGAAAGTCCGTGCTTGGTAGCATGCTCCTCTATCACGTTTCCGATCTGTCTGAACGGCAGTCCCGGCTTCACCAGAGCAATCGCCTTGTCCAGACACTCTCTGGTGGTCTCGACTAGATTCACGAGCTCCGGATTGGTCCTGGCTTTTTCTCCAACGTAGTAGGTTTCGTTCAGGTCGGCATGGAAGCCGTTCTTGTAGATAGAAATGTCAAGGTTCACAATGTCGCCGTCCTCCAGCGGTCTCTTGTCGGGGATCCCGTGGCAGATGACCTCGTTCACAGACGTGCACACCGATTTCGGATAGTTGTAGTAGTTGTATGGCGAAGGATACGCTCTTCTCTTGAGCGTCTCCTCGTGAACAATACGGTCGATCTCGTCGGTGGTGATTCCCGGCCGGATATGAGCGGCTGCCGCGTCCAGAACCTCTCTGCCCAGCTGGTTCACTATGCGCATCTGGCGGATCTCGTCCTCGTTTAGGACCCGGATCTGGTTGGTCTTGTCGTTCTTGATCTCGCTAAGCGGCTTTCCGTTCTGGGCGTAGTCCGGCTTCTGGATCTTGTCTGGGATCCCTCTTGGCGGCGATAGAGGGTAGGCGGGCCTCAGGGGCCCTGTGTACTCAAAGTTCGGGAACGGATCGTACATGTCGACGCCCTCTTTGGGGTGGATAGCTTTGTGGATGTGGAAGCTTCTTCTGTAGCATCCGGAGTTGCAGAAATACATGGTGAGCCCATTTTTCAGGCAGATCGGACACTTCAGGTTCGAATTCGTCTCCTTGCCGCAATCTGGGGCGGCACAGCGTCTGGCTTCTTGTTCAGATGGAGCGGGATTCATCAGCAAAAATATTTATTTTTACGAAAAAAAATGTTTGAAAATTTTGTTTTATGGCTCCACCGCTCCAGATCAAGGGATACACCGTTTTCCCCGTCGTTTTCGACGCCACCACACACACCAAGAAGACTCTGCACTACATGTTTGTGAAAAAACATGTCACCAAGTCGTCGCCAGAGTCGCAGTCCCGGTCTCTGTTCATAGTCAATATACCCGTCGGCACCACTGTGAAGGCTGTGCGAAGCGTCTTCAGCACGATCGCCATGGGCGCCATTGTGGAGTCGCTGGCTGTGAACGAGCACTACAGTGAGCGCAACATGATAAATTACGACTACGAGATCAATCTCACCAGGCTCACCAACGAGGAGATGACGCACGAGGAAGAGCACCCTCCGATCCCTGTCGGGTGCGCTGTCGTGACGTTTGTGGATAAAAATGCACTGAATTTGGCCCTTGGAGCGATCAAGAAACTCGTGAATGCCTCGAATCCAAAGTATCCTGTGTGGAAGTCAGATCTTGTCACTGGCCATAAACGGTACACCGCGTCTAGAAAACTGGACTCGGAGCAGCTGGCGGCCCAGGTGGCACAGGCGATGTCTGATTTCCAGCAGCGCGAGCAGCAGCTCAAGGAAGAGCTCACTAATATGCAATCGACGGTGGACGAGGACGGGTTCACGCTGGTGGTTGGATCGCACAGAAAAACGAAAAACGGCATTTTGGGGTCGCTGAAACGCGCTGCAGACCTTGAGCAGGACGAGAAGGTGGTGAAAAAGATGAAGAAGAAGGAGAAACAGGACTTCTACAGGTTCCAGATCAGAGAGCGCAAAAAGCAGGAGATGAACGATCTGCTCAACAAGTTTAAAGAGGACCAGGAACGCGTGCGCCAGATGAAGCAAAAACGGCAGTTCAAGCCTTTCTAGACTATGTATTAATAACCGTCTACAGCCTTCCGCCCGGAGTCTCGTAGTTCATCGAGTCGAGGTCATCTGACTCTTCCACCTGTCGCAGCATAATGGACGGGTTCAGCCCCAGCTCCTGGAGCTCCCGGTACACCACCACTGGTTTTTCGTCGTATCCAAGGACTCGCTCCTGGTCTCCGCCGTACACAATCACCAGAGCGTACTTTTTCCAGTCCGAGACGTGCAGGTTGTGTCTTTTCATGGCTGCCTGGAGAATTTTGTGACATGGGTCTTCTGTCTTGGCACGGAGCTGTTTCAGAGGCTCGGAAGCGGCGCTGGAGCTGCCCATTGTTGGCAGCGTTCCCATCGACTGCGACATCGAGAGCCTGTTGGGCTTGTGGTATCTCGGCACGCTTTGAGAAGAGTTTGACTTGGACGGTGAGCGCGGCGATTGCGTAAGAGAGAGGTTGGACTGCGAGGCCAGGTTTGGGTTGGACCCGTTGAACTGGGTCTGTTCTGGCAAAATCGGGCTGATGATCGGCGGCGACGTGATGGATCTGCGCAGGCCTGACGTGTTGGGAGCAGAGTGCTGTTTTTTCAGGGCTGCCTGGGCTGGGATCGACTGTGGGACAATCGTAGTCTGCAGCTGGTTCTGGTGGTGCGAGAGCTGCGTTGGCGACATTCTGTCTGGAGTCGGAAGCGGTTTCTTGTCCTTGATCTCCTTGAGCACGGGCAGAAGATCTTCCTTGAGTTTATTGAACTGTTCTGTCAATTTGCGGCTCGTGCCGCCGTTGGACGAAAGTAGGCCCTCAGTGACGGAGTTGGCGATTGTTGACACCAGGTTCGTGGACACCACGAGCGTTTGCAGCTCTGCAGCAAGGGGATCCGTGTTGAACTTGAGCAGGTTCATGTTCTTCTTCATAAGCAGGTCGCTGATGTCGGACATCAGCTGCAGCCGCAGACTGAGCTGCTGGATGCCCATGTCGCGGAGCTCCTCGGTGTTCAGAAACGGCAGTGTCATGCCCGTGATGTTGTGAAGTTTGAACAGATCAATCACATCGATCGAGTAGTCCTTGTTCCTCAGCCACAGTAGGATCTGGTCGTTATTCCAGGACACAATATCGTTCGACGTGATGTCTTTGTTGGAGTGTGCAAGGACTATCGAAGACGGCCGCGGCCGTTGGACACTGGACATGATGAAATAAATAAATATAGTAAAAATACAATATATTTACGTATTATGTATTAATTTTAGGCCATGACATAAGCTGCCAAGAATCTACATGCCTCTAGATTTCTCGTCCACGCGGTCGTACGCTTTGAGCAGGACATTCCAGAAAACTTCCCTGTTGACATCGTACAGTACTTTGACGCCGTGCTCGGCCTCAGTGAACTCTAGCTTGCCGTCTTCGTCTGCTCCCAGATGAACGTCCAAATAGCCCGTTTTCCACTTGTACCCCAGATCTTCCAGCCCACAATACTGCAAAATTGCCGCTATGGCCACCGGATCGTGCACGCTCGGCCCAACGTAGCCTTCCCCCTGTCTGGCCTTGACCATGTGGTAGAAGTACTGCACCAGGTCGTACATCATCTTGCGGAACTCTGTAGCAGTAGCAGGATCGCCCTGGATCCGCTGGCGAATCTCGAGCGAGGCCCGGATTGTGGACGTCAGGTCCAGAGGAGCAAGGATCATGCGTTCGCTCAGCACGGGGTCTGCAAGGACAGCCTTCGCCGCCTTGGGGTCGCAGAAAACATTAAACTCAGAGCACCCGTTCTTGTTGAATTTGGCTAGTCCCCCGCCCATGATGCTCAAACACCGGATCTTGCTTCTCAGCTCGGGGTAATTTTCGAAAAACAGACAAATATTGGTCAGCGGGCCAATGGCGGCAAGGGCAAGCTCGCCTGGATGAGTCTCGATGAAATTTTTCAGATAAGGAAAGAACTCCTCGGGGTTTCTGGCCGCGATCTTTGGAACGGGGAGCTTGTCGCTGCCGTTCAGACCAGTGGGGCCGTGAACCTCGGGACAGTACTCCGGCTCGCGGTCCAGCGGCCGCGCAGCGCCAGGAAACACGGGCACGTCCTGTCTTTTTATCACCGTGAGGAATTTCAGCGCATTCATGGTCACGTTCTCCATCGAGGCGTTCCCGTGCACGGTGGAAACACCAACCAGGTCAAAGTGCGGGCCATACGCGCCGAGCGTGATCGCCACAACGTCGTCCTGGCCAGGGTCACAGTCTATCCACAGAGGAATCATTGTCTAAGTTATTCCGCGAAATCTCGGCCGAGGAAATAGAAACAAGGCAGTGCAAACCAGTGGGTCCGGGTGTAAGCAGCCGTGGGACGGTGTCTGTGTGCCTGTGTTATCAGCCGTAGTTGGTGGAACTGGTGCAGGTCCTGATGCCTATGTGAGCTGTCAGATGAAAATATATAAATCGCACATATAAAAATCAGTAAACATTATTTATCCCCTTTTTTATGCCCAAACAAGCCATTCCCGGAGTGGGCAAGTTCAAAGTCGCCGGAGACAGCAGAAAACCGCTGGCAGCACGACAGGCAAGCAGGAGTCTCGATGTTCCTTCTACACCAGCAAAAGAGACTTTTACCGTTGAAGGGTACCCAACTCCCAATACTTCCTCTGAGAACATAGAAAGAAAATCCCACAAACGCACAACCACGTTCCAGCTGCCAGAAGAGTTCTCAAGAGCAAAGTGCGATGCCCTGCTGTCCAAATATATGGAAGCTATCCACCCGCTAGTTCCACTTATTGACACCCATCACTTCTGCTCTGTGTATGAGAAGCCATGGCCAAATGAGAACCAGTTTGTGCTAGAGCTACTCACGATAATTTACTCAGCGACGATTATCACGAAAATGCCATCTCAGTCGCTGATAGACTTGATGTTCAGGTATCTGAGCATTGCGCCTCCGTTACAGAAGTGCCAATCCTTGACAGTTCTGCTATTTGTTCAGCCCAAAAACCCATTTGGATCGATATCCACGTTGCTGAATCTTTCGGATCTGCTCGAGCTATACAGAGACCCGGTCTTGTACCACCAGATACAAAACGTCAGAGAGATCCGGCTTCGCAGGACACTATGGTGGCTGCTTGTACAGCTGGATTGTTTCTCGTCCCTGAAAACCGATTTTTCACCGGCTACATCGAAAAATATAGTGGACACAAAAATGCCAAGCGAAAATTGGTCCGTCGATGGGTTCTCTGTTAATCCGAGCATGGCTCTACTTTGCGGCGTCTCTCACTGGTGCATGTGCTGTAACGAGGTCTGGCAGGGAAAGCATAGCCACCAGCCAATTAGTTCAGGCCAAGCGGCAAAATATAGACAGGATGTCGAGAACCTTGCTCTCGCCTGCTCCGCTACAATTCAGAAACTAGTAAACTCCACTTCGCAAAAAGAAAACGACTTCATACAGCTTGCAATTGCCGTGCTTGCTTCATTGCCAGATAGGCTGAGGCTGATAATTGAATTGGCAACAGATAAAATAGGATTGGTTGCGTTTCACCGGACTGACCACTATCTAATACAATCTTTACTGATTCCCTCATATTCCAAATTCGCTTGGTACTCATTTTTTGAGCCACTACAAATTTGCATCAGCTTGTTCCGTTCTATCCTGGACCAGATCCGCTATCAGCATAGCAAAGCGTCGATTGTCTCGAGTGCCAATTTCAGGCTTTTGCAAAAAGCCATACAATGCAGCTCCCACCCCCAGCTGAAAATCCTCTTCAACGAATTGTGGAGTCAATTTTTCATGTCCCAACTGGGAAGCTTACAAATCAATACGCTTCACGGGATGCATAGGAACGTGACTGCCCTTAAACTCCGATACTTCGACCAAGAACTGCTAGCTATTACTAATTACTCTGGTGGATTTTTCTGACTTTGTGCGGCGAGGCGGCTTGCGCCACACAATTTATCACTCTGAAAAAGTCATGTGGATGGTAGCCACATACTCTGTGGAGTAATATAAAAGCAGTGGCTGCTCTATTTCCAAACCATCATCAAAAATGTCCTCTACCACAACCCTCAAACTCCAGGCTATTCCAGTTGATAAAGAAATCGAAAATCTTATCAGAACCTCCAAAGAGATTGCTATTGGTCTCAATGCAAATGACACTCGTCACTTTGGGCCTGATCCTGACGGATTGAAGATTCTTCCTGAGTCCACTAGAAAACGTCTTGTTGATGCTGGCATTGACATTTCTGAAGGTTACCCTTCGAGACCAGACAAGTCTCTTATTCCAGTCTACGTCGACGAGGCTGCTGCCATCCGTGACGACGACTACGAGTACATCGAGCGTGCCAAGAGAGCTGACCCTGAGAAGAAAGCTCTTCTTGGTGCTGCCAAGCAGGTTATTCACTTGACTAACCACATTGGTACCGAGATAGTTGGTTTGCAACTTGAGGACCTGACTGACCAGCAGAAAGACGAGCTGGCTCTGTTGGTTGCTGAGAGAGTTGTCGTCTTCTTCAGAGACCAAAAGCTTTCTCCTCAAAAGCAATTGGAGCTTGGTGAGTACTGGGGACGTGTCGAAAAGCACCCTCAAGCTTCCCAGGTGAACGGCTTGCCAGGTGTTTCTGTTATCTGGCAAGACTACTTTCAAAAGTCCCTGGGTGTTGGTCTGACTTTCAAGAACAACAACCTGGGTAACTTTGATGCTACCAAGAATGCCGTGAGAGGTACTCAGGTCTGGCACACTGACTTGGTGCATGAGAAGCGTCCCGCTGGACTGACTCACTTGCATTTGGATGCCATCCCTGAGTTCGGTGGTGACACCCTGTGGGCATCTGGTTATGCTGCTTACGACAAGCTATCTGAGGAGTTCAAGAAATTCCTTGACGGCAAGCAAGCTGTCTACGTTTCTGCCCACGGATACTTAGACAGAAAGAACCCATTTGCTGGTCCAAAGAAAATCGAGAGAGTCCACCCTATCATCAGAACTCACCCAGCTACCGGCTGGAAGTCCTTGTTCGTGAACAGAGGCATGACCAAGAGAATTGTCGGTCTCTCTTCTGTTGAGTCTGACTTGATCCTTAATTACCTGTTTGAGGTCTTTGAGAAGAACGCTGACATCCAGGTCAGATTCAAGTGGACTCCTTCCAAGCCAGGTTACGGTACCTCTGCCATCTGGGACAACAGAGTGTCTCAGCACAGATCTACTTGGGACCACGAGGGCAAGGAGTCCCGTCATGGCACCAGAGTCACCTCGTTGGCTGAGTTGCCATACTTTGACCCAGAGTCAAAGTCCCAAAGAGAGGCTCTCGGATTGCCTTTGGACGAAAAGGATTTCTTCTAAGCTACGTGCGTAGTGAAGTATGATTTGTAATCTGAAAAAATGAATGCAGCCAATACACCATAATAAGTGAATTAGTAATAGATGCCAGGTGAGGCGTCTTAAATCAGGCAGCCCCTGATAGCTGCCACAGACAGGGTTGCATACAAATGCAGTTTTTCTTAAACAGTGGTTTCTGTGGCTACCATTGTGGCTCGTAGGCTTTGCGGCTCGGAAGCCATAATCTATTTTTTTTTGCAACTAGATAAAGGGTGAATGATCTGTCTGTTGATCCAGCATGTCCATCAAAAAAGACGACCTCATAACCACCAGCGAGATTGACAGCGCCAGCTCTCAAAAAATCGACTTGTCTGTTGACAAGCCTCTCACCAGAAAGGACAAGATTTTGTCCCTTCTTTGGGACGGCTACAAAAAAGACCCAAGGGAGCAACGCTTCTTGCTGAAGCTGGACTTCTTCCTGATGTCCAGTTCCATGCTGGGATACTTCATCAAAAACCTGAACCAGTCGAACGTGACCACCGCGTACGTTAACGGTATGAAGGAGTACTATGCTATGGATCAAAATCAGTATAACTACATGATCACTCTGTGGACAGTTGGATACACCCTTGGTGCCATTCCCTCCAACATAATTTTGCACAGGGTTTCCGCCCGGTACTATCTTGGAGGACTGGAGATTATTTGGGCTGTGCTGACGCTTTTGATGGTTGCCTGCGGACCAGACAAAATCAACGGTATATACGCCATTCGGTTCTTGATGGGCTTCTTAGAGGCAGGATACTTTCCTGGCCTCGAGTATCTTCTTGGTTCGTGGTTCAGTCCTGGTGAGCTTTCAAAGAGATCGTCGTACTTTGCGTGCTCCGGTATTGCTGCCAGTATGATATCTGGCCCTCTTCAGGAATCAATCCTGAAAGGCTTTTCAGAGTCCAAGCTGGAGCCATTCAAGTGGATGTTTGTGTTTGACGCTGTGATTTCGGTTCCGGTTGGAATCTACACCATGTTTGTGGACCCTAACACTCCTTCCACCACCACTGCTTTCTATTTGAACGAGACAGACAAACAGGTCGCAGTGGAGAGACGTCGCCAGATGAAGGCAGAGCTCAAGACCAGACACAAATACAACTGGGCCCGTATCAAGGAGTTCTTTGGAACCTGGCACATCTACGTGTTCCCGGTTCTGTTCCTGTGCTACAACAACACCTGTGCTGCCATCAGTCAGCCAACCTTCACCACCTGGATGAAACAAGACCTCAAGTTGCCATCCAGCCAGTATAACACATATCCGTCCATCTTGTATGGTGCCGGTATTGCGCTCACCCTTGTGTTCTCGCATGTCCACGATTACTTTGGCGGAACCTATAACTACGTTCTTGTTGGGCTCTACTTTGTGATGATGATTATTGGAAGCTCTATGCTGGCAGCGTGGGACATTGCTCGTCCTGCCCACTGGGCAGCTTACTTCATTGTCGGTATGCCGACCGCTTGGGGACAGCCTCAGATTTTCTCCTGGGTGAACCGGCTGCTCTTTGGCAACGATATGAAGAGAAACTTCACAGTGGTGTGCACCAACACTCTGGCCTACGTGACGGGTGCATGGGTGCCTATTTTGGTGTGGAATGCTCAGGACGCTCCAAGATACCCAATCGGTTTTAGATATAACGCCGGCCTGGCAAGTCTGGGACTTGTGATGACGGTGACTGCCTGGTACTTCACCGCGAGAGACGCCAAGAGAAAGGCGCTGCTGGAGTCGCAGCCGGACGAGGTTGAGCCCGCTCACCTGGTCTCGTCAAGCTCTCTCTAAAATACTATTTAACGCTATAGAGTCGACTGACGTAGCTCGAGCAAAATGAAAATAGACTAGTGCTATGCGAAGTAGAAAAAAGATCAATAGAGACTCCTCGTGATTTGCTGCCGTCGCGTTACCTCTGGACTAGGCTGGACGTACGGTAGACCGGGGGCGTACGCTTAGACCACTTTGGAGTGAAATTAATAGCTGCAAAATGACTGGCCGTCCACAGCTGTCATTCGTGCTCACGTGCGATTGTTTGTGCTTGACACACTCTGCGTGCATGAAATGTACGGGGAAATTCTATTTCCTCCCCATGGCGCAACTCCTGCACTGCAAAGCTAATTCACACAGATCACGTGACATAAAAGATTCGTGCTGGCTGTGGTAGCCACAGGCCCGTAGCCTGATTTGTGGAGAGCCACTGTATGTATATATATGGAAGAGCCAGATTCTTATTGTCCAACATGACAAACTCGATAAATAAAGTGGCTATCATTGGTGGAGGTGCCGGAGGACTTGTCACGCTGAACGAGTTTCTCCACACATCGAAGTCAGGTAGATCCACCATCACCAAGGACGAGGAGCGCCACGAGCTTCCGGAAGAGCCTGCTTTTGAGGAGATCGTAGTTTTCGAACAGAACAGTTCTATTGGTGGAGTCTGGAACTACACCAAATATGCCGACGAGGGCTTCCCCACAGATGTGGAAGAGTACTATTCTCCTTTGGGAATTCGTCCACCCAGGGAGCCTCCAACAAATCTGGAAAACACAGACAGCACAAAGCCGGTCGAAGTGGAAGCCCGGAGGACTCATAGATGGAACACCAGCGGCGTGTACGACGGGCTCTACACGAACGTTCCAATTCCAGTTATGCGATTCTCCTCGGGTCCACCGGTGAAAAGCGGTGTCGATTGCGATTTCCACCCGTTTGTGATGCACCACCATGTGCTGGATTACCTTAGGGATTTTGCCAGGATCAACGATCTAGAGAAGTACATCAGATTTAACTCGTCGATCGAGCAGATGTACAAAGATGAGGCTTCTGGCAAGTGGATTTTGACTGTCGTCAACACTGAGAACGGTATGGAAAGATGGTACCGAGAAAAATTTGACGCAGTTGTCGTTGCTGTTGGCAAGTTCAACATTCCGTATTTCCCCAAGATTCCGGGACTTCCAGAGTACTCCAGTCGAAACGGCAACGTCAGACACGCCAAGAGCTACAGAAATGCCCAGTACTATAAAGATAAGAAGCTGTTGATTGTTGGAAGCAATGTGAGCGCTGTTGACATGTTGCAGTACCTTGTGCCTGTTTGCAAGGAAATACATGTGAGCATGAATGTCTCGAGGATTGAGGACTTCAATCTCGAGAAGAGTCCTGCGAAGAACTGGATCGAAGAAGTGCTCAAAAATCCAGAGTTTGGCATCAGGCTCCATCCAAAAATACACCACTTTTCCCAGACTTATGTCCGGTTCCATGACGGAAAACAAGAGCATTTTGATGAGGTTATTCTGGCTACTGGATACCACACCTACTATCCGTTTTTGAATGTTCCCCAGAACGAGGGAAAAGAATACGCAAAAATTCTGCCAAGCTCCGAGAAGGACAGAGAAGGGCAGTTGAATATTGTGAGGAACCTATACCTATATACGTTTGCAGTTGGTGATCCAACATTATGCCATATAGGACTTCCAATGACGCCTCTGTTTTTCCTGCTATCCGAAGTCAGCGCAATAGCAATAGCAGGTGTGTGGACCAACGCCAAGAAACTTCCTCCGCCTGAGAAACAACGAGAGTGGATCGAACACTACGAGGACCTAAAGAGGAATGGTGCATCTTTACTGATGCCAGACTTTGCGTTGAATCTCTACAACGAGATTCACAGCTACTGCCCTAAAGACAGATACAACTTTTTCGATACGAATGGCAGTGTCGACATAGCTGCCATCAAAAAGGCCTCTAGAGAATACTTCTACAAAGTCATATATGGGAAACTCCAGCCAGCATAAGATGATACATAAATAGAGACATAATAATACTAGACATGATAATGGCCCTGCATGATAATTCAGTCTGCAAGGCCCTAAGATTATTGACTGAGACTCGATAGTGTTTTATCAGTACCAGTACGGGAAAAATGTAGATAAGAGACTTGCAGTTACGTTATCAAAAAATCCCAGCTCAGCCGCACAAGTAAATTTTCCACGACAATTAAAAGATAAGAAACAGGTGAGCTCATGGGCGATCTACTTTTGAGGACAGACTAGGGTGGTGATTAAAGCAATAGTAGGCCAAAGGTTTGCTATCCCTTGAAGACTTGTGTCTTTGGCAATCTCCTTAGGTGGACTAGACGCGAATAGAGCTTGACAATCCAGTTCTTTCGTGAATTTTGATTATATTGAAACAGACTAGGTAGTTCAGCATGAGAGTATTTTGCAGTTAGTCAAGGCTGCTCACTCTAGTTGAAGACCTCAGTTTTCAGATCGAGTATGTCGAGTTTTGGGTTTAGCGATATACAGCCGTATTTTTTAACAAAAAGCTGTCTAGTATAGCAGCCCCATGTGGGCTCTAGGAGACTTACCCGAGCCACCAGGCACAAAATCAATCTTGTCTAATCTTCACGTGGATTTATTTGCATGTGCTAGCATGACCAAGTTTCCTGCAACTCTTAGTCCAAACTCACACCAACAAATTCCTCCGTGCAAGATTTGATGGTACTAAGGAAAATGCGTTTCCATCATGCGAGAAATTGTCTGCTAGTTGGTGCTGAATGCTTTGCTCTACTCAGAAACAAGAACAATGTTCATTGTGCTGAGAAGCATGCACCAAGTTAGGCTGAAAATAAGAAAGGCAATGAAAATGTGGATGGGCAGAATAAAGGCAACGATGTGAAGTCTCTGAATAGGCCGGAATCTCTATACTAAATGTTGAAGCTGTAATTGATTGATACCTTTGGAAGCAATAGACTTCAGAAGAAGTGCCACAACAAGCTGCTTTTGTGGATTAGTTCTAGTGGAGTTTCTGCAAATTGCAACTTAAGTAGTTTTGAAGGCTTGCTTTGTATATGACATGTGACTCTTCTGGGTATTGCTCTCCTTGAATACAGGGTCTCATAACGTTGCTAGGTAGTAGAGCGTTGCGCTACAGCTGTTGGAAAGATTAACTTAAATAATATATAAAGGATTTGGCTTTCTCTGGGTACTAATGCAGCACAACTACGTGGCAGGTTTGCCAAACAGCGTGCTTAGTTAGGGCACCATCTTTTGCCCTGCTCTTTACCTACTACAAGACTGCTCATTGAATTGCATCCAAATCGAGGAACTGAGGTCTGTTTCGCTAGGATGTTAAGGAGAGGAGTCATTGGAAGAGCCCAGCTTGGAATTTCATCATGGCTCTTAGTAGTTGACCAGATTCTCAAAGTTCCATCCTGCCAATTGCTCAAATGGAAAAAGACTAGAATTTCAGTCAAAAATCTTATCAAGCCAAGTATGCATGCTGCGTTTCGAACTCCAAAAATTTTCGCAGTGTGGGGAAAGCACAACAGATTTATTGTCGTGCTCAAGCGCTTTTAAAATATTGCAATCTATTTTAGGCCCATTAACTCCTTAAGTATGAGCACATTTGACGTGGATGACATCTTGAGTCAATTACATGTAAAAGAAAAGGTTCGATTACTTTCGCTGAAAGACTTTTGGCACACAACAAACATCGATCGATTGAACATCCCCTCTATCAGACTAAGCGATGGCCCTAACGGCGTGAGAGGAACCAAATTCTTCAGATCTGTTCCCTCCGCTTGCTTCAGCTCGGGCACTGCGCTTGCAGCAACCTTTAACATGCCGCTTCTGGAGCAATTGGGCCAATTGATGGCCGAAGAAGCTCGTCACAAAGGTGCTCATGTTATTTTGGGACCAACCTGTAATATCGCTAGGGGACCTTTGGGAGGCCGCGGTTTCGAGTCCTTCAGCGAGGATCCATACCTTTCCGGAATTTCTGCGGCAGCAATTATCAAAGGTATCGAATCACAGGGCGTTGGGGCTACTCTCAAACATTTTGTTTGTAACGATCTTGAGGATGAGAGAAACTCCGTCGACGTGATACTTTCGGATCGGGCATTGAGAGAGGTTTACCTGCTGCCGTTCCAAATCGCAATTAGGGAAGCAAATCCTAAATGTGTTATGAGCTCGTACAACAAGGTGATGGGAGAGCATGTTTCGCAGTCTAAGAAGCTTCTGACTGATATTCTTCGAAAAGAGTGGGGATGGGATGGTCTTACCATGTCCGACTGGTTTGGAGTTTACTCCATAAAGAGCTCTTTGGATGCTGGGCTGGACCTTGAGTGTCCTGGGTATCCTCTTATGCGCAAACACGACGCTTTGATGCATGCGATATCCTCAAGAGAAATCAGCATGGACGTAATTGATGACCGTGTCAGAAACATTCTGAAGCTTGTTCAACATGCTCTGAAGTCTGGAATCCCGTCAAAGGCTCCGGAGGATTCTGCGAACAATACTCCCGAGACCTCTGCTTTGTTGAGAAAGGCAGCTTCCGAAGCTATCGTTTTGCTAAAAAACGAAAACTCAATCCTCCCACTCAAACGGTCAGATCGAATCGCTGTCATTGGGCCAAATGGGAGAGTTCCAAGAATTTATGGAGGAGGATCAGCTTCGGTCAATAGCTATTATGGGGTATCCGTTTACGACGGTATCTCAAATAAAATTGGCTCGCAGCCGCCATACTCTATGGGATGCGACATTTCCCACAATATGTTTGATTTGGGTAAGTTGGCTTCATACAAGGGAGAACCAGGAGTGTGGATCAAGGTATACAAAGAAGCTCCTGGCACTCCTAACCGGACCCTTCTTGAGGAATTCAGATATGACTCTTTGCAACTAATGCTGTTCGACTACAATCACGAGAAGCTCGACTCTTCATTGTTTTATTTTGACATTGAGGGAGAATTTACCTCTGATAGAGATATGAGCTACGATATACATTTATCCTGTTTGGGAACGGCATTGCTGTACATCGATGGAGAATTATTTATTGATGATAAAACCAGTCAAAAGATGGGCTTTGCTGCCATTGGTGCAAGTTCTCTAGGTGACACCAAGACTATCAGCATGAAGAAGGATGAAAGCATTAAATTCAAAATTGAGTTTGGGTCAGCCCCAACTTTCACCCTGGAGACATTGGATCTAGTTGGCTCTAACGGGGGCGGATCACTTACGGTCGCTATTGGGGAAAAGATTACAGACCAAAAGAGAATAAATGACGCTGTCGAGCTTGCAAAGACAGCAGACAAGGTGATTCTTTGTGTTGGAACTTCGAATGATTGGGAAAGCGAGGGTTTCGACCGACCACATATGGATTTACCCAAATCTCAAGGGATCCTTATCGATGAGATTTTGAAGATCAACAAAAATATCATCCTGGTGAACTTGTCAGGTACTCCAGTCACACTCCCACGGGTAGATGACATTCCAGCTGTTGTTCATGGCTGGTTCAATGGTATGGAGTCTGGAAATGCTATGGCTGACGTTCTCTATGGCGATGTAAACGCTTCTGGCAAGCTTCCTCTTTCTTGGCCAAAACGATGCGAAGACAACCCCTCGTTCTTGACTTTCAAATCTGACAAGGGAACTGTCGTTTATGGTGAGGATGTCTTTGTTGGATACCGTTATTACGAAAAAACTCTTCGCGAGCCTCTTTTTGCGTTTGGCTACGGATTGTCCTATACAGCTTTCCAATTCAGGGACTTGGATGTGAAGATAACATCCGAAGACTTGGTCTGCACCTTAAAAATCGAAAACGTTGGCAAGTTCGGGGGTGCTGAAGTTGCACAGTTGTATGTAATTCCCCCTTCGACGACAACCGCTGTCTCTCGCCCGCTGAAGGAGTTCAAGGGCTGCCAAAAGGTACACTTGGAGCCTGGCCAAACGATCACAGCTACCATTTCCGTCCCGATCAAGTATGCTTGCTCTTACTTTGACGTAGAGAGACAGAAATGGTCGATTGAAAGTGGAGAATATGGAGTGTTTATTGGAAACTCCTCTGATGCTACAGATGCTCTTATTGGGAAGTTTGTTATCAACAAGCCTTTGCTCTGGAACGGCCTTTAGGGTGAACATCCAAACGGTGTGGCGCTTGTTCGTTATTGCTAAAATGTATCACAGCTAATCAACATCTTGCTGGTCTCCGATCATTTCGAAGCAAGCAATATTGGTGTAGCTGTATACCACGGTTCTTTCTTTTCCATTTATTCAAGCCCTGGAAGAAGATAAGCCGAGAAAACTCATGCATTGATTAATGACTATTTCAAGAACTACATTAAGTGAATGCTACTCTATCAGCTTGCCAGAGTGAACAAAGTGGGGCGCACGGTGCACGGATCTCGTCGCATAAACTCTCTATGGCCTTGGTAGATCTTTTTCATGCTTGTAACCCGAGAGATGGTAAGGTTGTTGTCCATACCTTCGCCTGATGATGAGCTTTTTACTGATGCCATTTTCTATCTTCGGACAAGAAACTCCGCAGAACCAGATTTACAATATTCCAAGTCCTGTCGCTAACCAGGTAGAGGCCAGCGCCAAAGTGAAGTTCAAGGCGCCTACAAATTTGGCGATGGCTTCGTTTCAGAGAGCCTCACACCAACGTGATTATAGGCAGATCTTATTTGAACCCTGACAAAATCTTGCTGTCACAGAAATGCTGTCGTTTCTTTTTGAGTGTCTGATTTTTAGGTCCGCGACCAGTCTCTGATAAGAATATGCTATGGTAGTCCAGCAACATAATCCGTGATCCTCACCAAAAGCAAATTACCCGCAATGGAGGCTGACGAGCGCAGCAAATGTATCAACTCTATGCGACAAACCTACATATGCCAAACAACAACTCCGAATGCATGAACCTCCTTCACATTGTAGAACCAATTGTCAAAGAGCAGCCCATTATTTGTCACAACGCGCGCAACAACACTCGGCGCGAGCTGACTTTGTGGTTGGTTGGGCAGCAGTAGCGGAATTGAAGTCAAGATAAAAGATAAGCCTTTACTGAAATGAGTGAGACTTTTGAGAATGCCGAACAGCCAAAAAGTCGTTCTATTGTTGAATATGCAAAATTTCACCTTTCCTTCCTAAAAAGTAAGCCAAACGGCATCCATCAAAAAATCTTCAGATAAGTAAAAAAAAGTCCTCCAGCATTCTTTATGGATCGTCTAAGAAGGCTGGACCAGTTGATCTCTATCAGAGACGACTCAGAAAATGACCCGGATCAGTTACGTTCTAACTATGATCTGAACCCGACTCCACCAAAGGAAAGGACCTGGGAGATGTACAACTACTTCATTGTCTGGTTCCAAAATTCTCTCACAGTCACAGCATGGAACACAGGCCCCTCCTTGGTGTTGTCGACGGGACTTGACTACCGCCAGGTCATTTACGCCTCTCTTATTGCCAGCTTCTGGGCTGCTCTGATGGTCACAGCCAGTGCTTGGCCCGGTGCATCCTACCATATAGGATACCCTGTTTTGGCCAGAAGTGTGTTTGGTCCTAGACTTGCAAAGTTCTTTGTTCTGGCCCGTATGTTTGTGGCTGCCATGTGGTTCAGTGTCAACACTTACAACGGTGCGATGTGTTTTGTTGTCTGCTTCCGCTGTGTTTTCGGCCACCGCTGGGTGAACCTCCATAACGGCCTCCCTGCGAGCGCTGACATTACCACTGCCCAAATGATCGTCTTCCTGGTCTTCTGGCTGGGGCAGTTCTCTCTTATGTTCTTGCACCCACGTCAAATCAGATGGTTTTTCACCGTGAAGGGATTTTTGAGTCCTATCGCGTGTTTTGGAATTTTCATCTTCTGCATGGTGAAGGCGGGCGGAGCTGGGAACTTTGAGATTGAAAAAGGAACTTTCAACACTTCAACTGGAAACAAGTGGATGTACGTGTTCAATTCTGTTGCTGGTGCGCTTTCTCCAATGATTGTGAATCAGCCAGATGTTGCTCGTTACTCCAAAAGAAAATCCCATGTGCTAATTCCTCAGGCTGTCGGTGTGATCCTCACCACCATGCTAGTTCTGATCTTGGGTATGGCCTGTAACTCTGCACTGAAAAAAGTTTACGGCGAGTCTTACTGGAGTATCTGGGATATGTTCGACGCAATTCTAGACCACGAGTGGTCCGCAAAAACCCGCACTGCCATCTTCCTGTGCGCCTTGGTGTTCTCGCTTTCTGCCGCTGGCACTAACGTGTTTGCCAACTCCATTCCGTTTGCTGCAGATATTGCCTTTCTGGTTCCTAGATATTTTTCTATTGTCAGAGGGCAGCTCTTCATTGGTTTGCTGACATGGGCTTTGGTTCCATGGAAAACAGTCAACTCTGCTGAAACGCTCCTGAACTTCCTGGGTTCCTATTCCATCTTCATGGGTCCGCTTCTGGGATGCATTCTCGCCGACTTCTTTGTGCTCAGAAAGGGCAACTTGCACGTTCCGTCTCTCTATTCAGCCAAGCCAGGATCACTGTACTGGAAATGGCACGGTTGCAACATGTGGGGACTGTTTGCATGGGTCATTTCTCCGGTGATTGCTCTTCCTGGATTTGTTAGACTATATCACCCAAACATTCTGAACGAGACGGTGAGTGATATCTTCAACTGCGGCTGGCTGTATACGTTCCTCATTGGGTTCACGGCATACACCATTCTAGGCCTGATTTTCAAACCAAAAATATATCCAGACAACCATGCTGATGCGCCAACGACCTTTGAATACATGGTGCCATTCAACGGGTTCTTTGAGGACGACGCTCCTATAAACGGTGTTGGCAATCCAGCGGTCACCCCTCCGGAGGCAAGCGATGTGGAGAGCGGCAGAGTGGAGGAAATCAAGGACGACAAGATCCTTCTGCGCGAGAAAACCATCGATTAGAAGGCCTAATGATACTCGGTTCTATTCTAACGTAGATCTCCAGACATGGTCTAGTGTATGAGACGTTTTATCTTGCTTCGAATCGCTACGTGCTGTGCACGTCTTTTTCCGTGCTTTCCGTGCTGCTATTATTTTTATTTAATTTTCGACCTTAATGTATGTTTTAGGTAATCAAATGTGGGAGTAGTTTATTTTGAATAAAGCTCCCCAGCCAATGAGAGCGACCTATAGGGATATCATCGAGGTTGATAAGAAACGCCAGTTAGTGGATCTGGACTACGCAAGAACAGTATGCGCGGAACCAGGCTTTTATCTATTTGATGAAGAGTTTCGATCTGTTCTGGGCTTGTCTCCTGAATTGACATGCCTTGAGACGCGGGATTTTCGATTTGCACATGAAGCTGGGGTTTACCACAGGGAGACAGACTCCATATACTTTACGTCGAATTACAGCGCTGGCAACCCCATAAAGCTTTACCGGGTCCATTGTGAATCTTACGAGGTTGAGGAGCTGGATTACTCCGGGGTGATTCAAGCAAATGGTGCTTGTCAGCACAAAGGCAACATCCTCTATTGTGCTCAGGGCGATCTCACGCATCCCTCGTCACTGATGGAAGTCAACCCAGTCACAGGTGAAACTAAAACCCTAATCAATAATTTCTTTGGGAGAGAATTCTCTTCAATAAATGACGTTGTTGTGCATCATGAAACAGGTGACATATGGTTTACCGATCCTACTTACGGATTCGAGCAAGGATTCAAAAAAGAGCCCGTGCTCCCAAATCAGGTGTACAGATTCAGTCCTGAGACGGGTGAACTCTGCGTGGTTGCAGACCAGTTTGATATGTGCAACGGACTCTGTTTCAATCATGATTATACGAAAATGTATGTTACCGATACTGGGGCAGTCAAGATGGATAAAGAGAAGGGAATTTTCACTCACAATCCCAAAAACCCAAGCGTTATTTACGAATATGACGTTGTTGATAGCAAGCGATTATTCAACAAACGAGTCTTTGCATTCTGTGATGATGGAATCCCAGATGGCATCAAATGCGACATCCATGGCAACGTGTACTCAGGATGTGGTCATGGCATTCACGTTTGGAATGCAGCTGGGGCTCTTATAGGAAAAATCATTACTGGGGAGGTTTGTGCTAACTTCTGTTTTTCTGCAAGCGGGATGTGGATATTCTCAGAGTTTCACTTATTTTTTTGCAGTTTGGCTACCAGAGGAGCCTTGGTGAATGTTGAGTGCTACTGAATGTGCAAATATATTCTCTCCGGACTTGATGCTGATTACAACTCGCTTTCCATCTTAGTATAATCACAACCTGGCAAGTGCTCAGGAAAAATGACTTGTTTCAGCACAGTTTGCATCGCTCCCTCACGCTTTTGAAGTGATAATAAAGTCTAACATGCAGTGGTCGAGGGAACCAATAAAGCTCAGGCTCAATGCATGCCTAGTAACAAACAGCATTCCAATCATTTTGGGTGCGCTTAATTTTGCAATGCTCCTCAGCTCGATTGATCCGCTAGACCTCAGTTTGTGATTGCATAATCAAGAATGGCTATTTTACAATAATTAAACGGATTGATAATGAGCTTGATCTCAGAATCAGTGTGGTACAGCTATCGTTCACAAGTTGCCAAGTGATAATTTGACTTGCAGTCAGCAATGGAATACAGCTCAAGAAATCCTCATATAGGTCTGAAGATTATTTAGGGCAGCTCGTTGAAACGACTAGAGGTTGAAGCATTTTGCAAGATAGATATCAACATTTTCCTTACTGTAATTATCGCTGCATATCAGAGATTTTGAGGAACTTCTTTGATCTTTTTTTCTACCATCAAGGCCAAGATACAGACAAAGTCACTGGGATTCTTTAAAGCTATCACACACGAATTTCAATAGACAAAACTGATTTTGCAGCTACCACAACGAGAGATATCCCCAAACGTATGCTGAATACCTAAAGATAGCTTTCAAATGCTTTTGACAGGAACTCATTATGTTGAAGGCAGCTGCTGGATTAGCTACAACTTTGTGAGGCATGAGTACAAATGTTGTAAAGGGAGGTCTAGGAGTGTATGATCAAAAAACTTCATGAGCTTGATTTCAATTTAATATCTGCACCTTTGAGTGGGTGACAAGCTCTACAAATGCCTTGAAAGGGGCTATACGTGGAGACTTTCCCCATGCTAATCAATCAAAAATAAACTCTTGCAAAATAAATATATTAGCATTAATTGATATCAAGCTCGCTCAGGCGATCGGCATCGTACCGCAAGATTGTTTCAAGTAGAACCTTGAACCCTATGAATATTTCTTCCGGCTTGGTATACTCCTTTGGGTTGTGACTGATGCCATCCTTGCTAGGAACGAATATCATGGCAGTTGGAACGACATGGTTGGTGTTGCAGGAATCGTGGCCCGCACCACTGACAATTTTATGGGACAAGCTTTCACCAACAATACTCGAAGCAGAATCTTCAATGATTCCAAGCATTTTGGTATCAAAATGCGATGCAGGGGAGTGGATAAGCAGGTTTGTCGAATACGCCAACGGTTTTCCATTTCCTACCGTATTTTTGGAAGCTTGACCTATAATACCAAAAACCTCTGACTCCATCACCTTGTGTACATTATCGTCACAATGTCTGAAATCTATCGCAAAGGAAACTTTCTCAGGAATGACATTGACAACATCTGGTTCTATCGAGATTTTGCCTACTGTCGCCAGTCCTCCATGGCTTTTCGCCATTTCGTTAAGCTTCCAGATCACTTGCGAAGTGGCAAGCAACGCATCTTGACGAAACTCCAACGGCGTGGTTCCAGTATGCTGCGCGGTTCCTTCAAAAGTGACCTCAATCCACGAAAATGCTTGGGCTCCTGTGACAACACCTATTTTTTTGTCCAAGGCCTCTAGAATTGGCCCTTGCTCAATATGAATCTCAAAATGACATTTTAAAGGATTGGAACGGTGACTGCAGTCCACTTCACCAAAATAGCCAATTCGCTTCAGCTCGTCTTCAACAGTGACAGTGCTATCAAACACATCTTGTAGTTTGTAGACGTCTTCTTTTCTAGTTAGACCAGCCCATACAGATGAGGCCATCATACTCATCGGAAAACGTGCACCTTCCTCATTGCACCAGTTGACAAGAGTGATGGGGAAATTAGGAACATAATTGTTACTCTTCAGTGTTCTTAAGACTTGCAAACCGGAAAGAACACCGTAAATGCCATCGTATCTTCCTCCTGTCGGCTGCGTATCCAGATGAGATCCAATACCGGTTGCAAGATGATCATTGTGTTTTCCAGGGAATGTTGCAAAAATATTACCAACGTTGTCGATTTTTATGGTGCATCCTAGTGACTCGGTCTCTTTGATAAACCAGTCTTTGACTTGTTTGTCAAGATCCGTTAAGGCAAGTCTACAAACTCCCGTTTCTGTTGGATCATCTCCCCATACTCCATGTGCTCCAAACTGCTGAGCTGTGGAATGTATGGTCTCTATGAGCTCTGATTCTTGGATCTTTAAATTTTCAGAAATCATGCTGAGGATGCAATGCACTGACAAATCCAATCTTCCGATTCTCCTAATATATAGACATTGGCATTACCAAACTGATAAGGCATTTGCAAGAGAATAAATAAATTATCTGGACACGACCATCCCAAAAGAGAATAAAATCTCGGAGTAAAATTGTCGGAAACGGCTCGAGCGGCAGCCGCTAAAGAAATGTATTTCGGAGATATTCCTTATCGAGAAGGACATCCCAACCTGGGCCAGGATCAGTGTCGCTACCCCAGGTAGTGAAGAGAAAGCGCATGACGCTCATCAAACCACTGGATTTCTTCATGACCCCAAAGGTCCTTATCCGCTCTATTAAATAGAGTCTTTGGTCTTCCTTTATTACTGCAGCACCTGCCACAGCAAAAGGCCACGAACACAATCCAGACGATTGAGCGTGAGGACTCAATTTTCGTAAATTTAAAAAGAGCTTGTCAATCTCCTCCTGTATTTCAGGAGCGTCAGGTTGTAGTTTTGGGTTGAGCAACTTGCATAACAAGATGGTGCAAGCCTTTGCCACAATGTTGCCTATCAAACAGCTCTCCATTAGTCGTCTCTGAACAAAGTCAGGTTCATGAAACTTCACGTTTTCTGGAAGCACGGGAGGGAGGTAGTACTTCGACAAAGTCAGTAATTTTTCTGCAACCATTCTATTCTTGGCATTTAAGGGGAAAAACAACGATAGCCAATTTGTCTTTGCTGCGAGCTCGAATGCAGATAGGGCTGCGCCCATAATAGGGTTGTTCATCCACCAAGCCGGACAATGATATAGTGGAGGCAGAAGATACGGTTTGAGCTCAGCGTAGACCTGGAAAGGTGATTTGATGTAGTGAACAACAGAAGGCTCGCATGCAAACAGTGTAACAGAATAGTTGTACAGAAAGCTTTCCAGGATAGTTCTCTCCAAATTAGTGACATCACCTTCTCGAAGCATGTACGAAAGTTCGTCTGTCCAGTAAGTGGCCTCGTTAGTTTCAAGATCCGTTCTAACTATGGGGAGCATCTTGAAATCTGTCTGGTTGAGAGCCAAGGCGTCTAGTAGTTGGTTGAAAGACTCAAGAGGCAGGTTCTTCTTAAGCAACCAGCATTCTATGATTTGCAGAGAAGCTATTAGGAAAAACGCATTTCTGGCGGTGTTTTCACATTGATATTTCTCACGAAGGCATAAAGTGACCATGCAAATAAGCAGCCAGTCCTCGTTACCGACCAGAGAATTTTGGTTCAAAAACCACTGTAACTCTTTCATGCACTGCAAAAACTTCTGCTCAGCAAATCCACGGTACTCAGGGCGCTTCCATGACAGGTAGGTTGCACCACAGGCATAGAAAACATGTCTCAAGGTTGGATTATGAAGGCCGCGAGGAATGACAACCGACGAAGGCTGCAAGCTCTCGTGAGCCAGTTGGGGCGATATTGCAACCATGAAACCTTTCACAAAAGCATCGTACAATAGTGCGTCATCAGAAGAAAGGTCGACCCCCAACATCCATGACGACCATCCACCGAGATGCCACCCCAAAGTTTCAAGATATTTTCTAAACAGTGCATCTTCTCTGGCCTCTTTGGTCGCTTCGAGCTCTAGGGCCGTGCCCCCAGAAAAAGATACAGTGGCCCCGCAAAATTTGATGGAGTTGGGGTCTACAAACCGGATTGGTCTCTTGGCTAATTTGCGAAGCTTGAAATCTTTTGGAATAGCTTGTACCCCGTAGACGCATTCATAAGACGATCGCAAACAGTGCCCGCAGCTTGGTTTTGCAAGATCGCATTTGATTTTGCGTTTGCGGCCTGTGACGTTAGTAGAGTGGTTTTTCAGACTTACAGCAAAAACAGCCCTGTCTCCTGGGATTGGCCATGAGATTTCAAATTTAGATAACGTTCAATATTTTTTGAAATCGTTTTTGGATTATATAATCTACTTATGATAAGAAGTCATGGATTTTAGAACTCCCTCGGAAAGCTGAACTTCAAGTTCGTAATCGCTGCAAAAAGAGGCATAAAGGTTAGCGGAAGTGGCAGTTACTCTGTAGGTAAAGGATGCCTCATTATCAGGGATAACAATTCTGTCATAAAGTCCTGAAGCGTAGACTGAGTCTGTCTTGATCTGGGTTTCACAGGCTTTATCCATCAAGCACAGCAAATAGCAGGCTTCTCCAACATTGGATCCAGCTGTGATGAGCCCATGGTTTTGTAAGATCATGGCTCTATTGGTAGGCCCAAAAGCCTTGGCGATGTTTTCTCCCTCTTCGGTTTCCACTGCCACTCCGCCAAAGTTTCGGTAGACATCGTGGTTCTTGTAGAAAATACATGCGTCTTGGTTCAGCATGTCGAGTTTTTTCCCCAGTGCCGAAAAAGCCTTTCCCCAGACAGAATGAACATGGCATGCGACGTTCAAGTCTGGCCGTGCCTTGTGCACAGCAGAGTGAATCTTAAAGCCAGCACGATTAATCGGGGCTTTGTTTCCGTCAACATAATTTCCGTGCTCGTCAACTCTGACCATGTCTTTAGGGGTGAGAAGAGAAAAGTGAACTCCTAGTGGATTTATCCAGAACGTGTTTGGCTCGATCGGGTCTCGAACGGATATATGACCTGCAGGGCCTTCGTTGAAGCCTTTTCTTGCAAATATCCTGAACGCACCAGCCATTTGGTTCAACAGCCAGTCTCTCTTGATGTAAGGATCTTTGATATCTGGTATGCGGTACGGATACTCAAAATCGCCCATGGCGATGGCGGTCGAATCCTCAGACGTTTGGAGCTGAAGTGAAACAGAAAGCGACGAGCTGCTTGTGGTCTCGACAGTGGTGGTCATTTTGGGTTCAAATTGAAGACCCATAATCAGGAGAGGTATTTATGTACTTTCAATATAGGAGAGAGAAACTCAGACATGATTGGCTTGGTATGATGGGAATCATTTTTCTCTAATTTAACGTTCTCCGAAGTTTATTACTCTTTTAGATTTCCGGTCGTAATCAACCACAAAGTGACGTACCTCGAAAAAGTGGAATTTTTTTTGGCCAAACCTCACCTTTTTTATCTCAATCCAAGCACTGGCTCTGCAATTTAGTGGAGGTGATGAGGTACTGCGGTGAAGACTAGGTACACCTATAACCTAATATGAACAGCATGAAAACCTTTTCATAGATTTTGCTTTATCATCTGATCAGTGGCATCATTTGCTCACAGGTTGTAACCGGTTTGAAATCGAACAAATCATCTGGTTGTGTAAGGTGCTGGGGTACTTCATGCTACAGATTATGCTGCTCTTCACTGGTCTAACACAGAAGCGTACACATACATGTTACTCTATGTGAAGAATGGAAGCAAAACGTCGAACGTGTGCGAGGCTTCGTAGTGAAGCTGCGCTTCATATGCTTCAAATCTCCATCACAGAGTAAGCAGCCAAAGATATTATCTCTTCCGAGTTTTCAGGCTTTGGCATCTTCGTCTGTGACTCCTCATTCAAAATGGAGCTAAAGCCTACACTTTCAATGATCTTCAACCAAAAAGCAAAGTCTTTTGATTGTGATCATACTAGATATTAGTCGAATCTTGTGCTTTGTAAAGGAAAGGATCATAGATATTCGAGAGCCAAGGATATGAAAAATGAATAAGTAGCCATACTAATGCATATAATTATGGCTAAAAAAAGGAAAATTTGATACAAGGGAATCATGTATGGCCAGCATATTCCCCATGCTCAAGGTTACCTCCGATAAGCTGCTTACAAACCTCGGCACTGGCAAGCGACGCTAAGTTTTTGTGGCGCATTACGTATAAGGAAAAAGAGTCTTCCTTCATGCAGGATTGATCAGCTGAAATCATTTGTGGCTACCAATTTTTTGTCAAAAATTAATTATGGCGCAAAAGGAGGGCTTTTGGAGAACGGTAACCAGGTCTGCCGCATTCGCTTATATAAAGAGCGGGATAATGATTGTCAGATTCAACTAAAGTGAAGCAATGAAGTCAGACATTGAAGAGCGCAAAGGCGTTGTCGTCGAGGAGGTGCAGCTCCACGCTAGTCTGAACGACTCAGACGAAAGTATCGAGAGTATCGTGTATAGGCCAACAGATATCGACGAACTCGCTGATGTTCCAGTTGTAACTGATCAGCTACTCCCTAAGTTGAGGAATCTTACAAAACTGTTCACGAGAAAGCGTGATGGCCATCTTATCGCCACTCGGAAGTCTTATTTTGAGGACCCTGACTTTGAGGTGGCCAGACAGTACTATCCTCCTCCCAGTTACGAAAATTACAATAGCTTTGATCCGTATTTCAGGTGGACATATGATCAGGAGCGTAAACTCACCAGGAAGATAGATCTACGCATTTTGACTATGGTGTGTCTCCTGTTTTTTGCACTCAATTTGGACCGAGGAAACTTGAGCTCCGCTGTTGCTGGAGGACTTCTTAAAGATCTCAAACTTTCTACGGATGATTACAATAATGGCAATACTTTAAGATCTGTCGGATTTATTATCTCCGAGATTCCTTCTCAGTTGATTGGAAAACGTTTTGGACCTGACTGGTGGATTCCGATTCAGGTCACAGCCTGGAGTCTGGTGGCCTTATTTCAGTTTTTCATAAGTGGGACGAAGTCATACTTGGCAACTCGGTTCCTGCTGGGAATTGCTCAAGGAGGATTTATCGCAGATGCTGTTCAGTATCTCTCCTACTTTTACACACGTGATCAGATGGGACTACGATTGTCGCTATTTTGGTTAACTGATGCTGCCTCTGGCATTATCAGTAACTTGCTCTCAATTGGGTTCCTGAAAATCAATCTCAATGGTAAAGAAGGATGGAGATGGCTCTTCCTTTTCGACGGCTTGATTACACTAGTGCTTGGTCTTGCTTCCTTTTTCTTCATGGTTCCGGGTCCTACTCAGACAAAAACTAAATTTAATCCTAAGGGTATATTCACTAGGACTGAGGAAAAGATAATCACAAATAGATTACTCAGAGACGATCCGTCCAAGTCAGGTATGCACAATAGGGAAGCAATTACTTTCCGGCAGTTCCTGAGAAGTCTGTCAGATTTCGATCTGTGGCCTGTTCTGATTTTGTCGTTCATGTTCCAGATTCCACAAAATCCCATCAAGGCGTACCTGAACATCAATTTAAAAGCCCTAGGTTTCGGAAAAGATCCGATCATCTATCTAAACATCCCTATTGAGGTGATGACCAGTATCACAATCGTTTTGATCACCGTCCTGTCGGAAGTGCTCGACGAGAGGTCTCTCGTCTGCTCTTTGCAACAAATCTGGATCTTGATAGTCGTCATTGTGGAGTACGTTCATGTTGATACTTTGAGTCCGTGGGCACAGTACGCGATCATGTTTTTCGCGATTGGAAATCCATCTGCTCAGGCTATTATTGTGTCTTGGTGTTCGCGTTTGTCATATTCGGTGAGAACAAGAGCAATTTCTGCACCGATGTCGAACATTGGAATCCAGCTAGCGGGAATAGCTGGAAGCTACATTTATCGCAGTGATGATGCACCAAAGTACCATAGGGGAAACCAGGTGATTATTGGATTATGCTGCTTAAACATTTCGCTTTTCGTGCTAACCAAACTGTACTACATCAGCAGAAATAATTACAAAAAATCAAGATGGAATAAGATGTCTAAGGTAGAAAAGGAGCAATACTTGGCGACCCATAGAGATGCCGGAAACAAAAGACTGGACTATCTATTTGAACATTAAAATGTGTATATATCCGAGATAGCCTAAACTAGAAAATGATATCTGATCACGTGCCGTCAGCTGACTTGCAGTACAGAATTATCTCTTTGCACATTACAGCTTATCTTGAGCCACGACTAAAAACACGCATGGCTCACGCAATTGTCAGTGATACATGCATGTAGCTTATGCACTCGTATCTCACAAAGTCTCCAACATAAATGCTGGAATACCGGGAGTTCTGAGATTCATCAAGAGATGAGTACGAAAACAAACGAGGAGATTGCACAACCTGCTACTGCAAGTGGAACTCTGCGGCTGCGTTCAGAGACCTCCACATCTTTCAATTTCTCCATTCCAGAAGGCTTGCGAAACCTTTTCCCAGATTATCGGACACCGGCTAATGTCTCTCCATACCTGTATGCCAAGGAGCAGGGTGTTCAATATCCCAACTACACTCAATGGGAGATGGAGCCGTACAAAGAGAGGTCAGATTATGTTGACCGTGGCTCCTTATCGAATCCTAAGAAAAAGTCGCTTTTCGAAGCAGCTACAAAAATCCGGCATCTCACTCCTTATTGTGGAACGGAACTTATTGGGATCAAGCTCACGGAGCTTACTGACGAGCAAAAAAATGAGCTCGCAAGACTAGCGTCTGAGCGAGGTGTTGTTGTGGTCAGGAACCAGCTCGACCTTGACATCAGAAAACAGATTGAGTTTACCTCATACTTTGGAGAACCCCACATCCACCATCAAAGCGGGATTATTCCCGATCTTCCTTGGGTGCATCCTGTCTACAAGGACGAAACTTCAACCGGCGGCCTGAGTTCTCAGGTGTGGCATTCAGATGTTCCCTATGAAATCAACAGTGCTGGTATTTCCACATTGAGATTTGATGTCTTGCCACGCTCGGAAAATGGAGAGCTTATCGGAGGAGACACGCTATTTGCTAATGGCTACCTAATCTATGAGTCCCTGGATCCCAAATTCCGGGCGTTTCTTGAAACCCTTTCAGCTGAGAGTAGTGGCTTTGGTCAAGCCGCTGTTGCTGCAGAATCAGGCTACAAAACAAGGAGACCTCCTATAGCAACGGTTCACCCTCTGGTGAGAACCAACCCTACCACCGGCCTGAAATCGCTCTATGTTGCTGAAAACTTCACAACCAAAATTGTGGGTCTTGAAGAGCGCCTGAGCAATACAATTCTTCAGTACTTGTTTGACCATATACGGAGATCATTGCAATACCAATGTCGTGTGCAATGGACTGAAAATGACCTTGCAATCTGGGATAACCGTTCTCATTTCCATACTGGGATCTTTGACTACTACCCCAAAACCAGACATGGCACTAGGGTCATTGCCCAAGCCGAAAAACCGTACTTTGATCCGGACTCGAAGCTTTACAGTCAGGTTACTTTTGAAGGATATAGTGTTCTATGATTCCATGAATTAAAAGTTCTCAGAAACTCTCGACTGACTCCGGAAATGAAATCTTGTTGTCCCGTCTACATCGATCGAATATCTGTAGGACTCTGATAGTGTCCTTTATCGGATACTCTGTCAAATCATTCTGCTTGTTCCCAATGGCGATGGCAGCAGCATTAGCCTCGTAGTAGTACCCTATCCCCTCAATAACGGGCAAATCAAGTTGCTCTTCCTGGCCAGTGCTAGAAGTAAACGTTGCATATGATGGTCTTGATGTACGCCCAATCTTGATGTACCCTTTATCTCCTTCAATTAGTACACTTTCTTTTGGCGACTCGGTAAGGAACGATCCGGTCGCTGTTCCTGATGCTAGTAAATCGTCAAACAGCAGAGTGATCGATGTGGAAACATCAATTTCTGGGGCTTCCTTGGATTTGATAGCCCATGAGGAAATGCTTGGATTTGTTTCAGTCTTCGATAACAAAAGCATATCGGTCCAGGTGATTGAGTATATCAAATTATCCAGAAGAACTCCCGCTCCCAGTTCTGGATTGAAAAGCCGGCTACTGCTGTCATATGGGCAGTTGTGACTAAGATCTGCCTGAACACGACGTACGATTCCAACCTTTCCATCTTCCACCAGCTGTACCAGCTTCTTTGTAGTGGGAAGGAACCGTGTCCAAACGCCATGGACAACTAGGAGGTTCTTTCTTGCTGAAATTTCTTGTAGCCGGACCGCCTGTTTATGATTTAGGGTGAACGTTTTTTCCACTAGGATGTGTTTTCCAGCTTCTAGAGCTTGTTTCGCCAGTGTATAGTGGAAAGCATTTGGAGCAGCTATGTACACGATGTCGATCTCTTCGTCCTCTAGAAACTTCTGGTACGAGTCGTACAGCGTAGGCTGTTTGTCTTTACAGCTCAGTAAGCTGACAAACTGTTGAGCTTTGGAAAGTGAACTGGTGGAAACAACAGCTCTTAACTCGTGTGTCACGTGCTTCCCATTAATGGAGTCCAAATGGTAGTTCAAGAGCACATCACTCGCCCATTTTGCAGCAAATTGTCCTAACCCCACTATGCCCCATCTGAGGTGGATTTTTGTAGTTGTGTCGGTCATTTCGCGTATAAAAGCTATCAGAAGATCTTCAAAGCCAATGTATTATTTTGCATAGCAGAAAAACTGTGGCCACCGGAAATAATGACTGACGGTAAATTGAGAGCCACAAGGTTCTCCACGCTTAAATACAGCTTGGGGACTCGTAACCGGGATTTGATTCTTGATGACTCTCTCTGACACTGGGCTGCCAGAAATCTATGGAGTCTTCAACAGGACTCGTGTGTCACTGGTCAAAAAGCCCCTGGCTAAGGCGAGAATAATAAGAGGAAAGGAGTACCCGATAGCATTTGACTTACTGGTTGAAGGGGGTGACTACCAGAAATCTGTTAATGATTTCTTTGAGGAGCTGTCTAAAAGTGGGGTTTTGCTAGACCTTGTAAATGATCATGGACTCGTCATCATCCAGAACTTGAAATCCACTAGCCCCGAGCATTATTCGCAAATTGTCAACCGCTTCTTCCAAACAGCCAATTACCAAGAATTCGATCAAGTGGGGCTGCTGGCAACAAGACAGAAAATAGACAATGCAGTCAGCTCGGTTGGAAATGATGATGAGCTGGGCAAGAATGTTAACAAGCTGCATGCACATCAAGAGTTTTCGAGATATCTAGAATACCCACACATTCTTACCTTTTTCGCCCAACAAGCTTCAGCCCTTGGTGGAGGTGAGTCAACAACAACACACGCTACTGAACTATTTGATGTAGTAAGCTCAAAATATCCAGAATTCATCAAAGATCTCTACGAAAAAAATGGTAATCATGTTTATCAAAAGTTCAGCTACAAAGTTTCCACAGACTCAAAATTCAAAATCTCGTGGACAGACAAGGGGGCATTTGGGAGATACATTACTGACGAGGATTTGAGAACCAAGGATTTGGAGTCCATGAAAGCCAAGGCAACCAAACTTGCACATGAGAAGGTGAGTAAAAACGTTGAGTTTGATGATAAGCATGACTTGATTGTACATCAGCAAACAAGCATCGTGAACATACATCCTCATACGGAGCTCCCTGTTATCTTCAGCAGCTTGCCTACGTACTACTCTGGCTACTATAAGAACAAACTCAAGGGAGAAGAGGCTACCTTGCCGCCTCTTAGCTACGGAAACGGTGACCCAATTCCCGAAAAGTATCTTGATTATCTTTTCGAGCAATCAGTGAAATTGGAGTACTCGCACCGTTTTGAAGACGGTGATATATTGTTCCTGGATAATTTTGCAGTTTATCATGGACGGAACCCTTACACTGCTGGAGATCGCAAAATATTGGCCAGTTTTTGGGAACCCAAGACTGACCGCAGAAAACCGTATAGACCGACTTGCTTCAATGAATTTTTCACATAGTCCTGTTTATCTCAAAATTTAACACCATTCGATAATTAAAAATGTAAATTTTAGGCTTATCTCAATTATTTCTGAATATGGTAAGTAAATATAACAACAGAATCAGGTCTCGAATTAGATTTAGTTGTCGAGCTCGACAATGTAACGCTCGGCTTGGGCACCTTTGTTTTTCAAAAGATTAAGAGCGTCAATAACTGACCGCATACCACCTCTGAACACTTTAGTCCTGACAGCTTTTATTTTCCCCGTTTCGAAAAGTTTTGATGTCTCTCTAACAATCTGATGGCCAAAATCAATGTCCTCATGGAATCTCTTTATTCTGACTTCTCGCTTTTCAACCCCATCTGATGGCAGCTCGTGAGATGAAACAATGGAAGCATACTTAGCCTTCAAGTTTTTGCCGTTGATGGCAGATAGTATCTGAACGAGCTTTTCCGTGCTTTCCTTTGAAGCACAATCAACCCCAAATTCCACATGAGTTGTGGTTCTCAAAACTCGATCCATTATTTTCTCAAGTGGCAACTTTCTATCTATCAAACTATGAGCTCCCAGCTCTTCCAGATAGGCATGACTCTGCGAACTCGCAATACCAATCACTTTGAATCCAAGGTATTTTGCAAGCTGAGTCAGATATAAGCCCACGACAGTTGCTCCGCCCCATATAAGCAGCGTCTTTCCCTGCTGAGAGTTTTCAGCCAGATCAAGGTTAAAAGAGTCCAACAGAATTACCGTGGCAGTGGCAAGCCCTACTCCTATGCCAGCACCTTGATTGAATCCTATACTCTCCGGAAGCTTCCAAACAAGACGCGAGTCCATTGCAACGTACTCCTGAAATGTGCTAGTTCTATTATCACGATACATTGTACTGACAATGAACACCTTTGAGCCTTTTTCAAATTCTCTGACCTCGTCCCCTGCCTCCTCAACTATACCACTGCCTTCCCTGCCATTAATCCAAGGAAAGTGATAAATCCCGAACCTGAACTGGTGGCAATTCCAGTCAACGGGATTGATTCCGATGGACCTATTCTTAATAATAACCTCGTGTGGATGCGTTATTCTGGGTTTTGGATACTCGGTGAGAACCGTTAGTGGCTCATCATACCCAACAATGGCGACTGCGGTTTGATGCTGCGTACTGGCGCTCACAGGTTTCACCGATGCAAAGGTGTCTACGGTCCGTCTATCAACTAACAAGCTCATCAGTGCCGTACAAACATGGAGAGTATCATCTTGGCACAATATATACGGACCCGATCTAATCTAGCTATGCTACTTGCATATTTCTGCGTCTAGGCCACAATAAGGAACACTTGGAAAAGCACATGCGGTTGCGACTAAAAGTCAGACATAACGAAATATTACGCTAGTATGATTAAATCACACGAACATTTCTGCGCGAGGATGTTGACCGAAAAATTAAATTTGAAAGGACTGAGTCGGTCTCAGTGCGATGTTACCATACAATGGAGCAGAGCTTGCCTTCATAACGTTTCTTCTCAAAGGCAGAACTGGCGTGCTGAAATCTGAATTGCTCATACTAGTAGAGTAGAACATGGCTTCATCCTGAACTCCACGTTAAAAGGTTGCAAGCACCTAATGGATAACGCATATGTGTCGGGGTTTTCAGCCAACAATCTGCGCAATCGCCGACAAACCATTTGACGAGCTGCTGCCACAGTGGATTCGGAGCAAAGTCTTATGATCAGGAGATGCTGTCCAAGAAAGTGGCACTCCACAATACAATTTATAAGAGCTCGTTCTGACCGAATTCACCGCAACTTGATTAGTAATATGTGCTTTCCTAAGACCAGCCCGGAGTTCTTCGCCAAAGTCGGCAAAACACCGCTGGTGCTACTAAAAAGTATTTCCAGGTCGATCGGCAGAAACATTTATGTCAAGCTGGAATATCATAACCCAACAGGCTCGGTCAAAGACCGTGCAGCTGTAAAGCTATTGCAAGATTCAATTGAAAGAGGGTTGAAGCCAGGAGGCACGCTGGTGGAAGCCACTGCAGGCAACACTGGTATATCGCTGGCCGTGCTCAGTCGGTTAGCCGGTTACAAATTAGTGTTATTTGTTCCTGAGACGCTTATACAAGCCAAAATAGACAAGCTGACCGGACTGGGAGCGGAAGTTTTTAAGGCAGAGAACTATCCTGATAACCATCCGAAGCATATGAACAGTCTGGCAGCCATCTATGCAAAGGAACACGATAATACCATCCACGTCAATCAAATGAACAATCTAGTCAATCAACAGGCGCATTACGAAACGACGGGGCCTGAGATTTGGAAGCAGCTTGAAGGATCCGTTGACGCTTTTGTGGCCGGGGCTGGAACAGGGGGAACGTTTTCAGGGGTTTCAAAGTATTTGAAGGAAGTATCTGACGGAAGAGTAAAAACCATTATTGCCGACAGACAGGGTTCAGGTTTGCACCACTATATCCAGACAAACGGTGAATCGTTTGATGCAGAGGGTGAATCGTTTGTTGAGGGTATTGGAAAACTGGGACTGGTCGATAACATCAAAGATGTGCTTAATCTGGCTAACGATTCTTTGCAAATCTCAGACATCGAAGCTTTGAACACTATATACCGTCTGATTGATGAGGAGGATCTGCGTGTGGGTGCCAGTGCAGGAGTTTACGTTGCGGCGGCCATCAAGGTTGCAGAGTCTCTTCCTCCAGGATCTAATGTCGTTACGGTCATCCCAGATGCAGTGGACATCTACGCCAAGAAGGTGTTCTCCAAGCAGTGGCTCGTTGAGCAAGATCATTGGGACAAGATTCCTAGTGAATACAAAAAATATGCTACTTTATAGAGGACTTTATAGATTTGTATTGCGAGCTCAATGTGATTGAGCTCAGTCAGCATCATGAAAGTGACGAGGGATATAAAAGCTTTGGTAAGACTCTCTAATCACGTATATATTTTGAGAAAATGCTCGTCTCTAACTTTTTGGTACTCTAGCTCTACGTTGTGCTCCTTTACCCAATCCAATCCTTCCAGAGTGTTTAGAAGCCGCCGTTGCCAGTCTGCATCATCTTTGGCAAGATTTAGGTACTTTCTCTTGATCTCGCCGTCAATGAAAGTTTGACGCTCCACCCTCCGGAGGAAATGTTTCCTGGTCTCGTTGAACAGAAATAAAGACAGGGGTAAATTGTATCTTGTTTGCTCGTCAGAATCGTCATTAGTAGACTTTGTAGATGTTTCGGAAAGAGCCCGATACAGAGCCCATATATCGTCAAATCCCATGGACGATCCCACAGCGTATACTCCCGAAGTTGGGTGAGCTGCGTCTCCGGCAAAGGCTATCCTGTCACCAATGGTCAGGTCCTGAAGCCATGGTGCTCTTTCCAGGGGAAAAGCCAGAATGTCAGGGAGAACCTTGATGATCTTGGTGATCAATGGGTCCCATTCCTGGAAGAATTCTAGCAGGTGTGAAATTCCCCATTGGCCGGCACTTCTATTCCACGTTAAATCGGATGCAACGTTTGGAGGCTCAGGAATCAACGCCACAAATCCGTATTTTCCAAGACCAACTTTTCCAAGGAAAACCCAGGTGCCATCTCTTCCCATCCACGCTGAAGTATCGTCCAAAACTCCGTCAACGTTATTGAGTAGCGTTTCATCAAAGACATATCTATAGGCAACCACGCCTTTGTATTCCAACTTCTCGTTCACACGAAACTGTCTGCGGATCCTGGAATAAATTCCATCAGCTGCCACGATTAGATCGGCACGGACAGGGTCTTGGTTCTCAAAATGTAGAGTTGCTCCGGAGTTGTCAACATCAACCTTAACGGCTGCATGGTTGTATTTAATTACGCCTTCCGGGACATGCTTCAGAACAAAGTTATGAAGCGGAACTCTATGCGTTCTCGCTTGCACGAAATTGTCTGGTCTTGGAAATGAGGAAGTGTCGTACTTTATGACCTCGCCGGTTTTCCAATGACGTCTTGCAAGCGGCGCCGGCTTACCCCTGTAAACAAACTCCTGTACCTTTTCGATATTGGCAATTCGTGAGAGTGTGAGAAGAGCAGCTTCCGTAAGTGCGATCCAAGCACCTGCTTCTCGCGGCCCCTCTGCCTTTTCGTACAAAGTGATTCTCGAGTTGGGAAGCCGCGAAAGAGTTGCAGCTGCAAACGCTCCAACGATCCCTCCTCCCACAATGGCAATCTCCAATGGTCTCGCAACGTCCGTCATTAGATTTCAGCTAATCTGCGTATGATGCCACCATGCTTATATAAAATTTTATTCAGGTGAGCTAATCAGCTATGGAGATTGCGCGACTACGATTATCGTATTGCCTTTTTTGGCAACTCCGACATCCACGTATTTCATTCGAGAACCTATGATTGTGTTAATTCTAGGTACTATGGACCACAGTCTAGATCCAGAATTCTCCAGCACAAGAGCAGCTCATTTAGAGCTCTCTGTAGAGATATTTACTGGCAGAGCCTCTTCAGAGTCATATTTCAGTTCCATCTTTCTTATGCTTCTTTTGTAAGCCAGAAAGTAGAATAAGACAATTCCCACAGATGAAGCTCCAGTCAGCCCGCACGTAACCTTGTAGCCATACTTGTACTCAGGAGCTTCATTCGCGGGCCACAAAAACAACGGTAGCCAGGCATTGTTGGCATAGACCATGACAACCGTGACACCTGTTATTATGGCTCTTAGGTCAGGAGCCGTTGCCCAGATCTCCGGCAGGAAGGATATAAGAATCGGCGTATTCGCTCCTTGCGCATAGAGAAGAAAATAGCCAAAGTAATTGACGCCGATGCTTTCTGGACGTGTAGCCAAGATGATGCTACCAACAAGCTGCGTGATATTTTCGGCCACAAGCACAATAAACCGAGCGTTGGCAAAATCCGCCAGCTTCGAAAGGGTGACTATAGTGACCAGCTGAACGGCAGAGCCAGCAATAGGAATCAAGTTTAGCTGTTCGACAGAGTACCGCAAGCTTCCATCATCGGTTTTCAGGCTCTTGAGCCATAAGTTGAAGTACGCAACAGAGGTCGTCCATACCGCAGGCACGTACGCCAGAAGGAACAGCCAAACACGGTAATCCAAAGGAATTTTTAGCACCCGCTTCAGGTTAAATTGCCGTTTAGTTTCTCGTCCAATGTTAAACATTCTTTCGTTCGCGATAGCAAGATCTTCTGCAGTCATCCATTTGGCTCCTCCGTTTTGAGGAGAATCAGGAACAATATAGAACCCAAGTGAGGCAATGGCAACCGTCATTAGACCATTAATCACAAATAGCCATTTCCATCCTGCGAGACCTCCGTGTCCGTTCATTGTTTTATAGATCGCGGCTTGCATGAATCCGGTAAACATACTTCCAGCATAGTATGAGCCAGTAAACAGCGCAGCACGTGTAGCTAGTTCTTTTTTTGTATAATAGTTGTAGAAGATGGTCATCATTCCTGGCCACGCACTGCTTTCAAAAAGCCCGATCAGGAACCGGAGCGGAAACAGAGCATGAACCGACTTGACAAAAGCACACGACAGGGTCAGGACACCCCAAATAAACTCACACGAACTTAACCAATAAGGCGTGCTTACTCTAGTCATCGAAATTTGAGATGGAATTAGCCCGACAGCATAGCCAATATTGAAATAGGTGCTAATCCAGTTATACTCTTTTCCAACAATATTGAGATCTTCTTTCATTCCGCTAACGTACGCATTAGAGTAGTTAGTTTGATCAATAGATTTGATCAGATACGCTATGCAGCCCCAAGTAAGCAGATACAAGTCCAGTTTTCTAACGAATTTGGATTCTTCGCTGCTTCTCAGAACTCCTGTACGAAACAGTTTAGTGAACCACTTTCTTTCATTTCCAGTATCCACCTCCTGAACAGTTTCAGTAACCTGCTCGGCTTTGTTCGAAAGAGTCATGTTGAGGTATAGGGATTCTGATTGCTTACTATGTTAAAGTATTGTGCACTTATATATAGTTCCGGTAGCAAGTTGAAAGGTGTGCGCGCAGCTCTGTAAGTGTGGAGCACCAGTCGGACATATATCTGTTGATGCATATCAGGGATGTGGCTCAATGATGCCGGTGATGTGAGGTTTTGCGTTTTAGCGGAGAAAGCCAAGTAGCCTGAGCTGTGGTGGTGCAGCGTTCCTGCGTCATTGTACTAATTGGGTAAAAAACAAAAGCGGCCAATGTAGCTTTCGGAGTGAGGCTCAAAAATGGTTGCAAAAAGCAAAAGTGTGGATTCCACTGGGCCTTGGTATATAGCACGGCAGCTCTGGAAGATGAAGTACTATCGTTTGTCCAAATGACTAAATCACTTATCATCACTGCCTTTATCACCGGTGGAACCACTGAGTGGCGTTATCCTGGTGACACTTCGTATCGGTTTGCCTCTGATTTGGATGCTTGGGTAGAAATAGCAAAACTATTAGAAAAGGGCAAAATCTATGCCCTGTTCATTGCAGACCATTTGACCCTGTTTGATGTGTACAAGGGTCCGAATAATTACAGAGACGCAGTAAAGACTGGACTGAATGTTCCAAAGGCTGATCCAAGCCATGCAATCATCACTGCTGCCAGAGAAACAAAAAACATCTCTTTTGGAGTCACTTTCAGCACAGTCAGCGAGCATCCATACCTATTTGCTAGGAGACTGGCAACTCTCGATCATTTCACCAAGGGTAGAGTGGGATGGAATGTTGTCACTTCTTATCTCAACAGTATCGGTACCCAGCTTCTGAATGGAGAGCCATTTCCTGAGCATGACGAGCGGTACAATAGAGCAACAGAATACGTCGATGTCGTGACTGGCCTTCTCCTGTCCACCTGGAGAGACGACGCCTTGATCCGCGACAGAGAAAGCGGAGTGTTCATTGATCCAGACAGAGTTCGAGAGATCAACCATAATGGAAAATATTTCAAAGTTGCGGGGCCAGCTATCACACAGCCTTCAGTCCAAAGAATCCCGCTTTTGATTCAAGCAGGAACCTCAAAGAAGGGCCAGGAGCTGGCCGCCGAGTTTGCAGAGTTTGTGTACGTCTTGGGTGGAACTGAGGAGCTGGCCCCGAAGATCAAGTACATCAGAACCATTGCAAAGGAGAAATTCGGTCGGGACCCAAAAAATATTAAGGTGATATACTCCGCTAGAGTGATTCTGGGCCGCACTCATGAAGAAGCTATTGAGAAAGAGGCATCTTACAAAAAGTACGAGGTGCCAGATCGCAATGCAGTAAACTTTGGAGGCGTGACAGGTATTGACTTGAACGAGTATGATAGCGAAGAGGAAATCGACACCAAGAATGTCAATGGTGTTAAAACGACCGCCGAAGTTTACTTCAAAAAAGCAAAACGGCCCACCAAAAACGCACTTCTGAATAAAGCACCTGGAGTTGGACCATTAACGGGCACCCCTGAAGAAGTCGCCGATAAACTTGAAAAACTAGTGGAGGAGCTTGACCTTGATGGCTTCAACTTTAACTCTGCTGTTCTTCCCGCATCTGTTGAGGACTTGGTTGAACTGCTCATTCCTGAACTCCAAAGAAGAGGTCTATTCTGGGAGGACTATGCTGTTCCTGGTGGCACGTTCCGAGAGAATGTGTATGGGGTGAAGGGACAAACATTCCTTCCTGCAGATCACCCATTGTATGAGACCCGGTGGACGCCGGACGTCGACAAAAAGGAGTTTGACAAAATCTTTGAGCAGAATTTGGAGAGACGTAAACAAGCTAGGGCATCTTTAAATTAGAGTTCTTTTTTAATTTGTAAAAAAAAACTAACCCTTGTAATCAATATGCAATAGCTAGATTAAAGGATGTTAAAGCTTAGTTGTTTATACTAGACAGCAGTATGATCTCTGCCTTGTGCCAAATACCATCCGCGTATGTGGCTGATAACTTCAAGTGAATTGAGCTCCAGAAAGGGTGAGATGACCGTATTTAAATGAATTAGATCTCTCATTTTAGGCAGCAATTCTCCAACATAGTTAGTTCATCTGCTTCAATTTGATAATAACAATATTGAAGTCAAACGTACACTTATGTTCATCCGTAGGTTGTTTCTCTGCTTTGGAAAACTAACACGGAGCTATAGTAGCTTCACCAATGCAGCGAGAATTCGAATGCGTCGTCCAATGATAAAAGTTACTTGAAATACGCATTCGGCACCAATCACATCTGCAATATCACTGAAAGAACTTGGATAAAATGGCATCAACTCAAACACCGATAGATACAAGCAAGAACCAGAGTCTCTATGTAGCCACAATGCATGCGCAATCAAGAGAGGATAACACCAGCATTAGCAGTCTCAAAACTATCGCTCACCTCGTTCAAAGTAGGTTTTTTGCCATGTCATCAGTGTTCCTTCCCTAGTAAACATTAACTGTTCTTTGCTATGTAAACATGAGCTATTTCGGGATTTTAACGTAATGTTGAAAAATGAGGATAGCTGGGACTCCTTTTTGATCGGGGTTACCGAACCCAGCAACTGAACTAAAAAGGTATTTATCCATTAACACTGGGCTGCATTGCCAAAAAAATATGTATGCTTCTGGTAAATCACAGCAGCTATCAAGTACTCGTCGACGAGCCAACTGGTACACAGAAAAAAAGCGGATATATTTTCGGCAAAAAAGAGACGACTTTGAGAATTCAATATTTCTTGCTCTTGGCTTGGCAGGTTTTCAGCATGTACTAAATGCGATAGATCTAGATTGTGCTAGCTGCCGATTGGAATGCGCTTTAGAACGAACCTATCAGAAAATAGTCGATTCTACTGATAAGCTAATTGTAGATACTACCAGAGCTCATGCCATGGTAAGCGCACAATTATGGCCTCGTTAGCTGGCATGACTAGCAGCTACTTTCTGGTATTCTTTTGGCATCAACAATTCCAAGCGAAGAATATGTAATTACTCTGTAAAGATACTGAGCTCGAATTGATGGAAAAGATAAGTAAAAAATATGTCGTTACAGTCCCTTGATCACAATCAACCTTACAATTGTCACCACCGAGCAAACGTATGCTAATTCCGATATAGCTATAAATTTGTTTGAATGGCCACTGTTCTGCCGTGCCGAGGTGCTTTGCCTCCGTCCCCGGATTTCGATGCCACAGTGCGGCTTGTTTCTCTTGCCACAATTGATAAGAATTTCTGTGTTGAGCCACATTTAGGGTATATAAATCAGACAACGCTCATCTTTCAGTCACCGAGAAACTGTTTGCGATGACAGCCGAGGAAGAGGTCAAACCACTCCAGATTGCAATTATTGGCGGTGGACTCGTGGGGGCTTTTGCTGCAGTTACCTTATCCAGGCTACCAAACGTTTCAGTTACTGCGTACGAGAAAAGCGACAAGGTTCGTGAGGTCGGAGCAGCCATCACTCTTACCGAAGGCGGCCTTGTGACTCTTGAGCAAGTTTTTGATCTAGACGAGCTAGAAAAAATACTCTATAGAACTCCAGATAACGGGCATATCACTAGACGTCATTGGAAGACCGGGGAATATTTCAAAGAGCCTCACTCTAAATCACCAAAGTATCCCAAATACAACCACGCCAAGGCCCAGAGAGTTCTTCTGCTCGACTTCATTTTGCAACACGTTCCTGAAGGAACTATCAAGTACGGCCAAGAGGTGAAAAACGTTAATGTGAGACAAGATGGTGTCACCATCCATTTTGCCAATGGAAATGTGACCAAGGCTGACCTGGTGATTGCAGCTGACGGCATATACTCGAAAATCCGTCGCCAATTTACCAATGATGCCATCGTCTACAAGGGAGCAGTTGCTTATAGAAATGTCTTTGACGATAAAATCGTGGAACATATCCCTGGATTGCCGGATGATGTTACCGTCTGGATTGGCAAAGGGTCTGCAATGTTCATGACTAGATTGAAGCCCGGGAAATTCAACGTTGCAGCCCATTTGAGAGATCCACCAGAAGTCGCTGCCAACCTACGGTGGAACAAGACCACAGGTGATTGGGGGAAGAAGCGGTTGCTGGAGAACTTCAAAGATTGGGATCCACTTATCGGTCAAATCCTCGAAGTTATGCCGGAGTCGATAGCTTTCCCGCTGGAACGGGCGCCTTGGCTAGAGAATCTCGTGGTTGGAGACCGGATTGCGTTTGTGGGCGATGCTGCTCATCCAACCTCTGGTGTTTACGGAGCTGGTGCAAACATGGGATTTGATGATGTATGGGCCTTGTATCGGTCCTTGTTGGAGACCAAGTATAACTTGAAAAAGGCACTGTTTCTCTTCAATGAGACCCGAGCCCCATTTTTGAAGCGTGTTGAGAAACAGATTGAAATCGATGAACAGATTGGTGCCAAGTACATTGCCACTGCAAAAACTGACGAGGAATGGAGGAGGAGAATAGAGCATAGAGGCCTGTCAGCAAAATGGATCACCGATCATAATGTGGACAATGAGTTCGAGCAGGTTAGGGACCAAAACTTCCTACAATTGTTTGTAAATGAATAAAAGAACTTTTAGCCTAGTATACATACCGCGAGTTTGGCGAAATTACGTTTTGGCTCTAGGCATCGACAGTTTCGCCAATAAGGGATCCAAGGGACTTTCTGCCGAGAATTGTGATACCTTTTGTTTGGTTTGAGCTTGTGTTGTTGAAAAACGCTCCTTTCGCAATATCCCACTCGCCCTGAGTTATGCGCTGCAGACTCTTGTCGGCGTATATTCCCAGACGCTTGAGTTTTGGAGAGTTCAAGGAGTCTGGGTCCAAATATGTGGCGGACGTTGGGGTGCAGAAATAAATTGTGCTAGACCGCTTTTGGTGGCTAGGAGGCGAGGCAACTCGGTGGACGCTCGACCTAAAGTAATCTCCCGTCCAAAATTGAAGCGCATCCCCCACGTTCACAACTAGCGCTCCTTGCTTGTGCTGGACAAATCCCCAGGTGTTCTCAGTATCTGGAAGTCTGATTTGAAGTGCCTGAACAGGATCTGAGAGGATAAATGTGAGCGCACTGGCATCTGTGTGGCCTCGAAGCAGCGTGTTTCCAGTCTTGGAATTGTAGGAGTCATCGGCCTCGTGGTATAACAGGAATCTGCCGTAGCCAGTGGCAGACTCCTTGATGTTATTTTCGACCACTCTAAAGTGGCTATTGTAAAGCGTTCCGTCTGGAAGCTCCAGGATGATGTCAATCAACGAGAGGACTTTGCGCAAAACGTTGTTGTGAAGCTGCTTAAAATAAGAGGTGATCTCAGGCAAGCTCTTCTCCACGGATGGAGGGTAGCTGGCGGCTTTAACATACTCTGGGTGTGCAAAATGGCGCAAGTTGAAAAATTCAACTCTATCTTTTTGGTCATTAATGTAAGTCCAGTAACCTCTTGGTTTGTAACCGCTGCCTCTAACAACGCCCAGCTGCTTATATGCCTCTTCTGGTAGATCATTCTGGCCAGCAATATGCTTAGCTTTCACTTCATCTGGCTCTTCAAAGACCTGACGGCCAATCGAGGATAGGTGGTCGGTCACGAGCCCGTGATTCACAAGCTGGAAAAAGCCGTGGTCAGTGAGGGCTTTTTCAAGACGCTCAGCAAGGGCCTGGCGGACCTCTGGGCCTTCATCGAATAAAGACAGGTCAATCTCCTCTAATTGGACAACAGGAGTGGAAGACGACATGATGGTAGACGGTAATGCGGGAGATTAATATAGATGCTAGCTGTGGCGCGGCTGTGGCAGTAGCAAGTGCGCCACATTGCAACGATCTATCCAAACAGGAAACTACCGCGGGGTTCCTCGAAAAGGAGCTCTCAGGAGCCTTTGGGTGCACTTCTGCTTCTGAACGAGATCCATAACCAGTGACTGAACAAAAGGTAGCAGCTGTTTCTCATCATATTGCCGGCTTGAGGTTTTTAGTTTCTGGGGCATCGAATCAATCTGAATTGTGCTGAGTAGTCTGGTGCTAATTAGACAAAGGTTATATTCAGCAGCGGAATGATGCGTTGGGTATTGAAAAGGTTCTAGTGTCGGCTCTTGATCGCGTATCCCCCGTACGGGAGCTGCATATCTCCGACAATACATCATGCAGGATCTTATTGTCTGAAAATTATTCTGATGATTACCGACAAGCAACTAAAAATCACGCCGATATACGTGAATATAGTCTACTTTTGTCAAAGCACGGAATTCGGTCCTGATTGCATGCGTGTGTTTTATAGAGCTTAAGCGATGATGACTTTTTCTTCGGCCGACGTAGTAATTTCAAATTTCTAAAATTCTGTGCTCTCTGAGTGTGTGTAGTCACTAATTAACGAGATGTTTCCTCTTTATGTTGTGTGATAGACAAGTGATGTATGTGCTCGACATACTAAAAGCGGACTACAGAAGCTGTCCAGATCATAAAACAAAACTTTTATTGGATAGAATCCCTTGAATATAAAATTAGTACGCTACTTTCTCACTTCTCACGAGTGGAAATCGACTCTCTGTGCACGTGAACTTCCTTTTCAGCACCTTCTGGAATTTCACCAGCTTTGCTATTGTAAATATAGATACCATTTTCAATAGCATGCTCCCGCTCTTCCTTTTTGTAGAAGAAGTAGTCCACGGCAAGCAAAAGGATGAAACCGATACTGAAAACAGCACATGTTGTGAAACCTTTTTCAAATCTTGGACTGTCTACAGTTGGCCAGATCAGCCTGTTGATCCACACGCTAGACTGCAAGCCCATGATATAGATTATCATCCATGCAATGGCTCTGACATTGTTGTCTCTGCGGAAAAGATCACTCACCAGCGGGTTGAACACTGACGATTGCGACCAAGACCAGTATGCAAAACAGAACGCAAACCATTTGGCACCGTAAGAGACGTCCCAGATCGCAAGTATGACATTGCCAATGAATGTCATAAGGAACGAAAGCATAATAAAGAGATACCGCTTTCCAGTAAGGTCTGCTCCACCACAGATAATGAACACATACAAAATTCCAAGTGCAGGTGGAATTGTTGACCAGTTATTGATTTTACCAATGTCAATGTTGAGTGATTTGAGCCACAAGGTGAAGGTTCCAGCTGACGTGTTGTTGGTGTTGAATCCCATCATGTTTGCAATACTCAAAATGTAAACGTGCGGGCTTTTAAGTGCCCTGGACCAACTTTCTTTAGAGAAGAAACTGCTAATCTCCTGTCTTGGATCTGTGCCGTTCTCCTTCATGCGTTTACGAGCTAACTTGATCTCGTCGTCGGTCAAAAACATTGAGTAACAGTGAGTAGGTGTGCCTGGAAGAGAGTAGAGAGCGAGAATGGCAACAGCAAATGAGATACACCCGTCAATAATGAACATCCAACGCCATCCAGCAAGACCGTGGTGACCATCGAGGTTTTTGAAGGCAGCCGATTGAAGCAGTCCAGACGTGAGAACGCCCAAGAACTGTCCTGCATAGAAAAGAGCTCCCCTTCTACCGACTTCAGTAGGCTTGTACCAGCTGGCAAGAGTGTAGTGAATACATGGAAAATAGGCAGCCTCAAAGGCTCCAACGAAAAAGCGAACAGCCTGTAAAGAGCCCACGTTGTTGACTCTGTATGTTCCCAAAGTGAAAGCTGCCCAACCGAGCTCACAAATGAACAGAGAATAATTAATCGGAACTCTAGGCAGCAAATACAGCCAAGGAAGCTCAAGTAAAATGTTTCCTATGTTGAAGATTAATTGGGTATTGATAAGGTCATTGCCTTTCATGCCAAGGTCCTCCTTCATGTTTGAGACATAGGCGTTGTTGAGGTTGGAACTGTCAATGTACTTGATCCAGTAGCCAACAAAGGAGTAGAAGGCAATGAGAATGTCCAGCTTGCACAGAAGCTTCACCTCCTGGGCAGAAGTCCCCTCTGGGAACCATCTGTACCACTTGCGGCGAGAAGCCTCTTCGCTGGTCTGACGATATTCAAACTCGTCAAAGAATTTCCACCATGGACGGTTGGCTTCGTCGCGGTAGGTGTAGGCAACAGGTTCAGAGGAGGAGTCCAGAGAGTCCTTCTCATCCTCCACTTGGCGAAGGCGTGGTATAAATCTCATGGACGAACTTTGGGCACTTGCGGGCTATAAGTAGTCCGCGTTGGAGCCACAACTGGCTGTGGCGGCGTGGCATTTAAAAGAATCAAGCTAAAAAAGCTATAAAGTTTAATTAGGATTTCCGGGGCTACTAATGGTAATCAATAGCAGCGATTGGGGCGCTCCCAAGTCTCTCGCCAAGAAATCTTATGCAACTTTAATAATGTTGCGCAACAGATTCACCTTTGTGCGTTAGGTAAAAGTGTGGAGTCTAATTACAACGCTTATCGCCTAAATTTCTATTCAAGAAAAAAGGTTGTACACCGAGTACAGTATTGTCTTGGAAGGAAATTGAGGCCGAAAACTAGCTTGGGCATATGACAAACAGGTATCCTGACAATACGAGCAGTAGACTCTCATACATCACTGGACATCAAACAAGCCTTTGAAATCAAGAATTCTGCTCAACCCAATCTTCTGTGAGTTGCATCCTCTGAAGTAACTCTTTCGATTTCGCACGGCGAAAGATAGGTGCTCATTCTTGAGACGTTCACAGACTAATCTCATAAGCAAACAGAATAAAAGGTTGTATTTCTACGACCACCTCTCCCCAGTTTATGCCATTTTCGACCTCGTGAAGAATAAGCCAGCTTCGACCAGGAAAAAAAAGCTTACATCTATATATACGGATAAGGCACCCGCTTTGAAACTTTTGATAGCTAAATCTTGAGAAATTAGTATGAAAAAAGATCCATTATTTCCTTTGGGGTATTATGAGAGCCGCAAGAACACATGCCTCGATTGAGCCGACGACGCAAGCACCAGTCTGATTCTCGGAATAATATTGATCTCCTTGCGAAAACTCCGCAGATGTGGGGAATTCGTGAGTCGCTAGACAACCCTCTAATGCACCGCCTGGCCACTCAACCCGCTTAGCGGGGTAGCGGGGTGGCCGAGTGTACGGCATATTCTTTCTCCGTTCAATAAGGGGGTTCGTGACTTCTACTAGCATCCAGTCATCTGAACTTGTTGTGTTGGTTTGTCACCTCCGCTAGGCTCTTTAGAGCGGTTATATAAGAGGATCATGTCGCCCAAAGCTTACTTACTAGATTGACCCCAATCAAGAACATTACAATAGTATACCAAGTGTGGTCTGGGATATGAACCACAATGATTCTACAAAAACAGAACTTACGGTTCAGAGGAAAGACGTTGCGCTTTCTCGTGACGTTTTGCTCCTGTACAGGTTTTTTGTTACTTGGATATGATCAGGGTCTGATGTCAACAATTGTTGGGGCAGATAATAGGTTTGGTAAAGATTTCAACCATCCTAATTCCGATGTTCAGGGACTGCTCTCCTCAGTTTACGATCTCGGATGCTGTCTGGGATCGGCGATGTGCTACTTTGTTGGTGAAAAAGCTGGCCGGAGATGGATGATGCTAACAGGAGGCTCCACAATGATTGTTGGAACTATCATCCTTGCTACATCCTTCACCAGGGGCCAGTTTTATGCTGGACGAATCATCACAGGTATTGGAAACGGCTTTAACTCGTCCACCATTCCTGTTTACCAAGCTGAGTGTGCTCTAGCTGGCAATAGAGGACGAATGCTAACGTACCAGGCCGTTGTTACTATTGCAGGAGTCATCATAGCTTACTGGGTTGGTTATGGAACATCATTCACCGACAGCCCTGTGCAGTGGAGGTTTCCCTGCTCGCTCCAAGGTTTGTTTGCACTGGCTTTGGTGATCGAACTCCTCACAGGTATTCTCCCAGAGACACCTAGATGGCTAGTGACTAAGAAAAGATACAATGAGGCACAAGAGGTTCTTGCTGCCATTCTTGATGAGGATCTTGACTCCGACATTGTGCTTCAGGAAGTTCAAGATATCAAAACAACAGTTGACAACGAAGCGGTTGGTGGAGAGTTCAGATTTGGTGAGCTTTTCGAAATTTCAAATGGAAACCTCAGAAGACTTATACTGAGCTGTGGAATCATGATCATGCAACAGTTCACGGGATCGAATATGATAAACTACTACGCCCCTATCGTTTATCAGAACACGATGAACCTGACCAGAAATACTTCTTTGATTCTAGGTGGATGCTGCGAGATTGTGTACCTGATTGGAGCTTTTATTCCTGTATGGACCATTGATAAGTATGGAAGGCGTACTATGCTGTTCATTTCTTCAGCAGGACTGACAGTGTGCTTCATTGCGGTCTCTGGTCTTCTGTCTCAAAAAAGATATGCTACCTCGGTCGCTGCCAGCTGCTTTGTTTTCCTCTACCAATTGTTCATGGGAGTCGGATGGCTCAATGTTTGGTTCTTCCCTGCAGAGCTGAACGGCACCCGTCTTCGGTCCAGGGTGCAAGCTATCGCATCTTTTGTCAACTGGCTATCGGTGTTTGCTGTTGTCCAGATCACGCCAAAGGCTATTGACAATATTGGTTGGAAAACATTTGTTATCTTTGCCATTCTTAATTTCACGTGGATTCCTATCGTGTACTGCTTCTACCCCGAAACCAAGGGTCTCGAGTTGGAAGACATCGATCACTTGTTCGATCGGGGTGGATTTACCGGGGGAGTTTTCACAACGAGGGGACATCCAATACGGCCTGGAGAAAGGAAAAAAGACATCGAGGCAAAGGGTTTTGTTGATGAAAAAGATCATGTAAGCTACGCTGAGTAGGCTCAACCAAGATCAATTATCTATGCACTGTATAATATTTTGGAGTTCTTTTATCCGCACTTGTTTCAACTGTAGCTATACTTAGTCCAGTTTGATTGGTCCACCGTGCAGTGATCTATCAAGTCATTAGCAGATGGACACTTAGACTTGATTGGCGTATTAAGACTAGCACGACCAGAAGTGCTATTATTTGAAGCAAGAGAAGAACCTGACCGGCGGTACTCCCTCAGCTGGCATGTATATTGTAGGCGTCCATCGCGTTGATGCTAAAGATTCTTTGTTTCTCGTCATCAGATGCCTCAAGACTGTTTAGAATGTCCATGGTTAGGTTTCTCCATAATGGAAATGACGTTTCTCCACCATTAAGCTTGCATACTGGCCAGTCACTTCCCCAAATAACTCTAAAAGGTCCAAATGTCTGCAGCGCATATTCAAAGTAGGGAGAGGCTCTTTGTACAATTTCTCCGTAACTGAGATTCTCTGCATGCTTGTCAAGTTCAGAAAACAAACCACTGAGTTTCAAATAGACTGCATTGTTATTTTTCGTAGCTGTCTCATGGATGCTCTTCATAGAGCGCTTCCATGCATTGAGGCTGCCTGAAAACCCATCAGCTGCAAGATTGGGCTTTCCAAAATGATCAATGACAAATGTAGCATCTTTTACACTCTCAAACAATACACCCACCTCTCTATACTGGCCATCTCCACGACGATGAAAGTCAATGCCCAGCTCAAATACAAAGTTCCTGCCAGCTATCCACTTGATGGACTCGATGAACTTTTTTGAAACCATGATTCCATCCGGCTTGTCTTGCAAGAGAAATCGAAAACCCTTGACTAGAGAGATCTTTTGTGGATTGATATTCTCAAATAATTTATCGATATAGAGTTCCATTACCTGAGGTCCTAACGGTACCGGTGCCCAAGGAACCATGGCAATAATCAAGCCTTCTTCTTTGATGGACTGTTCGATTACAAATTTCAGCTCTCTTATAGCAGGAATAAAGCCTTCAAGGCCGCGAGAAAGGTCCGTCTTGACGTCTGATTCAATATAGATAACGCCCCTCAGATTGAATTGACTAGACTCTTGATTCCAGTTCTGTGCCCTATACTTGGTTGCTGTGTGCTCGCAGCTAATCGGAAGTGATTTGTCCATCCACCTGAGTGAGCTTAGGTTCTCTTCATCGTAAAGATGCACGTGAGCATCTATCAGGTCGATCTTCCCCATACTGTCAAGTCAGGATTGACAGGTCCAAATTCCAGCGAGTTCGATGCAATGACAAAATTGATCGAGACAGACTGAAGTGTTCTTGTACCCCACCGCATTTATTATTTCCAACTTATTATGAAATTTAAGCCACGGAATTTTATTCGGACATAAAAAAACACAACCCCGTACCTTTCCCCTCTTTAGTCAAGACGCAGATCTCGGAAACTCTTAGAATGACCATAAACATTTTTCCGAGCGATTTGGAATTTTAGATCAATACATATAGTTGGGCTATTTTTCAAGAATCCGTTCAGCAAAGAGATCACATAATTGATCTAGGTTAGTTGGTGTGAAAGTATCAAATGATTCTCCAAGGCAAGGTTGTTGCGATAACAGGAGCTGCCACAGGGATTGGTAGAGCAATTGCTGTGGGGATGTCTCAGCAAGGGGCCAAAGTCTCGATTAATTACATTAACGGCCAAGAGAATGAAATCCAAAGCTTGAAAGAAGAGATCCCAGACTTGCTAGCAGTTGAGGGCGATATAAGACATCCCGAAACATCACTTAATCTTATTGAACAGACGGTGAAAAAGTTCGGTGAGCTAAACGTTTTTGTGTCCAATGCTGGGGTCTGCAAGTTTATGGAGTTCACCAAAATTGACTACGATCTATATAAAGACACTGTGAGTATCAACCTCGATGGTGCTTTTTTTGCGACACAAGCTGCCGCAGCCCAGATGATCAAACAAGGAAAGGGTGGATCTATTATTGGAATTTCTTCCATCAGTGCATTAGTGGGTGGTGGATTGCAGGCACATTATACTCCTACGAAAGCTGCTATCTTGTCACTCATGCAGTCAACTGCGTGTGCTCTTGGTAAACATAGAATAAGGTGTAATGCCCTACTCCCTGGAACCATCAAAACTCAATTGAACGAGGAGGACTTGCAAGATCCACAAAAGAAGGCCTATATGGAGGGAAGAATCCCACTGGGTAGACTTGGTGTTCCATCAGACATGGCAGGACCAGCAATATTTCTTGCTAGCGACCTGTCCGAATATGTGACAGGCGCCCAGATACTGGTCGATGGTGGGTTGTTTGTAAATCTACAATAATGAATGATAATTATTATTCCAAGCCGGCTAATTAGATAGCTGTACCAATAGTAATAGAACACGGCCATGTAATGGAATTGATATGCCTCTACAAAACACTTTCTGCGTCCACAATCTCCGAGATATTCTGTTTGAACTGTGCCCAGTAACTGTGATCAACATCCTGATTGAGTGGCATTCTTCCAAGATAGGTTTCTCCAAACCCTTTGATACTAATCATTTTCTTAATACCCACGACACCAAATCTAACCACCAACTCTTCTGCTCTTGTAGCAATAAACTGAAGTTTTGCTGCTTCCTCATACTGTTTAGCCTGAAACAGCTCAAAGATTTTGACATATAGCTTTGGGAATGCCCCGGATAGTGCATCAACTGTGCCCATTCCTCCCACCATAAGAACTGGAAGAAGTATCTGCCCCAATCCAGTGAAAGTGTAGAAATTGTTCTCTTTGGTAACCGGTGACATTGCTATCATTGTGTGGTGTGCGACGTCTCCGTGTGATATCTTGGTACCAACAATGTTCGGATGTCTCGAGAGCTTCACTATAGTCTCTGGCTCCACAACAATATTATTGGTGACTCCAGGATAGACGTATACCATGATTGGCAGACTAGATTGATTTGCAACCTCAGTGTAAAACTCTTCAATAGCGGCTTGTTTGATTCCTGGACCATAATAGCTGGAGCTCAGGACAAGCGCATAGGATGCCCCAGCTTCTTTGACTGCATCTATCTCGTGGAGCACCTCTTCCAAACAGTTCTGGGCCACTCCTGCAAGGATTGGAAATCCAGGTAGATTTTTGTGGATGGCCTCAATGATTGAAACTCTCTCTGTTCTTGTTAAATGAGCTGCTTCACCAGTACTTCCCATTAGAACCAAACCTTTGATACCATTGTCTCTTAAGTACTTAGCGTGGGCAATTTGGGTCTCAAAATCTATCGTAACAAGGTCCTTCTTGAAAAATGTGGGGACTGGAGTATAAACTCCAGGTTGTGGTGGTTGTGGTGCTCTTGGGGTTATATTGGTCATTCTTCGGGAAGCTTACAAAAGCTAGAGAATACGAGAAAGGTTCTGATGATCATAGTATCCGAACTCTATATATATGCGCTACTTTCAGGTGTGGAGGATCGGCTGGTGCAAGGTGTCGCTCATCAAATTTCCTGCACTTTATGTATGGAGAAGTATTGTGCTTACGTAGTCAGGTGTTGTGGGGTAAACAAATTTTCCGGGGAAACTGATCTTTTAGCTCTGGGACAAACATCAGGATTGAAGGCACATCAGCGAAATATGAACATCCACGAGGTGATACTTGAGGACAATGAAAATAGCCGTAAACGTTTGTCAAAATCATGCGACGTTTGCCGAGAAAAGAAGCTCAAATGCGATTCGCAAAAACAATGTTCCCATTGTCGAAGTCACGGATTTGAGTGTGTATACTCCTTCGTCAAAAAGCCGGGTCTTAAACCCGGTTATGGAAAAGAGCTACTAAAGAGGCTGTCCTCTTTGGAGGAAGAAAGCCAAACATTCCATAAGAAGTTCAAACTTATTGAAGCTGCACTTGGAAGTCTGCAAGGTGGAAAATCTACAAATTATGTGGGACAAGGTCAGGTGAATTTGATGGGTTCAGAGTCTCTTCAGCCTAGTGTGACATCTGTGGACGCTAGCTTAAGTCAATCTCAAACAGCTATGACCTCAGAGATGGAACGTAAACACGAATACATGGACCGCAACATCAGACTTCTTAACAGTGGGTTACCAAACCCTGGAACACTTAAACAACTCGTTGATATATTTTTTGCCAAAGTATTTCCCAGCTTTCCTATTATCCATCCACTGGAAACAAGAAGAACTGTACAGCAATATATTTGTGCGATTCAAGCTTCCAATGCCGCTCAAACTTTGTCAATTCACAAACCACCATTGATCATTTACGGGATTCTTCTAAATTCAGTGCAATACATACAAGAAAGCAAGAATATATCCATGCCCAAAGATGAGGTTGAACAATTGATTCTGACATGTAAACAAAAAATCATTCTCGAGTGCTACTCTATCTCCTCAATTGCTCAACTTCAGACGATAGCATTAATGGCTTATTATTCATTTGGAAATTCTGTTGTTCCAGAATCGTCTTCAATTATCGGCATGTGTGCCACTGGAATGATCCACTTGAATATCTCGGTTACCAACAATACAAGTTCTCGATCCACATCTTCAAATACTACAAAGGACTCTTTACCATTTGTTATTCGCCCAAAAAGAGCTAAAATTCTGAAAGAGCCTGTCACGGTCAGTGAAAAAGAAGGTAGGATTCGATTAGGGTGGGGTATTGTTGTTCTTGATATTCTGAACTCATTCTCTTCAGGCACACCCTTGTGCGTGCCCGAGTCAGAAGACAAGCTTTCTAGGCCTTTGGGAACTAAGTTGTGGAGTCAAATTGATGACCCTAACTATAAGCCATTTCTTTTTGCCAGAAATGGTTCAGAAACTGAAACTTCTGATGCGTTCAGCTACTTCACTGATGTAATACAGATGATGAGAAGGATGTATGGCTTTATCTCTCACCCACGAAATATAGCTGACAAGCAGAATGTTTGTGAGTGGTTTGTGCATTTCCATATGTTAGAGACCGAAATGAAGGAGTGGAAGAGCAATCTACCTTCTAAGTACGCTTCTCTGCTTGATTCAAGCACTTTGGGTACGGAACAACATACATTTGAAGAGATCGCAGGTCTTGCTCTTTTGCATTCTTCATATCACATAGCACTGATCAAGATGCACAGCGCATATGGATACCCGCATATTGAATCTCCAGCTTTCAAGCATTCAGAAAGCTCGCGACGAATATGTCTCGAATCAGTGGAAAGGGTGGCATTATTGGCTCAAAATATTATGGAGCAAGAAAAGAAGAACGGTGAAAAAATGCTTGAGTACTTAGGACCACATTATTCCTTCTGCATATGGGTCTGCGCAAGAGTTCTGATAGCAGACAGCATTTTTAACCAGGCAAAAAGCCAGTCAGATCGGGAAAATCTTAACATGAAGTTAAAGCTATTTTGCGGAATACTATTCGCTATTGGGAAGCATTGGCAGGGAGCTCAAAAATACTATAGGATTTTGAGGCAACTACAAAGCTTCGGTTTTGATACTCTCCCTGCTTCTGCAAACACAGATTATCCAGAAGGAAATGAGTACGAAATACCTCCATCACAGGCCATTGCTGACATGAGAATCAATGCACATCTACTTTCTCTCATTTTGAACAAAAATCTAACAAAAGATACTCGAAGCCGGAATCTCCACGATAGCCAAAACTCAATTATAGATAAAGATGTTTCATTAGCCTCAGCGCAATCAAGGCCAAATCGAACCCAAGAGGAGAGTATGCTTTTGGACGCTTTCCAATTTGATACCAGCTCCTTTGGATTTGAAGATCTACTTGGATATTTGACTCAAAATAACATTGCACAAGAGCCTTTTTAGAGACTTACTGAACACAATCACCTCACGTTATATCTTTGCAACCGGCGAATGCTGGGGGTACGAGCACCAATTATTGAATCGGCTATTTACATATAATATTATTGTATTAGAAATTATTATCCCACCTTGCAGACCCTTTAACTTTTATCAATAGCTTGTTAACCCGAACGTATTAAAAAAAATAGTTCCCAAACTGGATAGTGGGGTAGGTTTCCCCACATTTTTGTTTTCGGAACATTCTTTAAATCATTTTCCGGATATAATCATTTTTGACCTCCAGAAATGGCTCCTAACTGGTGACCATGAGACAATCAATTTTACATTCCTGAAAGCAACTCAATAACTATATAACAGCCTGAACTTCCCAGATCACCGGTATCAGATTACAAGCACTAAAATGACTGCCAATGAATTTCCTCGTATCAAGAAAATAACTACTTATCTTACCGAAGGAAAGGGAATAGGTGGTGACTACCATAATGTTGAGAAAGGACACTGGCTGGTGGACAACTATATTGCCAATCCAATGTCCAAGTTCCCTGAATATAAAGCTTCTCGTACCAGCTGGGGAATCAACGTTCTTGGCTCGTTTTGCGTGGAAATTGAATCCACTGACGGCTCCAAAGGATTTGCAACTGGATTTGGAGGACCAATTGCGTGCTGGTTAGTCCATAATCATTTTGAGAGATTCATTATCGGTGAAGATCCGAGAAACTACAACTTGATCTGGGATAAATTATTTAGAGCCTCCATGTTTTACGGAAGAAAGGGTATCACTTTGGCTGTCATTTCAGTTGTTGACCTGGCTCTTTGGGATCTTCTGGGTAAGATCAGAAATGAGCCGGTCTACAAGATGATTGGTGGTGCAACCCGCGACAGAATTGACTTTTACTGTACCGGATGCAACCCAAAAGCGGCAAAGGAGATGGGATTCTGGGGAGGAAAGGTCGCACTGCCATTCGGGCCTGATGATGGATTTGCAGGACTCAGAAAGAATGTGGAATTTCTAAGAAATCATCGTAAGGCAGTGGGACCAGATTTCCCGCTTATGGTTGATTGTTACATGTCGTTGAATGTTTCCTATGTTATAGATCTTGTCAAAGCTACTCAAGACTTGGATATCAACTGGTGGGAAGAGACTCTTCATCCTGATGACTTTGATGGATATGCTTTGCTCAAGCGTGCCTTCCCAACAATTAAATTCACAACCGGAGAGCACGAATATTCCAAGTACGGATTCAGAAAATTGATTGAGGGAAGAAATGTGGACATTTTGCAGCCAGATGTCATGTGGGTTGGAGGAATGACCGAGCTTTTGAAGATTGCTGCACAAGCTGCTGCTTATGACATTCCAGTTGTGCCACATGCTTCCGGTTCCTACTCATACCATTTTGTTGCTTCCCAATCGAACACGCCTTTCCAGGAGTACTTAGCCAACTCTCCAGACTCCTCTTCTGTGCTACCGGTCTTTGGATCTTTATTCACAGATGAAACTGTTCCAACCAAAGGATTTTTGAACATTTCCCAGCTTGATAAACCCGGATTTGGCCTCACTGTAAATCCTAAAGTGAAGCTTATTGATGCTCGTTATATCCTCTCGCCATCTCCTGAACGTCCATTGAAGATTGAGTCTGTGGATAAGAATAATGCCCAGTCCTATTAGGTAAGTAACCAAATCATATCTTCCTGAGTCATTATATATTCGGTAGACTTAGAGTTTCTGGTCAAAGCATTGAGATTAATGAAGTGTCTGCTATTTTTAAATCTTGAGAAACTTAATATTTTTAGGGTTTGCGAGATTGTTTAGAATAACAAAACAAGTATAAGCTAATCTCAATGTGTCAATACTTCTATTTGATTGCAATGACCTCTTAGCGAGAATACTTGGTAGGATTTCCGCTGCAGAAGGAGTCCGATACTTTTCGTTAGACATTGAAAAAAAGAAGCGTGCATTCTAATTCAGCCTACGGAGTAGTAATGTAGATCAATCGAAACGGGCTCCCAGAATCATCCCAGTAATCCCAAACAATCCGACTACATACACAACTCAAAAGCTTATTTATTCAGTTCACAAAATATGCCGGAGTCAATTGTAAATCCTAGCTCAACAACTCTACATACAACATGAATAAACCTTTTAGCTTCTGAGTTATTAACATCATTGACGACGCAGTGAGTTTTGACTTCAGGTTGAACTTTTCTTGTTTCGCTAAGCTATGCATCGCTGGAATGGAGTTTTTTCTCATTCGGCAAAGGTGGCAGGACATCACATCACAAAGCGTCAGAATATCTGAATACTAAGGAAATATCAGTTCTATAATCGAGAGGAACCTGAAGAGGTAGATCACAAACCAGTCCAGTAAGATGATTCCTGAATTTCAAAAGAGCTTGTCAGGAACTGCTTCGAATTGGAAGCATTACCAACCAGCACTCCGTATGTCCCTTTCTCAATTGACCACTTGTTGCGTTCTCCATCAAAGTAGGAGCATGCATACTTCACTGGAACTTGAATCTCCACGTTGGAAGCCCTATTAGGTTCGAGGAATACTTTGTTGAAGCCCTTAAGTTCCTTCACAGGACGTTCTTCCGTGGTATCTTTTGGTGGACTGATGTATAACTGGACAACCTCGGCACCAGCAACTCCACCAGTATTTTTCACCTCCACAGAGGCGATAATAATACCGGCGTCAACTTTGACTGACAAAGAAGAGAAAGCAAAAGTGGTGTATGAAAGACCAAATCCAAAAGCAAACAAAGGATCAACTTCGCATTTTTCGTAATATCTGTATCCCACAAAAGTGTCTTCACCATAAACAACCTTTCCCTTGTTGGACTTAAAGGTAACGTATGCAGGATTATCCTGGCATCGTTTTGGGAAAGTCAAACTCAATTTACCAGACGGGTTAACATCACCGAAGATAACATCAGCAATTGCATTTCCACTCTCACTTCCATTGAACCACCCCTGAACTATGGCTGGAGTCTCCTCTGCCCATGGCATTGTGACTGGAGTACCGGAAAGATTGACAACCACCACATTCTTATTGACTTTAAGCACTTCTTGGATGAGTTCATCTTGGCTACCAGGAAGGTCCATTACTGGTCTATCGTATCCCTCGCTCTCCCAATCTGATGAAGTTCCAACACAAAGAACAACTTTCTCAGCTTGTGATGCAACTTCAACAGCCTTTTTGATTCTATCCTTATCTGATTCAACCTTCATGGCTGAAACATAAAGCGCTCCTCCTCCGTTGGATGCAACTAGATCATTAGTCTCCAAAGTAAACGTTGGACCTGAACCAAACTCAATCTTGTAATTGAAAGATTCTCCCTTGTTCATATAAAGCCTTTTGGTTTTTGGAGCGGTACATGCACCCAGGGCTGCAGATCCAAGGACTTGATTATTCTTGTCATCAATCTCCAGTTTACCGTCAATGAAGAATTGCGCAGTTCCGAGACAGCTCAGGTTAATCTCGTAGGTGCCGGTCTCTTCGGCAGTGAATTCACCCTCGATATCCATATAGAATAAGTTGTTATCTAGCTTGTCGTTTTTGTAATCGAACAAGATCAGATTCGTGGAATTCAAAGCAAACTCGTCAACAATGACACGGTCGGGAGATTCAGCAGGAAAGTTGTAAACCTTGCAATAAACACCTTTTGAACCGTTGAAGGTGGACAAGGTGCCCAGGTCAAGCAGGTTTTTCTCAATTGAGCAACCATCAGCATAGAGTGGGAGCTCTGGAAGTTTACCAGAAATACCATCAAAAATGCTTGAAGCATAATAAGGGTTCATCGAAGCAGAGCCACCACCAAAGATTCTAGCCTTTTTGGCGTTTGGGCCAATCACAGCAATTTTATCTGTCTTCTTCAAAGGCAAAAAGGAGCCCTTATTTTTCAGCAGCACGATCGCCTCTGAGGCGAGCCTTCTGAGAAAAGCAGACGTCTCCGGTGTATTATTCTTAGAGTCTTCTGGAGCATTTGACGGAATGCCGCTTTCCATAGAATACTTGACCAAATTTAAAACGTTTCTAACTCTTTCATCAACCACGTCTATGCTGATCTCTCTGGCATTGATAGCATGTAAAACCGCATCCACTTTTCTCATGATTGGAACTCCGGGACACTCCAGGTCCAAACCTGCATCAATGGAAGTTTTGATCGAGTAGACACCGAACCAGTCGGACATAACCAAACCATTCCAACCCCATTCCTCTCGCAGCACACCAGTGAGCAGCCGTTTTGATTGTGAAACGTGCTCACCATTAACTTTGTTGTAGGAGCTCATCACGCATTTTGGCTGTGAATACTTGATGGCCAACTGAAAGGGCATCAGATAGATCTCCCTGAGAGCTCTCTCCGAAACAATCGAATCAACAGAATTTCTCTCATCCTCCAAGTCGTTACAGACATAATGTTTGATTGTGGCTGCAATTCCTTTACTTTGGATGCCGTTGATCAAACTTGCCGAGCACAGACCCGAAAGAAACGGGTCTTCACTGAATGACTCGAAACCCCTTCCACCCAAAGGTCCTCTTTGAATGTTACAAGTTGGACCCAATATAACGTGAGCGCCTTTGTGTTTTGCCTCAGTAGCCATCATGCGTCCTGCCTCCTCCAATAATTGCACATTGAAAGTAGATCCCATGCCGGTACCCGAAGTGAAGCAGGCAGAGGGCTCAGATCTGAAAAATTGGGTACCTCTGACACCATTGGGGCCATCACTGAGTCTTATGGAAGGAACATTCAGTCTCTCAATCTCTTGCGTATGCCAGAAATCCTTTAGAGCTAACAGTTGGACTTTTTCCTTAGTTTTGAGCTGTTTGAGAACGTCTTCAACGTCGAAGGCGGCGGACATTATGAGTAAGATATGCTTTAGCTATATTCAATGGAGTTTCTTGGATTATTTTTGTGCTAGATTTTTCAAGTAGTCGAATCTTTGTCAATGGTGTGCTACTTTGAGTTAAAGTACTGGATGCCAACAGCTGATAGATGTATATAAG